CCCGAACCCGGCTTTGAGTGGTTCGTTGACGAGTCGTCGCGAAGGCTGGCGTCTGCGCTCCCGGGGGCCCGCAATTTATGCAATGAAGCTAACGCTTGTCTGATTCGCGCCCGGATCGAGGCGTGGCTCGAGCCTTGGCCACAAAATGATGGAATTGTGGGGAGGCGTACGTATGCCACCAGGGGCTCGATTGGTGGAAGCGCGCAAGCGACGGAGGTAGAAAGGAGAGGACTGGGGTTTTGCGTAAGGAATTGAATGGCAGAGATGAATTATTGTGAATCTGAGATTGAGGGCCCTGAAAAATAGGAGTCAAATAGCCTACATGCTGCTGGGATGATGATCCACGCGAGGATGCTCTTTCTTGATTTTTGACGACTTCTGTCTCTGAGTTTCGGCCGTTCGGGGGCGGGGGACCTTCAGGACGCCATTCCCCGAGATGCCTTGGCCGCGGCGTGCGAGCAATGGGGCTGGCAGAAGGGTGATCGACATGGCATCCAGCTTGTTTCATGTTCCTACGTATGTCTGCCCACTCTTGACTGTCAGTCCTCGGAATTTGTTGCCGTGGGACAAAATCGCCGACTTACGCGAGTCGGAGCCGGGGATTTTCCTCGACCCACAAGAAACCACATACCCGAGTGTGCCCACATGCCGGAAAACAGGTCTTGTCTGCCAAGACGCCAAGCTCAATCACCATGAGGCTCTGTGGAGAACATTCGTGGACACATTCTACTGCTGTCATTCACGAACCTGCCAGCCTGCTCATCACCAGTATCGCGAGACAACATGTGCAGCCATTAGATTTTGTGCCAGATGTACAATCTGTACAGTTCATAAACACGGATGCTTGTGCATGACAGTGTGCATTCTAGTTGGCCGTCCTACGCTCAACAATGACTATAAAAGAAATGCTGAGCCGGTATAAATTCGTAAATATCCACCAAGTTGGCAGTGGCAGGAGTCCAAATGCGAATAACACTGTCCGACGTGCAGTTCCGCCTCAAATCGTCGCTACTGGGAAGGTAACTTCTCAAATTTCTTCTCGGTCAAAGTTCTTCGGAAGTGGCTACTTCTTTCCGGGTTCATCCTATCTCTCATGACATTTGCCACAGCGCAGGCTTCAGCCCTGTTGTCGGTTTAACGATCAATCCAGGGGCACACTCTGTGGCCGTGTTGTCGAGAGCGAGATTGTCGTAAGCTGGAAGTTGCCGTCTGAGGCAAAAAAAGCGTGTCACTCGTCTACCTGGGGCAGCAGATCCACTATCACATGGCATCCCTTGGCGCTTCGGACGAAGCCACAGCGCAAACCGACCCACATTCAGAGGCATAAGTCACTGCAGTCCCTCAGCAGTCGAGGCTCGTCATCTAGCAGTAGAATGTTGACAGCAGTGTCGACATGCGCGGACGCAGAGAATTCCCAGATACGCTACATTAAAACACTTGGCACCAAGCTTTTGAGTGACCCCCAAAGCCAACAAGCTTATCATTGCCTCGGGGTTTGTTCCGAGACAAAACTTACAAATACGGTACTCCGTCAGTCTTCGGGATTCGGTCATCCTCATAACGAATCCAGCTGAGACTGGCCAGGTCTTCTCGGCTTCTCCTATACCCTGCCCACGAACCTGAACATGTACCTGGGTGTTGCCCCCTTTCAACATAAGCCAAGCCGGGCACTTGAGATGTGATACTTGAAGAGTGGTGAGGCAGGAGTGAGGAGTGAGGAGATCTTGCCCCACACATCGGGAATCATTCATCCACATATTCAACACCGCCGAAAAGCCTCCTGTATGCATGAGAGCGGTCGCATCAGTCAAAGCTTGTTTCGATTTAAACGTTGTCAACAGTTGGGTAAGTTAATACTGTTTACAGCACACTTCTACGTAGAAATCAGAGAATCGCACCTGCAAAAACAGAGAGTACACGAAAACATCGCCAGCAAATCCAATACCCACACCCAACACCAACGCCCAATTCACACACCCCCAACGCCTAATCTACATACCCAATTAGCATATTTAATTAGTCCTACGTATAAAATTTAGCTATACGAATTGGGTGTGTTTGGTGTACAGGTATTGGGTGTGTAAGTGTTGGGTGTGTGGGTATTAGGTGTGGCGCGAGTGGTATACCGTTGTATCCTCCTTTTTTGCAGATGCAAATCTCTGTATTCTCTGTGCAAATGCTTTTGTGTTAATCACGGTTCTAGAATGGCCTCTTTTCGTCTGCCCCCCCCCCCCAACCCCCTCCTCTTTTTCCCCTTCTTTTTTTTTTTTTTTTTTTTTTTTTTTTTTTTTTTTGATGCCAGGAGGGGGGTGAGGGAGGCAGGGTACGCCCACCCAGCTTCCACAGTACGCCCACCCAGCTTTTAGTGTTAACCCACTTAATATAACCAAATTAACTATATATACTTTAAAATATAAATATATCTTAAAAGCTATCATTATTTTATTACTTTATTATATTTATTTTATTATTTTTTATATAATATATTTAATTTATATTTATTATACTTATATAAAATATAAAAAAAACTTTTTTTATAATTTTAAATTAACTTATTTACTTTATTATTACTTATTTTATATAATATTTAACTTACTTTATAACTTTATTATAAAATTAATTAATATATAATAAATATATATTTAAAGTAAAATATTTAAAATATTTATTTTATATAAATAATGTGATAGCTATAGCTTTGAAAAGCTAGCTCTTGAGGTGTACTTATGTTTTGAAGTATGTGTAGCTAATTTGGTTATACTGGGTGGGCCAACGCTGGAAGCTGGGTGGGCGTACTGTAGAAGCTGGGTGGGCGTACCCTGCCTCGGGGTGAGGGGGTGAGGGGGGAGCGAGTCACTACAGTTTACTTAGGTAGGATGACTGCTATAATTCAATAAATAGGTGGTGAATCAATAGAGCAAGATATGGGAAATCGCCAAATGGTTTAAGCAGGCACGCAAGTTCGTAAGGCTAGTGTCCCCAGCCCCCAATCTCAGCGCGGTGGTCGTCTGCGCCTCTTTATTGCAGACCTCCTTCGCCCGCTTGCAAGTCTCTCGCCCCCGGGGGCCTCCTCAGCTTGAGTTGATCAAACGCTTAAAAATTCTGAGCGGCTTCCAATAAAAGAAAAGCGAGTGTTTCAGCACCGAATATAGACTCCGAGGGGGCCGTAGTTGGGTCATTTCTGGCCGGCCAGCCGCTCTCAGTGTGCTGCACAATTGGGGGCCACCATTACAGCGGAGCTCGCTGTGATGGTACTCCCCAATATTGCGTGTGAGGATTCTTCGACCTTCTACAATCTTACGCCGTCTACTATATTTTCGACTTTTTAGAGTCTCATCTTAGCGATTCTTCCCATCCATTCTGCTGTTGTATCCCCGTCTCGCACGTCCACCCAAGTAAGTAAGCAATTTTAATACTAGTACGATATATCCTAGTACGATATATCCTTCATAATTCACACCCTCGAAATGACGACAAGCTCTACGCTGGGCCAGCCGCGTACAGTCCTCGGTCCCCTTACGACTACCTTCACACCGCCCGCCTGGTGCGGGTATGTTGCTATCCCAGCAACGTCCTGGGGTGGTTCGCGTGGATATCAGGGGCATTCCTGTAAATCTAACTCCCCATATGGCCATGTAAGAGCAATTGTCTAACCTACTGTTCCTTTCCCCTTTGTTCTGTAACGTTGCCTGTTTTTCCCTTGGTACTCAACTATCGGTTGCATAATCATACAGGTAGATGTGACAAAGTGCTGGCCCCCCACAACGGCGGGGGTTCCATACCCATCCGTTGCATTTGGGAGATGGGGTTTCTACTCACCTGGTATTGTCTGCCCATCTGGCTACACCGGCGCCTGTACGGCTACCGCCAGTGGCAACGCGCAACTTGAATGGCCTGTACAATATGAGATGGTTGAAGGAGAGACGGCTGTGGGGTGCTGCCCACCGTAAGTAAAGTTTTCAACACCAATCCATATCAGGCCAGTATGCGACGTGCTAATCAGGGACACTGTGCTTCCATCCAGAGGGCTCACATGCTTCTTTAACACGGAGAATGCCGCCATAAGCTGCAGTCGCATATCAATGGCGAGGACATCTTGATAGAGAATCCGGTAATGACATATCCGTATGTCAATGCCGTAACAACTGCCGAGGTTACTTCGACAAAGACAATGGATTCATTTACTGTATGGGCACCGATGATTCAGATCAACTGGCAATCGACGGATCTGGAGACGGCATCGACCTCAGAAACGTTCCATTCCACGACATCCCAAAGCGCTAGTGCAGACAGCAATAGCTCACCTGCGGGGATTTCAACAGGCGCCATAGCCGGCATCGCCGTCGGATATGCGATAGCAGTAATAGCCACGGGGGTGGCATTTGCCTTTTTGATACGCCGGAGACGGCAAAATGGGAAGACTCAAGCCCTGTAGAACGCCTGGGGTGCAGACCAGGCTACGAAACACGACCAGCAGCAACAAGAACAGCAACGCCAGTATCAGACTGGCACTTCGGAGCTTGACGGCCGTACTGGACCGTCCGAACTACCTGGAACACGAATTGTCGCTGAGATGTAGGCTATAATCACAGTTGGAATTGTTGCACGGTCTCGTGGTCGAAAGTGCGTTGAGTGCCAGTGAATGGTGGGGGCATTTCGCGCTTTGCGAATTCGATCCTGGTATAATGAATAATGACACTATGTGGTCGTGGTGGCAGTCTCCAGTTTTCTCAACACTGAAAAGGGTAATATCATCGTACATGAACAAACTCGAACAACTTCATCACACGACTATTGGCTAATGCACTTCTCGGGCCTGGGAGCCAATCAGCTGTGTATTACTTTCGAGGTCTTCATTGCCACTTACTTATATGTGACCTTCAAAACACACTGCCATGCCTCGGTACGGAAGAGTAGAGACTTAACACAGCTTCGTGGTCCTCACATTCCACGAAATTTCTGCAGTGTCCAGATCTTGTCTCCTTGACTCCTGGGCCGTCTCAGTCAAGCTGCCCGGCGACTTTGGATCCCGCGCGCCGCCGCCTCTCGATAACTTCTTCCTTCCATTTAAACGCACCATCGACAAGTGCCAGCCTGTAGTAACCGGGTTCCCATTGCTCCTCTTTTCTCCATGACAGTTCCACGAGGATCTCTGAGAGGTCGAAATGCTCATATGGCTCCCCATCGACTTGAATCAATATCTCTCCGACCCGTTCAAACAACCCTTCGCTCAAATCGACATCCTCCAGAAGTGGTCGCATAAGGATTCCCAAGTGACTGGCGCAGAATCTCGCAAGAGCGAGGGCTGCCAGTTTCTGCTCTGGTAGCGCAGGATCTAGATACCGCGTAGAAATGATTTGTGAGAATCCCGGTGGGTTGGAGTTGAGAGGCAGTATGTTCTCTTCCGTAGACGAGAGAAAGTCAAGAACAAGCCGTCCGACAGTGATCCCGCGGGCGTCATTCCTTTGCTGGTCTCCGTGGCTTTCTGGGCCGTCGATTTCCCTCCTTCGAGGGAAAGGTCCGATAATCCCTTCGAGAAAGCCCATCAGGAGATCATAGAAGCCCCACACACCGACAGGCGGCCCTCCGCAGCCTCCTCGCCACAGGTAGTCCCTGAAGAAAGCCGGGTCGAGAGTCTCTGGAGTATTGAATGATCGAAATTGGGCGTGCACAGTGTCGACATGACTCAAGAAACGAGAAGCGGACAGCCAAGTCGTCCACAAACCGACATACTTGATGAACATCACGTCTGCCTTCCACGAGGAGTGATCTGCTTCTCTGTCCAGAATTCTCTTCGTTTCATCATGAATCTGTCGGCTCACCAGCAAAAGTTGAAGCGCTGTGTCCCTGCACGTGCCTGGCCTGTAGAACACAGGCAGGGAAGCAGAACCACCCCATCCGCTTGTCTTTTCCAAGAGGGTATATTCCCCTGCTGTGATTGTTGAACCGCCCTTGCCGGTTGTGGCGTCGTCTTCAAGCGGCACCTTCCTCAGTTCCCGTGTCAGGTTTATGGCGTCGTTAGGCGGCTCCGTAGTGTCGACGAGGAGCGCCAGCTCCAGAATGGGTTCCCTGATCTCGATGGGAAATCCCATAAAAGCCATGATTGCCAAGTTTTGTAAGTAAAACTTGTTTTGCTTTGTTGCTTGAAAATCGCAATGACACAAGCTGAGGGGCTTAGATGTAATAGAAACGAAGAGGTCTGTGGATGGATGCAGGTTAATGTGTTGTTTCTGTGAACCACACACTTCGAGGAGCCCCGAACGGCGAAAGCTTTGAATATGGCGAAGTGAGTCATTGCCTTCTGCAATGAACTAAATGATGCAAAATTGTGGCCACCTCAGAGATTGAGGGCAAGCGTCTGGGTTTAGTTGGCCGCCTCACACCATTGATGCTGGCTCACTCCTAGGAGGTTCGGAAGTGGGCGTAGTACACAGATACATTACACGCCTAATATACTCACACCTAGCACACCCACACCCAACACACCCACATCCAATTCATATACCCAAGACCAATTTACGTACCCCCTACAATTCATATACTAGATTACAATTATGAATTTTATTAATCTGTGGGCACACCTCTTGTTAAGCTGCGCTTAAGTCTAGACTTTACATCAGGTTAAGAATTGAAGGTGCTGATGTGATAAAAGAAAAATATTCAAAAGGGGGGGGGGGGCCTAACGTAAAGCGATCTTAAGTGTAGCATGTCTTGCTTGGAACTGGGCTGGAATGTGGTTACTGCACCATGGGGCTTGCGTCTAGGTAACGGGTATCGGGATGCTGACAGCCGCCTGCATCTTGTGCTAGACCAGACATTACGGTCAAATTAGGCGGTAGCAGATTGATGATTTGTTATGCTTGCTGAAGAAAAGGATAGAAAAGAGAAAACAGAAAAACTGTTAAGCAGTGAGATTATTGCCGTGAGATGCAGCAGACTACACGGGACTCTGACCCCCTTAAAGCATAACGAACTTGAGGGAAGACTTTGCGAACTGCGATTGTGATGCCAGGGGCAAGCGTATCGCAGGATCTGAAAAATCCGAATTTCTTCGGTAAGACCCATCCGCAAAGCAAGCCGCAAAGCAAGAAATACAAGCCGGACACGCATTGGACAGAGTGATCGCGTTTAAGCATGACCCTTCATTCGAAATCTGTGATCTAAGAGCAGTCGATGTTTCTCCCCTTTGAAAAGTCTTCAAGCATAAACATGCTGTACATGCACAGTCCCGATGAAATTCTGCTACCAGTCGAAATCCATGACCTCCCTGTCCGTCGATTTCCTAACCGAATTCACGTCTGCTAATGGCTCAATGTCAATTTCAACCAACACCGTCTTAACGCACGGTGTATCCGCAATGCAGTCTCGAATGAAACCAACGAGGTGTCGCTTCAAAGCATCAAATTGATCCTCCCTGCCGCGGCAGACCAAGTGTTCGGCTCGCGCGTTCGGAGCGGTCACCCGAAAGTGCAAGTGCTGGAATTGAGACCATTCCAGGTGTATTGGAAGCTCCTCCTCCAGCCTGGAGAGCGTCTTGCTCCGGAAGCTCCCCTCTGGCTTCCAGGAAAAGCTTTGGTGCTCGGGATAACGACAGACCACGCGATACAGAAACTCGACCCGGGCTGGCCCTACCGGCGGCGCCTGGGGTGCATCCTTGTTCTCAGCGGGCCTTTCATCAACCACCTTCCTGCCTTCAGGCGGGAATACGTCGGCGAGCAAGGTGAACAGAGAAACTGGAGATGACTGCCTTGTGACAGACTCCACCTCAATTGAGGGCTGAGGAGCTGCCTCAGCCCGCGTCACCTTTGTCGAAGGCCCCGCATGGTTGGTACTGTTGCTTGGTTCGGTTGCGTCAAGCCCAGGCTCCGTGTTCAGCTGATGTATAAAGCCGTTTACAGATACGTCTTCATCTGTCACCCCGCTCACAGTGGCCCTGAACCGGTTTGCTGGTCTTTGAGTCCAAGGGGGTAAGATGTCAGAAGTGACCGCGCTGTTTGTTTCAGCTGGAGCAATGTTTTCGACAACAACCTCTGGACTAGGGTTGCGCCCCGGAGACTGAAGCGCTACCGAAACTTCCTCTTCTGTCGCACGACCGGTCATGTTGCGCAGCTTCCGCTTACGGGGTGAGACTCTACTTGTCCTTGGACCAGCAGGCTGTTTTCCGGCTCTCTTTGACGACATGTGACGGGTAGAGGTTGTAGTGTCACCTCTCGGCCCCTTGGTCAATGGCTCCATGTTGGCAACGGGGGCGACTTGGCGACCATCACTTCCAATACCTGTGGACATGACTGCAAATGTGGGTTGATCCTGTCAGAAGGTCAGAGAGATTGTGTATGCCCTAGAAGAGTCGAGCCGAAGCCGAATTAGACTTACCGGTTGAGGCAGGATGTGCGGGTCTGGGCTGTCAGGGACACGGTATAGATCTTTGCTGATCTCCCGTTCGTTTGTCGGATGTGATTGAGTCTCGCGCAGATCTGGATTCATGACACCAGTGTGGGAACCAACGGGTGAGTCAGTGAGGTTGATGACTGTCGATGATCTGCAAGGCCTGTGAGACAAAGAATCATGGTGGAAAAATAAAGACGTGAATCATACCTTGGAGTGCCTGGCGTCCCGCAAGCATCACGACTGGCGGACGTATCGACGACGACATCTGTATCTATCCCGAGGTCGTGACTGGGGCTTCGTCCCCTTTTCGCCTGCCCTTTTGCCTTCATTTCGTCTGCCATGTCCTTATTCTTCTTGTATTTGATGTTTCGATGTTGCTGAATGTTTAATCGCCAGAAAAGCTGCCGCATGATTCTCTTGATCCTGGAAGATGATTAGCTTGTTAACGTACCTAAATGAGTGAACGTTCTTACCGTGCACCATCAGTTGAATACTTGTATTTGTTGGCGCGGCTCTGTGAATTGTCGTCGGGCCAGAATACTCTTCCATTTCCGTGAAGTTCGAGATATGATCGAACCATCTCCCCTAGAGCGGTTTGATGTTCTCTAGATTTCCAGTCATGGATAGAGCTACCGTCCCATCCTTGACTGCTAATAAATGTCTTTCGGAAAACCCGAACGCTGTCGTAGAAGGCTTGACATCTTGATGACTGCTGGTCACCGTAATCGAGTTCCTTTCGCAGGTCAGTGATAGAGGGGATTGCTGTTGGATTGATTAGAGATGCCATGATGAACAGACACCTCTCAGAGGAACGCAATTTCAAACGAGAAGACAAAAAGAAGAAGAGAAGAAAGGAAGAGGAGACGCGAGGATGGGAGAGGTGAGCGGGAAAGAAGCGGAAACGAGCAGACCAGGAGAGGAAGACGCGGGAGGACAGCGATTTTGAGAGAAAGGAAAAAGAGGGAAAATGAGACGAGAGGACGGGGAGTGCGAGAGACGAGGAGACAGGAAGACGACAATAGAAAAGACAGGAGCGAGGGCACAATTCCCTCTTCGAAAATCTTGAATGTGGGACACCCCTCCAGGAGAAGAAATCTGCGCCTCATTGGTCATGCGTGAATGGTTATATCAAAACCAACCGGGGGTATGTGGTCAGGGTCGGAAGCAAGTGATTGGCTGTGCAAATGCTGTTGGTTGTTCTGTTTTCCAGTCGGAGATCGATGTCCAATTATTTCTAGGCAGCACACCCAACCTTCGTCCGGGCGGCTCTGCAGGAGGGTTACAATGGCCACTCCTTACAGTACATTTGACGGAAACAGCTGCTTTTTTTTTTGTTTTATTTATACTGGAAGATTCTAAACGTTTGTGAAGTAGAAAAAGTCGGAAGGGTGTGGGGCAGTTTCTGTTCGAGCGGGTTTCCGAGGACTATTTAAAGTGGCGGCGTCTCCCAGGCAAGCCCGACACTTCCTTTCCTCCAAACTCCTCCTCATTCGCATGAATGATTCTCGTGAGAAAGAGAAACGACACATCTTCTATTTGGGGTGACGCATCATGTCAAGTCTCGTACCTCTTCGCAGTGGCTTCATTTCGCCGTTCCCTGTCTTGATCACACTACTAGGATCGAAAGTCATCTATGTGCTTGCCCTGGGTGCACTGATTGAAATTTCGCGACACTGCTACTCCTGGTTAAGGCCAACCGGTACGTGAACTATCACTGTCTCATTGCTGTGCACAAATCGATCTGGTTCTAGAGGCTAAGACTTTGCAGGAACACAGGTGCGAGAGCTGTCCGATACAGCGATCTCGCAAGGCTCAATGATCGAACCATCTATATACCCAGCAGAAGAAAAACAATTTTACAGAGAACCAGATGGGCGCTTCCACGAGTGGCGCAGAGACTCGTCGATCAAGTTCAATAAAGTTGGGGCCCATGTCCTTCTACATCACGTACTTAGACTGATCGATTCTGCCAGTGCTCGACAGTGATAAAACCGGCACGGACCGAAGTTGTTAAAAAATGGTAGGTGAAGGAATAAGTCGGATTGTGCGTATACGATGTTTGGAGTCTGGTTCTTACCAAAATTTGATGAATAAAAGAGTCTCAAGGCCAGGTGCTGCAGGTGCATTTTTTTGTCAGCGAGATGGAGGCTATAGACTATGATTGATGTGAAAGTTTAGCGTTTCTTTGTTTCGAACACATCTTCCGCGTAACCAGAACGAATGAATGAGGCTGAAGTCCTTGGTCTGACAGAATTTCCCAAGGTTGCAAACTGCTGCATCCATTCTGTTCGAGCCAGCTAGAAACGTAGGTGGGACCGTTGCCTATCCTGTAGTCTCACAAAGTCTGTTGCCGGTGCGCTGTAGGCTTGTGGATCTACTTCGTGAGGCATGATTTTTTGGTTCCGCAAAATTCATGTGGTAGTGCGTCAGATTCCCGGATCCACCGTTAGGCGCATGTTAACGCAAGCAACCACGGTGAGCATCGATCGTACAGCCAAACAGTCAGACAGTGTTCCCGCTACATGTCCTAGCTGAAACTCATGTTCAGTGAAGATTTCTTCGATATCTGGAACTTTTATCGCCCACCAGCAAATTACTGTTTCTTTGGCACCCGGCCAGAAACCCCTATCGAGATGGACTTGTTTTCAGAATCAGGGGCATCAGTGCCAAGAATCAACCTTGGAGCGGTTGCCTAACTGTGCCACCCAACAACATTTGGTCCGAAAAAAACCTGCTTTGCCATCCCAGAATGGCTGGTCTCAGACGCGTGAGCCCCTGCACTGCCTCCTCATGCGCCGGGAATGAATATTGCGGCTTGCGGAACGATATGATGATACCTCAGACAATGCATCTCCTGGCACGGTCTGAAGTAGTGTTTCCCATCATTCAGCTCGCTCCTTCCTTACCGTTGTAGTTCTGGCACCCCGGCCGCATATGGCGTTTCTCCAAGTGCCCCGTGCCTCTTCTGTTCAATGATATGCCCAGGGTCGATCAAGATAGAAATACTGGTCCAACATCTGCTCGGAACCCCGCTGATGCCATTGGACCGGGACTGTTGGCCACCAGCGCTGCTTACTGCATGAAGTTGGGTAGTCCGCTGGCGCTGGCACGTCAAATCACGTAACAATCGGCCCTCGCTTGGTACTGGACACTCTGATAATTAATAGCACAGACAGTTCAACTTTTATGCCTATTTGGAGTTGCGGCGCTGTGGTGTTCCCCCCACAATTCGCACCACTTCTAACAAACCAATGCCTTGTGCTCATCCTGCTTACACCTCTGCTTGGGCGAGTGAGACTCGAGGTGCACTCGTGGGCCAGATCGTGCTGACAGCTAGTGTCATTAATCGTCTGCCCCGCTTGCATTTGCCTGATTTCAACTGGACCTAGCTCAAGATACATCTCATCCAATTCGTTGCCATTTCTCAAGACGGCGGCAGATCTTCTGCAACCTCTTCGGTAGCGAACACTACCAATCATTTACTAGCGAAGAGATTCAGCACATATTCTTCTGCCAATTCGACGCCTGGGAAGCCGAAGAAATGAATTGCGTCTCCGAGTGGATTGAGCAGATATGAACCAACCTAGTCGCCGCGGCTGAGTGGGATTCCGAGCCACCCAACCCAAAGTTTGAGGATGAGGTGGACTTTCGTTTCGAGCCCGAAGGCTCTCTGAGGCTCCATGGAGACAGTTACGGTATGTTTTTGCCATTCATCACTGGGATCTGTAGGTGTCTTTGCTGGTAGTTCAGGCTTAGAGAAGATCTCTTGGTGTAAATGGCCTTTGCGAAAAGGACCTGGCCGAGCGCCGACGCGATCCCATACCGTTTAGAGGCGATGAGAACTTCTCTGCGCTCTTGAATGGAGAAACAGATTCAGATAACGAAAGCATAGCGCAAGTATTCACTATTTGTGGACCACCATTTGCATGCGTTCTCATGTGGGATGAGAAATACTGCAATCTTTACGGAGAATATATTCCAGACCTGTTCAGGGGGTGGGGATATGTCCTGTGGGATGAGCGGCGCTGGAACACCATCCATCGCGCGAGACAGATGCTCTTGGAGAACTGGGAATCATCACGTGAGTATCATATGGTCGAGGCGGATTTTGATTGGCCCGGAGACCTACCATGAAAACGTTGAAGGAAGCGCAAGAAGACCGAGCTCTCGAGCCACTCGGGGGGCAAGCAAACTTGATCATGTTGTCGATAGAAGCGGGCCTTGCACAGTATCATTGACTTGGGGAACACGTATAGCACTCGAGAGCACTGATGAAGTAATTGACACAACTCTTCAGAACGATGATTGCCAAAATTCCATAGCCAGGGCTCCTGAGGAGATCTGAAAGCCTTGTCAGTCGTACAGAAACTGACCGCATCGAGAGCTGCCAAGCACTGGTCGACAAGGCTGGCAAGGACATTATGTGGTCTAGACGTTCAAATTTGATCGAATAAGAATATTCTAAGTGGAATTTGTGGTTGAGTCTGCCTTGTTGAACCCTGTTGCGTCCTGAAAACCCATGCATCACTGCCACGACCGCCGCAGAATCTCTGTGGCAAGGAGGAAGAACGCCTTCGTCCGAGTGTCTGCCTGGCCCCCACGAGGAACATATGTTGTGAAACTTTTAGGTTTTGCATTTGGATTGGTATATCATGCCGCCCGTGCCGCACAAAGTGGTGTCAGACTGGAGTGAGATGATGGATAATGCCTCCTTAGCTCTCACCCGGGGGTTAGAGTGCTGAAGCGCCAGCGGAAGTTTGAGGCGATGTTTCACGGTCCTTCCTAGGTAGATAGACAGCACCTCGTGATTCGAACGCTAATTATAACTCAGCCTCCAAGTTGTGGCTGTCATTTATCCAATGTTATATAAGTAGGGCTCAGCCGCTTCTCTCAGCCACAACGATGGGGGCGGGAGGGGAGAGGCGGAGGCCTAGTGAGCAGAAACATGCAGAAGTTTCATCCATCACTGTGTTACATTATGAATTCATGTCTCATACTTTCGTTATCGAGGCGTAGTATTGGGCGGACATTGCGTTACTAAGCGACTGCAAATTGGTGGAGCCTGAGTCATCATGAGACATGCTTCCTGGTCAAAAGTGCTACTCTGCATTCAAATGGTCTCGCAGGATATGGAGAGGCTCCACGCATGTAAAAAAAATTAAATTAGGATTTATCCATTGCATCCCCTCAGATCAAGGATCTCGCGCTCACAATTATCTTCACTGCGCATTTCACATTCTGCCCTGATGACTATATCTGGCTCACCTGGTGTTCATTTCCTTGACTGTGCCCACATCTGTACCTAATTTGGACAGATAGCAACTAAAATTCTTCGGTTTCTTCGGGATCGAGCCATCTGTCATTTCTCACTTGTTCAGGTCACGTCTCCTATCATTTTTCTTTAGCTGGTCAGCTCTACTGTTTCCCGTCTTTGTTTTGGCCTCCAGCTCGGCACAATTGCTGTTATGGATCCGTCGCAAACCCCGTCCAGTCCGCCTCCCGACGGTGTCAAACCGAATTTTGTGAATCCACATTCCACCGGTTATATACCACTGATTGGGATTTATGTTTTCGTCCCTCTAATGCTGGTTTTCTTGGCCCTTCGAATTGGCACTCGCGTGAGATTGGCTCGCGCTCTTGGGCCGGATGATAGTATGTATCTCCCGCTGATTTCTTTCCTTAATTCACATAGTCTTTAATCCGACAGTCTTGGTTTAACAATATGACTTTAGTCACTTGTATCCTTGCCGCCGTAAGTGCCCGAAGGTGCAGCTCATCCCCAATGGTTGCCACAAATGCCCGTCGGATATTTTAACACGACAGCTTCATAAAGGCTTGTACTATAGTATTTGCCGGCCTCATTATACCATGTATGTATGAAATCTGGAACTGGTGTGAAATCAAAATTTGAACAGAATCAGAATACTGACCAGTCATAGCTCTTGAAAACCCAATAGGGAGACACCAGTGGGATGTTCCAATATCGGCCCTTACGCAGAAGTTCTTTCAGAAGGGCCTCACCTGCCTCCTGCTCTCCAACTTGGGAATGATGTTTATCAAGATTTCTCTACTGATTCTCTACCTGCGAGTTTTTGAGCCCTTCATATGGGCTCGGACTGCTATCTGGACCGTCCTGGTAGCAGTTTTGATCTTCTATATTACCTGCGATGCTGTGATATTGGGGACTTGTGTCTCACCCTCTGGCCGAACTCGGATGGAACCGACGATAGCAGGCGATTGTTTCCAATCGAATGTCAAAACCGCCTTGGCCGCTGCTTGGTTTGGCACAATTATTGACTTTTGCATCCTTGCCATCCCAGTCGTACTCATATCCAGCTTGATGCTCAACAGGCAACGCAAGATTGGCGTGTTAGCTATATTCATGACTGGATTATTGTGAGTCCAAACTTTGCTTTAATATTCCCTGCCCTCACATGAATTCCTAACAAACATCGTTTCCAGTGCATGTGCTGCATCTGCTGCGAACTTAGCCCAGCAATACAAATTGATACACACCGATACAACTTATAATGCTAGTTTGTTTTACCTATACGTGTAAGTGCATATCTTTTAATGCCGTTTTACTGGATATTACAACTGCAATTTTCAATAGTAGTGTACTGAAATTGGCATTTTAAGGATTATTGAGTTAAACATTGCGATTATCTGCAGCTGTATGCCTATTATCACAGCCCCACTTAAAGCCATGGTTGCGAGAATAGCCTCATCTTGGAATTTCCTGAAAAAAGAAACTCAGGCTCTTCTGCCAGCTAAGGGTGACACAGAGGATAAAACTGGTAGCCTCATTCATGATATCCCCAGAGCGAAGATATCGGGCTTGCGAACTTTCATACAAAGGTTTCAACGGAATACCTCGCGGGAACCCTCAGTCGTGATCAATATGACCGATATCTCAACGTTGGGCTCTTTTGATGAAGAATATCACCATCAGGTTATGGAGATTCACAACAACAACTCTGTCAAGCTTTCCAGGCCGATCTTCCCTGGTAGACGCGGGCAGGACGTCTATGGAGAGGCATGAGGGATCTGCAAGGGCCGAGTAGCAAAGGCAAGGTGGAGGTCTTCCTACACAGTTACACTACTTTTTCAAGAATTACAGTACGCTTTCATTACATGTGCTACCTATAATCAAGAGAACGGATATTCACACCTGTAAAAACGGATAATACACCAGTACATCACTCGCGTTGCAGCTACAGCTAATCAGAGCGCATCACCCAGGCCTATTTACATACCCACACACCTAGACATCCAACATCCAACATCCAACACCCATACACCCAACAACTAAACACCTAAACCACACGCCCAATTTATATACCGACTTTACGTTCTAATTAGTATAACTAATTATCCCCAGGTATATAAATTAAGTATTTAAACTAGGTATATAGCTGTTGAGCATGTAAATTATGTATCCGTTGCCGGAAATAAAGGTACCGAACATCATCAATTGACTGGAAACACGGTCCTCGCACCCGGGTTTGAAGGGAGACTTGAACTCAACGCAATCGGGAAGAATGTGATCACAAGCAAATGCGCAAGTGAACAAAGACGGAAGCGAAATCATATTACGGGACTAGGGTAGTGACCGGAGCAATTGGTCTAGTTGTATAGGTGACCTAGCAGCCATCTCGAATTTTAAAGAGGTCCGTTTTCCTCAGGTCCTTTTCGCCTTTCTCTTTGTTGTCACCACCTCTCCGAACAGCCCTATCGCAATGGACTCAAGCGTACATCCTAGGAACATCGATGGATCAAAGTCCAGCATAAACGCTTCTACCATCTCTGTCAAATCTAAAAGATCCATCTCTCCAGGAGACGTTTCAAGTAGTGTGCGTATGTACAGCTGTGATGGTAAATGACTCTGGCCTGGTATGTCAGTGCTCAATATTTTCCAGGACCTTCTATGGATTATAATGAAGACCATTCTTCAAGTCCAGCCTGGCTCAGCCTGGCCAAGCCTGGTTTTTATGTTAGGCTGGCCTATACAAACAATGGAGTTCGCGGCTCAAAGACTGTATAAGTTTGTCAAAGGGCAAGAACAAACATGCTGGCATTGATGTATCTATAAGCTTGACAATTATTTGTTGTCTGCACGTGTGGGTTCCGTCCCGGGACTGTCGGGACGCGCTCTAGGCCTCAATGGCCACGACGCGCAAAACAAAGCTGCCGACTAAGCTACGAATGCTTGCATGTCCATCCACAAGTGAAGCTGAATCTGGGGACCACGATATCCCAACCGACCCACCGACGGAGGTCTCTTGCGGGATGACGTGCATCCAGATCGCGCCGCGAGAGCCGTTCTCCGGAAGATTACTGAGCGTGGCGCTCTAGCTGCCGATGTTTCCAACCCCCACGGGTGCCCGTTGCCAAGCTAAGAATGTGGTTTACTGCCGGGTCCAATCTTAAGTTGTTTCCTGCGTTCGGTCCATCTCGCGCCGGCAGGGACCAGGGCACGTGGCTAAATCCCAACTTGTTTTTTCCACTCAGGTTCTACCGCATCTCGAGCGGACAGACGGAAGGGGGAAACACGCCATGGCCCCATGCTTAAGTACGGTCGAACGGCTCACGGGCATTCGTTGACGTTGTGATCAAGCCCCACGAGGAAGATCCGTGGGCGCTTTGACGGATCCCCAGGCTAGCGGCGGCGCCTTAATGCACGCGATCTCGTCCGAACCCCGCAAATTACCCCTGCGGCGGTCGACACGAGCTTGGGCAATTAGGGTAGGGTTGCAGTCCCCCGTCAGCCATATTTTTCAAGGTTCAACGTCGTGTCGGAGACAGGATTGGGTCGAAACCCCCGAATCTCACCACGCGCGATGGGCTTTGACTTTTCGGCAACGGTGAATAGTGGCTCCTCGAGGCCCTCGACTCCCTGTGGGGTCCCGATTTGTAAACTAACTGGCCCGTCCTTGCCCGCGTGTCCGCGTGTTCCCGTGTCACCGCTTTGGATGTGATGATGAGGGGGATGTGCATTAGTTCTATAGAGGTCATATATTCTTATATAAATGTCCTGTCTTGGGCCTTGATCTGCTCGGGGTGACATGGACTGGATAGGGAGGCGTTCATCTCAACATCATCTTCCACCCAGCCAAGAAGCCGCCATGTTCGCGACGTATGCAGTCTGCCTGTTAGCAGGCTTGTCAGCCGCAGTTGGTAGTATACTCCCCCATATTCGCCAGGAGAATACCTCTTCGCCCACCGTGTCTCTGGACTATGCTACCTATAAAGGCGTCAGACTCCCAGCAGGAGTAGATCAGTATCTCGGCTTGCGCTATGCGGCAGCACCGCTGGGTGATCTCAGATTCCGGGGCCCCAAAGACCCTGAACCAGTGTCAGGCGTTCAGGATGCATCGAGTGTGAGTGCATCCTTCGGGCCATAAACGGTCAGGTTGCTGTGTCCCAGCTGACAAGGACTATCATTCAGTTTGGCCCTATCTGTGTGGGGTCCAACCAAAATGCGTCAAGCACTCAGGGAGAAGACTGTTTATTCGTGAATGTGTTCACGCCTTCAGACGCCACGCCAGACTCAAAGCTCCCAGTTTGGCTGTATATCCAGGGCGGCGGATACTCGGCCAATTCGCAAGCCAACTACAACGGCACTGATGTGGTCCAGAATTCTGATCTGCACAACGGCACTGAAATGGTGCGCCAGTCCGACTATAACCTTGTCTTTGTCAACTTCAACTACCGTGTCGGAGCATTGGGTTTCTTAGCCAGTGAGGAAGTCCAGAAAGATGGTGACCTGAACGCGGGATTGCTGGACCAGAGGAAGCTGCTTCACTGGATACAGGACAATATTGCCAAGGTAAAAGCCCAAGTCGAGCATGCGAGTGATCCATATTCGCTAATAGTTTGGCAATAGTTTGGCGGCGATCCATCGCACGTTGTCATTCACGGTTCTTCCGCTGGCGGTGGCTCAATAGCACACCACTTGACCGCTTACGACGGCGAAGACAAGGGTCTTTTCGTCGGAGCTGCACCCCAATCTCCTTTCTGGCCAACCCAACGAAACCTCAGCGAGCTCGAGTTCCAGTATGACCGCTTCGTTGCCGACACGGGCTGTTCCAATGCCACCAATGCCCTGTCATGTCTTCGCTCCGTGAGTCTGGCCACTATACAGGCCGCGAACGTTGCTCAGCAGTTCCCTCAAGGCAGTGGTGTTCCGCTGCCCCTGTGGTACTGGCTACCGGTTACTACTGGGCCCGGGACGCTGGTTCCTGATAACCTATACGACTCTTTCGAAGCAGGCAAATTCATCAAGGTGCCCATCCTGATCGGTGACGACACAGATGAGGGAACGGTTTTCGCGTACAACGCATCTCTGAGGAGGACGTATCACGATTCTTGAAAAACAACTACCCCCTCCTCGACCAAGCCGAACTGGACCGGATCAACAAGGCGTATCCGCTGACCGACCCCTTGCCAAAACACGCGGCCTACTTTCCCTCCGCAGCAGCAGCATATGGCGACGCCACGTTCACATGTCCGGGCAACACCATGGCCGAAACGATGTCGTCGTTCTACGAGCCAGGAAAAGTGTGGAACTATCGGTACAACGTCATAGACCCCGGAAATGTGGCCGCAGGATTAGGGGTGACTCACACGTTTGAGACGGCTGCGGTGTTCGGGCCGGGCTACGCAGGCAACGTGGCAGATAGCTACTACACGACGAACGCCGAAATCGTGCCTGTGGTTATGAACTACTACATCAGTTTCGTGAGGGCCCTGGACCCGAATGTCTATAGGTATCCGGGGACGCCGGTGTGGGAGACGTGGGGGGACTTCGGAGCCGGCAGGGGACTCAGGTTGAAATTCGAGACAAATGATACGGTAATGGAGGAGGTACCGCAGCAGCTGGCGGACCGTTGCGCTCTGTGGAAGGATCTGAGCCATGCGATGGAGGTATAATGGTGTATATGTCCCTGAATCAGACAACAATAGCAACAAGACACTATTGGATGCTGCCCGTGGATTATTCAGCATCCCGCCAGCGGTCCCATGTCGTCCTTTGTTTAAGGTTCCGCTCCGTGACTGCAGGTCCCTGGCAGGAGGTGGAGTTTTTCGGACGATTACGCCGCTGGCAGGTGCTGCAAAGGAGATCCAATCAACCGAATTACGAAGAAATGCACCCCTGAGTCAAGTGGGCTTGAATGAGACCACTTGCTGCTGCCACCAAGACCGACGACCCTGAACAGCTGTTGCGGCATTTGTGGGTCCTCCGGCCAACTCACCGGCGCCTGTCGCACAAGTGGACCCTGAGTCAAACGAGCTTACATCCAAGTTTACGGTTGCTGGCATCCAAATATGTAACCGTAAACTTGAATATTGGGTTTTGTCTCGCCTGGGGTCCCACAAGCGAGTGTTATGCAGGATTCCGATGCCCGTTCGTGTCGGGCAGTAGTGCGTGTGACCATGTGCATATCAAGAAGGTCATCCTCCCACTAGTTTGCACCCGTGATTGACGGGCCGGAAAGGTTGAGACTTTTTGCCCTTGTGCCTACGACAAGCTCCCATTATGCCTCATCAAATTGATCAGCTGCCCGTCGATATTCAATCTCGCATTTTCCACAAGCTTGATAAGGCGGCCAAGCCCAAGAAAAGCGGCACAAATCACTCTATCAACGAGGTGCATGTGGCAGCGCCATACGTGGACCGACCAAAATGCGTGACCGAGAAGAGATTCAATAACAAAGAAGCCTTGCTTCACACTCTACAACAACATGGAAAGCATTCCACCAAGGATCTCAACTTCAGTGTTCGTCTCAAAGATCTAGACAACCAAGACAGCAGCATCGGGCCCGGCAAGCCTGGTGTCTCGACGGCAGCCCAAGAGATGCTCAGTGGCACGCACACGCCAAACATGGGGAAGATCAACCTGGAGTACGAATTCGAGCTGGGGACGTCGGGTGGAGCCGCCGGCGAGCCAGACGTCAAGGCGTTCGAGCAGTCGCGAGACGAGGAGACCCTTCTACAGCTCGAGAAGGACCAGACATGGAGGCGCCTGCTGGCCGACACCTGGAGCGCGCTGGCCGCCAACCACACCGCCACTCACCTCTCGATGAAGTCATTGGTGCCAGTGTGGTCGTCGGCGTTCTACTCCACCGAGTTCCACCGGTTCCTGGCGCGGCTCGAGGGGCTCGACATCCACGTCGCGGGGATCAAGAACGGCCACCGCGCCATCAACACGGTGCCGGCGTACAACGACTCGCTGCAGGCGCTGCTCAAGGTGTACTTCCTGCACGCGAGCTCCGTCCGGCGGCTCTCGCTGCACGCGTCCCAGCAGGCGCCGCTGGGCGCGAGGGGCCACTACCACATCCCCCTGTCCCTCAAGGCGACGCAGCTCCCCGCGCTGGAGCACCTCTCCCTCAAGAACTGCTTCGCCGGGTTCGAGCTCGCGCACTTCATCAACAGCCACGCGAAGACGCTCCACACCCTGGAGCTGCGCAACTGCTACGCCTTCCGCGGCACGCACGACGGGCCCGACTCGGGCAGCGGCATGCAGTGGGCGCGCTTCTTCGCGCTCATCGACAGGCCCGGCATGGCGCTGCGCAGCCTGGTGATATCGGACGACCACATCCCCCTCACGATCGACGACCCGCGGCTGGAGACGTACGACCCCGACACGGCGAATGAGCCTGGCGACGTGAAGAATGTGCGGCGTGCGCAGCGGAGGGACCCCAGGAAGAGGCTGTTCCTGTACGCGTACCTGAGGGACTACTCGGGCGAGCTGTGGATGAACAAGGACGCTATCGTCGGGGCGTTCGAGAGTGGTGACGACCAGTTGGCGTATGACGAGCTGATGGCGAGGGTCGAGGGGAATGCGGCGAGCAAGACCATGGAGGTGGAGGACTGCATCACCTCCAAGGGATGTCTCCCAAGTGATCAACGCGTGGGGGTGTTTGAACTGGCTGCATGATGGGCATCATGGCGAATAGAGGGGGAAGGAGTTTTTGCGTCTTATGTACGATACCATCTGTCTTTTTTTTTTCTTTCCGATTGAGCGTCCGAGCATTCTCTTGTACACCAGACTTTAATTGTACAGGTCGAGGAAGAGAATCCAATATTATCCCAACAGCTCGGCTCGACTGTTCATCGCCGACCCTTCGCGCAGTTCTCCCCCGAGTTTTGGGGCACCAAGCCACCGAGTAACTAGAGCCATGTCGACGATGTTACGGTACCAACCTGGAAGCTTGCCCTGGTGCTTCCCCAAATCTGGCATTATATCCGGCCATGACGTGGAATCTCCACACTGATTAGCGCCTTCACTGGTGCATCGTGACTCCATCACCCTCATTCTGGAATCTGGACTGCAACTTGATAACGGCGGATCCCAGCTGGTGAGCCTTGAGTCCATCAGTTGAGCTATCAGCTCCTCACAATCAATTGAGGCGTTACTTGGAGTACTGCTGGTTAGATGCCATGCCGGGCCAACGCTCGGTCGGAGATGATGTCGACTTGGAAGAACACAGTCCCGGCATCTATCGCCTAGCGCTGCCGGTCATGACCCCAACCTGCCAACTCTGCCCCTTGGGCTTGCCCCAACGCGTTGAAAGCGCCGTTGCACTTATCATCGACGCCAAGGGGCCCATCATCACCGCCCCATGCCTAGCCAGTGTATTGCGGGGAAAGCGCGTGTCGTGACCAAGGCCTCGGTGGAGGTCGTCTGCCCATGCGAGGGAGAATGATTGTAATATAAAGAGAGCGGCGGGATCGCCAAGGCGTCAATCGACAATGGAGGTTTACTCTATCTCTCTCTCTCCACCGGGACCAAGAAGGGGACTGGCCGGTCAAGATGCTGTGGTTTCGCGCGATCCTTGGTGGAGCCCTCGCCGTGAGCGGCGTGTCTGCCTTCACCGGCAACACGACGGCTTACATCGACGACCTGTTCGACCAGTCCATGAGCTTCCTGGACCAGATCTATGATCCCAACGCCGGCTACCTGTGGTACTTCTACTACCCTCTCGCTGCGGGAAAGCACGAGACTCGGTCGACGGTGTGGTATGCCGCGGGGTTGTTGCGCCGGAACGAGGGAGATGATGTGGACAATGCCGTGAAGATCATCACCAATGTCATTGGTGACCAGCAGAAGAACGTCAGCGCTCAATGGTATGGGAATCACCTGAAGAGCCCATCGACGAAGCATCATGGTGCCGGGAGAACGCCATTGTGCCAATTCGCTGACCAGTACCGTCCTTTAGGTTCGGTGACTACACCAAATATCCCGAGGAACCGACTGTCGGCTCGGCATGGTATCCGAAGAACGTATATCAATTTCCATTCTCAGTCCGTCCCACTTCTTGCGAAAGATCGTCGCTGATATGTAGATATCCCAACAGATCTACAACTCCTGGGACCCCAACTGGCGAGGCTTCATCGGCACCACACTGATCGTGATCTACGAGGAGTACGGGGACCTGCTCCCGCAGCCAGTCAAGACGCTCATCCTCGAGAGCATGCGCAACAACACCATCGGCGACAGCTACCGCGTCGGCGGCGTGGACGGCGACAACCTGTACCCGGCGTACTCGAACCCGGCCCTGATGCGCGTGGCCTCGGGCTGGACGGGCCGCAAGCTCAACGACAGCAACATGACGGCCGCCGGCGAGGCCTACGCGCAGGAGGTGCTGGACCTGTTCGACCGCAGCGGCACGCTGTCCGAGTTCAACTCGGCCACGTACGCGGGCATCAGCCTCTTCGCCCTGACGCTGTGGGCAAAGTACATCCCCGACGATGGCTCGTCCGTCATGGGCTCCAACGGCGCCCGCGTGGTCGCCGACGTCTGGACCAGCATTGGCGAGCTGTACAACGCCAACCTGCGCAACGTGGCCGGGCCGTGGGACCGCACGTACGGCTGGGACATGAACCTGTATATCGGCATTTTGAATGCGTACATCTGGTCCCTCGTCGGCGCGGACCGCGCCCCGGGCATCAACACCGTCAGCAAGGGCGGGCGCACCCCGGCGTGGGCGACCACGCACGCCGACGACTTCGAGATCGCGCCGCTGCTCGCGGCGATCCTGCCCTACCACCACACCCTGATCCCGGACGCCGTCGTCGAGAAGCTGGCCGCCTTCCCGGGGGAGCACACGTACGCGGCGCAGGCGCTCTCGCCGCCGTGGGACCTGGCCCCGCGCAACATCAGCAGCTGGCTCGCGGAGAGCCTGACGATCGGCGCCGAGAGCTTCGACCAGACCGTCGTGGGCGGCGCGTCCGTCAACCAGGAGCAGTGGGCGCCCGCGGTCGCGCAGTGGCTGCGGGCCGACGGGAGCGTCGGGTGGCTCTCGTACTGGGCCACCGAGCCCGCGATGCAGGCCGACGTGCGGCCGTACCGCCTCGAGCTGACGTACCCCAGGGGCAACGAGAGCAGCGTCTTCACGTTCATCGTTGGCGCGAACCCGCTGGGCCAGAAGAGGGATGTGTTGGGTTGGGGTGATGTGATGGGGCTGAACGTCAATGTCAGCGGGACGGTGGACCTGAGCCACGAGGTTGCGTTCTGCGGTCTTAACGGCGGCTCGTGCGATCCTTCCCACGGTTTCGAGTTCTGGAATTTTACCTACGTGATGCCGGCTGGGAGCACGGAGACGCCAAACATCGTGTTGGAGCTCGAGCTTGCATAAGGTCGGTGGAGTTGGATTAGGATAAAAATCATGGACATAAACCTATACTGAACGCTGTGCATAAATCAAATTGTATATACTTCAGTCAAGGGAGCACAACTCCTAGTTCTCCAGCGTTCCAACCGTCTTCAACTGTCCCTTGGCTTGACGGCTCGCAACTTCCTTCGGGATATACTTCAATGGTCGATACTCTGGGTTCCACATCTGCTCGCGGATCCACTCCTTGACGTCCTCATCGTTGTCGGGGATGCCCTTCTCCGTGGCTAGGCCGTCTTTGACGGCGGCACGAATGACCTTGCTCGCGACGTTGACACTGACATCCCGTACAATGTCCACACCAGGCAGCAGGGGTGCTGTGTTGTCCTTCAGCGCTGGTGACATTTCCGCCACGGCCTCGACGGCTGCCACCAGCATCTTGTCGGTGACGAGCTTCGATCTTGAGAGGACAGATCCGAGCCCTATCCCGGGGAAGACGACGCTGTTGTTGCATTCTGCCACCTTGATCGTGACCTCCTTGCCGTCTTTGCCCCACGGGCCCTTGACGGGTTCGAATGGGGACCCAGTGGCGACCAGGGCGCGACCTTCGCTCCATTTAAGGATGTCCTTCGGCACGGCCTCGTGAAGACGAGTTGGGTTGGAAAGCGGCATGATAATCGGACGGTCGGCATGGGACGCCATCTCCTTAATGACATCCTCGGTGAAGGAACCAGGCTTTGTCGAGGTGCCTATGAGAACATTGGGCTTGACTTCCTTAATTACCGCCAGCAGATCAGTCGACTTGCCGTCCCACTCTTCTTTGGATCTAGCGAAGAATTTCTGTGCTTTGTTGAGAGGGGTTTCGGTTGTGAGCAGGCCGGGCTTATCGATGAGCCTAAGTATACGATGTCAGAGAATGGGGTCCATAGTTCTTCAGCACAAGAGCAAGGGCAAGACATACCACAGCTGCTTTGCAGCATCCTCTTTGCTAATCTTGCTTTCTGTGACAATGGCATCTCGGATCTGATCAGCAATACCACACCCAGCGGATCCAGAGCCGAATATGACCACCCGCATGTCGCTCAGCTTCTGCTGGGAAACATGGAGGCCGGACATGATCGCAGCCAGGGTTACACAGCCCGTTCCCTGAACATCATCATTGAAGCAGGGCACCTGCGGGCTATACAAGTCAAGAAGGCGTCGTGCTGCAGATCTGGAGTTAGCAAAGAACGGTACCAGGATGAGAAAGTGGACGGAACTCACCGTTGTCAAGGCCAAAGTCCTCGAAGTGGATATATGCGCGTGGGTAGAGCTTGCGGGCTGACTGGACGAACGAGTCGACAAACTCGTCATACCGCTCGCCCCGGATGCGTTTCGATCGGAGTCCAAGGTACAAATCGTCTTTGAGAAGCTCTTCGTTATCTGTACCACAGTCTAGGACCACCGGGAGGGTCCTGTTGGGGTGGATTCCAGCGCACAGCGTGGTGAGGACGAGCTTGGCTACAGAGATGAGAATACCACCACAGCCCTGATCGCCGATGCCCAGGATCTCCTCGCCATCTAATAGCACTTCAGTGAATGGTCTTTAGTGGAGTGGGGCAATGCGAGAGCAGACATACCAGTGACGACAATGTAGTCGATATCTTCAGGTCTGCCCCACTGTGCTAGGTCATTGTGGACACGGTCCGCGTCGTTTATGTTCAGGAAGCAGCCCTCAGGACGCCGGAACAAGCGGGAATAATTTTGGATGGCATCACCCTCCGTTGGGGTGTAAATGATGCTGAACATTTCCTCGAGATGGTCATGCAGAAGCTGTCACATGTGAGACAGGGGTCCACAACCAGAAACTCTGTCATGGGCACGGGTCTCACCTTGTAGAACAAGACCTCATTCTGCTCCTTCAAGGAGGTCATGAACGTATTCTTGGCCAAGTCGTTGGGGCGCGTGGAGTATTGTTCGTATGCACGGTTGGCTTGCTGCTCCAGGGTCTGGACGCTCTGGGGGAGAAGACCGGTTAGATTGAAGGCCTGGCGCTCCTCCTTGGGGTGTGCGGAGCCCTTGTTGAAGAAGGGGTGGTTCAGCAAGGTGGTGCCGGTAAGAGCACATTCGAGGGGGCCACTCGTGCTGAGAGGCAGATCTCCATACTTGGAGGTCTTCTCTTGAGGGGCCATGAGGACGGACGAAGCTCTGTTTGATTCTAATCAGGGGATGCGAAGGTCTGGCAATCTAAATCTGTACGAAAAGGTTATGTGCAGAGCGCTACTGAGAGGGATGGTAGGGGAGATATGGGAAGCAATGAAGCGAACTAGATTGCCAAGAGATCGAGAAGTGCTTAAGAAGATGCAAGGCAGATCCACTCGATATGATGTCCCATTGACATGCGCATGTGTCAAACAGAGGGGCAGACTTGTCTTGTCACCTTGTCTGGGAGCTTGGAAACGGCCTGGAACAGGCTATGACGTAACCGGCAATGGTGCGGCCGGCCGTAATCCGACTGCTCGTCGCCCAGAGCAAAACCGGGAAGCTTCCTCTAGCAAACAAACTCACAACTAGCCTTCATTTCCAATGGACTAGACCATGTGGGCTTACTGTGCGCCCATCGAACTACCGCAGCGACGCATGAACAGATGCGACACTCTTGCCAGCCCTATCTTGCTAGCTGCGCCTGGCTGCGTCCAATTTGCAAGGTGATCGACTGCCATTTCACGACAGCACACTCGGCCGGTCCTCCGGCTCACTAGCCAAGCCCCCCAGAGGATGAGGCATTGCAGGCAGGTTACGCTATGCTAGGTCGAGGGTGGGACTGTGACATGTAGGAGCTCTAGGAGCCTCGCCCGGGTGGAAGAAGATGGCCCAGACGAGGACTATGATGGTCCAGGAAGAAGTTGTTCTTGCAGTTGTTCCAGTCATGATCACCCGAGAGGACGATCATGCCCGGGTCCGATATGCCGGCTTCCTCTATGGCCCCAATGCAAAACGCGTCGGGACCGAGAGGCCACCACGGAGGGCGACTCGTGGAGGAGATTGGTGCGAGTAGACGGCTCGAACAGGCTGCTTGCTGAGATGAATTACACTGTAAGAGAAACACGACCTGCCTTGAATGATTTTATTGAGTTCTGATCATGCACTTCATTCTGGCTTGCCACTGTGACATTCTATTTGGTGTTAGGAGAGGAACGAGAGAGCGTGATTCGCATGCAGAAAATTGTGAGTTGAGGTTTGCTGAAGAGCTTGGACCAGCCCCACCAAAGTGTTTGCCACCTGGTCTTGACAGCGGCCAGCTGTCCCACAGCTGCTGGTCGCCCCTCTGTTCATCCTGCCGTTTCAGATGCAATCATCGGGACCTGGCCGGCTGACCATCTCGTCTTGGCCAGCTTTTCGAAGCTTCTCCGTCTCATCCAGCAGCCAGTCGTTGGCTATGACCTTGAAGCTGAACGACCCGTCCAGTGCCCTGAACGCAAGTCCCTTCCGCTTCAGAGACGGGTACTCATACCTTGTGTCCTCTGACACACAACTCGCTCCTTGTGCCTTCGTCATCAGCTCGTCGAGGTCCTTCGCAAAGGCTGACAGCCTCACTCGAGTTGCAAACTTCGGGACACGGTCTAGAGTCGCAAGTTGACCGCGCCACTCATCATCATGGTCATCAGTCGTCTTCCATGCTTTAAAGTCGTCGCACATGGCATAGACGTAGAAACGGTGGCCGTCGACCATCAGAGGATTGCCTGCGATACTTGTGCCACAGAGCACTCCAGCCAGACCAATGTTGATTGCGTGACGGATATCACATATGATACGCTGCTCCTTTACAGCCTTCCAACTGATAGAGGCCTCGGTCTCCTCGTAGTCATGCTCTCCGATGCTAACGCCGTGTGATTCGCGGGGGAAAACGCCGTTCTCTGCCTCATCCTCTATGATGACACCGGGCAATTGCGAGTAAAGATCCTTCGAGTCTGTGACTTCGTAGAATATCATCGGCATGCCGTCCAGAATCTCCGTGATTTGAAACTCAGCATCGCCATGAGTCTTCCACAGCTCAGGAATGCTCTGGAATCGCTCGGATTTGGTCGCAGGGAGGAAGCTTGGAGAACGGCCGAGACTGACGCCTCCGTCCCGTGGATCTATGGAAACCTCAGCGCTCTGTACTCCAAGACATACTTATTGGGTCTCGATGTACTCACAAGATGGGCTCCACTTCCTGATTTGGAAGTCTCCCTTGAGCTCGAGGCCCATCAGGTCTTCCTCAACTTTTTGCGCCAAAAAGGGCCCCTTGATCCGAGAGTTGTATCGCTTCTTGACCATTCCTGCCAGTTTGACTTGCCCCCTTAGTTTGATCAAGGTACCTAGGTGCCTAGACCAACTCAGGCAGGCTTTCGTGGTGAGGGAAGGAGCGTACCTAGGTTGGTTAAACTTCGACCTTCCCGCTGAATGGTGCTAGGGGAAAGAACGGCTGTCTTGATACCGTTCCGGAACGGGACGCTACGTCGCCATATCAGCTACCGAATTACAGACACCTGATCCAGACGAGAGCATTCGATGCAAATTGTAAGGTGGAGAGAATGTCTCTTTTAGGTTTCCTAGGGAATGGTCTCCCTTGGATACTATTGTAGCTAGAAGCCCGTTTGTCCCAGGGCCGTTTGCGCCCGTAGCAGCATCTGAAGTGAAAGACCTTCAAAACTTTCTAACAGTACTTTGCCACCACCAATTCCATGAAGTTAACATTTGCCGGCCACCTTTTGCGGAATTCTTCAGCACTCAGCACCACTTCCCTAAAAGGTCCGACTTCCAGTCGAGACTGTCTGGCTCGTTCCGCTGCCTCATTAGCATCCTCCTCGAGCGGTATCATCTGATCCTGGAACATCCAACATATCTCCTCAATGTCTCTGCGAGAGTCCGGATCGCCTGGGATCAGCTCGGGGCCCCAGATACCGGCCCGAGACCTTAGCTTGAAAGGCGGCTCCACCGTCTCGAGCCATTGCTGCAGCTCCTCTGCCACTCTCTCGGAGTACTCGTCTTTGCTCAATCCGGGAGGTGGAGTGATTGGCTCTTCGCCATCCCAGCGCCGCCCGATTGGGGGCTCCTCTCGTATCCATGCTCGACCCAGGATGACTGAGATGAGCTCGAGGTTCGGCAGGACGTGGGGGGTCCCCAGCCGCGACAGCAGCCTGGCGAACCGCGGCCACTGCGCGTTGCAGAGACACCGCGACTCTAGCGCCAGGTGCCGGATCTCCATGAAGGGCCCTGCCTCTGCAGGGTCGTGGATGCTGTTGTACAGCTGATCGACCGTCTTGGAGGAGAGGTAGGCTGCGTCGATCTCTGGGTTGAACTGCCGGCACGGGACCTGGAGGCGCTCTCCGCGCTTGGTTCTCGCCCAAGTGAACGACATGTTGCGCTTGACGTGGTCCCTTGTCTCTCTGCACAGATGTAAAATGGTGGGGAGCGGCAGTATAACCCTCCAGCAGGGGTCTTCGGGGTCATAGGCATCACCGTACTGAAGGTCCTGCTCGTGGAAGAAGTAGATACCGGGAGACACGGTAGCCAGTGCGAAGTCCCAGATCTGCTCTCGGATCTCCGGAGGTAGCGGATCAAATGGTCGGCGTCGGTACTCGACGTCAGCCGCCGCCGCCTTCTTCTCGGGTATTGCTGGTCTGGACTGAGAGCTGTTGGTGGTGGCGGGAGCATCTCCCGTGGCAGCTTCGGCCTTTTCGCCACCACCAGAGTCGAGCGTGAGCTCCCTCATCTTGTTCGTCATTGCTGCAATACGGGTCATTGTAAACGTAGCCATCTTTCGTGACGTTTCCGTACCTCGGAGGTCTGCAGAAGGATCGGTGCTCATGGTGGCAAGAAGTCGATGCGAGGGTGTGGGGGGTATACAAGATTCCGTTTGAGCTGCTTCGGTAGAATGTGAATGTCGTCGACGACTACTTCTTGGCAGGTCGGGGACGTCGGGTGCGATTGGCCAGAACAGAGTTCTACACCGCAGTGGTACCCGCTCGGGGCAACTTCTTGTTTCAGTTTGTTTGGATGACTGCGACATGACCATCAAGCTACGTAGGCAGCAAGGCTAACTCTGATCGGGCCACACGTTATACGTAGGCATGTGTTTCCGCTCAAGGCATATTTCTACAGCAGTATCGATCGCCTCTCGTCCATTTCCGCTGCTTTCATCAACGGCTTTTGCAGTTTAGATGAACCTCTCGTAAGAATTCCAACAACAGCGGAAGAACTGGCGGTCGCCTCAGAGGTTTTGGCTCGGCCGACAAATCTGTCGCCGGTAGATGGGTGGTAGCCTTATAAGCTTGAGTTGCGAACTCTAATAATGTGACTTGACAGCATGGCTCAGGTCAGTTGTAGCAACTGCCGCTGAACCCTGGGGTTAGCGGCGAGGTTTGAAGACGGCAAGCCACAAGAAAGATAAAGCAGATCAGTTCCATCCACATGTCAATTGCTCAGTTTCCCATCGAAGTTTGACAGGGATTGTCCTGTCTGAGAATTGGAGTCTGTTCTGGGTAGATAGTCTTGCATGTGCTAGGCACGTGCCGGATAGGAGGATTAGATGATAATGAATGCAGGATCCTACTGTGTATTCTAGAGACATTCGCCAACATCTCATGAAGCCATCTCATGTGGACCTTGCACAGCAAAATGGTCCACTTGCATGCTAGAAATTGCATTGGATTCCATCAGACGCTGATACTGCACTGAAGGATATTTGAAGAGTATATTTTGTACGCGTGACGGCTGATCTGGTTTATGTAAAACCACGAGAGCACCGAAGACACTCGACTAGGCTGTCAGAAAAGTAGTTCCAGTCTTTGTATGTCGTGTAAAAGAAAATTTCGCCTCAGCAGGCAGTATCGGTCACTCACAGGATGGAGTCACTGTTCTTCAAGGAGCGAACAGATAATGCAATGATGTGTTTCTCTCTCTTCCTTTCAATGTCTTGATATTTGTGTGACAGCTGCTTGGGACCCGCCATTAGGTCTTTGACATAATCATACTCTCATATGCAATCAATCGTATCATTTTGGCGCTAATAAGCTGCACAACACACATCACACCCTTTTTCAATCGCACTTCATTCAAGTTTCTTAATATAGCTTTAATTTAATAATCACCTATATTAAAAGAAAGCTACTTTCTTTTTAATTCTTTTAATATAGATTTAAGGAGGGAGAAAAAAGTATTAAAGGTATAAGGTATATTTAAATTAAGGTTAAAAGTAACTTAAGTTAAAGTTAAATTTAAAAAGATAATAAAGAATAATGAAATTTAAAAATTATATTAAAATTACTATAAATAGGGGGTAATTATACTGAAATTTACTTAAAAATACCTCCCCCTTAAAATTTTAAATTTATCTTTAAAATTAAATATTAACATACCTTATACCTTAAATAATTTCTTTACCCTCCTTAAATAAATATTAAAAGAATTTAAAAAAAAGCAGCTATCTTTTAATATAGGGTATATTTAAATTAAGGGTATATTTATTATATAAAAAGTAAAAATAGTTAAAAAACGAAGTAAGGAGGAAAAAGGGTGTGGTGTGTATTATGCAGCTCACTAGCGCCAAAACGATACGATTGATTGCATATGAGAGTACAAGTAAATGCACGTGGTACGTGGGCGGTTCTTCAAGGCTACATAGAGCTTATATTAGGAAATCCTGCTGGGACACCTAGCATGGAAGAATACGCATTACATTCATGCACACCTACCATGGAAGTCGTTCTGGTCTCCGAGTTTGAGTGACATCTGCATATAGTAGATGTGGTACTACCTGGAGCTGACGCCGAGTATGTTTCATGCAGAATTGTTTCTTACTGTGACAAACTCATCTTCAACGTTTTGTTTTGTCGGGCTCTGAATACACAATCTCCACGTAAAGCTGTTCGGCTACATGGACTGCCTGACGTGGCAATCTCCGCATTACTGGACACGGCTGTGTCTCAGGTGTCACAAGGCTTCACTGGTTTCAAACCGCCCCAAGCTTTGTTGACAACCACAGGCCTCATCTCTCTAGTGCAGTCAGGCTTCCCCTGCCACCCTTAATTCTCGGCTTCGCCTTACCTACCCCCCATAAGTCACTGTTTTATGCTACTAGATCAAGATATTTGACCCATACTTCCCTTCATCTCGACTTACCAATCTCTCAGACCTCTCTTGCCTGTGTCAATCTTCCCGTGAATAGGCTCAGCTCAGCCTTTCCCTACACGCACGCTCGTCGGACCTGGTCTCCGCGACGACGTGGGACTGGTCTCCCAATCATTATCTTCGCCCCCCTGGCTCTCATTATCCATGAACCATCAGGTTCGGACTACGATAAGCAAGATCTAGGTCATTTGCCAGCGCCATGGACGATTTTCAGCACACATGTCAGACGGTGACCACCCTCCTCGGCCCACGAGTAGAGGAGCACCTCGAGAAAGCCGACCGTCTTAAGGGCCAAAGGCCAGGCGAATCAATGAAGCGGACACGAGAGCAATTGGTGGAGGACTTTACTGAGCTGGTAGGCCTGAAAGCTTGAGTTCTTTGCTGCCTGACTCTTCCCATCATCTGGAACAGCCTTGACACTGCTCACAATCATTGTCGACCCTTCTGCATTTAATAGCTCCCCAGTTATCCTTTTCTTCGCCAATATGAAGCACAGGACTAAAATATCTTGGTTTTGACAGGCTCAAGGGGCAGATTCGTACGAACGACTGATAACACCAACCGGACAAGAAATGAGGATGACATACCATGGCGAAGCATATCCGCCATGCAATGCGGCTCTGTCGAGCCTGAATACTATCTCCTTGCGTGATCTCAAACTCGAAACTCACCACCGGGGCTGTGTCCTCATCCTCAAGACGTTCTGCGAACCCAAACGCATGGCTTCGATCATGAACGCTGTTGAAGACCAGAATGGCGATGTCGATCGTGTTGCTCTTTACAACGTCCCCATCAACAAATCGATGGACAGACTTCTGCCGAACAACGCGATCGTGGCCGTAAAAGAGCCTTTCTATACGTCTACAATAGACGGCGGAGTGCTCATCAGAATCGATCATCCCTCGGACTTGATTCAGCTCAGGTCGGACAGCACCTTGATACCTTCCAGCATGAAGCCCGTTTCGAAGACGAGTCTCAGCCCTATCGAGCTGAAAGAAATGGGGAACGAGGCTTTCAGGCGGCGTGACTGGGAGACCGCTGCGGATTGCTACTCCACAGCTCTGGGCATGAACCTGGACAACGACGACCTGCGTCGCACTCTGCATAGCAATCGCTCCCAGGCTCGCATAAATCTTGGGCACTATGAGCTAGCCATCCAGGATGCTCTCGTAGCCATAGAACAAGGAGATCATGCTTCCGACGAGAACAAGTCGCAGAATCGGAAGTCACTTCACCGTGCTGGCCGAGCTGCATACGAATTAGGCGACTTCTTCGCGGCCAAGCAATACTTCTCCCGAGGAGTCGAACTATCTCCCGAGAACAAGGATCTGTTGCTGCAGCTTCAGCGAACAGAGAAACGCATGAAGGAACAGAACATCGGCGAGTTCGATTTCATAGCCATGTCGAATTCGGCGACGGAAGACAATACAGTCTTGGATCATGCCTCATTCCTCGGAAACACTAAAGTTGCCTCTGCAGAGGATCACGGACGCGGACTGTTTGCTACCAACGATCTGGCTCCAGGAGATGTCATTCTGGTCGAGAAGGCGTTCTACGCTACATTCGAGAGAGATGTTCCGAAGGAGAAGTCTGTAATCGTCGACGTGAACAAGGGCCGAATCAGCCTGGAAAGGCAAGCCGAGCGTATTTACGGTACGATTAACAAGATACTCCACAACCCCAAGCAAGCAAGCCGCTACCTGGATTTGTGTCATGGTGGCGAATTCCAGAACAAGTCTCTCAAGTTCGTGGACGGAATGGCCACCGTCGACACGTTCCTCGTGCAGGCCATAGACAGACTGAACGGCTTTGACTTCCCCGGCATCAAGTCAACTAAAGACGGTTCAGGAGAAAAGACCATAGCTGCGGGAATATGGCTGCACGTGTCTCTTGTCAACCACTCCTGTGTTCCAAACGCTGACCGCAGCTTCATTGGCGACATGATGGTCGTTCGCGCTACCAGGGGCATCAAAGCTGGGGAGGAGATCAGTTTGAGCTACCTGGTTCCCAATCACTCCTATTTGGAGCGTAAAGAGCGCCTGTATTTCTACGGCATCGAGTGTGATTGTCCGCTGTGTGAGGTTGAGAAGTTCATGCCCGCTCAGGTACTCCGCAAACGTGCCACACTCGTCGATGAGGTCAATCAATTCCTCTCCACAAATGGTACCGGACCTCCGTCAACGCTTCCTGCCTCTGCAATCAAGAACGCCGAATATCTCATGACACAATTGGAGGAAACATACCCCGAGGAGCTGTACCAGCACCTTCCACGCCTGGCATGTGTCCGTCTCGCACGCTGGCTGTGCTTGGTTGGTGGTCCGCCAGAGCAGCGCCTCGAGAGGGCGCTGCGAGGACTCCGAAACTACGGGTACTTTGTCGAAATGAAGGCAAACGGTATCACGGTTGATCGATCATCTGCCATTGTCGAGTCTCGGAGCCTGGCCGCTCCCACCATCGCAGCCTCCGCATGCATGGCGTCGGGCAAGATCGGCGCTGCTCGGCAGTTTCGGGAACTCAGAAAAGAGATGTATACCATCCTCTACGCCTGTGAAAATGGACTTGACGACAAGTAAAGCCGCACCAATGGCTGAGCTAGATCTTTGCTGGGATGTACGCCTCCAGATGGCATTTTTGACTCAGGACAGGTTGGCTCATGGCAACATGGTAAACCGATCCGCGCAAGAGCTTTTGAACTGCCATTGACCGGAGTCGTTGGGATGGAGAAAAGGCTGCACGCCAAATGACACCCTGAGGCGTGTTGTAATTCATTTCTTCAATAGTTCATGACTCTCGCCCATCCAGTGCATCTCGGATGCAAGGTCGCCTATCTAGGTAGTTGTCTGGATCGGGGTTCACAGAGTCTGTCTAGTTAGCGATTCCTGCGTCGCGGTCACCATACGACGGCCCCCAGGTCTTATGACAAGGAGGCAATGAAATAAGCCTGGTGGGCCTGAGGAGTGGCCTTTGTAGGCTGACATGGTATGACAAAGAGACTTGGATTAGCCACATCTGGTCAGAAGACCATGATTTTAAATGTGAGACACCGCAAACCCCGAACCATCGATGATTGAAACCGACTTGAAATTGTCCACCTGGGTCCACATCTACTCTAGGCTGCTATTGTGGCATCTTCTGCATGGTATTTGTATAGAAATGCGTAAGGGCAAGCAAAACATTTGCTAGCAACAATTTTGGAAAAGAATCCAAAATTGAATTGAATGTCGTTTGAAACTAATGGATTGTAATATCAAAATTGAATTTACAATTTGAAAATTGTTCTTTCCCCCGACCTTGGTCCCCGTCTCTCTGCTCCCATCGAAGTATCATTGCACAATGTTCACATTCAGGCCATTAAGTCTAGGCCTCTGGAACTTTGACGACAGTGGCGCACTCCTTAGGAGCAGGCGGTGGGTTACCAGCAATCTTCTCCACTCCACACGGAGATGTTAAATCAATCACGGGCTGCGCCGGGCTTAACAGATCAACCTTGCTGCCTACTGCCGTGGGGCACTTCGACGTGCCTGTGACGGTATCGAAAGTGCAGACCTCGTCAACCCCACGCTGGCATTGAGGGTCGTTGATGTTCCGTAACTCGTAATTCTGAGCCACCCAGTTACTGCCCTCTCCGACACACTTGTTCACTTGATTAGGGCTGAGTGCCATGAAAGATAGCTTGCCCGTGTCTGAGGTGATGATGTCTGCGCACTGAGACATGTCGACAACTTCGTAGTCGACGGCAAGCGCACCGTCGCCGGCGGGGTTCAGGAAGGCGGGTGATGCGGTTGCCGACGTCCCATACGCAAGATACTGGTACGTGTCGAAAGAGATATCATGGGCTCCTCCTGAGACGTCCAGGTGGAGGACGGTTCGAGAACGAGAGCCAAACGTGAGCTTGATGCACATCCCTGAGCAGTCTGGCCAGTCTGGCCAGTAAGCCATTCGATTGACATTGACCTTGCATCCGTGGACACCAATAGTCGAGCTGAACGAATCGTGGGGGGTAACTTTGACTGATCCCGAGGGGGACAAAGCAGTTGCGTGGGCCGCAAAGGCGGTAATGACAGGAAGTAGCCAAAACATGGCGATGGCAGAATCCGTTTGTGGTAAAGAAGAAAAAAGGAGTGTGTGCTGTCTTCGTGAGACTTGCAAGTGGGATAAGCCCAAGGGTAAGGAATGTCAAGAAAGCTGATGGTGCAGGAGAGTGAAATCCCGAGAAGTCCTGTATGGATAGACATTTCTTTATATTCAACCATCGGCGCACTCCGAGATTGGGGGCGAACCCGCGGGATTGCTCATTGTCCTAGATGGGGGTGGCACTGGCCTCGGCCAGGCTGACTGTTATTACTATTCTGGCCCGATTTGAAGTCTTGCGACCTGGTTGGCAAAGAAAGTATTCCATTGCTTAGTCTGTGGCCCGGTCTGCATGTAAGCCAACCATTCAAGCATTAATCCTAGCCAATTCATTTCCTCAGGATTCGGCAGGCGACAAAAGCAAGGCCCGGCCCAACACCGCGTCCTCGGCCGCAACTGACGATCTCAACGTGATCGGAATTGGCAAGGCCCAGGCCCAGGAGTTGACGGCGTATTTCACTGGGTCATATTTTTCAATGAGAAGAGTATGAATGATTGATCTAAAAAATGAAGTATCTGGTCAAGGCCTGCCGAGTTGGCCTCGAACCAAGCCAACAGAGAGAAACAGATGCTCACACCACCAGCCTTGGTTACCACCTGTTAGACTCTCCTGCTCCATTCATCTCAACCAGTGTACGTGCAAGTGACAGTAGACGAGGAAGCAGGGCAGGAAGTCAAGATCTCGCTGTCCTGCTCGATATCAATGATAGTGGCTCCAGACGCTCCGACAGTGCTGCCACTCTTAACAGCCGAGGCATCGGTGAAAGTAACGGTGCCAAAATCTGCGAAAGGCACGAGCTCGCAGTCGCCGGAAGAAGTACATTCTGAGAAGTCTTCAACAATCCATTCCGCGTTGTACTCGCACAAAGAACCGTCTGAAACACCGCTAAAAGTGTGTGTCACAGTGGTGCCCGTGGTCAAGTTCTCGATGACAGCACTGCCAGAAGTCTTGGAAGTGACCGTCACCGTCATTTGGATAGAGTCACCCGCGGAGATGATGATACCTGAGAAGGTGTCTAGGAATAGAGTTAGAATGGTCGCGGGCAACAGATTTGTGTAGGTCATTGCTTTCACTTACATGCGTAATCCGGATACCATTCATACCAAGCGTCGTAAGACACGCTTGTGTCATCAACGTACCAGTAAATTCCGGTCTGGAGGAGGGCAGTCTGGCAAGTATCACCATCGATGCCGACCCACTGTAGTGGTTTCTGGTCAGCAAATTCATTCTCGTTACAGAGGTGTCATTTGACCTGCAGCAGAGCCAGCAGACTCGGTACTGCTGCTTGAGCTCCCGGTGAGCGTGGGAAGAGTGACGGTCGCAGTCACCTCGGTATAGCCCGTGCCGATCAAGACGGCGCCAGCCCAGTTAGTAGAGTACTCTACATTGCTCTGGTTGGTTACACCCTCGATGAGATTGTCAGAGGCGATCTTCGGCTGAGAAGAACGAGAAGCCCCAGACTGAGAAGATCGCCGAGCAAGCTGGCGAGCCTCACGGCTCTCGCGACGCTTTTCAGTCAGTCGAGCCCCAAGCGCTGTCTCAGCGCACAGAAGGGCTGTAATGACGGAAGTGAACTTCATTATGCCGGTCAAGATGAAAACTGAGCGAGAGGCGGGAAACAATGAGATGACAATGTGGGGTAACCAAGCGAGAGAAGACTTGTTAGGTGGCTGCTGATAGTCAAGAGGCTGGACGAAGAACAGATGGGATCATGGACCATTTTATACACAAGAGTCTCGTTCATGAGGCATAAGTAGTTGTATCATAACTCTCTACGAGCTAGTGGAGGGTCCCGGTGTAAGTCGCCTCTGTGTTCTCATGTTTAATTTCTCAAACAAAAGAGACCGAAAAGAGTTTTGGGTGAAGTCTGGGTCGAATCGCGGGGAGATGCAAACAATCGCATCTATATTTCAAATGGCCTTGTCTACCATGATGAAAGAATGCGGGACTGCCCAAGTTGCCTCACCGTCCCCCGTAGTAATGGAAGTGGCTACGAGCTTGGAAATGCAACTTATAGCGGTTATCGGGAAGTGGGTGAACAAGGAGGCTTGACCGAGATACCGGCCCTGACTAGGCGCCACAACCGGCTGCATGAACTGATAGCTTGCCATGATAGGACCAAGGACGTAAGGGTGCCCACAACAGTTGACATGTCTGATCTGTGCATAGGTCGAGCTGTGTCCCAAGACGCTAGATAGGCAGACTTGAGGCAGGGGGCTTGTCACCAGTACGACGGTCTTCAGAAGCCAAGCCAAATAACGTCATGTCTCCTCTCTTGGAAGCGAATGTTGTTCTTGGACAAGCTACTTGACCAGGCCCTCGACGCGAGGTGCGAGTTGAGAAAGTCTGCCATCAGGAGAAGCTCATGAAATCCTGAATTAAAGCAATGTGGAAGCAGATCTATCCATGACACGCCCGTGTACCACATCTCGTCGGGTTGGCTTCTGACCCGGTCTATCGACAGCTCGATTCTAAAATCCTTGTTATAAATCAGTACTACGAGAATCCAAACTATCGCTTGGCAAGATCCGTTACCGCCTGGGCAAAGCTTGCCGAAAGCTTGAGCATCTGGCCAAGCACGGATGTGTGGGACACATCTCCAACTAAGAGCCGGGAATAGGTTTCTTGCGGACCTCGCCTGCGAAAGGATAACTGCACAGCTTTGCAGTCACGTGTTGGCACAAACCATTCTAATCGAATTCCTGCCGCTTTATTCACGGATTTGTTAAATCGACTTTCTTCTAAACCAGACTTCCGTCATATATCTGTGGTCTGGGGGGCCATTTCGAGCTGCTTCTCCTGACATGGCACAACAGATCTGCGAATGTGGCTTGCTAAAGTCGGTCATTCACCACCAGTCCAAGACTGATTGATTAGCTTATGTTTCGTGTGTGCAGCCATAGCATATGCAGTTGTCTGACTATATATCTTAATCTATTCAGCTCGTGTGTAGCCAACCTGTATTTCCTTGAGTTACTGGGATGACGTGGCCCTCTTCGTGGAGAGTGACAGTATTTCAACTGTGTCTACTGTTCTCACGCACGAAGGTCAGACTATTCCATCTCTTGTATACGATGGCGCTGTAGCTGAGCATTCGAGACTCGCTTTCCCGGGAATACATACATCTAATCGACAAGAGAGACATGAAAACGGTACCCGCGACCCCAACGCTGCCGGCTAGCTGGCAACCAGCCTCCTTCATTCCTCTTCCTTCAAGATTCATGGATGCCAGGAAATACGCAACCGCAAGTGTCCGCTCGGAATTGCTTCGAACAGCATGAGCCATCGGCACCGTTACATCCCCCAGCTCCGCTACGACGAGAAACTCAAGCAGTTCGATCGCCCTGTGAACCTGGTTTGAAGCAAGATACGCAGCTGCGACCTCGTATGTTGACGACATTCGGTCTAGGGAGGTTTCATGATTTCCCGGCGCCATCATCCTTTGCCGGAAAAGCGGGATAGCCTTTTCATACTGCCCGTCTGTGACATATCTGGGTATGAGCTTGGAGGGGGACTCCGGTAACTGGCTTATCCATGCCTCCAATGCGCAAACCATCCCCCCGGCGCCAGTCTTTTCAAGACGAGTGACTTGGAGCCAAGAGCCGTCGAGCCTGACGCGTTTATCCTTGAGAAATGTACGCGGATAGGTCTGAGTTTCATTTAGGACTTACTGGGACTTCCAGTCAGCTTCAAGGTCACTTCCGTTTTCTTCCTACGAATCTTACCGAATCGACACCACACACTTCAGCTGCATCGTGCGCGTGACGAAAAGTGCAGAATGATGGTAAGTTGGGTGTGAAAAATCTCCGTCAGGAGCCTTGTTTCATCCATCTCTACCACGGGGCACGTAGAGTCTCTGTCATCAACCCAGCTCAAACAAACAACACTCTGCACGAAGGCTAGCTACCTCACGTACACTGGCCATGAATCTCCTGAACTGTCACACTAGAACCCTCGAGGTTTTCGCGGATGCCTTTCCATGCTATGCCATCCTCTCGCACATTTGGGAGAAAGAGGAAGTCTGTTTTTGCGTTTTCAATGATTCCAAAATCGATCACATCTCCATGAAAGGGTGGTACAAGATCAACAAATCATGTGAATAAGCCTTATTGGACGATCTCGAGTACGTCTAGATCGATACAGTCTGCATTGACAAAAGGTCTTCAGCTGAGCTCTCCGAGGCCATCAATTCTATTGCACCCCCTCCCCCCAGGAAATCATGCTCCGTTGCCTTACAATTTTTCCGAGAACCGGCTTCGCAATTATCTCGATGCCCCTAACTTGCACCACTTAGAACACGCTCTACATGCTGCTGTAGGGTTTATTTGGAAGTAAGGTTCGTTGCTGATAACGACCCTTCATAATAAAGTTTGTCCAGATTGGCAGCAGCAGTCTCATTGTCCACCTTGAGCCGTAGGAAGTGTTGGTTGGTCCTGCTCTCGTCCCAAACCCATTGGTTTGTCCCGTTGGGCTCGATGAAGTTGTACCCGTACTCGTTCCCGAGCTCAAACAGGTCGCCGAGGCCGTGAATGGCGTACAGTACGGTCAATGGGTCCCAGGATGACCGTCCGGCAAAGTACGTATAATAGATGTAGGCCATCCTGACGGGATCACTCTTGGGGCCGTTGTTCATGAGCAGCCCGCCAGTCACGACGTCCACGCCCACCTCGTAGCCGAGAAAGACGATGGGGCCATCCTCCGGCCACGAGTGGATGACATGGCGCGTCAGGGATGTGTTGAAGCCGCGAAAGTTCCATTCGTAGCCCGAGGGATACCCACCGCCCATGACCACCAGCTCCGAGACCTTCTGCTCGACGAGCTCTAGCCCGCTGAGCGGAGAGTAAGAGTCGCCTGTTGAGTTGAGTAGACCCGACAGGTTGTTGAGAAACCCGATGGACGCGATGGTCACGCTGGCGTTTTCAGCCTCAGCCAGCAGCTTCCGGTACAGCACTACAGGGTCCCATGCGTTGTCGGCGAGACCCCAGGGGATACTTCCGTTCGGCCAGTTGTAAGCAATCTTGCTTGCGTACTCGCCACGCGCGTAGTACCGGTCGTCGAAGAACGGATCGTCAGTGAATGGGCGAGCGATACCGATTGGAATGTCGCCAAGACCGTAATGCGCCAAAATCGTGGAGGTGGCGACGGCTGAATAACTGGAGGGATAATTTACATTGACGGCGAGAAGCTCCACGTCTGGTGAAGTGGCAGCCAGCAGTAAGGCACTAGTATCGCTGTCACGGAATCTATATCAGCCTGGAAATTCCTTGACCGCATTCAAATACTAATTCCAAGGTATCAGGCATAAGGGGCCTTACTCAACATCGCTGTACAGATCCGTGTCGATGATGAGACGTTTCCGAGCAGCGAAGACGCATGTGGCGCTGAAAAGCAGGCCCAGACTGTGTCTGAAGTGCATATTCACTGGCTATTGTTAGACCGCCCTCTCTTGATCCTGGGATAGACGCTTAAGGCCGATGTCGCAAGAGTTGTATTAGTAGCACATGCCCAGCGGCTAGGGGGTAGGTGACGCGCTTCAGCCTTCAGAAGAGACTCATAAGTGCTATTGTGTTTTGCCAGTCTGTCCCGAACAATAAGCCTTGCGGGTTTTCAAATTGTGCAGAATATTTTAAGTAGAAGAAAGAATTGGGCTCGGGAACCAAGAATGATATCAGACGGCAGTCTCTGTAGGTCATCAGATCACTACTCCGTATTCCCATTACTATTGTAGTGGGACTGCATAAGTACCCCCCATTTCCCCGCGCTCCCCGCGCTCCCCCCAAGCCTGCATTTGTGTGACCGACTGCCCATTTTCTTCCCCTCATCGAATGCCATCACGTTCATCACAACGTCCTTAGTAAGAGAACATCTCAGAAACAGGTTTTTAAGCCAAGCACTAATCATTCTCTATACACTCCCAAGATATGCCTTGCCTGCAGCTCTTTCAGGTAGGCTCTTCCAACATCTCTCGTTCGAAAGGTCAAAAGTGCCTGGGCCATGCTTGTAAGCTGAAGTAAGTGCACCATGGCGACTCGTCCTGGCTTGGTAGAAGTCGTCTAGCTAACCACAACTAACCTGGCTGGTGATATCCATCTGGGCCACGCAGAAATTGATGAATGTCTGACGTAACACACATCCCCCTATTCTTTATATTCGGCTCAAAATGACTAGTTGCCCAGGTATTTCTGAAACTTTGAAATGAAAACGCCTCAAGCAGAGAGACCCATCTCGATTGCCAACTCAATGTAACCTAGGACATCACGATGGCTTGCATCAAAAGTACCGGGATTTGCAGGAGCAATACAACCGTTGTTCTGGGGAAAAGAGTTGCTGTGGAAATAACGATGGTAAAGCAGGAAGAAATTTTAGTCCGACGACAATTGTTGATTACGGGCAACAAATTCCTTGTAGGCGAAAAAAAAAAAAAAAACACAAATGTCAATCTGTGATCCCGATTCGGGAGGTGCATAGATCTCTTCCTTTCGTTAGCCACCCAGTTGTTTATTTGAAGCTTCCTATGTTAAGCCTGAGTAGAACCATGGTCTACGGAGATCATAGACTTGAGTCTATATATGTATAGATACATCTTAGCCATATGCTTCGTACTGGCAATCTTCACTCTGACGGCTCTATCTTCTGCCACTCGATCACCTGATAAGATTATATATGGACCATAGCCGCTTTGTTTCCCTTACTAGGTAGGAATTTATTGTACAGGGAATAAGAGGCTGTAAAATTCATAACGAAGTCTCGCAAGCTCAAACCTTAACAGATCTCAGAGTTGTTTCGTACTCAAGCCTGCTGGCGAGCATCTTCACAGTGTATGGTTATTTTCCATACCGTCTAAACCCTCGCAAGACCTTAAGAGGCTGAATAGGCATCCTTTGGGGAAAATACTGTCTGCAACTTGCAAAAGATCCCTGTGACAAAGGGCTGAGGGGAAACTTGTGAATTTCGTTGTGGGGACTTCCCGTATAACCATGTGAAAAACCACCAAAGACTTCTGAACTAGTTAGATCCAAGCATTGGCAAGATCAGATTATGTATTAAGCGAACAACCATTATCAATTGATAAGTGTTGGGAGCGAATAACCGTTGCTATCTACCATATTTCCCCACTGAGGGTCTGAACTTTATACTGCTGCCTGGTGATGGGACCCTACCCCAGGGTAGAGATATCCGAGTATAAGAACACCTCTTTTATGTTGAAGTCGTTCTAAGTTGCGGATGTCTCATCGCCAGCAAGCAAGCCAGAACATCCCGAAGCCGGCCATCATCAAACCACCGCAGCTCACACCAAGCTCAGCGCAAAATCTTCCAACATGAACACTCTCATCACCCTGATTCTCGCTGCGTCCGCAGCCATGGGAGCCGCCATCAGCCCTTCCGAAGGTGAGAAACCATCGAACAACAACATGGAGGCACAGTGACTATCGTTACTTAGGCCCTGTGCAGCCCATGCTGACCCACGCAAACAGGATCGGCATTGGACTCCAGGGCATGCTGCTCGGTCACGATCTGCACCGGACTCTCTCTCGACGGCGACTGCTACACTGGCTGCTACCCCAAGATAGACGAGGTGTACCCAGACGCAGTGAGTTCCCCCCCCCCCCCTTTCCAATGATGACCTATACCTTGATCAAAACATTTGTTGCAGCAGTACTGACATCAAATCTATCAAGTCCTGGCAAGGGAGCGCGGGCTCCTTCAGGGTGTCTACCCCGGACTGTAGCTGCTTCCCACGACCTCGGGATGGAAAGGCGAGTTACTGCAGTGTTGCGGGCAATGGCAACCTCGGATATTGTGTGAACAACCTCGGATCGTTCCACTGTGAATTCTAGGCTTGGAGCTTATAGGCTTGGTTCTTGTTTTTCTCTTCGATGCACATAATTACCACTTGGTTGGGTTTTTACTGTCGCTTTGGCACAAGATGCATGTTAACTAGAATTTTGTGCTCGGTCATGGTGCTGAAAATCGGCTTCTGGTTTCAAGGAGGTTTAATCAAAATATGTGTGTTGGATATATGCTCGCTTCACCGCTCAGTCATCAAGAATTTGTGGGCATCCTCCATATCGAATCACAACCTGTTGAGAAGCATGGGAAGATCTAAGCTGGTAAGACCTGTGAGTAATTATGTGTGCCTTTGCCCATGGGGCCCCACTGCATTCGCTGTGTGGCCTGAGCGTCACACCTCAGGATTTAAACCTTGCTCCTGTGATTTCCAGCAGATGAAGGCAGTACCAACTTGTCAACTTCAATTGATGTATTGAGGCCAGTTGCCTTGTCTCTGAATCTCCTCTCGTGACACTGGCAGTATAGCGGGGTCAGGATTCTACTCAAGCGGTAGCCATATATGTTCTGCGTTTAACTGTACTGTCTAATATGAATTGAAAGCATCTGATTATTTATCTACTAATACCTGCTTGCTTTTTGTGTTTTTTTTTCTTACCCCAAAGACTTATTGAACTACCTAGGTACTGGCTTCTTTGTGTGATAGGTAGTCCGTACCCTGTTAGATCCTCCACCTGACGTGGGTCTGTTGACATCGGTCTGGCTTCTCCACAGCAACGGGGGACGCCAGGCGAGGCCTGTTCATCTGACCGCTCGCTCGGATCGATCCGCTAACCACTCACTCCCTGGCTCCCTGCCCCTCCCACAGCCACGCACCAAGAAGGCAGGCACCACCTGACCCTGCAAACCCAAGACACAGGGACTTGTAATTTGTTAACTCGAGGCCATGGAGCGAACGACTGAGCAGACCCCTGAATGTCCACCGCAGGTTCACGACGCATCCAGCCTGGACGCCATCGCCGAGTTCGACATAGCCAGCCTCGCGCCCGTCTACAGGTCGGCAGCTCTCTCGGAGCGGACAGTTATCGACAAGGACAGACTGTGTGGCCCCCCTCCCCCCTGTTCCGTGTGCAGACTAGAGTGCGGTCTCGCTCAGTTTGCGCTGGTGTTTTGCTAGGCCTTCCCTAATCCGGATGGGGAAACTCCCGGTTGTTTTGTTGTCTCTCTCGGGGTTTCTAGCATGTTGAAACCGGTAGATGTTGGCAGCAGCTCATCAGTACTACGAAACTTTGTCGACCTGGAGTGCGATGTCGAGTTCCGTCACTGCAGCGATATAGCCCAGAATGATCTGGGCCGGTCGTGGGAAGACAAGCCCTCGACTTATAATTCCTCCGCCCAAAGAGCAGGTGTGACATTGAAATGTTATGTTTCGAGGGTGGTAGTTTGCGGTCAAGAAGTGTATTGTGTTGATCTACACGTGAGGCATATGGATGAGTACAAGTTGCTGGGCTAATAATAGAAAACAGGCCACTATCAACAAAAGGCTCACGCCTGTCACGGTACAAGTAGGCCCAGGCCCACAAAATACATTTACTCCTTTGCTTAAAATCATATTTTAAACTGTTAAATAAGTTTCAGGTTTTAAAAAACACTTTATCCAATAAAGATCATTGCACATGCTGTCCTGGCCTGGATCTGCCATTCCATCCAGTCGACTCAGCGCAGCCGCCAATTCTAGCGCCTAGTCAAGCGAACGATAGCAACCTAAAGATAAGCAGCAACGTTGCTTTACCACACGTTGCCCTTGGTCTGGCGTCCTCTCTCCTGCTCGATCTTCTCAACATTGATGTCACGCCAGATGAAGACGCAAACTGCCAGGAGCGGGATGAAGCAGCCGCCGGCGATGACCATCTTCCTCTGGACGTCGCTGTACGCCTCGATGATAGCATCCCTGGTGGGGCTGCCCATCGGGTAACTGAGCTACGTGCTCAGACTGCCGTAAATGCTGGACGTCAGGTTCTTGCTGCCCTCGGGCAGGAACTCCTCCAGCTTTTGCGGCAGTACGTTGGTCCAGATCGCGCCTGAGATGGCGAAGCCGATGGCTGCGCCGATCGAGCCAAACAAGCCGTATATGGCATACACGACGGCGATCTCTTGATGTGACACGGTAGAGAAAATGGCGATGTGGGAGGTCATAGCAAGAACACCCCCGGCGGCACCGTTGAATATCTGGCACATGGCCAGGTAGCCGACGTAGGCTCCAGGGACTCGGAAGTGCGTGAGAAGTCCAGTCCCGAGGGCGATCAATGGTATACCGGAGAGCATCGCGATGTGTTTGAATCGTCCGAATTGGGCGATGGCCACACCCACGAACGGTGAGAGGAACGATGATATGAGCGAATAAGAGTTCAGAATGTAGCCTGAATGGGAGATGCTGAGGTTGTGGACAACTTGCAGGTAGGAAGAGTAGTACGTATCCCAGCAGCTGATTTCTAATATTAGTACCCAGAAGGAGCGATGTCTTGGTGTAGCAAAAGACTTGGCGGAATGGAAGCACGTACAATATCGAGATGAACATGACTCCGTAGGTCATTGAGGCGCCCAAGATGGTCCTATCTTTGAGGAAATTGAAGGGCAAATACGACACCCGGGCAAAGTAATTCTCCCAGATAGCTAATAGAATCAGGGACACTACTCCAAAGACTATCATGCAGATGGGTCCGCCGTCGGCCCAGCCTTTGGGAAAGGATTGTGCAAGACTGAAATGCAGGAGGATCAAAGCAAAGCCAGCCATGGTTAAGAGCATGCCAATGACTATATTCCGGCATAGTCAGTATTCAAATCAGAAAACGTAAACAAATTAGTTGTAGACTGGGATTGAGACATACCATCAAATTCCCAGAAGTAGAACTAGCAGGACTGCCAAAATATCATCCCCGCTGTCCTTCTTGACGAGTATGCCCACTTTCATGGCCTTCCTCTCCTCGAGGACGAAAATTACAAACATCGGGTTTGAAACTCCGGCCAGGATGATGGCGAAGGATCCAAAAGCCCATCGGAAGTTGACGTTGGTGTAGAACAGCTCGGCAATCTTCGGTCCAGCAAAAGTCGTAGCGATCGTAGGGGTAGTGTTGATACCTATCATGATCATCCGGTTCTTGAGCGATGTCATGTCTGCAATTATAATGTCGAGCGTATATAATAGACCGAGGTGGCCGACCCAAAACACAGTCTGGGCCGCGTCGTATGTCTCCACGTTCTGACACGTCGCCTTCATTATCATCCCGAGGATGATTAACAACAGCATGATAGCGAAACCCTGGGCTCGGCCCCAAATATCGATGACCTTGGCGATGGTGAGCTTGGAAACGCCGCCCACGATGGTGGAGTCGACGCTGGTGGTGGAGAGAAGGCCGTGGCTGTTGAAGGCGGACGTCACGTAAGGCACCAGCTCGGACTGGACAGCCTGTAGTAACATGTCGACAAAAGTGACGAGGTAGATCCTGGGGTCGAGGTCATTAGCTTGTGGCCTCTCCTGATCTTGTGGATTTCCTTGGAATTACAAGCAAATATGACCCAGAGCATCTATCTGGGCCACACAGATGCGATAGCTTCGATCTTCTTGACACCTGCCTGCTTGCCCTCATCGTCGGAATCCGGCTTCTCGTCTGAGGGATCGTGGACATCCTCCCTTGGCGCGATTTTCTCGACATCGTGTTCCGGCTCGGGTCGTGTTTGAGCGACGTGCTCAGGCACTGTTTGAGCCGTCATATTGCCGTTGGGTGTGTACGTCGTTTGTCGGAGCTCACACACGTAGCTAATGCAGATACCGTGCCTTCAAGAATGGCAACAGAGGTGGAGAAAGAGGCTGCAGGAACACTCTGCAAATTTTCTCGGATTTCGGCTTGAGGAGACAATATCTATATAGCTACGTATCTGCGGTCCTACTACACACATCACCGCATGAGTCTGCAAGCCAAGCCTTTCGGCCCGCCCAGTACCTTTCCTACCGCCGAGTCGACTGATGTCGCTCGAGCGCCGGTTCTGGGCGCCGCGTCACTTCGCAAATATTCCAGACCTTGGCCCACGAGGGAAAATAACTTCTGTCCATGAGACCAGCATGAACAAGAAGAACGCAACAACAGACCCTATCACGGGCAGTGCCATTAACATCTACCCAAATGGCTATTTGGCAGCGAAACTTTCCCAACAAACACTTGTCAACCATAGAATCCCTTAGCTGGGATCATGATATTCTGTTGTTTCTGCGAGGCTGACAAAAGGTAGAGTTTACCACATGACAGAGTTAGACGACTTCGCCCTGCGCTTCAACAACTTAGATGCATGATTTCTAGATGTGTGGATATTGAAGTGAAAGTTGTACAAGGTTGCCAATAGTTATAAATATCACAAAATCACTGATATAACGTTATTAGGTATCACTCCAGCAGAGGTGTATCAACCTTTTTTATTTGTACACATTACAATCTTTATATTTCCTTCGTAAAGAAATAGATGACTGTCACCAATTTTATAGTTTTATGGGTGGAACTGTAATGGCACAGCCGCATAGACTACACTGAGGACTCCAGTGCGTTGTGGACTTCTGTAACTTTTTGCGGATACGGCGTGGCTATAGTGTAGCAGTCACTCCCCGTGACAGGAACCATGATACTAGGGAAAAGTAATAGGTCGTGCCAGAGGCTACCATATCCACTTTTTGATTAGGGGGGGGGGGGACTCCTTCTCCAGGCTGTGCAATGACTGAGCGCTTTTGATGTCTCCATAGTCTATTCGAATCATCTGTAGGAAGCAATTGTACATCCCAGATCGAGCACCAACAGAAGGTCAGTATACAGGCGACAAACGCTTGCAACCCGACAGAGGGCAAACGTGCCTGAGTAGTCCGAGTGAAGGCAACTGGCACGGTCAACGCAGCGCCCGCTCGCTAAGGACTCAAATCCACTGGCCACCCGCAGTAGGTATCTCGGCGCTGCAGCATGGATCCTTCACTTTAAAGCTGGAGGCGACTAGCAGCATCAGCGTTTGGGCCCATCATGTCTTGACTTTACTTTGTAGAACAACTTTTAGCATCAATATGACGTATCCGAATTTGATCTCAAGCAAGTACACATGTACACAAGGACAAATGCGCCAAACGCAACGTGATTTCAGTCCTACATCGCACCTTTCAAGGTGCAGCTGCCAAAGCTTCAGGCATTCACCATTTGCAAAGTGGATTCAACTCTCTGTGTCAAAGACCCAGGGGCAACATCTAAGTTATCCCGGTTGTCGAAGGATTTTGTAAAACGTAATAGATTTCCAAATTGTCAGTGAATTTTTACCAGCCCCGCTGCACAACCCTCCTGCAGAAGCGCAATGCGCAAAACAGTACACGGTGCCGGGGTCCGTAGGGTTTCTAGAATTCTGGAAGTCAGCCGAGTGTCACATGACATATCAGAACAGGTGGGAGTTTGCATGAATGTTGGTGACCTTAGCTACATTCGATGGCTTGTTGTCGAGCTTCACAGAACCAATGGAGAGGCTCGAGCACGCGGGAACTTGTGGAACAGGTAGCACTGGCTGATCAGCCAAGCTCGGTGGATCTCATCCCCGGCCCGTTTTCGGCCCACCTCGTCGTTATAGAGCTCTCCCGTACTGTTGCCGAACTTCCCCAGAGGATGAAGCAGGCAGGCGATCAGCCAACCTGATACACAGTAGTGAGGGCAGGTGGATTCTTATGTCGAACTAACAGAATCAATGCCGGTCGAGTGTAAATGAGAACAGGTAAACAGGGTGAAAGATAATGGGCAAAGGCACATTCCGGAACAGATCGGCGTATCTACGTCCTGACCAGGCAATTATTACCTCACCTTGCTTCCGCGGAACTGACAGTGAAGTCGGGCCTCGAAGCCACACAGGGTTAGGCGAAAGACCTACTCCAGGTGGGGAGAGTGGTCCCGGTTCATTTTTACAAGCTTCTCCCGCAGCATCTAAACCGTGCCGGAAACAAGCTCATCACCGATCCCCGTCTCCAAGGTCTTGGTTCCAACGCCCTGCACTGCCGACAGAATGCACCACGAAGACAGAGCCGACCGCCATTGGCGGCTCTCCCGCCTACGGCTGCCGGATCCTATGCGGCCGATCGATGTCCATCCAGACGTAGACCATATCACCGTAAGCCCGAGGACGCCCAGAGGGATGGGCAGTAGCTCCAATCACCCGCTTACTACGCATGTTCACTCCGCTTACTGTTGCGCAGGACCGGCACGAGCGGGAAATCGCCATTCTCCGCATTCTCGATTCTATCGGTTTTAACTGGCCCGTCTTCTGCGCTGTTGCTATTGGCTTCCTCGCAACTTCATACAGTCTGTTTGCCACAAATTTTGTGAAGCCGGCCCTACTCTACGTGTATCCACCGAGCAATGAATCCCGGCAGGATATTGGAGAAGTCCTTGACTTGACGACCCTGAGCTTTAGCCTGATTGGCATGGTTGTCTTTGGGCACTTCGTGGACCGGGGTGGGCGGAAGAGACTCTATGGTTGGGAGCTTATCGTCCTCATACTCGCAACAGTCGGATTAGTCTTATCTTCTCAAGGATTTATGAGCCCGGGCGCAGATGGTAGAACTGAGTCCTCCATGAGCATCTACGCGTCGATTATCTTCTTTCGCTGTTTATTGGGGTTCGGGATCGGGGCAGAGGTGAGCTATCCGAAACCTAGCACCACAGAGCAAATCGAGATAAATAAGCTAACTTTGTCTCACCAGTACCCGGTCTCGGCCGTTATAGCCGCTGAGTTTGCGTCCACTGATACTAGGGCTGTCATGATGGCCTCAATTTTCCTGATGCAGAGTGTCGGCCGCTTTTTAGCTATTGGCATCGGCCTGGGCTCATTGCGGAGCGTTATGCAGCAATACGACCTGCATATAGATGAGCCTAACATTGGGGCGGCCGAGATAAAGTCGAAAGTTGTTATCGATATTGTCTGGCGCACTGTTATTGGCATGGGTGGCGTTATTGCACTCATCGCTGTTGGCCTTCGTCTTACTATGCCAGAATCACCCAGGTACTACTCAGGGATCCTGAAAGACCTCCGAAAGGCAGCCATCGCAGTAAAACAGGCCGGTGGGGATGTCAGTGCCAATCAACGACCGGAAACCTCTTTCTCCCTGGAGGCATATCGCAGCTATCGGAAGGACGATGACGAGCCAACGCCATGGTTCAAAGCCGCTAAGCGATATTTGAAGGACGGCGGTTGGAAACCTCTTTTAGGAATCTCGAGCATATGGTTCCTTTTGGACGTATGCTTTTATGGAACCAGCTTGGACAGCCCAGGCACATTGAATGTACTGTGGCTTGAGACCAAAGTGTTCGACACAACTGGGCCTTTTGTAAACGGCACTGTGGCCGTTTGGAACGCAACTCTACCGATTTGGAACGCTGATCCGGCATTGCCCAATGCTACTATACAGAGGGCATTAAACGACAACGCGGTGCGAACGCTACTGCTGTCCTCGATTGCATCACTGGCTGGGAGTCTGGTAGCTATACCCATGGTCCACTATGCGAATCGCAGGAAATTGCTGATCTACACATCTGTGGCGCTATCACTTGTATTCATCGCTACGGGAGCTAGCGTTGTAAGAACATATGCCAGGCCAACACACCACCTCAGCACGGTCTTCTTTGCCCTAGCTCAGTTCATGTTCAACGTTGGGCCAAACACACTTACTTTTATTATCACGGCTGAAGTATTTCCGACTGTGTTCCGCGGGTCTTTCTACGGAATTTCAGCTGCTTGCGGAAAGCTCGGCGCCATCGTGATCAGGGCGATTGTAGCTCGCACGGGCGATGGATATCAGGCACTGGTGGCGTATTTATTCGTGTTCAGCGTAATTATGCTCGTCCTGGCTTTCATTGCTATGCTACCGGGAGCCCTGCCACAAGTCCAGAGGGATACGCGGAAAGGTTCAAAACACCGCGTTCCTCCCAGCCCAACATTGGCGGCTATGGATTATAAGTCGCCAAGCACGGATAATCCCGCCGGCCACTCATGGAATTTGTGGCTTCCGAGGAGGTGGAAGAGCAAAGCCCTCGAAGATATTGCCCGTTACCCATCACCACACGACGAGTTTGTGCTTCAGCGAGACAGTGATATATCAGTAAAGGAAACTGATACACCGGTTGGATAAGTCTTATGGAGGAATACTTGTCCTGCCCTATCAAAGTACCTTATACACATCTGAACCTAGAGAATTTAAAAAGCAATGGCTTCGGCTGCATATAAGGCCCGCTGCAGAGAATCCGAGTTCTGATTTTACTCAGTTATCCAATCAAGATTTCCACAGGTGTATATATAGAAAAGTTGCCAGGAGGTGTTACTGAGTCGCCTTGAAAAACTCAGTATACGAGCCTTGGCAGCAGCATTGTGATGTAATTGAAAACCAAGACAAAATGGTGGGGAAAACAACCGGCTTGGAGTACAACAGACAAGAATTGGTTTGCTGTGACCGTGTCATTCGTTTTGGAGTTTGCAACCACTCATGGAATTGGGACAGGTATCGTGGGACCGGAACTCCCCTGCCCCGAGTCAAGGAGGTCACTGTACACGTGAGGCCGGTTGAGTGGCAAGAAGATGGCGCGATGGCGTTTTGGGGAGGTCAGACACGACTCACATCAAATGGTTCATTGGCATGCGTCAGCAGACTGCCTAGACCACGTTGCGGCGGTCGCCACTTCAGTAACATATATGATGGCTTGTCGTCCCGGTGCTCTGCAGGGGACCAATTTCTTGAAATTTGGTACAATGGCCAGCAGGCCATCAGAAACTGTGCTTTGCGCGTCTAGGGACACCACGCTCCTGGGGTGGGCGTCCATGTGGCATTCTCGATGTGCACCAATCGGGCTTCGTGTGAAGGTGCCGGCTGACGGAGTGGCTGACACCTTGGCGCTCCTCCGGTCAGCCGGGAGCCCTCCGGCAGCGAACGACCAGTCAGCAATATTGAACGGGACCGAAATTCGTCAATGTCATTTTTTTGGGATTGTATGTGAGTTCTGCAAGGTACCGAAGAGCAGGATGGCCACATGCTGTGACGCCATAAAGATGATGCTCCGCACTTTGCAGGGTAAGATCATCCACGGATACCACTTCCCGTCTTGTCAGGGACATTGTGTTTTTTGATCCACAAGTACCTTTTTTGCATTTCTGTGTTTTCTGGCGAGGAGAGCCATACCATCGCCGATCCCAAACATCATGGATGCTCAGTTGCTGTCCGTGCTGCAGTTGACGGCATGGAGCAGCGTCCTCAGCAAGATCCTTGACTGGCTCTGTTCATTCCTTCCAGGCTTCGACAACGATGAGATGTACCCACTGCATGCATTCGACGACACTAGGGAGAACAGAAAGATACTCTCGTGGACTCTCCGCTTCGACAGTGTCCTTGATGCCGATCTACTCCACCTCTCTCTCGTCAAGCTCATCGACCGGCCAGGATGGCGGAAGATGGGTGGCCGGCTGACAAAGAACAAGGGCAGTAAGCTGGAGATCAAAGTACCGGAGAACTTCACCTACGATCGGCCGGCTGTGAGGTTTTCAAGCGAAGAATTCGATCTTGATATGGAGGAGGAACCTCGCGTCTGGAAACTTCCGAGAAGCGACAGCACAGGCAGACCTTCATTACACGATGGCCCTCCAGCTTTCCGGTATCTTACCAAGCGTCCCGACATGGCAACCAAGTTCTCAGACTATGTCGACCAAGATGAGCCTATGATGTCCATGCATGTTGCTTCATTCAATGATGGCACACTCGTCACTATCAGCTGGCCTGGTGTTGCCACCGACATGATGGGTATGCATGGATTCATCCAGGCCTGGTGCGAAGTCCTCGGAGACCGTGAGGACAATGTTCCGGAGATGATGGGAACACACAAGGACCCAATGAGATCTCTTGGACGACTGAAGCTCAGGGAAAAGTACGTCTTTGCCGGTGCTCATCTGCAAGGTCTTCAACTCCTGCGAAGCTTGTACTACTCTCTTGTGGACAAGTGGACACATGGCGAGATGGAGTCAAAAACGCTTTGCCTACCTGCCTCATCTATGGCAAAGCTGAAGCGGGAAGCCGGCGTATCTTCGAGCGGCGAGAAGGCTCTCATCAGCGAGGGCGACATTCTGGCATCCTGGCTGGCTAGACAAGCCTGCTCAATTCTTCCGATTTCCTCCGACCGGCCGGTTACAGTGTTGATGCCGTTCGAGGCCCGGTCGAGACTGCCCATGGTGTTCCCACAGCAATCCAAGACGGAACAAGAAAGCTGGGGCGAGATGTGTCGGCCAAGCCCTGTGTACCTGGGCAATGCAACGTTCACAGCGCACCTGCACATCCCCGGATCTGCTCTTCTCAGTGCGCCTATTGGAGAGGTCGCCTACGCGACGCGAGCCGCGATCCTCCGGCAGACGACCGAATCACAAATCAAAGCTGCCTCCCGAGAGATTCGTCATCGTCAGGAGGATGTCGGCGGCTTCCTGGGCCAGATGAGGCTACCACTCAAGTATACCACACCGGACAGCATGATGGTGACGGTATCGAATTGGAGCAAGATGAACGTCTTCGACACGTTCGACTTCTCACCTGCAGTCATCAACAAGAACATTGGTGTTGCGACAAGGAGTATGACCAGCCTCAAGGCTGGCAAGCCGACATATAACCATGTGGATGTGCTGAGGCCGTCGATGGGCGATAGGAATAAGTTCCACATATCTGGGAAGGATCACCACGGCAATACATGGATCACGGGCAGAATGGCAGCTGCTGGCTGGGAGGCGCTCAGAGAGGAGTTGGCTTGGTTATAGAGGACCCGCTGCAAATGTTGAGGCCTTGAGCAACGACGGGTGCCTTAGTTGCACAATGGGTAGTTCAAAACACAGTGCCAAACTATCATGGGGCACATAAGATAAGCTTTGGCGTCAAGGAGGGTATAATTACCGTTTCATTCTCATGTGTAATTGGTTTGATTTACAATGTCCAATATCAATACTTCAGAAAGATAAATGGGTCTGACCGATTACTTGGTATCAAAGCAACGTTTCTTTGCTCGGTCTCCAGCACGTCGGTGTGAACCTTCATATCGTCCGGCAGGAATATAGTCCCTTGCACGGCCACGTAAAAGTCAATGAATTGGTGGGCTCAATAACTGGACCAGCTGAGTTTATGGATTATTTCATGTTGATATTAAGCGAAGCAGTCGCGGTGTCACATTTGATCAAGCTCTCATAAATATCGCTGGAGACTTACAGGCACTAGTGATTGATCATAAACTTCTTGATCTCTCGAGTGAACACTGTGGATTTATCTAACAAAGGCGCCTCCCACAAGTCCCAAAGATGCGGAGCATCACTCTCTGCATGTGTTTCTCATTCGTTTGACAGCCGTATTCTTCTGCTTGCGCAAGTGGAAATCTGATCGCAATGACTTCTTAGAGCTGACAAAATTGCCACCCGCAGTGCTTACGCCCAAGTTCGGGGGACCTCTTGGCACATGGCCTGGAGTGCTGTCAGCCCCGGTGTCAGCTTTTGGTCGCCTCCTTCACCTCGTACTTCGAGTATTGAGTGATAAGTCATAAGTCTGCTGCTCTTTGCATTCAGGCCGGACAGGGTCGAAATAGGTTCCAAGAGCCGGCAAAGGAGCCAAGATGTCACAGACGTTCAGCACGGACGATGTTGCGACGCACAACACGCCTGATTCACTGTGGGTCATCATTAATTCGAGTGTATACGATGTGACAAAGTTTCAGAAAGATCACCCAGGTCAGTTTAAATAAGTCTCCAACAGTGGATCAAGTGGTGACAACGACTCGTTACAGGGGGGAAGAAGATCCTTCAGAAATTCGCAGGCAAGGATGCGTCTAAGCAATTCCAAAAGTTTCACGCCGAGGCCGAGAGCATCTTGCTCAAGTACAAGGACGAGTTGCGGCTTGGCGGCCTTGAGATTGAGGCAAAAGCTGAGTTGACACCAGCTGTGGGGCCGGTCCCGGAAGTAGCACAGCCTGTGGAGGTCATCGCTTGACGGACATATCGACACAGAAAGGCAAGGTTAGACGCCGAATCGAGAATGATGGTGTCTCCTCTACGAGGAGGACCTCCCGAACTGTTTGCTACAATACGACATGGTGGAGAATGGACGGACAGGGGAGGGAGGAAGGAGTGTCAGGGCCAACCGAGATCTGGTCCGCTTATTAGATGCTAGTCTAGCTGCTTGATTCCTTGAAAAAATGGAAATTGGATCGCCTTATATGGTGGATCTCAGGGTCCATGTGCTATCGGAATTTGCGTACAATAGGAGAGTGGCAGCTACAGACCTGCAAAGATATCGAGAGGCGGCTGCTGGTGGAGAAGGGAGATCTTCCCCTGGCAAAATCGATTTTACTCGAATTATTCCATGAAGCGAACTGAAAGACGATTTCAGCTCTCGGTCTGCAAAAGAATGCTCGCATTAGGATCTGCAAGCACGGTCGTACGATCGCGTCCTGTCCCCTGAAACTTTAAATATTCTGGAAATTGTTGAGGGTACAACCTCATTGCAACAGTGCAACCTTTTGCGAGTGGAGCAGCGGAAGCTTTCCGGATCCAATCGCGGGGTGCATATGGAGCTTCGAGCTTGCTCCGGGAGATAAGAGCTACGATAAGCAGCCCCCTGTTGTTTGCGAGGTAGGAGTGGTAGGGAAGTGGTGTGTTTCAACCTCGACGAGTCAACAATCCCCCCTTCATTGCTACCGGACAACAATAACAGCCACACCAAACCACCACAGTCCAGTTCAGCGCCAACACATCCATTCACTCCTTCACATACCCGTTGTAAAATGGCTGACACGACAAACGTGGACGCCTCCAAGGTGGAGGAGCCCAAGGTGGACGCCACTCCGGCTGCGGAGGAAAAGAAGGTCGACGCCGCACCGGCATCTGAGACCGCCCAGGCCGACCAGGCCGCGCCTGGCGACGCCCCGGCTGAAGCTGAGCCATCTTCAAACGCCACAGCCACCGAGGAGAAAGCCACTACTGCCGATCAGCCTAAGGAGGAGGTTGCAGGCAGTACCGAAGCTGCCGCTCCCGCTCCGGCGGCTACCGAGGCTAAGGCAGACGAAGCTAAGCCTGCCGAGGAGAAGAAGGAGGCAGCTAAGGGCGAAGGGGGGGCCGAGACCAAGCCGGCCGCTGAGGAGGCTGCCCCGGCCAAGGAGAAGGACTCCGCTGCCGCGGCCAAAGAAGCGACCCCCAAGAAGACGCCCTTCGAGGAGTTTGACGCTAAAGTGGCTGACATCCTCAAGGAGATCGACCACGATGAGATGTGGGGTGTGAAGCTTCTCACACCGGCCTCGTCTCACGTCCCCACCCAGATTGTCATTCAGAAGTTCCTCAACGCCAACGATGGTGACCTGGCCAAGGCAGTCGACCAGTTCAAGGGCGCGCTCAAGTTCCGCAAGGAGAAGAAGCCTCTTGAGCTGATCAAGAAGACTTTCAGCGCCACCAAATTTGGGGACCTTGGTGCCGTCACCGTGTACACTGCCAAGGATAGCAGTATGCCTGAGGTGTTCACCTGGAACCTGTACGGCAATGTGAAGGGCAAGATTGAGGAGGCGTTTACACCGCTCGAGGAGTACGTTCAGTTGGCGACTGCATAGTCTCACTTCAAGTCAGCACTGACTGACACGTCTGGACAGATTCATGGACTACCGAATCGCCCTGCAGGAGCTCGGTATCCAACAGCTCAAGCTCTCAGAGGCTACTGAGCCTATCACCGCTGAGAAGGATCCTTATAAGATCATGCAGGTCCACGATTACAAGAACATCTCTTTCCTGCGCCAGCCCCCCGCCGTCAAGGCTGCCAGCTCCGAAGTGATCAAGAAGTTTTCTCTTGCGTACCCTGAGCTGCTGAAGGCAAGACACTATTCTCCACCCCATTCAATCCCGCCTGTACTTCGTTCAGGATGGACCTTGCTGACAAACATGACTGAGCAGGAGAAGTTCTTCGTCAACGTCCCCGCAGTAATGGGCTGGATGTATGCAGTGATCAAGGTGTTCATCGCCCCGAAGACAGCCAAGAAATTCCACCCCATGGCCAACGGTGGCAACCTGGCCGCCGAGTTTAAGACTGCTGGCCTGGACGAGAAGCAGTTGCCGAAGGAGTACGGCGGTGAGGGCGGATCTGGTGACGGGAAGATGAAGGACGTCCCCGGTCTGGTTAGCGAGCTGAAGTTTGAGTAGAGCAGAAGGAATAACAGCGTCTCGGCCCCCAATACCTCCGGGTGCTTATCTAATTAATACCCGATATTTCATCAGTCAATTTTAATAGCGATCAAGGCAGCCGGAATACACAGTACTCTACAGCAAGAATTTTCCTTTTAAATCAATCATTCAACCCGTACCTCTCCAAGACACACGACCTCCTATCAGCTTGCCGACTTTCGCGCATTCGGAAATTCAAGATGTGTCACTATAAATCAGTATGTTGAAGGATTGTTCAAAATCAATTTAAAATTACATATTAATCTCGGAATCTATACTGCCGCCCAATTCCCACTCCCACATGAAGCGCCTTGACTCCTGATATGATGTTGTGCGAAACATTACTAATTGACAGACAAAACTCTCACCCTTCACACCACCTGAGAGCAGTCCGTCAACTCGTTCAGGTTGTTAACTCCCAGGAGACTCATTCTGAAATATGCAGGTGCGTATGCCTATAATGATAAGTTAGCAAGGTGCATCCAGCAACTTCAGCAAATAGGGAAGGACCACTTACCGCCTCCCAAGCGCCCTGGTCCTTCGCAAACGTCTGCCACGTCCCAGACGTCTCAGAGTCATTGGACAGGCTGATATCGCTCTGGAACTTGAACACCCCATCCGGGGTGTCGGGGCTCGCCGTCTCGCCGTAGTAGTTGTTGTCCCACACGCTGTCCGTCGTGTCCTGGCTCTTGCCGGCCTGCGACGGGTCGACAAAGTTCTGCTGGCTGACGGTGTGCGCGCCGATGAGGGCGACCAGGTCGGCGGCGGTAAAGGTCTTTGCCTCGAACAGCGCGATGTTGGTCTGCGCGTCGGCAAAGGGGCTGGGGATGAGGCCCGCGGGCGGCAGTGCGTCGCTGTCCACGCGACCCACGTAGGCCTTGATGCGCGGGCCGCCGGGGCACGCCGCCGTCGCGGCGATGGCGTTCATCTGGATCAGGTCCGCCATGGTGATGTTGTACTGCTTGTACTGGTCGAACCACGTCTTGGTCTGCGCCGCGATGTCCTGCAGCCCGCGGTTCTCTGTCCGGGCCAGCTCGTCGGCGTTGAGGACCACGCTCCCGTCGGCGCCGCCGCTCGAGAGCGAGGACTGCCAGGCCGCCGCGTCGTGGAAGCCTAGCCGGATGGCGCCACGGGCCGACGCGGTGCACCCGTCGCCGTCCGAGAAGCTGCCGCGGATGTCGGAGACGATGTGGCTCCACTTGCAGCAGGTGTCTGCTGCGCACTCGGGCGAGTCGATATCGCCGGGTGGCGTGTAGTTATCGCCGTCTGCGAGGGCGTCCAGGACGCCCGTGAGGATGGAAGAGATCTCGGCGCCCACTGCACTGAGAGTGCTTGACGCCTCGTTCAGAAGGTCTCCCAGGAGGGATGTTGACCGTGTTGCGAGGACAGGTGTGTTGCGGAGATCTGCAAACAGTTCTCTGTTGGCATGGTAGGGGCTGGCACTGACCGTGGAGGCCGCCAGGATGATAGGTAGGAGAGAGTGCATTGTGATCGAGATGTAAATGGTCTCACTCAGTGAGACAAGTGCTATTAATGTGTAGGGCTTCAGGTGAGGTAGGGGAAAAGTGAGAGTATGTTCTGACCGGTGGCAGATAGATGAGGAACGAAAGCAGGGACAATGAACGACAACGATGCTGAGTATGAGACACAAGGCGAGCCCCAACGCAGAGGAACATCGACGACGGTGAGGAATATTATATCCATTTCACGACAGCCCTCACGACAGCCCTCAGCACAGCCATCCGTCTCATCCGATAATCAGGCAACATTGTTCTCTCATGGCCCAGACGGGAGCCAGACCGCCACGAACCCCCTGGGAGCTTTGGGCATGTGAGCCATGTCGGGCTGTCAAAAGGGCCAATGAATCATCCGAAAATTAAAACACCAGACTAAAGATCACAATCTTCTCGAAGGCGCCGAGACTAGAACCAGATATGGTATCTCACCTGAGAGTCTCTTGTCGTGGCATCACACCGGCGCCGAGTGTGCCCCGGTGATCCCTTCGCTGGCTATTCCTTTGCAGTAAGATATCAATAGTTGCAGCTTGCTACTGTAGAGTTGACAGCTTGGCGTGCTTTTGTCGCGTCACGGCTGAGACAAACCACCAACTTTATTGGCCGGCCCGAGGGACAGGGTCTGGACATCTCATGCAAGCTCGCTGAAGATCATCCCATACCCTAGCCCGTTGCTGGGGTTGAAGATAGCAAGGTTAGAGGCCAGCGCGGCGGCGACATGCGTTTCTTGTTCCCAAACCCTGCGCAAAGGCAGACACCGCAGCACTAGCTGCTGCAGGGTCCGGCATCACGGTCGCTCGACAGACCTAGCGGCTGCTTCGGACGTCCGCTGGCGTGGCCGACCGTGCCAATGAGACGGGCGCCTGTCAGCCGCAGCGTGCCCACGCTACCGACTAGGCTCCCTCAAGTTTGCCGGCGTCGGTGGGCAAGCGGCACTGGGCGGTGGGCGGGCTGAGGTTGTGTGTGAAGTCGAAACATCATACAAATGTTGCGTTTCTCTGGCGGCAGGCGCAGAGGCGTGATCTGCGCAAGGTGGAACAAGCCATAGTGCCCCCACACCTTTGACTTTTGTTTCCGGGCTGCTGTGAATCCGGGGGACTGGTGCGGGTGCTGATTGTGGCTGAGCCCCCTCCCGCGACTGAGGCTCGAGTGTTTGGGACCGTGAGCATTTGGCACGTACAGTACAGTAGTAATCCGATGTGTCAGGAAAGCTCACGCATTGCCTTTCAGTGCTTACTCAGACCGTGCCTGGACAATTATAGTGTAGTAAGCCCACGCCCGCGACCCGGCAACTCAGGTCCATCAGGGCCCAGGGGTCACGGGGTTGTCGATCATGCCGAGTTTAATTCTGAGGTGGTGAAGCTGACAAGATGTTCCATAGGCCTCGATACGATGTTGCATCTCTGCGTTTTGGCCTCGACTGCTTTCTTCGCCCTGCAGCCTGCAAGGGACTTTATGCACTGGCCGTCCAGCTGTCCAGCTCTGCAGGGTTGTCGTCCTCTGGGACGGATTGCGCTGTGACTCTGTTCTTGTCATGTCGTGGTGAAATTAATGTTTTCGTATTCTCACATGCAATCGTGAAGGAAGACGACGCTTCTTTGATTTCAGGAGCGAGGCGTGCTGTTGCGGCACGCGACTTTATTAAATGCCACGCGGTCCCTGCCAAGCGATCGGACCATGCCGTCACGTAGTATCTCCGACCGGCACTCAGGGAGCACAGCATCTGTGGCTAGAAAATGCGATGTGGGGTTGGACAGAGAGCTCGTCTCGTCTTCCCGATCAAGAATTGTGCATGGATCCTGTCACTCCCGGTGCACGCCAAGTAGAAACTGCATGCAGCAGGCGTGCCTCATATAGCGCCCGAGAGTGCCGTTCTGTAGCACGTGGAAAACTACCACGACGTATGTCCGCCGTCGATAATCAAGTTGTTCGCCGTCATGAAACTGCTCGCAGCACTCATCAAGAACAGTGCTGCGCCCTTGAACTCGTTTGTATCCGCAAGGCGGCCCATCATGTTCTCGCGCTCCCATTTCTCCTTCAGCCCGGGGACCTCCTCGAAGTTCTTGCGCACCATGGGCGTCAAGATGTGTCCGGGTGATATGCAATTGACCCGGATACCTCCAGTTCCGTCTTTTTGAGTCGGGCTCCACTCCATGGCTAGTGATCTGGCTAGCTGGATTACCGCGGCCTTAGAGCTGTTGTACACCGGAGATGCGAGACCCTTGTTTGCCACGAGGCCGGACATGCTTGCTATCAGGCAGATGCTGCCCTTGCATTTGTATTTGAGCATTTGGCGTGCTGCAGAAGTTGCCGTTATCAAGACTCCGGTGTAGTTGATGGCCATCATCCGCGCGACGTCGTCCTCCTGATACTCGGTCGCAGGAGTAAGCTGCTGGATGCCAGCGGCAGCGATGACACCATCTAGTCGCAGGTTTTCTTCGGCGATGGCCGTGATTGTCTCGTCAAGATGTGCTGTGTTTGTGACATCTTGCTGCTTGTAATGCAACGAGCCTCCCCATTTAGTCATGAGGCAGGACTGAGCTTCATCCCATGCCTCGTCTGGTCTAGGGGCACGGTCGAGGCAGTAGACTGGCATAGTCAGCGGTGGCGCCCGCCACTTTATGTCTGGCACATGTTGTAATTGTGATGGCTCACCTTTTCCACCGGCGTCGCCCAAAGCCTCAGCCATCGACAAGCCTAGTCCCTGGGCGCCACCTGTGGCTATGAAAACCCGGCCGGAGAGGTCATAGTCCGCGAATTGTTTTCGGCCAACGCCAATTTCACCAGAGATGCGCTCGTTGGTAATTTCGTGGTGAAATGTTTCCTTGTGAAGGGAATCGCTTACTCTCACTCGCTCTTGGGATGAGGGCGCTGAGTGGAACTTTCGAGCAGGCGAGGGCCGTGTGTCAAAGCCGTGACGTTTGACAAGTAAAGCAGGAACTGCATCATGACACCCTCTTGTGCCACTTGCGATGGCGAAGCGGTTGAATCCCACGTGGGATTGTGATATCAGCCGTTGAAATGAAGCCGACATTGCGAGGTTTGGAGAATTGCGCAGACATAGGCAACAAGCAGTGATGGGAGATAGTAATTTTAAGGAGCAATTTCCCCGTGAGAGCCAACAGCAGGTTTTCCACATCATAAAATAATCACAGCTTATAACCATTTTACCCTTGACCCATGTACTCGAGGACGGCGGTCAAACGTGCGGCATGTCATTGCTGCGTCAAGGGAATACTGCCCCTGTACTCAAGTACAGAGTCTTGGTGTTTCTGTCAGATAGACGAAATGAGAGCATGCCCCGATCAACGAATGTGATACTGCGATTCCGTTACTCAAATCTGGACAGAAGACGCTCCAGGGAGTAGCTCTGCCTTGGGTTGACCTATTATCGTTGAGTCATACCCATGGAATTGACTTCGATTGTCGTCCTTGTGTGTCGAAACAATACCTGGGTATACAAGGTGTACAGGAGATGAGCTTGGCCAGACCGTTTTCAACGGTTGGCTTATCCGTGATAACCGTGCTTACACTGATGACCTTTCTTGTATGAGACAGTGCACCATCATAATTACATAATGCTGGGAAGCGATCATGTGCTGCTGTCATCGAACACGGCCTGAGCAGCCAACTGGCATCGTCCGCAGGAGCGCCAGAGATGGAAATTCCCTTTGCCGCTCAAAGACTAGTGAGCCGGGTACAAGAAACCGCAAGTGGCTGAATCCTGCGATCGATGTCATGGGTTGGTTCCGCGGCGACGTAGGCCGTGTTTCACGCAGGATGACAACAATGCTCGCTGCAGGGAAGTCACTGGGCGTACATGCAAGCTGGTGTTCGCAAGATGGCAGTCAAGATAAGAATGGACCTTGGCAAAAGAAGCCCTGACGGCTTGAGGCAGAATCCAAAGCTGTTGTGGGGCCGTGGGTCTGGCTGGTCGGAGCAAATGCCCCGCCACCGCCCTGGAGCTCCAAGCTCCAGGGCGGTGAGGGGGTAGATGACCGAGTGAAGTCGGCAGAATCGTGCCTTCACCTTCGTCCTTCCTTGGCCGACTTGCTCACTCTCGTGGGGACCTGCAGCGCGTAGAGGCAGGCCTGCGCTAGACCTGGCGCAAGCTTCCCATCGTCGGATACCATCACCCAACCCAGCAAACCCAGCAGTTGACTTACAAGACCAACTCTTCGCCTGCAGCGCGGACGTCAACTGTCACGAGACTTGTGCACCACGAATAGCAAAAGGGCCTTACGATGGCCCCTCCTTGTCCACATCCTCAATCCGACTGCGACTCGACTGGCCTCTAGAGGAGGCAGCGCGACGAACACCCGGACCAGGACATAATCAGGGCTGGATCAGACAATTGCACACTTGGATATGACTTGAGCTCTTGGATAGGCAGCGTCGTCATGTACAACAAGGACAAGATCATGCGGAAACTCCTTGGCAAGGCCGCCGTCGAGTCGTCGCCGTCCTCGTCACTTCCAGACAACAACTCGAACCTCGGCGTCACCTCTGCCCCCTTCACACCCACGACCATACTACGGCCGAGCGTATCGCAAGATGCGGCATACAAAGCCGGCGTGCCGATCGATTGCATTGATCGGTCCCCCGACGGCCAAAGCGCCATTCTTGCGGGGAGGCACATCCTCAAGACCGTCAAGCTCAATGGGAACACAGTCCAAGATGGCATCGACATACGCGCGGCCATTCTGGCCCAGCCTTTCATGAAGAACTCGGTAAACTCGAGCTCCGACCAACTCTCCATCAAGGATGTCAAATGGCTCCGAGGACGAGGCGACACCACTATCTTCACCGCATGCGCCAGTGGCAAGATCTTCCAATACGACCTGACGCGCCTGGGCGGAGGCGCTGACGGAGCGCCGATGGAGGTTATACAAATGAGGGAGGATTCGCGACAGATCAACACCCTGGACATCAACCCACGGTCCTCTTATCTCCTCGCGGGGAGCCAGGACGGCATCGTGCGCTGCTTCGACATCATGAATCCTGTCCGGACCCATACCGGACACCTCAGCTTCAGGGCAGTGCAAGCGTTCAAATGCAATGCCGGTGGGGTCCAGTGTATACAATGGTCACCGCACGCCGATGGGGCTTGGTCTTTTGCCTGCGGCACAGAGCAGGGCGTTGTTCTGAAATGGGACATCCGAAAGGCAACAGCCCCTGTGCTTAGGATAAACGCACACGACAAGGCTTGTTCGACTCTTGCCTGGCACCCAGACGGTGATCACATCGTTAGCGGCGGTTGGGACAACAAGTGCCATGTTTGGGATGCATCCACAAAGGCAGACAAGAGGCAGAGAGCCAAATGGACTATCAGTACTCCAGCACCTGTATCCGATGTGTCCTGGCGACCTGGGACATGGTCCGCTACGGCCCAGGGCAAGAGGGCCGCACAACTAGCAGTCGCATACGAAGGGGGAAGCCATGGTCGAAATGGAATCAATGCGTGCCACGTATGGGATCTTGCCAGACCTACAATGCCCTTCAAGGAGGTCTCAAAATTTGACACCTCCCCCGGCGCGCTCCTCTGGCATGACCAGGACCTACTTTGGACGGCTGGCCAAGATGGTTTGTTCAACCAATTCGATATTGCGTACGCCCGGAAGGTCGTGGACCGCACGACAATGTCCGTGTTGTCCTTTTCGTCACGTGGGGATGTTGTCAGTTTTCTGGACGAGCGCCCTCAGGTGCGGCGACCCCATAGGTCCGTGGTGTCCGCCGAGATGCTACCGAGCCGTGCTTCCTACACCTCTAGCCCCACCGTCCCAATGCTCAGTATCAGTCGCAGCGACTCAGAGGACGAAGTCGCTGGAAACTTCTTAGGGGCACGACGGGCCAGGCCTAAGCATAGGCGAGCTCCCACTGCGAGCCGATCCGTTCAGTCGCTCAGCACAACACCTCCCGGAGGACCGGATGCACCAGTGATGGCTCTCGAACAGTCCATCAAGGCTTCCGGGCTTTTCAAACCTCAGCAAGCTATGACTATAGGACGAGTCCCGTCCGCAGCAAACGTCAATATGTACGAGTATCTCTCCACTCACTACCTCGAGACACTCCATGAGCTTCTGCCTTATAAACGAGGGGCAGAATCTCTGGATGTCCGGATTCAAGCTATCCTGGAACACTACGCCATGGCTGCAGAGACCGTTGGCCAATTCCGTCTGTCCCAAGTCTGGAAGGTACTGGCATTCGCTATGAGACTGCTGCTAGAGAGAAGGGCACAGCACCACCTCGACCGACGCACCGGTGAGCTCGAGAGGTCAAATAAAGCGACGGCAAAATTGCTGTCGAAATCCCCTGCCACTTTGAAGGGGCTTGATGAGATACCCAAGCTGGGTCAGGTCCAACTGGCCCAGTCTGGTTTGACGGAACCGGAGGCGGCCTTCGGAGGCGGCCTCAAGCCTCCCGCAAGCGTTGAGCGAGCAAGCCATCTTCGCTCATTACTATCAGAGGAATTTGAGAGCACGTCCCAGACAACTACACCGCTCGCCCGGCCTGTAGATGGTGGTAATGAAGGCGGGATTGACTCAATCGACCATATTCGCGAGCTTGAGGATCATCACTTCGAGTATGGGAAGAAGCTCACTCCCGTGCAGGAAGGCGGAAGCTTCACACTCCCTCCACCGGTCAAACGGCCCTCACAGCGACAGCGGCTTGATTCCGAGCCCCTCTCTACATTCAGCCATGACAGCGACACCCACGCAAGCACCGAAGGCTACGATTTCTACGACACAGATGCTATCAGTCAAGCGATCGATGTGCCTGGCGCGAAGAGTAATTCCGACCAGGGCCCCGCATTGGGTACTCCCAGCAGCGCGAGGAGAGTCGTAACGAGGCACGACTCAGATGAGTCATTTGGACAAATGTTTTCGATCTCGAGCAGCAGCAGGCAAACAACAGGCCTAACTGGATCATCTTCTGGTTCCATCCAGCGACGAACTCAAAGGATTACAGGTGTGGGGCCGTCGAACCCGCAGCTTGCTCGCAGCGCTAGCACTGGCGAATATGAAAGCAGAATCAGGGGATCCAAACTGGAACCCAGCATCCCTCCGAAACTTCAGCACCGTGGAGCCTCTGATCCGGCCAGACTCGATGACAGTACAGTGACTCAGTCCACGGATGAAGACCCTATGATCACTCAAACGACCATGGACAGCATCGAGTCAGGGAGAGGCGATTCACACCCGAGGCCTGACAGCTTCCCCCAGTACACCTCTCAGACCGTGTCTCTTGGTGTGAGTCCGTTGGATTCGTTCGATTCCAGCCACGACCCCGAGCAGCCTCAAGAAACCGATTACCTGCCATGGTCAGATGACCCACGATACCCGCATCCTATCGCTTGGGAAGACGATGGACCCCTCCGTCCCGGTCCCCTCGATCCGTACAAGCTCGTTTCCCGAGCAGTCAGCTTCGAGGCCACAAAGTCGGCACTCAACGCATCAGCCATGGTCCTTCTTCTGAGACCGCTGGTCTACGACGTGGACGATGTCATTGACAGTTTCCAAGCCGCCGCAATTATTAAGCAACAACACTCCCGCCTCATGGGAATGAAGCTATTCCCACAGGCGGCTCTTCTTAGGAACCTTTGTATGAAGGGTTGGCCTGGTGGGCCACTCCAGCAATGGGGCGAGGACTACCCATCGGTATTCAGGCCCGCACAGTCGAACAACAAGGCTGCGTTCCTATGTCAAACCTGCCGCAAACCAAGAGAGATTGATCGGCGCAACATGGAGACTCAATCGGCTAATCAAATCTGGCGTTGTGAGCGGTGCAATGCAGTCATGGCTCCATGCGCCATATGCCATCATCGCGAGGTACCAGAGGTTTCCAGCGAGGCGACCGAGATCTCCCCCGAGTTGCTACGCACAGCAGCGGATGGTCAAGATGACGAGACTCTCATGTCAACATGGTGGTATTGTAACGGGTGTGGGCATGGCGGACACGCGTCCTGCCTTGCGGGATGGCACTCCGAGGTCGAAGACGATGAGGCCTCCTCATTTGATGATGGCCCCGAAGGGCTTTACTCGGATGGATGCTGTCCCTTCGACGGGTGCGGGCACGCCTGCCTTCCCGGGAAGTACCGCGCCGAGAACAACGTGGCGAGGACAGAGGAAATTTCGCGTGCTGTGAGAGAAGTCAATCGGAATACTTCACACGCGAGCGGGACCGCATCGCCGCGATTTGGTGCAGGACGTTACAGTACTGGGGCACTAGATGAGCTTGCACAGCGAGCGGCAAGCCGGCGTCGAACCGGTGAGACTAGTCTTGAGGGCAGTGTCCACGGCGACCTCAACGAAATCCCGCAGAGCAAGGCCGTGGAATCTGTCAGAGAGAGCCTGGCAGGCGGCCAAGCCAGCCCCATGGGCGGCCTGGGCAGGGCTGCGAGCGCAATTCACCTCGGTCCGAGCAGTGAGAGGCCGAATACCTCAACAACGAGCATACTGAGTTCTAGTCCCGGCAGGGGTAGCGGTATTAGTGGCGACAGGGAGCGCAGAAAGAGTGTCAAATTTGCGGGCAGCACCACGGTCGTCTCAGCGGATGATGGCACGCCAAGGAGACAATAGGATTGTCGACTGACGCCATCCAGATCAGTGCTCAAGCATGCATCGCTGCAGAAATACTGTGTCCGCAAGCACCGCGAGCCAGACAGGTCTGGCTGGGCGCGGTGGATCGTGGGCAGTGGGCAGGCAGAGGTCAGCAGACGGAGAAAAGACAAGGATCTGCTGAGACGGGCAGACAAGAGGAAGCGCGAGACGGAGCTTTGCTCTCATGGCACAACCTCGGGACCTTTCCGCCCTCATCATGAGAGGGATGGCTACTGGCAAGAGGTGGTCAGCTGGAAAGGCTGGGATGAATGGGAACAAAGCCTGCGGGCTGTCGACCCCTCGGAGGAGGAGTGATGGCCATATCAGGAGGCAGTCACAAGTGATTGAAGAGACACTATGGGCGCCAAGGTGCTGGATTCTACGGTGGCGAGGGAGGGCATAAAGCCATAATTTCTTCAAGGTCTGACGTGATACCCATTTACATGAACAATTGAAAGCCATTCGCTTTACATATCTGTCTACTCCTTGCTTGTAGTTGCCCACCCTGTACTTTTCCGCTTTTACTGACTCACCCAAGAGACTTCAATAAGCTGCTGCGGGTGTACAAGTTGTACATCAGCTTCCGGTTCACCTTGCCGAAAATGTCTATACAATTGTCAGCCCGCCATGCACAGCTCATCCACTTGAGGATGGTACTTACACATCGGGATACAGAGGGCAATCAGCACAAGCGAGACGATGCCGAAGACTCTGAACACCTCGCCACCACCGGCCTCGCCAGCCCAGGTGTTGATGAATGTCGAGAATGCATAGAACAGGAAGTTCTTCAGCATCATCTGCAGCACGAATACTTCCGTTGACTGTCGAGGAAAAGAGTCCCTGGGTCGCAGATAATCATTATTAGTTCCCAGGATGTCTTCAACGAGGACAAAGACACGAAGTACGACGGGCACAGCCATCTGACTCACAGGATATACAAGCCAGCCGAGGTGGACGGGACAGAAATCCCAAAGCAAGCGCAGCCATGACAGAAGGCGCCCAGGAAGTATCCATCGGGCCGCGGGTTCTCGACGACCCACATGAACAGGAACCAGCCCAGGCCGCAGAAGAGCGCGCCGAGGATGTTGACGGGGATGCGGAACTCGGCCTCGTACACCCCATGGTTGGCGCGCGCGAGCGTGCGGGCGGACCAGTCGCACAGGGGGCCCACCCCGACGGCGAGCACGCCGCCGGCGAAGGCGCCCGCCCAGAAGTAGCCGTTCTGCGCGACGTTGAGGCTGTACGGGGGGACGGACCATATCTGCGAGAGGATGTAGGCCGAGACGACGAAGAAGGCGACGAGCACGGCGCTCACCATCAGGATCCAGAAGACGGCCGGGTTGATGAGGTGGACGAAGATCTCCGAGAGGAGGTGCGGGATGGACTTTGTCGTGTAGCCCGTTCGCTCCCAGGGCGCGAGGGTCTGCGCGTAGGACCGTCTTGGGAGCCGCTGGGCTGGGCTCGGGGGTTGGACCGCCTCGGCCTGGTGGTCCCAGCTCTTTTCCTTCTCGGTCCCGTTGGGGCTGGTTTGGGCCTGCGTGGTGTCTGCTGGTTGCGGTGCTGCTCGGATGAACTGGGTTTCTGGTAGGAGGAAGATGGTTGCCAGGAGGCCGACAACATCGAACGGCAGCTCTGCTACGAACAGATTTTGATCTAGTACCTGTTAGTCACCTGCTACGGATCCCAAAGTGATACATTCTGGAACATTCTAAAGCACAAAGATCGGGGATGTGTAGCAGGAGAAGAATGGTACGAACACCCATGATTTTCAAACATGACGCCGCTGATGATGGAGACCATCGACGCCATACAAGCCAGCGAACAGACAATCAACGCGGTGCGCCACCCGCGTTCATGCAGGTAGAACATGTCCCCGACGGCGGCCAAGGACAAGCTCTCCCAGGCTGTCACTCCGAGGCCCTGGACCAACCGGCCGGCGAGGAGGGTGTGGTAGTTGTTCTGTTGGGAGCCGATGATGCATACGATGGTTCCCAATGTGCCTGTCGCGGCTGCGAAGAGGAATTGCGGGCGTTTTCCATACTTTTGGGCGAGGACTGAGACCAGGGGTCTTCACACAGGATGCCGGTCCATTTTCAGTAAACATGTTCATCTGGATTAGGAACGTGTCTTCGTACTCACCCTAAAGCGGCGACAAGCAGGAGCTGGTAGCCTGAGAGCTCAGCGACTTCTGTCAAGGTGACGCCCAGTATCGGCGCGAGTGCGAAGGTGGCTGGGGCTATGATGGGTCCGGGCAGGATAGCGAAGACGATCGCGTTGACGAAAATTACGTAGAACGCCGCTTCTTTCTGCCATCGTGGCCAGAGCTGTGTTGGGTGTCAGCATGCAGGCTATGCGGGCCATGTCTCCAGGAAAAGCCTTACCAAGGGATCGTTCAAATCGCTCTTTGATGGTTGAGGAATGAGGATTGTTTCTACGCCCTACTACTCGTTAGTTGGCTCTGTTCTTACGAGGAGGAAGTGTGGCTAATGCGTGCCCTGTACGTGATGCGTTCCAAGTGAGCGTCATCAACTTCGGCTTCTACACCCGCACGACTGCCGCCAATGAGCATCTCTGTGCCCGGTATCTGCCCGCCATCCTTCAGCTCCGCGTTGATGATTCCGAAAGGCATGTTCGACTGAGGCGGGCGACGGGCTACTGTTCCCAGCGAGGATCAGTCGAGAACAGCTGTGCAGGGACAACTGGAGACGTGGGCCGCCTCCAGGACTTAAAGCACACATCTATAGTACCGGATCAATTATGGGACCGCGGCCTAGAGACTCAATGCTACATCGTGAGCGGCTGATAGCTCGCACACGAGTGCCGCTCCCCGCACCAGGGGCTGTTCGGAGACGTCAATCAACCTCGCTATACGCGTCTTGGCCCATCTTACTCCACCTTCTAGACCCTTGCTCCCCCATGGGGAATCGTTCGTCCATCTTCTTGGTAGCGAATGAGAGCAATATAGCCGGCTTATTACTTGTGGTGGCTGGAATGGGCCACTTGTTTCGGCAGTCAAATCATCACGGTGCCTGAAAGTCTGCACAGGTTTGGTGTTCTGGCCCTGCCTTTGCATGCACTACGTGACAGTGTCCCATTCACCAGAAGTTTACTTTCCCTTGTTTATCCAGGGAATTTCTGCCTCCGCCTTCATACCTTTTGTGCTCTCGATGACAAAAGTTGAATCCCCTGAACTGCCATTCTTCCGTTTTCAGACCGCTATGCTCACATGCGATACAACCCAATTCCTTCCGAGAGCGCTGTTCGTGGAGATCATGGAGTCACTGTTGCAGACCGAACACCATGGGTTGGTAGACAAATGATGCAGAATACAATTACATATCGCCTCAGAGTAGTTTCGTAATTTTTCAGCCCTCACGGTACTTACTCCCAGTCTCTGTATGGCATGCAGCAAGGCGGATACACTCCCCAGACCACACTAGGAGGCAATACACCCAAGTCTAAGTGTCTGCAGACTCGTGGGAGGAAGGGGAGGAAAGGATTTGTTCCTGATCGAGATGAAATCAAAATGTTTTTAGATCCAAGTAGCCGCATACCCTGGAAGGGCTTCCATCGATTCATTCGATACGTGTCCGCGGCTGGTCACCATACTCATCTATGTGAAGCCTGACCTGAGTCTCACCAATGATTGACATTGCACTTAGTGACTGTATGAAAGTAGTCATAATGTTTTACACAAGGAATGGTTTGTCACGATAATGGATCAAGATACGTCAAATAATCCGCTGGAAGACCGGGACAAGAATTGAATGTCTCTGAGCCTATTCTTTGGACCAAGAGTGGAGTGGGCGGTTGCCATTATGTGAGTACAAGACATGAGTTCGCTGTCATGCAGCATCCTCAGGTGACCTTCAATTTCCCCAGCCATTGAAATGACTTCAGGTGTACACGACACCTCTTAGACAACGAAAATTGGCACTATTATACATTATTGCGAGTCCAGCTTAGTATTGTTCAATACTAGGTGAATCGAGAAATTGGTCAATGTGAATGGCTTCTGGTGGATATACAATCGAGAAATTGCAGTTCAGCTACTCAGCCATTAAGCCGGTGGGGTATCACGGATACTCAGCGACATCAGCTCTATTCCAAAGCTGATGACAGAACTCTTTGGTGGTTGATTGGCTTTCAGTGTGGGCAGACTAAAGCTGACCCCCATGTGCAGACAGACCAGTGAAGACTTGAGCTGGATCTCATCTGCCCAGGACACGAGACACCCGGTGTGAATTGCTAAAATTATAGTACACCTCTTTGAGATGTGTAAAGTACTACCATTCTATCCTGAGACTCGGAATGAATCAGTTGAAGACATACCACTGCCATGTTCATCCAAGTTGTTTACATGACAATATCACAAGATGGCCGCACCCGATGCTGCAGCCTACAACTCCATGGTAGCAGAGTCACTAGTCGATGGTGTCTGGTACCATGTGATCAGCCAAGTCTTCACATTCCCCAAGTATATTATTGCTCCGGAGTACAGGACCGGGGATTGAACACTTGGTGGGGGTCTTTTTGTCATCCGGGTCAACGCAGATCCCAGCAAGAATATGGCAATATTGGTATTCGAAGGCCAAAGAGAAGGTAACTATACTCTCAGAGTTCTAAGCCCCTAAAACTCAGCTGTGGGATTACCTGAAAGACATTACACAATATGGGACAAGATTAATGCTATCCTGATACTGTTATGCATCTGAGCGCTGATCACTAATGATGTAAACAGCCTATTTGTTTGGCGTTGTGGCAGCAGGGAAAAAATACGCCATTGAGCAGAACTTTAGAACAATGGCACCAACCTAAGGCGAAGAGTGAGACCCATTGAATTGATGATAGAGGAAGGCCTGTCGGATAATCCAGAATATGGGATTATTTCCACTCCAGGTGAATACAATAAGATCTTGGAGATTCTGAGGACCATTGAGGGGTGGATCGATAAGAACGTCTTGGAATCTGGTCGTAATAACTGCTCAAACAAAATAGTATCAAGACCATGTCCAGTCTAAACTTTGTAGACCGTGACTTTGGAGTATAAACAAGCAGGGAACATATCAGGTTGAGACAGTGGATGGCCCGGGGGCGGGCAGATATCTATATGACACCTTCTGCAAGCAAATGCAAAATAAACAGCTTCTGATACAATCTTTCTAACACTCGCTGTCACGTCCTTAATAAAGCTTCCAATATTAATTCATGTTCTGGTCTTACATGCGCTGAGAAGAGAGGAAGTGAGTAGTTAAGATCTGACGGCAAAGAGAACAAGACGCAGCAGCAATGATGCCTTGAAGTCTAGCAGGTCCTACTGGCCTTCATTTCTGCTGAGTGCCCTCATAATCTAACTATTCACGTCTGAATGACGTCACTATCACCTTCGTGGAATCTATTAGTTTTCCGATACATGAGCACACACAGTACACTGGGTTGGAACCACACGGATTGTGAGGGTGAATTGCATTCGCCATTGTGATGGGTTCATTTACTCGACTCTCCAGTAACAGCCCACTCCGATAAGAGCTTACCGCCTTGATCGTTAGCTATTTGGCACCTTCCATTCTCTTTTTCTTAGATAGTTGTAATACAGCCACTGACTGCCTGGTTGCCCTGCTCACCATACAGTCTCAAATCCAACAACACCACCTGGTGTTGTTTTGAAATACTTCATGCACATCCAAAAACAACTGGTCAGGACAAGATGAGCGATTCCATCATCAATACGCCCAATATGAAGCTACGCCCTGAGCTCGATAAGAACAAGAGGGCCCTGCTCAAGCAACACAGCGAAGGTGACGCGACCGCATCAACTCGGCCAACTGCGACCGCGTCAATGACAACCCAACCCACGAAACACCAGCTGGCTCTAGAACATTCGGCCGAGGGTCAGCAAACGACGTGGGCTGAGAACACCGGCACCTCCATGAAACGACCACGGCTTGACCTGGTCGACCATGTAGCTGCAAGCGATCTACAGGATTCATCTCCCTCGAGCGTGTCCTCCTCGCGCCAGCATCTGTCGAAATTGCATCCACCAAGCCAAGTCGATGAGTTAGGAAATGCCAGCATTTACACAAGCCTTGGAGAGAACGGATCGATGATAGCACCGCTACAAATCTCTTATACTTTGAAGCTTCCGCCGTTCTACCAGCCGTGGGCCCCAAGCCCCGTGGCAGGTCAGACCGGAGGCCACTTCAGTTCCTATGCCACACCCATTCCCAACAGCGATGATGCCGGTGATGATGAGGAGCTTGATCTCGATCTGCTCAGGGAGTTTACCCATCTAGATTCGCCATCGGAGCATGGTGCGGCTGTATTTGGGAGCAGTCCAACCTTCCCGTCAGAATCATTGTCTTCATGTCAAACCTCGCAGCAGATTGCATCTGTCGCGAATCCGGACAGTCAGCGTGATCATCTACAGCCGGAAACACCAAAGAGTATTTCCTGCAGCTCATCCCAAGAACAGACAACGCGTTCGGTTCCCAACACCAACGTTGTCACGCAGGTCCCTCCTCTAGCGGACACTGTCGAGAAGCAGACACGCCATTTATCATCCCCCACAGGCAACACCAGTTTTTCGCTGCCATTGTCGAAGCCTGCACAGGCTAAAGACCTCGATAGCTTTCCTTGGTTCGAGCGACATCTTATCTCAGCTTATGCGAGGAACCAGAAAGACGAGGAAGATGTCGACTTGGACTTCATGCGATGGTACAACGAAATTCGGCGGCCCTTTTGGGCTCAGATCATAAGTTCATTCGGAAAAGACGTCCCCGGCTCCCTCTACGACCGAGTTCTCGACGAGCTTTGCGTTAGCCACCCATGCCGCTATGACCCATGGACAGGTCATTCGCTCTACAGGTTCTTACTGGGCAAGGACGGCATGAGATGTCTGATGACATTGAAAGATTGGATGTACGGTACAGGGACCACGACTCTTCCGACATGGCGAGACACTCTGAGCACAAAGATTAGAAGCTCCTCCTACGCAAAGGTGCCCTGGGTGCAGAGGGAGAAGATCATCGCCCTGTCCGTGATCCTCGCCGGTGCAGACGCAGCGTCGACAGAGATCCAAAAGGAAGCCTCAGCCACTCGGATGAAAAACAACATTCAGTCGAAGTTTGAAATCCTGGAGGAGTGCCAACTCACTTACTTGCTTTCCAACCAAGATCACGTCGTAGCAAGCAAATACTGGGACGGCTTGGCCGAAGAGCTCGAGGAAGACCCAGAGCAGGAACACCTCTACGACAAAGTCATGCAGGTGAAGCAATCTACACCATCTGAAAGCAGCATATCCCCGTCGAGCTCTCCGATCCACTGCCAAGAGGCTCAGGAACAGGGAGATCAGAGCCACGGTGGCAGCCCCAGACCATCCCGGCAGGGATGCCACGACGGGCAAGCTGGGCCTGGTGGGATTGGTGACTACCAAATATTGGCAGATGTGGAAGAAAGCATCCCCCAGTATTCGGGCAATCATGAGCCATCTAGCGTGGCCCAGCAATATTCTCCCCCTGCAGAAAACACCAACCAAGACACAGAGCACGCCCTGAGCACGATCACTCAAGAGACATCGCTCCAGGACAGGATGCGAGAACTTGAGGGTGAGGTCACAGAATTGCGCAGATACATTGAATCGATATATCAGCAGCTCCCTTGGGTCTTGCAACCACCACCACAGGCGTCATCCAGGCGTTAGCTGTTGGTAGGTCTCTCGTACGTACGATAATCATATGGGAAGCAATTATGTATTAGTGTTATTCTGTTTAAGTTCTGAAAGGTTATGTGCCTTAGAGAGGATAATTAAAGTAGCCTTTTAAGTAATAAGGGTTATACTTATTAATACTTATAGTTTTTCTCTTCTTTTAATAAGTATATATAATCTTTATTATAATTAGCCCTAAAATTATAATTTATTGCATATTAAATATATATAACCTTTATTATAAGAAAGTATTGCTAAAAAGGCTTAAAATTATAATTTATAAGTTTTAAAGCAAGTTTTAGCAATTCTTATTATTATATTACTTTTTAAACTTATAATCTTTATTATTATATTATTTTTTAAATATTATATTTATTATCTTTAATACTTAACTTTTAAAGTTGCTTTTTTATAAAGATTATTAATTTTTATATAAAGGTTTTAATTTTAAATCTTTTCTTTATAAAGAAAGTTAATACTTATAAAGCTAATGCTAAACTTTTTAGCTTATATTTATTTTTATTATATATCTTTATAATATAAATATTATTATTTTTATTTTTATTTTTATTATTAAAATATATTTAATATTACTTTAAATTATTTTCCTTTAGCTACTTTTTATTTTTTTAAAATTAAGTATTATAAGTAGCTTAATTATTTATTAAGTTCTTTTCTTGCTTTTTATTATTTTTTTTAATCTTCTTAATAATTATTTTTTACTTAAATTGCTTAAATAATAATATATATTTCTTAATAAGTTTCTTTATATATAAGCCTTATATATACTTATTAATAATTTAATATAAAAAGTTTTAAAATTAAGTTAATATAGCAATTTAATCTTTTAATAACTAAATTTTTTTAATTTAATATATATAAAAAACACTTAAAATTAAAACTTTTATTAAATTATTTATTATAAAAATTATAATAATTTAGCATTTAAGATAATAATTATCTTAATAATTCTTATTATTAAAGATATTATGCAATCTTATATTAAGTTTTTTAATGCTTTTAATATAAATGCATAGCTTTTTTTAATTATATTATTAAAAGATATTTACTTATTTTAATATTAAAAGTTATTAATAATTTAAATAATAATTATTATAATAACGTTATTTAAGAAAAGTATTTTAGCTTAAGTTATAATTATAGCCTTTAGCTTATTAATTTTAATAATTTTATAAAAGTTAACCTTAATAAGCAGCTTACTTTTTTTAATGCTTAATATAAAAATAAAGTTAAAGGCAATTTTTATAATCTTTATTAAGATTTTATTAACTTAATTTTAATTATCTTTATTATTAATAATAATTAAATTATTATTAATATTAAGCAAATAAAAGTTATTATTATTAATATCTTTATTAATATTTATTAAATAAGTAAGTAAATAAAAGTTGTTATTATTAATATCTTTATTAATATTTATTAAATAAGCATTATTAATAATAACTTTGCTATAAAAATTAGCAAAATTAATAAGCTTATTTTTATCTTTATTAATTAAGGTAATTTTAACCCTTTTTATAGCCTTAATAATAATTTTAATCTTTATCTTATTACTTAATAAGAATATAATTATAATATTTATTTTATTAATTAAGGTTATAATTATAATGTTTATCTTATTAATTAAGGTTATAATTATAAAGCTTATTTTATTAATTAAAGTTATAATTGCAATATTTATAGGGAAATCCTAATTTTAATTAAGAGTTGCAATAAGGCTACCTTTAATGCTAGCTATATTAATAGCAGCCATAGCAATAATTATATTAAGTATATTCTTAGCGCAAAAAGTAAATGTAATATTTGCTAAATAATTTTACTTACCATTATTATTTTTATAAAGCATATTAATAAAAGTATTAAATAATTTTTATAAATCATTATTAATATTCTTTATTATAATAAAAAGAAAAAAGATTTTATAAAAATTTAGCAATTAAAATAAATATTTATAATGCAAAACTTTATAATTATTATATAATAATTATTAATTTATTCTTTAATTATAAAAAAAGTTAATAAGTTATAAATAAATTTAATAAAAATTAGTTTTAATATTTTATTAATAAATAGCAGTAAAAAATAATAATAATAATAAGGTTAATTTTAAAATAATAATTATTAATAATATTAATAATTATAAAGTTATCTTTATATATAATAAGGTATTAAAAAGGTTTTAATTAAAATATAAAAGGTTAAAGTTTATATTAAGGGTTTAAGTTTAAGAAATATAAGGTTTTATAATTAATAGCGATAAGGTTAAAAGGAAAAGGGTGCTAACGGTAAGTTGCTTCTTCCTTAGCAAGAAAAGGCTACTTTAAATTTCTTAATTAATTTATTTACTTATATATAAAGCTTATTATTATTAATAAGCTTTTATAATATAGTATTTAAAATTAGTTTTATTATTATATTAATAAAGTTATCTTTTTTATTTATCTACCTTATTTTAATAATCTTTCTTATTTTATATAATTCTTATAATAATATAATATTAATTATAAGGTGCTTTTTCTTTATTATTCCTAGCTTTATAAGGTATTTATATAAGCTATATAAATTTATATAAATAATTAAAAGTATATTTAATAATAAAAATCATTTTATAATTATCTTAATTATTATAGCTAAAAAGATTTTAATATTTACTTTATTTATTATACTATAAATTTTACTTATTAACATGCTTTAAATAATATATTTATATTTTATTAATAATTAATAAAAAATATTGCTTATTATTATAAATCCCTTAATTTTCTTATAAGTTTTATTTATAAGAATAATAATATATTTAAGTTAAGATATTAAGTCCTAATTATTTATAAATAATCTATTTATAAATATAAAAAGTTTTGCTATTTTAAGATCTAAAAGCATATATTTAATTCCTTATATAGCGTTATTTATTTATTATAATAATTATATATTTAAGTTCTTATAATTTCTTGCCTTTAAATTTTATATTTATATAACTATTAAAAGATTATATAAAGCTTTTAGTTAATAAATTAAAGCTATATATACTTTGTAAGTTTTTTATTTAAGGTATTTCTAAAAAGTATCTTTAATTATTATATTAATAAAAATAAGTTTATTAGCTTATCCCTTTTATTAAGTAATAATTAAGCTAATAATATTTATAATTATATAAGCTTTATTATAATTTATTAAGTTTTTAAGCATTAGCTCTTATTTTAATTTTCCTTATAATTTCATAGCTTTTATTTTAATCTCCTTCTTATCTTAAAATTTTAATATAAATAAAATTAATATATTATTTATTTATATATTTATTATCTTAAAAAGTTATATAGGCTTTATAATTATTAAGTAAGGATTATATATAAAGCAATTTATTTTAAGCTTTTATTAATAATATTTTTAATATATATTAAATTAATAAATGCTAAATTCTATTATACTATATAAAAGTTAAATAATATAAATAATTATGCTTAAAGAGTATTTATTCTTTAATTCTTTTAATAACTTTATAAGAATTATTTTATATAATTTAAACTTTACTTAAAGGTAAGCTTAAGTAATATCTTAAAATATAAAAACCATACCTTTTTCTTAAATTAATAAAAGAGTAAGTATAAGAATTATTTATTAGCTTATTCTTTAAATAATTAAGCTTTATATTAAAATTAATTCCTTTTTATTATTATTATAATCTTAAATAATAAATTAAGATTTCTTATAAGGTTTTATAATTTTACCTTTTACCTTTTATATTATATAAAACTTAAAAAAATAATATTTACTATATTACTTTGCTAACTATTTCTTAATTTAAAAAATACCTTTAATAATAAAATTATTAATTTTTATTTTATTAAACTCTTTAAATAATAAGCCTAATATTATAATAACTCTATCTTATCTTAATTTAATTGCTAAGTTATAATTTTTATTTTCTTTCTTTAAAATATATAATATAATAATATAGTTTTTTATTTTTAATAATAATAATTATATAATAAGTTATATTTAAGGTTTTATAACTAGGTTTTTTGCTTATAAGAGTTGCATTTTTTTATTATTATTTTAATAATATAATTAAATAACTATTAACCTAAATATTATAACTTTATTTAACATATCTAAGGTTATATTATGGCTATTTATAATAATAACTTTATATAAACCCTTTCATTCCTTTTTCTCTCTTTATATGCAAACTTTATATTATAGCGAATATTTTATATTAAAGATAAGTTTAACCTTAGTATTTAATGCATTTTATATTTATTATTTAGCTATAGTTTTTTATAATATTTTTATAGCCTTTAAAACAGCTTTTACTTGCTTTTATATTAATAATAATAGTAGTAACTTATATAATACTTATAAGTAGGCATTAAAAATTAAAAGCATAGGAATTAATTTATTTAGTTTAATAATATTATTAATAGCTTTTATAGCTATTTATAAAATAGCATTATTATTTATATTATTATATAGTTTAATATATAGGATTTTATATATTTATTTAAGGGCTTAATAATATTTCTTAACTTTCTTAATAAATTAATATATTTTTATAAAAACTTATTTATATTTAATTCCTATTATTTATGCCTTTAAATAAAATTCTAAGGATATAAAGTTTGTTTTTATATTATATTTAATGATATTTAATAATCCTTAATATATATTAATTTAAAGCATTTGCAATATTTACTATATAGTTTTTATAAATATAAATTTTAAGAATTTCGCTCTTTAAAAAGTAATAACTTAGTTTATAATATAAAGAATTAAATATTTGCTTAAATACATTATATTAATTAAGATTTTATAATTAAATTTATAATTATTATATAATATAAACTTAAAACGCCTAGGCATAAGTCCGCTTATTTAATAATAATAATATATCTTCTTAATTTCTACTATTGCTTATTTATTAATATTTAAATTGCCGGCTTTTTTAAGCATTTAGCATAATTAATCTATTAATGAATATTTAAAGTAATGATAAAGTTTCCTTATTTTTATTTTTAAGAGGAAATATATAACATTAATAATTTAGTTTAAGAAAAACTATAGGTAACTTTATTTTTTAAATATTGGTATAATAATTACATTATTAAAGGAAACCATTTTATTTATAATATTATTATAATATACTTAAAGCTTATTTATATTTACTAAGTAAAGTAAGAATAGGGTTTATGCTTAAATAATATAAAAGTTAATATAATTAATTAAAATAGAAATTTTTATTATGCTAAGCAAATTAATAATTATCTTATTATTAAATTTAACTTTAGCTTTTTTTATAATAATTATATTAATTTAATACTTTAGGTTTTCTTATTATAATATAAGAAATTACTTATATTTAGCTATAAATATTAATAATGCTTTTATATTTAGCAGGATTCCTTAAAAATAAGTTTAATTATATTTATTTTTTAAAATAAATTAATTAGCTATAATGATTATTTTTATTTAAAAGATATTATTTCCTATAATTTAATATATAAATGCTTTATTAGCTAGGAAATTAATATTTATATAATAAACTTTCTTATTAAGTCTTACCTTTATAATATAAGTATTAGCATTATAATTATTATCTTAATTCTATTTATCTTTATATTTATAAAATTTATCTTTATTATTTATCTTATATTCTTTAAATTTATTTAAAAAAGTATTAAAGTTATTATTATAACCTTTATATTTATATTATATTAAATAACTTCTTCTTGCTAAACATTATTTATTAATTAAATATTTAATTAATTAACATCCCTTCTTCTTATAAATATAATATCTTTTTTTTTAAGGTTATCCTTTTCCTTTTTTATAAATATTATTACTTTAAGCTTTATAATTAATATTATAAGATCTTAGCTGCCTAAAGCTTAAATAGCTTAAGTTTAATTAATTAAACCTTTAATTTCCTTAAAATATTTAAAATTATAACTATTATCCTTCCCTTAACTTTTAATTATTATATTTATAATTAATATAATATTAATTTAAAACTTTATTTATAATATAAATTATAATTATATAGCTAAGCTATATTTTTATTATAAATTTTAAATTTAAAAATAACTCTTTATATAATTAAGTTAACTTAAAAAAAGCTATTTCCAACTTAAAAACTCCTTTGCAAGCTTTAATTATCATTATTCTTAAGTTATCCTTTTTAATATAATCTTAGCTTAATGCTTATTAATAAAGTTATAACTTATTAAGTATTAAATATAAAACTTTATGCAAGTTTTTATTTAAGTTTTATACTCTTATCTTTATAAATATTATTATTATTTAATTTATATAATAATATTAATAATTAAGATTTATATTAAAATATATCTTAATTTTAAAGTATATTATTATAAATATATTAATTTAATTTATAAAATAAAGATAATAAGCCTTAGCTTAATCTTTAAGCATTTAAAGAAAAACTATATAAAATTAACTTAATTAAATTTTAATATAATAATAAATATTAAAAAATATCTTTATCTTATTATTTAATAAATTATATAAATCCTTAATATATTTATAAAAGTTATTAAAGGTTTTTATAAATTATATTAACTTTACTAAATTTAAGCATTTATTAAGAATATATTATAGGGAAAGAGTTTTATATAAGTTATATTTTTTATTTAGCAAAGGCATTCCTAGGGTAGCCTAAGGTTATGCTAAATATAATATATATTTTTAATATAAGCTTTATTTTTATCTTTTTACTAATAATAATAAGCTTTGCTAGCTATATTAATTTTTAATAAATTGCATTATTAGGTTTAGGTTTTATAATTATGCACTTAAAGCTAGCAATAGCAATAAATATTGCCCTAAGGATTATCTTTTTAGCAATTATTATTATTTAAAGCTTATTTATAATACTTATAGGAGCTATATTTATAATTACTATCTTTAAAATTATATATAATATTTATTTATACTTAATTCTAAGGTTAATAAGGTATTATAAAGCTTATTATTAATTTATTTTAATCTTTCCTTAGCTTAAGTTATAATAATTAATTATAATACTATAAATTAATTATTATATCTTATATAAATATCTTATATTTAAAGAAAAACTTTTAAGCATTATTAGTAAGGATTTAATAATGCTTTAAATATTGCCTATATTTATATTATATAATTCTTATAATAAGCAATAAAAAGATTATTATTATAAAGATTTTATTATATATAACTTATTAAAGTACTTATTAAGTAAGTAACTAAGTATTTTATTAATGCTTTTTATATAAGAGCTATAAACTATAGTTTTAAGTTAATATATTTATAATAAGCTAAGTTAATTAAAGTTTAAGCAAGCATTTTATTAATTATATACTTTTTAATAAAAGCTAATAGCTCCTTAGCATTATTAACTATATTTATAGGTTTTTATAATAAATATTATAAAAAGTAAGCTATTAATAAAATAAGTAATATTTAAGAGTAAGTTAATAATAATAATTTAATAATAAGCAAGTTATAATTATTAAAAGGAAAAAGTTATTAGTTTTTTTAAGCTTTAAAAGCTAGGGCTTTCTTTTATTATTAAGTTTTTTTATATTAGCTAAAAGTATAATATATAATTCACGCTTATTTATAATATAGCATTACATTAGCTTTAGCAGTTATAATAATTATAAGCTTTATTTATTTAATAATTATAATAATTATAAGCTTTATTTATTTAGCAAAACAAAGCTTTATTAAGTTTTGCTAAATCTTAAAGAAAATTTAAAAATAAGTTTGTTTTTAATAAAGTTTTATGCATAATAAATATATATCTCTTAAATGGCGATAAATATATATATAAATATTGCAGAAAATACTATTTAATTTATTTAATCTTTATAATATTTACTTAAGGAGTTTAATAATACAGGGAGGCTTAAAAAAGTAGTTATTGCTATATAGCGCTTATTAATAAGGAGGATATAATTTTTAAATTAAGGAAATCCTTATAGGGTTGCCTCTTTTACCTTATTAATTTATAATACCTATAATTATTAATTAATATTAATAGGTTTTTTATATATATAATAATTATATGGGAAGTAATTATGTATTGATGTTGTTTTGTTTAAGTTCTAAGAGGCTATATGCCCTGGAGGGGATAACTAAAGTAGCCTTTTAAGTAATGAGGGTCGTACTTGCCAACATCAGCCGTAAGTGGAAAGCAGGAGGATGCGGCCACCAAAGCCAGGACGGGCCAGAGCCTCGGCGATCAGGATGTTTCACGGGTTGTGCCCATGTAGGGAAGACACTCTCCACTCCGCTTGTAATCGTGGATTGAAGGTAAAAACTGTGGGGGTATTAGTTGGTCAGGGCATATTCCGATAGTGGATTGAGTGGCCCAGGACCGCCTGTGTCACCGCAGACGCCAGAACGTGTCACTCGAAGTACGATGGAGGCGGACCAAAACCTGGGGATACCTACGAGCAATGTACTTCAGCTTTTTTTGGGAACTCTTGAGTGCTTTCAATACCGGCATAGTGAGATCGTTGTAGCGTCTAGTAGAAGCCCTCGAAGGTATCGATCCTCCCCTTTCCGACTTCCTTCACAGCCTCGGCAATGATGTCTTCCCCTCCAACAACATCGAAGGCAAGCCCGATGGTATCGTCGTTCTTGATGGACTCAACAACAACCTTGGCGACATCTTGCCTCTTCACCATCCTGCCCAAGTGTACCTTCCCGGCACTGACAAAGCCATCGCCAGGATCGTTGCTCAACCCTCCCGGCCTCACCATGGTGTATTTGAGCCCCCGCTTCTCATTCCCTGTCCTCAGATCCTTGTCTGCTTCAAATTTGGCCTTCATGAAGTTGCCAATGGCCTTCCAGACCCCATCACTCTGCTTCTTGTCATTGTCGTCATACCAGTCCGGCACAGGCTTGTTCTCCCGATCACGCAGATCCAACGCACTGATGCTGATGAGCCTCTTGCCCGCATCCCCGGCCTGCGATGCGATCCCCAGCGCGTCCATGACCTTGACGGCCGCCTGGTGGTCGACGGCATCGATGCGGTCCGGGGTGGCGCCGTAGCCGGCCCCCGCGGCCCAGACGACGACATCTGGTTTCACGCGGCTCAGTGTGCCGAGGAGCTCGGGGACTGTGGCCTTCTCGACGTCCTGGACGATGGGCTGCGTGCCGAGCTTCTCGAGCTCGCCCGACTGGTCTGGGTTGCGGATTAGGCTGTGGACGGAGTAGGCTGGCTCATTCTCCGCGACTAGGATCTTGGTGATCTCGAGGGCCACTTTTCCGTGGCCACCCACGATGAGTACGGTATGCATAGTCAAGTCTTCGATTAGGTCGCTTCGGCTGGAAGAGAGGTTGTTGTTTGAATGCTGCTCAAACTGTTAGATGAGTACCGGATGTGCGCGGAAGCCAGCGAGTATCTGTGTCTCATGTGGAGCTTGAGGGGTGATGTCACTGACTCCGCATGTAGTCGCATAACCGTGCTAGAATCTAAGAACGCGTCCGCAACCACACAAAGTCTATTATGATACCATAAATAATAGCTCGCAGAAAATGCTTCATCTCCTGTCAAAAAGCCCGTCATTTTGCTCTACAGGAAGCACTTGACTGGTGACTTATGCTGAGGGACTGAATGAGCGGGGATAGTGCTGCACATAACTCAAAACCGCCAAGTACTTCGTGCCAAAATGGTGTCAGTCCACGATTTGCTAAGCTCGGTGTAAACATGGCGTTCGTCTCGCGACGCGGAAAAACTTCGGGTCTGAGTAGAGGGAGTTCTGGGACCCACAAGCTTAATCTCACCTCATTCTACAAAGGAAGGGATAGCACCAGCCCCGGTGGACAAACGGTATAGATGGACTCTTCGTTGGCTGCAACAAAGTGCTCCATGCGCATGGGACGCTGCTCCAGACCAGAATGTGTGCTAGTTAGCTGCTGAAAGACCAGGCATCCACGATATCTATAGGGACTTGATTATTTAGTCGTAAATAGGTTTCCAAGAGACAGACATCCACAGCATCATTCTTCCTACCAAGCTGATTAGAGGATACTTATGTATTCCAGCTGTCTCGATTGAATCTCCGAGATCAGATTTTCTTTGGGGGAAAGAATTGCATACAAATTAATTGATCAGAGATAGGTAAATTCGTAGAAGGATTTTCCACTTTCTTCACATATGAACAAGACCCCTAGAAGCTCAAACCATTGGCCCCGATCTCGCCAAACACATGGAGGGTGGCTTCGCCTGCGGGTGCCTGTCCGGGGAAGCTCTCATTCGTTAGCCATATGCAGGCTGCGGCGGGTCATCTGGTCGCTTACTCCACGCAGTTCACGTACTAGCCCCCATTGTTCGTGGCGCAGACTATATCTTTTCAGCATCTGTCTACTAAGTTAGGCGTCTATCAGACTGTCACTCATCCACATTGACCCGATGGTCTTCTCAAGCCGCCAGAGCCATGGACTCGGCTAGACAAGCCCAACCCGAGCTGTACAAGAGGTTGTCACCAAATTGAAGGAGAATCCGACTCTTACGAGTCCTGCCAGGGAAACAGGAAGACCAAACAATACGCTGCCAGCTGCGCGAAAGCTCCTTCCTGGATGCTGCAGGACATTACAAAGCACTTTCATATGTCTGGGGGACTGGTGTGCCAAGTGAAAACAATGTGGTGTACTGCAATGGTGTCATTGTTCATGTTGCAACGAACTTGTACTCAGCTTTGCGCAATCTGAGGGATGCTACGAGTGTCCTGACCTTGTGGGTCGATTCATTATGTATCGATCAAAGCAACGAGAAAGAGCTTACGCGACAGGTCAGACTGATGCGGGAGATCTATTCCAACAGCAAGGAGGTAATCATCTGGCTCGGAACGGGTGGGCTTGAGACGATGAAGACTGACTGGGTGGGCGTCCGGTTTTGCGGCGATGAGAGAGACGTCCCAAAGATCGAATCACACCTGGGGAAGTTATGGAAGGGAGAGCTAGTGTTACCGGATGACGGGCATGACATTTTCGGTGCTTTTTGCGTGATCTCAATGCTGGCACAGGGACTCCTCGCCTCTCGGATCTGGTATCTCAAGAAATTGAACTACGCCGCACCAATCATCCGGGGGCTTCTTGCTCTGCTGGATGAACCTTGGGTATGTATTTTCTCCCATTCGACGATTCGATAGATGTGCTGATGCTACGTAACTTATAGTGGAGCAGAATATGGGTGGTCCAGGAAACTGTTGTGTCTGACAACGCCGTTGTGTACTACAAAAACATATCGATGCCATGGGACGCGTTTTCCAAAGCTTCCTTGTGCTACCTGACAGGGAAGGTTACAGAACAGCTGGGATCTGCACCTTCCAAGACATATGGGCCTCCGTTGGCCAGGTTCCATCGACTGGTCAACGAGATTGACACCACCAAGAGGGACTGGAATGCATTCGAGCCTTCTGCACTCCTTCCACTGTTGAGGAAGTTCCGAAACCGAGACGCAAAAGAAAAAGGAGACAAGGTGTTTGCCTTGGTCGGCTTGGTGAACTTCTGGGGCCAAGACCAGCCCCTGACCCCCAACTATAGACTCCGGCCTAGCAAGGTGTACTGGGAGACGACAAAGCACCTCATACGAAGCTCCAAGACACTTGCAGTTCTATCAGGAACAACCGCGAGTGGAATACAAATCAACCCTGGTTTTCCAACGTGGGTGACAGACTGGAGCTACCGCCCTTCTTCTGATGGGGCAGATCGGCTAAAGAGTCAGCACTTGTACAGAGCGGCTGGACAGGCCATGGACGGAGTCAATATCCATGGGCAAACACTTCTTGAAACCAAGGGATACTGTGTTAATCTTATCTCGCTGGTTCAAAGCAGCAATGATACTCTTGGAGAAGACGTCCAGACATGTGTTGCGAATTGGAAGCTGTGTCTGCCTTGGCCTGACGACGCTCCTTATACACATGGGGGTTCAGTCAAAACTGCGTTTGGAGGATGAACTGCGGTGATGTCATCTATGTTCCGGAGGCCAAGACCGAGCGGGAGAGGTTCAGAAAAGCAGTTAATCCAGATGTCAAAGCTTTTGAAGACTGGTGCAGAGTCGACAAAACCGCAAATCGCCGAACCTCGATAATTGGGGGCACCTGGCAAGGAATCGTCAGCCCCGAAGAACAAATCACCCACAAGCGACGTAATGATTGCAAGCTGGCCGTTGAGTGCGCCTCAAATGGGCGATGCTTTTTTATCACTCAACAAGGCCGCCTGGGTATTGGTCCACCAACTCTGAGACCCGACGATGCCGTTTACATACTGCACGGTAGCAGAGTTCCGATGATCCTGCGAAATTCAGGCACATCGAAGTCCTGTCGAGACAAGGTTGTGGAGAAGCTGGTGTTCTCAACCGATGAAGCCCAGGCGAAGTTCAGCGCCGGGGGCCGAAAGAAAGCGAAAATCGCAGCAGGCCAAGAAGCGGCAAGATTCTCAGTATGCAACGAGAACCATGAACATTGTTACAAAGTGATTGGGGACGCCTATGTCAATGGGATCATGGATGGAAATATGATTTGGGAGGATGATTCACTGGCAAGACTGAAGAAAAGTGAATCTGTGTACATTGTGTGGTGGTGATAATTGTGGATGTATCATCAAGAATGGGCCTTGATTCAAAGAATGTCATGGCAGCGTCAAGAAACCATGCAAATATGGTTCAAATCCCATTACCAGCATGCGGATCAACTTTGGTACCATGGCAATTTGTGAGAAGCAATTTGGGGACGAAGGCTGACTGGATGATATTCAGAAGATGCTTCAGCTTGATGAATTGAGCAGTCTGGATGTGTTTCACTCCTTAGTCCTTCTCCAGCTACAGCAGTGGACCGCTGCTACTGGGTGTTCCTTCATGAATGCCTACAGGCGTATTTAGGTACTGAGATGAAATCAGAAGATACCAAATCGTCCGATTTCACACGTCCTTTCCTCAAAACCCAAAAGAATCTGCCTGAAAGTTGGTACCATTCTTGTCCTTCACTCCGTCAGATCCCAACTTGCAGAACTTGGGGATCAAACCAGACCTGATCAGTTCATTAGGACAACCGCAAAGGCAACAGTCACCCTTCCCCAGAGGATTTAGAGCACACATTCCAGGGAAAATTCAGCCTGCCAGCTAATTCTCTTCCCTTTTTAAGTCTTCGGCCGATGCTTTGCCTGCTACTTGGGCGCCCACACTGACTTTGTAGCCTGAGCTCAAAGCTTCTACTTCTCCTGCTCCCTGGGCTGAGGTGATTTCGAATTAATCAAGCAAAACACCGAGACCAAGCATCTTGTCCTTCGACTTTTTAGGATCAGGACACCCTTCTCGAGCTCGAATTACTTCGTGCGGACTTTGGTTATTGTTTCAGTACCTTGACCTGTCCGACAGAGAGGAAAACCCCATCAGAGGACGTTTTTGACCATCTGTCCAGGTACAGCTCATCCCTTCTTGACAAGCAACCTCTTGTTGGAATTCTAAGGCGTCCGAGTTCAGGACCATTTGCTCCAACTACCCTCGCCGCCATCTGAGCACATCAAAATGGCCTGCAAGCGCGTCAAACAAGGATTCGGCGTGAGCAGACAACAGTGCCATGTATCAGAGGGCAGTGCGGTAAGTTGGTTGTTGGCAGTTGTCATTCGTCAGCCGACCTAGTCAATGGCACTTATTTGCGCCGAGTGATTCGCTGACAATTTCCCGACGGAAGGTCTTCAAGTTCCTCGATCTCCCGGCTGAGCTCCGTAACATGATTTACTGGCATGTGCTGGTCACCAAATACGACGGTTACCGCTTCCGCCAACCCTCGCTGACCCTCGTCAACAAGCAAATCCGCTCCGAGTCTCTCCCGCTCCTCTACCGCAACAGCTTGTTCTCCATCTTCTTATGGCGAGGTGACCGTACCTTTGAACAGCTTCAAAGGCTCCGGCCCATGCCACCAGCCATTTCAGATCTCACTCACATCACGCAGCTGGACATTCGCTTTTCAACAGCGCTCTGGCGGGGGCCATCTGTCGAAGTCCACATGAGGAACGATGAGTTGGCGGGCGGCAGCCTAGTGAACAAGAAGCTCGTGGGTAGACCCGGTCTTGAGTGGAAGGATCGAGCCAGCATCAAGGCCGTCTACGACCGCGTCATAGTGGATGAGGAAAAGGAGGACGATCAATTCTACTGGCCTTTAGCAGGGCGGAAGCCTGAGTTTGAGGGAACGGATTCGATTGTTGGAAGCTTGCTGTACTTTGCGGAGAAGTGCCCTGCGGCAACGGAGTGGGTTTGGATGACAGCGAAGAGACACCATTACATCATCTGAAGGCCATGCTCATGCTTCGTGGTGGATTGAACAATGATCTCGGATCCCACCGAGTTCGCAGGAAGGTCCGGGTTTGATCTCAATTGACGAGAATGGTGGGGCCTGGTTGGACGCGAGAGCGTTGGCAGTATCATCTCCGATGGGGCATTGCGCGTCCTTCAGCATTTGCTTCGCAAGAATGCACAGGTGCAGCACAGGAGCACTTGGACCTACAGAGGTATTGGAGTGAGATACACTGACATTACACGGGGTGACAAAAGCTCATAGCTAAATACGAACTCAACACCAGGGTGATTGGAGTTTCCTTTTTTGCACCATTTTATGCAGTCTTGAAAGTCAGAGTCATCCAGCTTGCACTATGAAGATAATTGGTGGGCGAGTTCGTCAGGAAGCTGCTGCCATTTGCGCCAGCAATGCCACTTGTCTCCTTCAGACGCCACAACACAGCATGAAGAACCCAGCGGTCACGATAACATGACATAGGTTAGCAGGCTCTGTACCATTGTAAAAGAGGCAGTACTTCTCTGACCAAGCACATGAGCTCCTGAAACCCCAGCCTATGCTTTAGCCGAGGCCTTGACCGCACTTGAATGTACACCTACGTCAGTCACAGGATATGCTGGGAAGTAGCCGCTTGGAGTCCTTTGCAGCAACCCCGCCCGGCAAGCTGATAACAGCCGTGTTTTAGATGTTCACTGCATGTATCTTCTGACAAGACTCACTTTACCCACGAGGTGAGACTTTGGACTGGCATCACATTGTGCATTATATTTACGAGGCCACGAAGTTATGATACCTTGAGTTAGCCGTCCACTCGACACTGGTATTGTTACCCGGAACAGGAATCTGTGAATGATCTGCCACATGGCGTCCCCGATCTTCGCAGTCACCCTCTTCCTCCTCTCCGTCCTAGCCACCTATTGCTACCTCCTGCATCCCATCTTCATATCGCCATTGCGCAATATCCCACCAGCCCACTGGAGCGCGCCCATCTCCCGATTCTGGATCCTGTACACACGCCGCCGCCGCAACGAGAACACCACCATCCATGCCCTCCACCAACGCCTCGGGCCCCTGGTGCGGCTCGGCCCGAGCGAGATCTCAGTGAACTGCGTAGACGGCGGCATACGCACCATCTACGGCGGCGGCTACGAAAAGGGCGACTGGTACGCCGTGTACAAGAACTACGGCATGAACAACATATTCTCGTCGCTGCCGCACGGCCCGCACAGCGCGAGGAAGCGCACGCTGAGCAACGTGTACGCCAAGTCGACGATACGGTCCAGCGCGGCGTTCCACGGCATCACCGAGGTCCTGCTGTGCCACCGGATGCTTCCGAGGTTGCACGAGGCCTCGGGCAGGGCCGTCGAGGCGTACGAGCTCTTCTCGGGTGTGGCGATGGACGCTATCACGGGCTATTGTTTCGGGTTGAGGCAGTCGAGCAATTTCATCGAGGATTCGGAGCATTGCAAGCGGTGGGTGGTCGACTACAAGGCCAGGCAGGCGTTCATATTCTGGCCGCAGGAGATGCCGGGTCTCACGGCGTTCGCGAAGGCTTGGGGAGTCAGGCATTGGCTGGTGCCCAAGTGGGTAGACGTTGCCAACGATAACATTGCGTCGTGGGTTTTGGGCCTGTGCGACAAGGCGGAGGAAGCACACGCGGACAGGGATCGGGTGGATGCCAGGGACCGGGCGACGGTCTTCAACCAGCTGCGGGGCGTGATAAAGAAGTCCAATGGAGACGAGACCGACTCGCCCCTCACCGCGGACGAGAGGCTGGAGATAGCCTCCGAGCTCCTAGACGAAGTCCTCGCCGGCTTCGACACCACGGGTATCACCATGACGTTCCTGGCGTGGCAGCTGTCCAAGCCGGAGCACAAGGGGGTCCAGCAGGCCCTGCGGGAGGAGCTCCGGGAAAATCAAGCAATGTACCACCCGATCAAAGGCGACACAAGCGCTGCTGACAGCCCCGACTTCAAGACCCTCGACAGCCTCCCCATGCTCCACGCCATCGTGATGGAGTCGCTGCGCCTGCACGCCGCCATCCCGGGCTGCCAGCCACGGATCACGCCCGAGGGCGCAGAGGTCGGACCCGCGGGGTCGAGCGTCAAGGGCCTGCCCGCCGACGTGCGCGTTAACTCGTACGGGTACTCGCTGCACCTCAACGAGGATGTGTTCCCCCAGCCAGGGAAGTGGGAGCCGCGGCGGTGGCTCGACGCGCATGGCGGGATCGACGGGGGCGGGGAGAAGGCGAGTTGGTTCTGGGCATTTGGGAGCGGCGGGCGCATGTGCATTGGTTCCAATCTCGCGATGATTGACATGAAGAGCATCGTGGCTGCTATCTGGGGCAACTTTGAGACGAGTATCGTCGATGATGCTGGGATGATTCCGAAGGGGGGATACACCTGTGAACCTCTGGGGTCGCCAGAGGGTAATTATCTTTTGCTGAACTTCCAGCCACTGCAGAAGGGCAACATGTAGTAGCCTGCATTGATAGTAATTGACTTCCGCGCTGGGTATGAAAGTCCCAATTCAAGCACTGGGGAGCCAATTGTTTGAGTGACTCCGGCAACGTGTGTGCCCAAGCAGGCCCATCTACGATGCAGAGAGAGAGAGAGAGAGCAAGTGAGGCATGATCTGTTGATGGCCGTTGTGGAGTGAAGTTTGGCAGAAGTTATGGGAACGCATGCGTCAATGAAGACCCAACCAAGGGAACAGGCGATACACAGCCCCATTGGCAGGACAACAAGCTGTGTGTACCTCACGAATGCCGGAATGCACGCTGATCACATTGGGGTATCTTAAACGCTATTCAATATACCACGCCCGGGACATTGGTCGCCGGGGAGTACTCTCCTCACTTCCCGACATTTTCCCTCATGCCCTTAGTCCGCAGCGTCAGCTTGCCGAAGTCCTCCTCGAACGGCACCCCGACGTCAGAGATCTCGGGTACTTTCGAGCCGTCGTCATCTCTGGGAGCCTGACCTCGCACCCCCTTCATCTTCCTCTTCAACTCATCTCCCGCCAACCGTCCACTGGCGGGCTGGTCACTGTCGACACTCCCGCGGCGGCTGGACATGACACTGTCCGCGTCGTCTGCGAGGCTGACACCCCTGCTCCTCATTATGCCGGCGCGGAGACCCCTGACGCCGCCCTTCTTACGCTCCGGCAGCTCGTCGGTCCCCGCGCTGCAGACGTAGAGCAGGTACTTGAGGTTCGGCAGCGTGTGGCGGATGTCCATCACCTTGAGGCCCTGGGCGGCACAGAGGGTCTCGATGTTCTTGTTGAGGATGAACCAGCCGTAGTCGAAGCGGAACTGCGCCGCCGAGCCGCCACGGGGCAGGTACAGTGGGAAGTCGCGGATGGAATCCTGGATGATGGATATGTCGTCCGTGATGTAGCTGCGGCTGCCGCAGTATGTGATTGGGTACGGCAAAGGAACGGCGAGGTAGAATTGCAAGTGGTGCGTCAACAGGGCGACGTGGCCCAGAGCCGCGGAAAGAGCGTCCTCGTCCGCGCCGCTCAACACTACACCGCCGTAGTCCTCCGCGTTGGGCAGGGATATGCCGCGGATCTGGAACTGCAGCGGTTTCCCGTCCGGCACTGGCTCGATCCTGAATATGTTGTTCAAGTCCTCGCATATGCGGCGCCGCTGTCCGCGGATGTCATCCCTTACCTTGCTGGACCGCTCCTTGTCCGCGAAGAGCTTGTCCAGCGCGCTATTCATGTCTTGGTCGGTCTTCTCCATAAGCGACCTCCCCTGAGCCATCTTTTCGCGACGACTGGCAATGGACGCCCGCAATTTCTCCACCTGCTCCGAGGAGTTCTTGACCGCCTTCTGCTCCGCAGACACGTACTTCTCAACCAATTTCAATTTGTCTCCGGCCTGGTCCAGTTCGGCCCGCTCATCGTGGGTCTCGGCGATGAGGTCATTGATCTGCTGCTTGAGCGTCTCCTGTGTGACTAGGGCATCTTGTATGGAGCGCTCGAGTGTCGACAGGCGCATGAGGGCATTGTAGGAGGAAGTCGGTTGCGGTTGGCCCTGCCTGGGAGGGAAGGACTTTTGCGGTAGCTCGAGGGTATAGACGCCATCGGTGAGGTGGAACACCAGGCAATTGGGCGGGAAATGGGTTCCGATAGTGCTTCCAAGAAAGTTCAGTGTGCGCAAATCCACAAGCTCCTCGAGGTGCAGCGACCACGTCCCATGCCGCTTCGCCCAGAACTTGACCGTGACCTGAGGCAATCGTAGAGTCGGCGAACAGGAAGCCTGGGACAGTTCGAAAAAGCGGAAATCGAAGTTCTACAAGTCACGACGTCAGCAACCGCCGCAACACCTCCGAGCCATTGCATCCGCGCAGGCCCCTCGTGACAGCAGATAATGTTCGGGGCGCGTTCGTACCACGGATCGTTCGACAGTCTCGCTGATATACAGAGGCTCCTCCTCGTCCTCGGCATGCAGGGTGAAGAAGGAGTCGGCCACCCGGCTGTCAATGGTGAGCTCGAGCCTCTTCTGCCTGGTGACGGGGCTCGCGCTGCCCAGGTTGGTGCTCCTCCTACGGGCGGTGGCCGGGCGCAGGCTCTCTGTCGAGGCGGAGTGGTGCAGCTGGGCGTGCTCGCGGAGCGAGACGACCTTGTCGGACGAGTGCTTAACCGCCGAGTCGTCGGTGGTCTTGCCCCGGGGCCGGTCGAAGCTCAGGTTGCGCAGGTAGATGCCCCGGAGGTGGCGGATCCTGCGGTTCTGCGGCAGCAGGAGGGGCCGGGTCGTTTCTGCCATTGGCCGTGTGTGGGAGGGAGCTGCAGCTGGCAGCTTCAAGCAGCGAGGAACATCTATGCAGCGACGGGGAAAGGGGGGTCACAGCATCACGGCCGCTGGCACTTGTTGTTGCTGCTGTGGCCGAAAAGGGAGCTCCCCAGGCCCATGGTCTACGACGTAAGGCAGGGGAGAGCTTTCGAAGATTGCGGGGGAGCTCAGAGTTGACTAGCGCCTGGAGAGCTCTAGCGTCGAGGCTGTCACGTGTGCCTGGACAGCCGATTTGGGCCTGTGGCTCTGATGCGTTCAGGCGCGTTTCACTTCCTTGGAGCTCTGCATGGGGTCAGTCGCCTGAAGATCAACAAGATGAACCAAGTCACTGCGTGGCACAGCTCCGTTGTTGGGTTTTACACAACCTAGTGGTATATGTTTTTCTTTGACATATTTACGTATTTACAAGATTGTTTGTATCGCTACATGTCAGTCCTCCTCTTCTCTGTGCAGTCATAAATGACCTGCTCTTTGACAGGTGATCCCAATGCCATAATGCATGGTGGGTGTGCCGATTCCTGCCCAATATTGCCCTCGCCAATCTGCAAGGGCCTAGGGGTTCGGCCATCTCAACAACTCGTTGCTTCTGAGTGGGCCCGACTCATTCAATGACCATTGACCTGGTGGAGGCTTCTCGTGTCCATGGGCCGGCGATGCTCTCAAAAACATCGGCATCGAGACTTCTGCCAGCCCCCACATCCGTATGTCGATGATGCGCCCAATGATGAAACTCGATCGTCAGATGCGTCGCGCACGCCAATACCGCTAGATCGTCTTCCGGACTTCCTGGCAATCTTGGCTGATTCTGGCCTGCTCATGTAGCCGGACGAAACCCGCTATGGCGAGTGACACCGTCGCCGGCTGTTTGGTGACCGAATACCGCATCGCTTTGACCTCACGAGAACATTTGAAAATCTGCTGCAGAGCTTGGTTCGAATCACCCAGGCTCGGTTGGCTGCGTCCTCTTCGCCATTCGTATCTTCTTCCGCACTCTGCCTTCGCGGCACTCTCGCTGGCCTTTGCGTTGTATCCTCTCAGTCCTGAGGGCCGTTAGCAGAAATTACGAGCCCACTGTTCTGGGCGACTTACTTGATGCGAGCTGCAATTCTGATCGCCTCAAGGTGCGGGTCGTTCTCCGAGTTATCGCTACCGTTGACCTCGAGCTCGACTCGAAAAGGTGAGCTCGTGTGTTTGCTCTTCGGGGCGGCGGCCTCCCCGGAGTCTTTCATGAGAATGTCCTCATGCTGGCGGTAGTCCTCTGCCTGCGTCTCGAATGGTGCCTGGCGGGTGGTGCCGTGCGCGTCGATCGGCCAGTTGGAGACGTGGTCATCCCCGCGCATCATGAATGCGATGCGCTCGTGTCGCTGCTGCTCGTGGCAAAACAGCTCGAGGGGGCTCTCGGGCTTTTTCAGGCTCGGCCTGGTGCAGGCCACCACGCCCGACAAGCCTCCCGACAACGCGACTGGGAGGTGGCTGGATCATCAGGTCAGCGCTGTGTAACGCGAGATTTAGTTGTGAGCTGATGGTCATGGTGTAGGGCTTACCGCCAATCCTGGTTCTGGCCACTGTCATCCAGTCCGAGTTCGTGCCGGCTAGAACCGTGTTCGGCGCGGCTCCGCCCTGGATCAGTGCTCCGGTCACTCATCACTCGACAGCGTCTCCGTAATCTTGCAGGGACGAAGTGTCGAGGAGAATGACTGGAGCAGAGCGTGGTGATATGCAAGTCCCACGAGCTGAGGCTGACGGTCTCACCGCGCCTGCAGGTGGGTCATTCTCCGCACTATCACAGAGGGCTGATGAGGAGTCGAGTCAAGAGGCAGAAGGACCCGAGGCTCTGGTGCACAGTGCCGCTGTTGGGGCGGGGGTTGGTCGAAAAAGGCGATCCTCGAGACCACAATCAGCTTACGGGTTTCGTGGGCGCGGACCCGACAGTCTGGGTCGGGCTGCATGCAAGGCGCTGCAGGTAAGATCAATGGTTATGTGATCAGCCTGCGTCACTCCCAGATTGGCTCGAGCGGTGGGCGGCGCAGCAGAGCTGAAAAAAGAAGCATAATAAGAAACGAGAAGAGAGAACGGTCAAGAAATGGGAGTGAAAACCCGACAGACAGGTTCGCCCAGACCAGACGCCCACGCGCACCCCCATGCCGCATTTCCGCGTTGGCGTCACCGGGGAGTCTCTTTTGCTTGTCCACGCCATGTAACCCTGAGCTCCTGCCCGCCCCTTGGCCAATGAGTGCGCCACCGACCTGCATCCACCTGCTTTTCCTCCGGCCTGCCAGCCCTGTAATGGGTCGATGGCTGCATCCGTCTGCAGCTCTGCGAGAGGACAAGAGGAGGGCCCGTCTAGGCGCTGCACCCGCGCGTCGCCTGTTGCGGACGTTCGCCCCGGGGAAATGAACAAAGAAAGTGGTTCTAGATCCCGCCCGCGGCGCCAGATCAGCAAACACGAGCAGCCGAGACGCGGGATGCGGCCCTGCGACGTGACTGCGTGATCATCACTCGCTTAATCCATCCTCGTCTGCTGGACGGACAAGGTCCTGTGTTGCATTGTGGCGAATGCAAGTGCGGCCGTCTTTCGCGGGCTGGGCCATACAACGCCATGTTATTGGAATGATACGCCAACTCGCCCCCTTGATATGATGTCCGGATACTTTTTCAACAACCTAGCTGCGTTCCATTGTTTTTAATAATAATCTCTTGAACATTTTGCCCTTCAACGAGATAGCACCAACATGGATTCGCTGTTCCTGGTGTAGCGCCGTGCCCAGCCGAGGTCCATTTCTATTCCCCGGATCTTGGGAGAATAACATCAACAGTCGCCACTGATACTTTCTTAACCATGGATGGCAATATGTCACATTCATACCCGCACGCTGAAACTCTCAATGATAATGTACATGCATATCCAGTGACCAATCCCAATCACGTGGCAGAAATCTCTTCCTGGGTGAGCAGCCTCGAGATGGCCTCTATGTCCGCCGCCGTCGCGTTCCTCTGGTCAGCAGTGCCGTAGTACTCGGCCGTGGTGATGACCCTGACGCCCGGGTTCGGCGCGATCACGTCCGTCGGCCCGCGGTGCGCCCGCCCCAGCCCCCCGCCGGGCAGCGTGTCCAGCTTCGGGAAGTACGGCGCCTCGTTGTCCGTGAGCTGGATGTTCCTGCATGTGTCGAACTGCACCCTCGTGAAGTCCGCGAAGAAGTCGTCGAACCGCGCGTCCATGGCCTGCGCGAGCGACACGAGCGCCGCGCCGTCCCCCGGCTTGAGCTGCGCCCACGGGTCGCGGCACCGGTCCTGCTCGCACGACTTGGTCACCATCAGCAGCGCGTTGAGCCGGTTGGCCACCTGGCGCGCGGCGTCGGTCACCGTCGAGGTGCTGGTGTTGCGCGCCAGGTTGGTCAGCTCGTACGGGTCCGCGGTCACGTTGTACAGCTCCGTCTCGCCGTTGCACCAGACCGCGTACGCCCAGTTCTGCTCGCCGCCGATGGTGCGGATCGTCTTGTACGTGTTGTTGTGGAAGGGCGCGCCGAGCGAGGCCGCGCTGGGCGCCTCGATGCCCACCAGCCCCCAGTACTCGACGTTGATGCTCTCCTTGCCGTTGCCCTGGCCCGCGCCCGTCGCGTTGTACGAGGTCGGCTCGTGCCACTGCTCCAGGAGGGAGCGGCCGTCGAAGAACTCGGGCCACTTCGACTCGTCCAGGCCGGCGATCTCGAGGAAGGTCGGCGCGAGGTCGAGGTGGAGCCCGGGGATGGTCGATGTCACGCCCTGGGGCACGTTGGGGCCGCGCACCACGAAGGGGATGTTGACGTCCTCGTTGTAGAACAGCGACTTGCCGCCGGGGACGCGGTGCTGGCCCAGGTGATAGCCATTGTCGGAGGTGTAGATGACTGCGACAGGGTTAGAGCTCAATAAGTAACCAGGAGGGTATCTCCGTAGTGTGAGACTTACTGTAGGTGTTGTTGATGACTCCCTTCTCCTCTAGCATTGCAACAACGTCCTCGACAATCTCGTCTACGCCCTGCAGGGCTTGAAGACGTGACCTGTACACAAAGTCCGCGAAGTTGACAGCGGAATCGTTCATGGGCGACAGCCACTTGACCCATCCGGACTTGCCCTCTTGTTCTTCATCAGTAGGGTTGAAGTTGGGAGGATGTGGCGCGGTGACATCCGTGAACTGGCCAAAATGTCTCTTCTGCGGGATGGGCCTGAAGAGACATTGTCAGTTCATGGACACTTGTGCCAGTACTTTGAAAACGGTGCATACCTGTGTGATGGTCCTTTCTGCTGGAAAGCGATGTGAGGCGTGAATGGAGTTATTCCCAGAAAGAATGGCTCAGATCGGTTGGTGAGGTAGTCCAAACGGTCAAGCCTGCAGCCCGTCAGGATTGGTCATGACTAGGCTTTCTCCCAGGGGATTCGATACTTACGCCTTGATCCGAGTGATGTCAGTCTGGTGGTAGCCAGGGTAGTACGTTGGGCGTTCGCCATTCTTAGAAAACACGGGCACGTTGTAACTGTTCAACGTCTTTATCAGCATCTATACCACAGCGAAGGCCCCAAGGCATCTTTTGAAAAAGATCACATGGCCGTAAAAGTAGACATCCTGGCTTGTGAAAACGTTTGAAACCGGTAAGTGACGTACTCGTCGATGTAAGGCTCGAGCTAAGACGCAGTGTCAGCAACGGGTAAAGTCTCATGCACAAAAACTGCGCCATGCCTAGGTGGTCAAACTCACCACACAGTCGGCGTGGTCCCATCCCTTCAATGTGACATTGTAATTAGAAATTCCATAGCCGTTCATTATTTTGCCGACATCTATAATGGGATTATTGATTAGGCACTCCTCTGCGTGCGACCACCATCAAGTCATAGCACACTTACACTCCGTCCTGTACCCTGCTTCTTTGAGCCAGTGCGGCAGATAGTCCTTGTCTTGGCCCGACAGAACCCATTTGTTGTACGCACCGCTACAAATTGGTCAGTATATTTTCTCAATGAAGACATTTAGCTAAAGACGCCACTGACCCAGGTTTTACAACGTTCGTTATGTTGGTATTATGTACCTGTCACAAGTGAGACTTAGTAAATCACTTGTCAAAGGCTCAGTAGGTGGTCCGTATTATGTACCTGTTGGCCCCGGAGCAAGGACGACCGGCTCGGGCAGCAGAGAGCCTGCGTGGTATAGTGATTGCTGAACTCGGTCCCCTTGGCGACCAGCTCCCTTTGCACAACGGGCATGTAGTCCAGGGACCCCAGCCGCTTGTCCTGGTCGTCTGTCATGATGAATACGATGTTGGGGCCCGAGCCAGTTTGCGCATGGCCCCCGCGCGTCAGGAGACCGGCCAACAAGCCTATGGCCAGGATGATGGATGCAGACATTATGATTATAAGGATCCAAGCCTTTTTGGACAAAGATTTGTGAGGAGCAGAAGGTTCTTTTGGAGGCCCAACTTCCCCTGACGAACTGTCTTGAGGATCGGGAGGCGGCTGTGGTGCGTCCGCTTGTGGGGGAGCGCTTGTCGGCCTGGCTGGATCTGTCGACGCCGTCGCTGCTGCCTTGCTCTTCGAGAAGAAGCCGGGCAGTCCTGAGAACGTGCCATAGCCGTTCTTAAATGCTTTGCCCGTCCCCATCTTGGGCGCGCGGGCTTAGTCTCGCCGTATAGTGTGCCCAGGTGATCTCCTTCGATATTGCCCCGTCGGCCGTGCTCTGCATCCGAGAGCTTAGGTGTTGCGCGGCTTGACGTGAGTGGTGAAGCACGCAATCCTGCAGGTTCGTGACGATGTGAGTGTAAGGTCGAAAACATCGAACCGGCTTCACAACAAACAAGTGAGCTCAAGCCACCTCAGAGTGCCAAAGTGGGTATTGATCTGTGGGCCTGCAGATAGTCAGGGGACCGGGAGATCGACATGAACTCCCGGTTCAGGGCCCACTACGCGGTCTATACTCAAGACGCTTCACTCCCTACGCAGTCTTTGCTTTGAGGCTGAATCTATCAACTTGCAGCCCTATATCTGATCGATTATTTGACTCTGAAGCAGCCTGTACCTTGTTGCTCGTTTCCAACTTCCGGCTCACTGGCAGTTTAGTCGAGCCCAACTTGAGGTCCCTTGTCATACCCGGGCTCCTGAGCCACGCATGCAGCGCGGCGTCGATTCAGTGCGTATCACGTACTGTAGAGCGGTCAGGCAGGGGGCCACACTGTAATATCGAGCAGTAAGCACGCAAGTCCCTGGCAGGTTGACGTTCTGGCGCGTCTAACATTTTCTCACTGAACTTGACTTGATGTTTGTTATCTACTGCCCATGGCCACCCCGGGCACGTCATCAAGGTCATGCCAGCTTTCGACCTAGGGATCGGCACGGCCCCCGCTGCTGTTGGCGGGGAAGGACATGGTTTCCAGCGAGTCAAAGAGGTGAAGAAACCGACATCCAGTGTTTCTCCGATGGTGCGTCCGGGGTGTGTGGGGGTCTGTTGGATACCGGAGAAGAAACCTGCTGAAGATTCCAATGAGGACACGGGTGTCGGCCAAGGTATCGCCGAGAAAGCAGGACGCTTGTGTGAGCCAGGAGTGCCAGGTAACTCACATTGGCGGTGCATGAATCACGTACGCAGGCTTTAATTTCCACGTTCCCTGTGTTGACTGCCATGCAGTTCCTTTGAAATCGTTTACCACCTGTGTACAACCACCACACGGGGCCATTGGCAATTGATTACTGTTCCTTTATCTGTCGCGAAACCTAGCACTTTCGATTCTCAAATTTCTTGTCATGTCCAACTCACACACGCGCGCCCGCCCAGGTTGTTTTTGAAGTTCCTGAAATTGAATCACTCCCAGCAGCGTCTATCAAGACCTGCTGAAGCGAAGGTCTCATGCAGTGATACTAAAAGTTGTCAATTCATCGCTACGAAACTGAGCACAACAATTATCCTAGACGGCAGCCCCCAGCTACCCCCCATTTATAAGTTCACTAGGGCTCGCCATGCTGGACCTGTTTGATGACGGCGTCGATGAGATTCTCGGCGATCATTGCCCCTGGCCAGCTGAACCATGTCTTTGAAGTGCACACACCGGTATAGATGTCCACAGCCTCGGAGAACGTACCGTCAAACTGGGCCGATCCCACAATCTGGCTCCATGCTTTGTGCTCCCGTCTCTCGTCTCCGACCATCTGTGCAAACTTCCACTCCTGGAAGAAACCGAGAGTCCATGGACCAGGACTGTGGTCACTTCCGAGGCCGTGAAACGGCTCGGTGCCATTTCCCTTGTAACCGGAGTTGAATCCTGCTTCAGCGGGACCGGCGTTGAAGGCCCATATCATGGTGTTCTCCCACAGCGTTCTCAGATTCGATTCATCTTCGTCGTAATCGTTGCTCTTTAGAAAACCCCACTCCGGAGCGTACAACGTCGGCATGTCGTTGCCGTCGTGGTAGTAACGGTGCCGTCGTGGATCCCCGGGCTCTTTGGATGGATCAAATCCGTATGCAAGAATGTCCCAGACGGTTCTTTGACCATCGTAGACAGTGTAGTAAGCTCGACGGCTTCTGAAGTTTATCAGAATGCTCTTCCTGATCGTTACGGCCAGACGTTTCAGAGCTCTGATGTCCACTGTCGCTGATGCTAGTGGTCTAAATTGCGGGCATGAAAGAAGCTCGCCAAGCTTGCACAGGGTGTGCCAGAGCAGGATATTGCTGGACAGGTGGAACTTGTAGTCGCCCAACTCATCATCGGCCGGGGTCTCGTCCGAGGCGAAGAGATTTGTCTCAACATCTTGCCGGGACAAGAGATCGTGGAGGATGTTCTTGAAAGAGTCAGTTTGTAAAATAGACTCGATGACAGCCTTGGTTTCGGGCTCGTGTCCATAGGCCTCGAAGTACTCGCAAAGTTCCAAGAATGGATAACACTGCGTATCTAGTTGGAACACTTCTCCATCCTTGGGTTGACCGTTCACCAAATATGAGCGTCGCCAGAAATGACGTGTCGTGCCATCGATCTCGATCTGCGTAACGGCCATTTCGAACAACCAAGTGAGGTGACTAGTGAGCGCTTGGTAGATCTTCACGTCATACTGCCTCGCAATCCCCCAGTTATCTGGCAGTAGATTCGCAAGGTTGCACAAATTGAGCTTTCTGAGGAGTCTCATTTGCCAGTAGTTATCGCGAGGCCAGCCAAGATTCAACGCAAAGTGGTCTGCGATGCAGCAGGTTCCGTCGCCTTCAGAACCTGACATCGGCACGCAGCAGCAGCCGAGGATGTAGTTGACGTTGGCCCAGAGAATCGTGCTCTCGATTGTCTCGGCAGAGTCCCAGTTGAAACCACAGAGTTCATGAATGTGGCGTTTGGCGACCTCTCGGGAATCGGACATGCCATCTTGGTGGGAGAAGAGAAAGCCGGGAGCAATTTCGTCTAGTGGTATCACCCCCGGGGAAAAGGCGGGTGGATCTGCCGACGAGATATTCTCCGGACGGAACGCAACTGCAAGCTTCAGGGTCTCCCCGGGCCCCAACCGAATTTCTTGGGTCGCCCCCTGGCTCGGCCTGTGAGGCGGGCTTTGCAGCATGCCTCGCTGCGCGTACAGCGACCGCTTCACTTCGATGTAGTCATTGGTCGTTTCGTTGTAGAATATGATGTGGGCCAACACTCGGCCACCGAGGCTTCGGTTCTCGACCGCGAGCACTCCATCACCATTGGGGCCTCTGAAACTATCGAGGGAATTCGAAGGATCGGGCATGTCAACAGCTCCCCGATCAGTAAGCTGCCCATACCCAGCTCTGGACACGGCGAACGCCAGGTCCAGTGTGACTGGGATATTTTGAGCCGTATTGCCCATGTTAGTGACTTTGCTCGCGTGGGTTACGGTCCCGTCATCATGAACCTTCAAGGCAGTCTGCACGAAGAGTGTGTCACCACGAATTAGGTACTCGAATTGAACCTGGCTCCCGATGCTGTCCCGACTGGGTCGTGTCACCACCGGTCCCTTCGGCCCTCCGAAGTCGAGCCCGAGTCCGTTGATTTGTTGCATGAGAAGCTTCTCAGGAATTTTGCGGAACTCCCGAACATATTCTGGATCGAGGCGTTGAGCGTGGTCAAATTGAGGCCAAGGCGCCGCCACCATAATACCAAACTTGTTTGCTGCGGTCAAAGGAGCGCTGATCTGGTAGATCTGCCCCAGAGGGTTGGCTGACACTGTAACGCCATTGGCTCCAATGTCGACAGTCTTGCGAGGCCACCGATCTGGGTAAAAGGTGCGCTTCTTGAGTTGATCGCTGGCTGGGGAACACATTATTGTGAATGGATGTGGGTGAGGTGAGTTCATGTAAAGCTGCAGTGGCACGACTCAGGAACAGGTTGCTCTGGAATTTCTTGATGAATGGATTCTTGATGGATGGATCCTTGATGAATGGGTTCTTGATGAGTCGAGTGGTCAAGTGTGGAAAGCTGACGACTGGGACGCAGTCCGAAATTCTATATTTATATTATTTCTTAAGCCACGTGAGACTGCTATACGGACTAGTCACCGGCCTTGAGAATTACCCTTCTTTGTCTGGTACCAACGTCCTGGAGTGAGTGGGACACACCATCTTTTGACTAGTTAGCACATGTTAGAATGGAATTGTCTCAAGTCACATGGCTTTTATTCTCAAATTCATCAATATGCAAACGTGTTCTACTTTGTGTACTACTGATTGCCTGCAGTGAATGAGAAGCGACTACTAATCAGTGACTTGACAATTCTAATTGCGGGGGACGAAGAAAGAATGACAATGTTGGGGCGTACGCATGTGAAGGCCAAGACAATTGCTGTTCTTTATAACTAATATGCGCTCCAGTCTCAACAACATCCTAAGTACTGCGGTATTCGCGGCACAGCCTTCCTCACATGCAATTTCGGAACTATATCGAACGACGAGCTCCGTTGGCTGTCTCTCACAATCGTTACACATTCTACGCAACCTGCTGAGAATGTCTTTCACTATCCCGCTACAGCGATAGTGAAGTTGAAGACGAGCCTCTGAAGAAAAATATGAGTGCGTTGATGTCTTGTATCATGACATACAGTCACTGGCCGGGGAGATTTGAAATGGTCAACGTCAATCGTGGCAAATATCTCGATATTTTGTTCAGTTTGATTGAGCTCGTATTGACCTTATCCCCTTTTCAGACCCTTATTATTATTAACCGCCATGTTCGGCTACATGCTTGCAGTAACGCCAATACAGACAAGAGAAGAAACATGCGAATATGATTTACATTCCCAACGATGTGCGACCAGGCGAAAACCCAATTCAAAGTAAATGCCATGTTTTAGTAGAAACGACAACTCAATCCACTCTCTAGACCGCAACAGGCCTTGAGCTTGTGGGCTCCTCCTCTTCCTCCATCATGGGCTGCAGGCTCGTTGGCGTCATGGGCGTCATAGGACCGACCTGAGAGAGCGGGCGCTTCGAGCTGTTCTCCCAACTCACATTGAACCGAGGAACCGTGGGGCTGGAGGCGGAGCTCTTGTGTTCCTCCTCGCTCCCGCCCGACGATATGGACAGGTTGCGGAACCGCGCGAGGGCGGCGCCCATCGAGGCCGAGCTGACCGAGAGGCGGACCGACCCGGGGCGGGAGCTGCCGTCGCCCTTCTTGGAGAGCTGGTAGGCCGTGTTCATGACGAAGTTGTTGTAGTCCTCCTCGCTCTCGAAGAGGCTCGACGCCACGCTGGCCCGGCGCAGGTCGTTGGCGCTGCCGCCCGAGAGCCCGGAGAGGGTCGACATGCGCCGGAGGACCTCGTAGCCCCCCGGGTTGGCCGCGGCCCAGTTGAAGACGTCCTCGCACATGTCCTGGAGGTCGAACTCGGCCTTCCAGTCGAGCTCCGTCGAGGCCTTGTCGGGCGAGGCGGTCACGGTGCCCAGGTCACCGGGTCGGGCTGCGTCGACGGTGAATGGGACGGAGGTGCCGGCTGCCGTGGAGAAAGCCTTGATGATTTCGAGCACCGAGTAGCCCCTGCCAGTTCCCAGGTTGTAAGCGTGGTAGTTGGCTCCCGGTACGTGTGTCGGGAATGTCGGGGACGTTGGGGATGAGCTTGGTGATCGGTCAACGGGGTTCTCCATCGTATCGGCAACAGCCTTTCGGAGAGCGGCGAGATGGCCCTTTGCAAGGTCAGACACGTGGATGTAGTCCCGAACTCCGGTCCCGTCGGCCGTATCGTAGTTTGAGCCGAACACGTGCACCCTGCTGCGTCGTCGTGAATAGGCCTGCATGATGACTGGGACGATGTTATTGGGAGTCCCCTTGGGATCTTCGCCGATAAGACCACTGGGGTGAGCTCCTGTCGGGTTGAAGTACCGCAATGACGTGGCGTGGAAATTTGGGTGTGCGACACAGAAGTCGTTGATGATCTCCTCGGATATCCACTTTGATCGACCGTAGGGGTTGGTGAGTAGTCCGCCACCGCTTCCTTTGCCGGCAACTTGAACGGTGTCTTCCGTAATGCCGGCCTCGTGCCCCTGGCCGTAGACGACAGCGCTGGAAGAGAACACAAAGGTATTGATAGCGTTTCGCTCGATGGCTCTGAGAATCACCAGGAGACCGGCGATGTTGGTGTCATAGTAGTCCAATGGCTTCGAGATGGACTCGCCGACCGCCTTGAGAGCGGCAAAGTGAATGACAGAAACGATCTTTCCATGAGTCTCGGCGTGATGGGCCAGGGGAGTGATTTGCGACCGCTTGGTGGGGTCAATCTTGTACTCCAGCATTGGATACGCCTTTTTAGCCACCATTGCTGCAACGTCGATGGGAAGCAGCTCGGGCTCGAGAGCGGCTTTGGCGTTCTGCCAGAACGAGAAGACTGCATTGATGCTGTGTGCGTCCCGGATGTCCACTTTGTGGAAAAGAATGGGAGGGACGGGCCGAGAAGTGTCTCCGCACCTTTCAAATTCCTTTGACACAATGTGGTGCACACGGCAGAGAGACTCGAGGTGGCTGTTGCACAGGTTGTCAATGACAACCACGGCAAAGCCGGCTGTGAGTAGCTCCAGGACCGTGTGCGACCCGATGTAGCCAGCGCCGCCAGTGACCAGGCATATCGGAAATGCAGCAGCTGTTGTCTTGCATTTATCGGCGTTGATGCGGAATGTCTGGTGGTGTACCGACTTTGGCAGGGTCGAACCGGACTTGTTGGGGCTCAAGGTGCTCATGTTGAGAATGTTGAAGTATAACAAACGATTGTGGAGTTTTCGCTATTTCGAGGCCTGTCAAAGCAGAGTAGAGTGAACGAATGTGAAGCTGTTGCTATTTCTGGATCTGTCAAACGGCGGGAATGCGGATTCCAAGGCGGGTGGCGCCGCCTTGATATACATCAAAGGCTGACAGGACCGGTCCCTAGTTACCCCCTTTCTTCCTTCACTATTCCTTTGTTGTCTGCCGAGGACCGAGGGTCGGTAGTGCCGCCGTCCTGTAGCGTACGGAAGGTTGGCGCTTTGCGGATCGCCCGACGCTATGGTCTAAGTCGAATGGGAACTCGACTGATCCGGGAAGCTGAGGCCACCAGCACGGGCTTCGATTTTGGACTCGTTGGATGCTTAGGTTAGGGCATGTCTCACCTCACCCAGGTGGTCGGCCGCTTTTATACTGGTCCATTTCTTTTTGAGGCTCGCTCGAAACCATTGGAAGCATCACATGCTATAGATGCAAGTAAACTTGTTGTAGTCTCGTATCCATCCCTTTTCTCAAGGTCGTTTTACTCGGGATTAGGAGCTCCGATGTGAGCCTACAGTCCGAGAGCATCCTACGGCTGGCTGCGTAGTAGCGCTTAGCTCGAGTTCTCATTCCAGCAAGGAGACACCGGATCTGAGCCAGGAGACCCTGCAAAGTGAGGACCTGTGGCGGTTGGGGTTCCCCATTGACATTTCATTTCTGCCAGCTGAGGCTGAGGGGACAGGTGTTTAGGACCGTTCATTAGGAACATACATATTCAGACCTCAAGGATGATTCACGTCGGGGAAAAGCAGCGTTGAAGTTAATGAAATACAAATAGTGATGTCAAGTTTTAGGTCAAGCTTGCTTGAAATCCTTGCTTCAGCTTGTAAGGTACGATAAGAAGAACGTGACAAGGTGTCCAGAGGGCCAAGATAGTTATGTTTCCGCACCTAGGCAGCCATACCAGATCTTGTTTCTGATTTAAGCAGGCGTGCCCGGCTACTACGTCCAATCACATCCTAAAAGTGAGTATTGAGATGCCCTCCATTGTAGAAAAGCGTGTAGTAGAGAGCAAAGCCTGAAGATATGCGAGCTCCACCTTCCAGATCAGATCTGTAGGACAAGAGTCAGATTGTGTGGTGAGATTCCTTTCTAAGTTCGAGGGCCTAACAAGAGAAGCTGTGAGTTATATGCAGTCTTGGAAATCAGGCTGATTTGAGCGCCCAGCATGGTGCCGTAAGTCGCACATGATATTGTGAATGAATGAGTACCTCACAGAAGAATGGCGGTAGTATTTTGAAATCACCGCGCTCTTCTCTTGAGTCTTTTACACATTCCTGGTATCGACCACCTGAGTCAATTGTCTGCTAATTACATAATGAGCATCAGTTGAGTTCCCCGCGGCAAACGGCGTCTCGCCAAGCCTTGATTACGTATAATGCGGAATTTGAGCTCCATGAACCCGTAAACCTGCCTCCAGGTTCAGGACACTTCACAGCTCTCGTGGCCCTACCTGAATATCGCGGACAAACACCACAACACACACAGCACCACAAGAGACAGCACCCACGAAGGATGGCAACTCAAGGCGGACAGACTGCAGACAAGACTGCAGGACTCAACATCGAAGTTATCAACCAGGCCGAGGATTTCACGAGCGCATTTGAAAGCGCAGCCAAGTGCTTCGGGGATCAAATTCACGATGCAGTGTGGACGGCCATGAACCCCGGATGGGACACAGCGGAAGGCAAGGCAGCGGGAGCAGCTCGACTAGTGGATCGATGGAAGTCTACGACTACGAACAAGGATGGCAATCCGAACACTGTGTTCCTCAAGGCAACATTGCCGGACCCGCAACACCCTGACCGGCGCATGCTGGTCGGGTTCGCTATCTGGGCACAACTCTCAGTGGTGGAAGGATACGGCGACAAGCCATCCACCGACCTCAGCAAAAGCGTCGATCTCGAGGCTCTTTATCCTGGCGATTCCACAGAGCAGCGGTTCCTGAGCCAGGCATTTGGTTCTCTGCTCAGGCAGCGTGTGGAAACAGTCCAGTCAAAGGAAGGCGCGAACCCTCCAGCTACGTTTGTATTGGATCTGTGCGTCGTTGACCCTGCATTCCAACGCAGAGGCATCGCGCTCAAGTTGGTGCAGTGGGGAGTGGAAGAGGCCAAGAGACGGAATGGGCTGGAGGCTACAACAGAGGCATCAGCCATGGGACGACATGTGTATGTGAAATTGGGGTTCAAGCCCGTGGCAGACGTTGAGTATAAAGTGGATGAGGATGTCCTCAAGGGTCGCACCTTGCCGCCAAACCTATTTATGCGAACTGGAGGAGGAGGAGCGTAGAGCGTTAACGTCTTCTAGACGCAATACAATGAGGGCGTCCTCACAAATAGTGATCTTGCGGATCATACAATAACTTTGTCTGATGTTGAAAAGTGACTATCAATCTATGTTTGAACTCATTCTCAGGGTTGGGTAGATATCCGTGTCAATCAGCTAGTAGACTAGCAGTTTTGCCGGACTCGGACCTCTGAACCTTGGGCGACAGATCTTTGGGGACACTGGCAATTTGATATATCACAAGACTAAGAACTGATTGTACAGCAATCAGCAGTCTTCATCCGCTTCTCCACACAGATGGCCAAGAATATCAACTCCGCGCTTGGCACGGCTCGGTGGTGTTCCCCTCACGTTGAGCGGATGTCATCTGCTATTGCGCGATCGCCATCCGCAATGACGCAGCCATTCAGGCAACCCTTTCATAAACTCCAGACATCAATCACGACTACTTTGACTGTTCTGTACAGGGGATTCAAAAGATTTGCTAACAATTTATCCAAGCGACACAGCAGTTCCCATCATGGCCGCTGCAGTCGCAAATCCGGTTGCATCCGCGTTCTCCACGCCGAAAGCCGTAGCACCGCCCGGTCAACCGGACATCTCATACGCTCCGGACTACGAGAAGTATCAGGCCCGGGCTGCACGGAGGGTGCAGAGCGAGAACCTGCCTAGTACCTTACCGGAAGGACTCCCCGAGCAGCTAAAGGGCGATTTGGTGTGGGAGGGCAACACTCTCGCAGAGACATACGAATGGACTTATGTTCTCAACGAGGACCAGTTGGCCGAGATTGACCAGGCTGTGAAGCACTTCAAATGTCAGTCTTCTATTTTCGGATCAAGACTTGGCTTGAGATGCGGGAAAATTTTGCTAATATACCGCATCAGCACTTGGACTTCCTATCTCGCATGTTGCAAAGGACACTTTCCCCCTTCCTAAACTGCACTCGGAGCTTCGCCGTCTCTCCCACGAGTTGCACTTCGGTCATGGCTTCTTCGTCATCCGAGGATTAAGAGTCGATGAGCACACCCGTGAGGAAAACGTGATCACTTACGCTGGACTTTCGTCGCATATCGCTCCTCAACGCGGCAGACAGGACCAATTCAGCCCCTTTGACGGCAGCCCGGCAGACGTTGTTCTCACCCACATCAAGGACCTCAGCGATTTGCCCGAACTGAAGGGCAGCATTGGCTCGCCGGCGTACACTACCGACAAGCAAGTGTTCCACACGGACTCAGGAGACATCGTGAGCCTGTTCGCTCTCGAGACTGCACTTGAAGGGGGTGCAAGCAAGCTGGCTTCCACTTGGCGGGTGTACAACGAGCTTGCAGCCAACCGACCCGACCTTATCCACACTCTCAGCCAGCCATGGGATATGGAGGTGTAAGTACTGCCACTCTGGATCGGGCTCAAAACTTCACATTGGCTTATTCACGACGCTGACGTATCTCGGTCCAGATTTGAAAAGAACGCTAAGAAGAAGTTCACGGAGCGACCGTTGCTGTATTACCAACCTGCCACTGAAAGCACACCGGAGCGGGTTCTTCTCCAATATGGGAGGCGTTATTTCGTGGGCTTCGGCCAGCTCCCACGCAACCCTGAGATACCACCGATCAGCGAAGCACAGGCTGAAGCGCTTGATGCGCTGCACTTCCTGGGAGAGAAGTTCTGCGTCAACACCCACTTCGAGAAGGGCGACATCCAATACGTGAATAATCTTGCACTCTTCCATGCTAGAGACGGCTTCGTTGATGGAGAGGAACAGCGGTAGGTGCAATCACCGAGCCACGACCAATTGTCCACCATGTGATACATCTTGCTGACATGGAACAGACGCCATCTCCTCCGCTTGTGGCTGAGGGACCCGGAGTATGCCTGGAAGACACCTGAGGTAATCGAGTGGAGGTGGAAACAGCTCTACGAGGGCGTAACCCCAGAAAAGGAGCTTTTGCCCTTGGAACCATTCGTGCGCAATGCCGGAAAGGGTCGCTGAGAGGCATGTGCGAAGAGTTTGCGAGTGCGAGCCTAATCAAGCAGATTGCTAGCCTCCCTTGTGCAACAGAATGAGTTACATAAGAAATGAATTGAACAACGCTTGGATGCATTGCATTTATCAATTTCGACAACATTCCCATGAGCTTGTCTTTGTCTGTTCAGGGCCCAAGGAAGACTCGGACCTGCAGCATTCAATGCCTATGGCGACCATGTCAGGGGTCCAAGATCTTGGCAAAGCCTGCCAACGAAGCCCGCTACAGTTTGAGAAATAGCTGGTGAAGTTACTTGAGATGGGCTCGAATTCAGGGCCATGTGGGAAGACGACGGATGTCAACCGAGTCTGAGAGCCAAGATCTTTTGGTAAGAAGTCGCCTTGGAAGGGTAAGTGCGGTCATGAACATGTGCTCCTGTGGCTTCTCGAAGGGAAGAATTGTGGGCATTATCTCCACCAATGGGCCAGGGGTATGATGTCGTTTCCTGATCGCGCGAGTTACCCTGTACGAGATCCACCGTCGCACCCACCCGGAAATAAATCTACCGACATTCGCAAAGGGGACTGGGCAGTCCCAATTCGGCGGAGCTCCGCGATAGCTGTCCGGGCTTCACAGCCGAAGCTGTCACGAACAGCCCTCCCCGCCGACGGGCCCTCAGATCTTGGTTCGTGCTTCCATTGCCCGTCGACCCAGCGCCGAGGCTTTGTCTCCAATACCACGGAGATAAGTGCCCTTTTCAGCCCCTCGACCTATCATGCTCCGGGCTCCGTCGTGCCCCTTTCCCGGTAGCTCAGCCTTTAAGCTTCCTGTCTCGAGAGTTAATTGGATGGATACGAGCTTGACACCAAAACGCACGTGCTATTCGTGCTCTCGGGCTGCAACCCAAGGAATGTCACCGCACTTTTTGAAGTTCACGGAGCGTGATGCGAGATTGGTGATGGGTCCTTGAGCGGTGCTCCGACCCGGGAGCGCCGCGAGGAAAAAGGGATATAACAAGTTGCAGTTCCTTTGAGACGAAACTATATATCTGGAACGATCGGATCACGGCCTCGTCGATCTGCATCCTCATCACCATTCACAGGGTGTTTGAAAGCATTGCCTAGTGTGTTCCAGTTAGGCGAGCCTCGTGATGCTTCTCTTCGCCCTTTGCTGGTCACTTTTGGCCTCGGTCGCTTTCGCGGCCTTCGGGTACACAGATCAAGGAACCTACTGGACTATCGACTCCGGAGCGAACCTTGTGATCCAGGTCAGCAAGACCAATGGAGACATCACCTCTATGAAGTACAAGGTAAGTACTGTTACATGCCGATCCTGGAAGGCCCGGTCCGGGCCGACAAAGCGACCGCGACCTGATCGACGTTATATTTGCAGGGTGTCGAGTACAACGGCTATGGTGGAAAGAACACCCATGTAGAGTCTGGACTCGGGGCCAGCACGGTCACCATCCAGCAGTTCTCCAGTCCCTCCGCCATCATCAAGGTCTCAGTCACATACGGAACCCTCAAGCACTACCTGTTCGTCAGATACAAGAACGACAACGTCTACATCTTCACGAACAAGGCCGATGCCTCCGTCACTGTCCACCGATACATTGTTCGCATGAAAGGCGGCAGCTTTTCTCACAACCCGGACGGGTCCAGCAGCGGCGACTCGGACTTCTACCCAGACGGCTCTTCGTTCATCGAGGCGTCGGATGTCTCGGGTCTCAGCGATGGAACCACATGGTCCAAGCACTACAACGGAGGTCTATACGGCCGTGTCAAGGACTGTATGTGAATTGCAGCTGCATCAGAGTTTTGGATGGCTCCCAGCTAACAGTTGCCAGTCGATTACGTCGGAGTGTCTAAGACAGGCGTGGATGTGTACATGATCCGGTCAAACCACGAGAAGGCCTCTGGTGGGCCCTTCTTCCGCAGCCTTCAGCGCCGTGCCGACTCCGGAGGTGAGGATCTTTACGACATATACTATTATAACATGGGACACACCGATCCCGAGCGTTTTGGCTTGCAAGGCCCTTCCGTCCTGTCATTCACCGATGGATCAAAACCCAACACCGCGCTGTTTGCCAGGAACGCCGACTGGGGTTGGTTCGACACACTCGGCATCGACGGCTGGGTTCCTGCGTCAGGCCGCGGCGCAGTGGCGGGTGTGGGCTTGTCTAACATGAAGAGTGGCCGCACGTATACCGTGGGCCTGTCGAATGCTAACGCCCAATATTGGGCGACAGCGGCCGCGTCTGGTGGTGGCTGGCAGATCACCAAGGCCCTGCCTGGGACGTACACCCTCACAGTCTACAAGGACGAGCTGGAAGTCTACACCGGAAGCGTGACCATCACTGCGGGAGGCAAGGCAGCGCTCAACACCATTACTCTGGTCGACCCGAGCGACAAGACAGCCCTCTGGCGCATCGGCGACTGGGACGGGACGCCGTCCGGCTTTTTGAACTTCGAGACGACGCCGTGGAAGCCGACCTACATGCACCCGTCCGACAGCCGCATCGCATCATGGGACGTTGGCAACTTCATCGTCGGTACTACAGCGGTGTCGAGCTTCCCTTCATACATCTGGCAAGACGTCAACAACGGCCACGTGATATACTTCCGCTTGAATGCCGAGCAGCTCACCCAGGCACATACGGTCCGGATCGGAATCACGGAGGCCTGCATAGGCGGCCGCCCTCAGATTACTGTCAACGGATGGACTAGCAAGATCCCTGCTGCGACGACCCAGGCGTCGACGAGGTCCCTTACGGTTGGAACATACCGGGGGAATAATGCTGTCCTGGAGTACACTGTGCCGGCGACGGCCTGGCTGGCCTCTACCAGCGACTGGCAGGTTTTGACGATCAATGTCGTGACGGGCAGCACAGGGACGAAGTACTTGAGCGGTGGGATTTCTATTGACTGTGTTGAGTTGGTCTAGAGAAGATACCCCCAATGCAATGATGCGTCGAAGAAAGTCCAATCATTACGTGGTTCTTTTGCTCATGCGATACGATGATCCCATTCTCTCTACGATATACCGCCTTCAAATCAACTAAACCATCAAGCTTGGAATCATGCTGCTCATTTACCGACATATCTCATACGGGTTCCCCGTATTACCCATGTGGACATTAAACTACTCTCCCGGGACAAATGGACTGGTCAGGTGTTTGACCACGCAGCCTCGAACCGAGTATAGGAGAGCTAACATAGCGTAGTGCGCCCCCAGAGAACGTATTCGTGATGCGCCACGGGAAGCCCTAGACTGGACTCCCGGGAAAGAATTGGCCGAGGCGTAGCGGTTAGCCTCCTGAGCCTCCGAGTCTGATCCACGCCTCGGACCTCCCGAGATGGCCGGCCACCCTGACAGGTAACAGAAGGAAACCTGCCAGTGTGCTGATGTCCTCACTTCGTCCCGGGAATGTTCCTTGCCGAACATCGTCAATGGAGACGGGTAAGATGCAGCCGGCGCGTCTGCGCTTGTCTAACCCCTGAAGCTCCAGGCTCCCGTGCCGTGGCAGCCTTTCCATCGCGTCCGGCGTGGCGTTGGACTAGTCGTGGTACACAAACCAGTGCGGTCTCTCGGGTGTCCCGAGCGGCATTGGCCTGAGCCGGGCATCGGATGGCGTGGATGAACGGTCTGGACTGCGAGTTTGCACCTCGGTCCTGGGCGAGAATGACTCGGAAGCCGTCTCTAACGCGGCCCTTAGCTCATTGGATGGGGTGCGAAGGCACGATCTGTAGATGGTAACGCGGACCTCGGCCGGGAAGCTGAGAGCGTAGTGGAATCGGCCTGAGTCGGTGTCGCCTTGCGAGCAGCGTCGTAGTAGCAGATACACAGCTTCGAAGACCTCTCCTTAGCTTGAGTTCTAACTGCGGTAATGCATCGGGGGAAGGCCTGGAAACGTCGGGCTACTCAATTCACTGCTTATACAACGTCAGAAACCAGTGCTACCAGGCCTTCCAAGCTTTGTTTTGCCAACGGACCAGGACCTGGTACCTTGGTGGATGATATCTCTCCAATCACAGGAAGGCGCATTGGCCACGGGACCGACCACCAGTGCAGCTGGACTGTGGACTTTGGACTTTGCAAGCTAGGCTACTGTAGCCTGGCTACAGCACTTTTCGTTCACGGCGTGTGTTGTACCGTGTGCCGTAGCGCTGCTGATGGCGGTTTGCCGGTATTGGTATAGGGTCAGCAGCTCGTCCATCGCAGTCGCGTCCATTTGATCGACTGGTATTGTGAGTAGGTGCTTCTGTGGGTGGAATTATTCGTGAAGGAGCAAGGCGGAGGACTGCAACCTGGTACTGGTATGGGCTTGGAGTGGACGGCATAGGACTGACGCTGGGTTGGATGGCAACGAACAGGCCGACGAAAAGCTGGGAACCTTCGGTGTGCAGGGCTTTGTTGCTGCACGGTCCATGAACACTCACTTACGGCCAGCCGCACAGCTAGGTCTTCCATTCCTTTGGTAGCCTTGGTAGCTCTGGATGTTCAGCCGTTGCAGCTCAGAGGAGTGCGCTTTAGCGGTGGAATGGCCGTTCACCCATCACAGTGATAAAATAACCATCGGGCTTTGCACAGTACGTGCAGGTGTTGACCTTTATTGTACAATAGTTTTCGATTTCTTGAAAGTAGTTCCCCGTCTGCTCAAAGGTCAACTTCAATGTTCTGTTATGGCCTCCCTTGCCTTGTGTCGCTTCCTCGAGCCACTATCTTACGCGAGCGAGGCACTTCAAGTTGCCCTTCGTGTAATCTTGCCAACGGAAGAAGAGTTTCAGGATCTAGATACCCCTTTGGACCTTCAGGCATCATTCCTCCATCTGCGCATACCTCACTCTGAGCAGATCAAAAATGCTGCAAAGGATTCCCCCTAACCGGCAATCTCAAACCAAGGACACAAAGAAGCTTGTACCCCACAAAGAATCTATCACCTTGTCCACACAAATCGAGTTGAGCTCCCAGGATATCAGTGTTCAGACCCCAAGATGAATCCTGCCCGTGCCGGACCTTCCTTTCAACAGCAGCATCGCCCAAGAATGTTGATTGTGCAGACAGGAATGATCTCCGGCATCTTGATGTCGAGCTCCCCAACCAGAGGGTGGTCCTTCTTGAGTCTTCCGGTGTAGTCCACGATTTCATGGCCGCAATGTCGGTTTGGTCGTAAGCCGGGGGCGGAAAGGATATGGTCAGCGAGTCGGAGCACGTAATAGGCCTCAGGAGAGACAAGACGCTTCTCGTACGCCTGCTCCTCCACTACCCATGCCTTGTATCTTCTCATCCATCCTCGAGCTCCTTCTCTCTTTCCCTCATCGATAGCCATCTTCAACCAAGCTCCGACATCGCAGTGTTTGTTTGCCCAGGAGGCAGTTGTTTCATATTGGCAGCAGTGCTCCCACAGCTCGAGGCCCTTGCACAGAGCGGCGGTGTCGTTCAGATGAATGACCTGCGCGCCAGGTTCGACAGTTCCCAACGCCTGCGCGGCCGTTTCAATGTCCCAAACCTTGTCTTTGAGCACAAAGCGGACATCTCCGATGTTGAGCAGAATTTTGTCACGGCTCTTGATATACTGCTGGTATACGGGATTGATAAGCCGTCCGTAAGTTCGAGACCAATCGTGAACCAGCAGACACGTCGTGGGAGAGCCGAGACTGTTGATCAGGTCGCAACGGGCGTCCTCCGCGAAAAGTCCAAGCAACACAAGATCGACTGGGTCGAGCGTGAGCGTGTCGAGTTTGGGACTGAACCAGGTTCGTATGTAGATATCGGTCTCATTGGTGATTGACGTGGTCACCGAAATCGCACCGCCGAACTTCGCTCTGTCCCACGCGGTGACCATTGAGCCAAATTCTTTCACAACGAGGCAAGCCTCCCGGCATGCCAGAGACATGGTTGGATAAGGCACACAGGTCTTGGGACACAGTGTCGCTGATGTGAAAACGCTTCGTGGTAGAGCAAATTCCCAGACCATCCTTCGCAGCTCCCAAGGAAGGCGGGAAACTGTGAAACGAGGGGCCAGAGGCAGGCTGGTTGACGTGTTTGTCAGGCTCGATTAGGACGAGTTGAGTATCGCGGCAGCCGTTGTCGGGATCTGAGGCAGAAGTGGTCAGTACTTGCTGAAACAGGTACCAAGCAGCGCCATTGGGTCGAGTGCTCCTGGATCATTTGTGTAGGCTGACACTTACCATGATGATCAGCTGAGCCGCCGCTCAAATGATTGTCATCGGCCATTTTGACTTCGCCAGACATCATGCCTTCCACTTTCAACGAACCCACTTTATGTGACGGAAGGTGGTCCAGCGCAGTGGGGGTGGTGTGCTGAAGGGGGAGAGGAGGTCTCAAAGCACCAGCCTTCCGCCCGCTGTACGTACTATCGGCTGGATGTGTGGTAAGGTGCTGCGTTCGTTTTGTTTGTGTGATGGAGGGGGGCCCAAGATTATTGCGGTAAAGCTTCTTTTGGGCTTTGGTAGGGGACCTATGAGACCCAAGTCTTGCTGGACTTCAGCAGCATTCGGCGAGGAGGCCAGAGTTGCAGCATCTGGTGACTAACGAGCTGCCAGTTGTCTGCGTTTGTAGATTGTCAGAAGAGGTGAAGGTTGGAAATTGCTTTGCTGAAAATCAAAAAGTGTATGACAGTACTTGGGGAGGAGCTAGGACCAGTGACGGGGTAGACCAGTAGCTCTCAAGTGACCCCCCTCCCTGTATCTTATCAGGTGTGGCACTTAGGCTAAGTCGAAGCTTCTGCCACTTTCCAGTAAACAGTCAGCTCTGGAGGACTAATTTCAGTGGGGTCTGAAAGACCAACGCTCGCAGTCCCGCATCTATGGGAATTAATATGGTCCTAGCGCCAGTAACTATGAACGTCCCGCTGCATGCTCAGGTTCACCCAGAGGGCGACGGAAAGGGTGGCTGGAGAGGGATCATGGTATGGCTAAACTTTGTTTTAACAGTTCCAGAAGCCATCTAAAACCAGTGAACATGTTTCTAGCGTCCAGTTTTCACCACAGATGTTTAGTCGTACCCCTAGGCGAAAAGAGAGCGCAGCAGCTCAAGTCATCGCGATCATGATTTCCTTAACGACAGCAGACCAGTCTGCCGGCGTTTCCCACCATGAGAAAGATGTGTCGAAAGGACGGTGTTTGTGATCACAAAAAGGCACAGCAGACGCCCAAGAGCCGAATGAAATGACAGTTCCGAGAGAATGTGTATGTATTCCTTCGACTTTTCCCACTGCCCAAGAGGACCCTTGGTCCCCGACGCTGCTGTGGCAGCTTAGATGACGGAATGCCAGCTGGAGATCAAGGAATCGTCCTTGGCTTTCTGATTCAATAACGCCTTTTGAAAAGGACAAGGCAGCTCAAGAGAATTGTCATGTGCGATGGGAAGGCGTGGGATCATGGCACATGGGCGCAATATCTCTGTGTGGGCTGTCGCAGTCTTGTACTTCAATGTTCTAGGAAGTAAACAGGACAAACATCAAAAAAAAGACCCCGACCACCGACCCACTTGAGAAACCTAGATGTTAGTAGAACGCGCCACTCCGGGAGAACATGCTCCTAGGTATAGGCACTAATTGTCCTCACGGACAGACCTATATGAAAGAGTGGCTGTAGCAGTGCTGGGAATTGAACCCCGACCATAGCAATTCAACGGATAGAATTAAACCACTAGGCCACTTGCACTGTTGAATGCAGTTGGGACGGCTTGTTTATCAGGGCGAAGCAGCTTTGGGAGGGGCATGTGGCCAGGGTACTTGCTGTGGCCTTCCATCTGCCGCAATTGGTCCGACAAGTCCACTCCTCGCCCCACCTGGAGACTTTCCCAGGGCAGGCCATCCCATTAGATGGTATCCTATAGAACGTTATCCCACAGGAGGTAATCCCACAGGAGGTTGTCCCACAGGAGGTTGCCCCACAGGTGGAAGGAGACTACCCCAGAGGAGATTCTCCCACGGGAGGATATCCTAGGGCAAGGCATTCCAGAAGAAATATCCCAGAGAAGGCTACCCCAGAGGAGGCTATCCCAGACGAGGCTATCCCACGGCAGGAGGGTATCCCAGAGAGGTCCTCTCCTCGCTGCTACACTTTGGGACGGTGACAATTTTACGTTGTGCTTACCTAGGTAGTTTTCCAGTGTCTGAGGTCTTCCAGTGAATATTTTGCGCTAGAGCGTGTACTTTCCCCATGTCGCCAACGCGTCGCGATCCAGAAGCTTCTGCGTCCATCACTCAACGACAACACCATCATCACTCTCCAAACTACCCATCGCAAACGGACCATTTCGACCACCAAGTCGCGCATACAGTCAAAATGGCGACACTTTCGAAGATGAAGATGAGCAGGGCCCACAAAATGCAGTTGTTCGGCATGCTCCCCAAAAACGGCTTGTACTATGAGTTCTGGGTAAGTTTTGACAGTGTCTGCAATTTAATGTGCCAAGAGCTGCACCTGCTGACGCTTGATCCCTTCCCTAGGAAGAAGAGGATGAGAAGAACAAGACCCGTACTCTTCGCCGCATCCTTCCCGCGATCATGTCCACCAAGATCATGATCCAGCTTCACAAGAAGTACAACAAGCCTACCAAGAACGACTTCGATCACGCCATCGCGGAGCTCTTCGACAGCGCAACGGCCATCGTCAGCAAGGTAGCCAACGACGGCAAGAACCCCTCCTACGAGCTCGACTTCTGGCGCGACCCCAAGGTTGGAACTATCTTCGAGAAGGTCTCCGACAAAACCACCTATCGATTCGCCATCAAGATGCTCGAGGCCCGCAAGCGCTGGATTGAGCGACAGCCCATCGTAGAGGATCCCAGTCACGACGCCGCCAAGTACGAGTGCAAGGCCGCCAAGGCCATCGACCGCTTCAACGGCGCCGTCGAGGTCGCAGCCCTGGCGAGCTTTGACTTCACCATGAATGCGTTCATGATCGACCAGTTCGACCAATTCTCTGACACCGACGACGAGGAGGAGGAGGAAGAGGAGGAGGAGGAGGAGGAGGATCTCAGTGATGACGAGGGCCCGACTCAGCCCCGCGCCGCGAAGCGTGGCATGCTTGAGAATATGAGCACTACTGACAGCGATGTCGACGGCCCCGCCGCGAAGCGCGTCAAGCTTCAGAAGACAGTCACCACCGACGGCGATGTCGGTTTCGATCCCGCGCTAGTTGCCGGCACTGCCAAACTGGCCATCGGTGGAGGTGCGCCTGAGGGTTTCAACGGCGCAAAGGAGAACAAAATGGATGGCACAGGTGATTTCGGCCCCTTTCTCGCCCAGCTGGCCAGGGAGGATGAGGCCCAACTCGACGAGGAGGAGATGATGGAGATGGATGGCAACTAGGGCTTTCGGACCTGACGTCAGCCGGGTTAGGGTTCGTGTAAGTGAGCGGGGCCCCACTACGGGGCACTACAGTGGCTGGACAAAAGCGCTGTCACACCACCAGTGTCGCATAAAAATTGCGGTTTTCAACCCACCTAGGTCCTTAAGTCCACCAAATTTGAAGCAAAATGTTCTCATTGAATCTTTATAGTGGTGACTAGTGGCCTCTAACTTCTTTAGTGCTATGTCATTGTAAGTATGGGCGCTTAAGCCTTCTTGGAAATTGAGGGCTTTAAACCACACAAACCTTACTTGTACTTCAACAACGCCCTCCGCGTGGTCTCAGAAACCTCCAAAGCCAAGAACCTTACACGCCTGCACGCTTGAGATCTCCCACGACCATCGTTACTTATCTCCTGGACTACCCGCCGCGGCAAGATGGTGAGTAGCCTTCTTCTTACCCTTAATCTGCTTTCTGAGGAGAGCCTGACAAACAGCGTCGGTCTCCTTCCGCTTCGTCACGGCAAACCCGGTGGCAGGTCTTCGTTATTGATGCTAACAGCGGCTCTAGGCCTCCTCATCACCAAACAAGCGATCTGAATTGGACAGCAATAGTGCGGAAAGTCATGTTGCTGCCAAAAACGATCCTATCCACATCGACCGCAACGGTAATCTCCAGCTCATCGTCGGCCCAGACGCGGTGAAAATGCAAGTCGACGCCAATGCGCTCCGGCGCGCTTCGAAAGTCTTCAACCGCATGCTGTTTGGCCCGTTCAGTGAGTCACACCAGACGGAAGAGTGGACTGTCGAGCTCCCCGAGGACGACCCAGAGCCTCTGAGAGTCATTTTCCATGCCGCACATGGCAATTTCGGAAGAGTTCCACAGCGGTTAAAGGTCGCCGACCTTTACGACGTCACGGTTATGGCGGATAAGTACGCCATGTTGGACTCACTGCGACCGTGGGCGACTGCTTGGATATCGGGCTTGGAGTACCCATACCTACATCGACCTGAAGACCAGAACGAGACGAGCTACCAAGACCTCCAGGGGCTTTCTATCCTGTACTGCTTGGGCACGCCTCAGAAGTTCGAATGTTCTTTTGCCAGCTTGGTGGCGAAGTCAAGAGTCAACGCAGATGGCGATTTGCTGTTTATTCTCGACGAGGAGGGATTACTCCCAGGAGGTAAATGGAAGGATATTGGCCTACTTCCAGACACTGTGATCGGTGAGCCACTACCAATTCCAATCAAATCCAGACTCAGGACCGTACATGCTGACAGGATGCCGCGCCAGACTTTGCAACCACTACTAGACACGACTTGATCCAAGGACTACTTTTCGAATTGGACATTTGCTTTATTTCTTACGCTTCTGGGGGCAACAGGTCGAGATCTGGGTGCCTTTGTACTTCGACGGCCCTGGGTCTCATGATTCGGCTTCTTGTACAAGAGGGTCTCTGGCCTTTGCCCGATGTGGATGATATTCGCTCGTCCGTGGCTAAATTTTCTGACGTCGTCGACCAATTCGCGGTGCAGATCAAACGCAAAGTCATCGACCGTTGCGGGTGTAGGATCACACTGCCTGACCGCCCCGGGGATTCATCGTTCCTCCGGCCGGGGTGGGAGATCCGACGCGAATTCTATGCACATTTCGCGGCCCGGGATGCAGCAGCGGGATCTGGAAATTGAAGTACGGCACCTGAGATGTCCTCGGAGATTGGATTGCATTTTTTCGAGAGTGGCCAACACATGACCGTTGCTGGACAGGTTCGATTAAATCACCCAGCAACATTGACAGACATTGCTCATGGATACCAGTTGTCTAGTCCCAATATTTGAACTCGGGATAGATGTTAGAAGAAGGGTCATAGATTCAGCGTGTTGAAGAAGTTGAAGACACATCCAGCAACCCCTCCTGGTACTCCTATGCTACACCTTCGTGGAAGTTTGGATATTTGGCATTCAATGCCTTAACTTTTGATCTAATTTCAGTGTGAGGTGTTGGAAAATTGCGCACCGAAGCTTCAACATCGTTAAGTCGTGGGACAACTGTGTTAGAAGGTTTTCCTCATTGAATACTGTGGTGGCGAGAGAGATGTCGAATGGTCAGGGCCCCCGAATATCGACTGTATCAGGGCTGGTCCGATGTAGCAGTTTGATTGAAGCACGCATAGTTTACGGGTCTTAATTACCGTCTTGAAGCATACATTGCAAATTGTAGTTTTGCTGTGTGCTAAACGTCAGCTTCAATTGGAATTTACCTTAGGAATACAGATTTCGGTTGAAAGGTCCGATTGTCAATGAGTCCTTATTTCTGACATGCACTTGTGTTCCTCCTACCAAGTAAAAAATGCCGTGGTGGGTCGTACTCCTGGAAACATTGCTTTGTGAGTCTCTCCTCGGCAGTCCCATGATCATCAGTTCTAAGAGCCACCAATCTTCATCCCAGCCGTTCATCACCTTAGTCTTTTTTTAAGTCGAAGTCGAGTTTGGGGACCTCAATTTCGGGGTCCGTGTCTCCATCCGCATCCGCCTCCCCGTCCACTGCCCCCTGAACATCCCCTTCTTTGATCCGCTTCGCCAGCTCAGCCAGCTCCCGAATGTCTTTCTCCGTCTGGGCGATCTTCTTCTCGAGGTTGTAGCCATAACTGTACAGCTGGAGCTGCTTCAGGCGCAGCTCGTCGAGGGCGGCGGCGTCGGCCTCGATGGTGGCCATCATGCCCATGATGTTCTCGGGGCCGGTGTGGTGGAAGAACTTGGTGCTGAAGTTCCCGACGAGGTATTCGAGGGACAGTGTGCAGCTGTCGGCAGCCTTGTATATGTCCAAGTCCAATCTTCTGGCGGACGCAGACTTTCGCTCGAATTCCAACTGCTGTTGCCTGATCTGGGTTGTGGTCAATTGTCAGAGACGCTCAGGCTGAGCTGGCGGTGCCAAAGAGGGCAGGTAGAGGTAGGCGACGTACCCTGTTCAGCGCCTTCGTTACGTGATCGTGGACATTGCTATAGGCGTGCTCGAGCTTCCAAGCTTCGTGGGTCGAGATTCGAATGCGATGAGGAGGAGTGTACTCGCGCTTGAGTGCAGGTCGGTCGAAGGTGGGCTCTTCAGCAGCTTGGGTTGACTGTTCGGCCTCGTTGGGCTGGTCGGGCTTGTCTGAAGCGTCGGCCATGGGTTGATCATGTGGGCTGTTGGTCCGTTCCTCAACTTTGTCAACTTTATCAGCTTCACCGACCTTGTCGTTGGCCTCTGCCGTGTCGTCGCCGTGCATGTCGGGATCAGGAGCTGCAGAGGTTGGAGTCGTGTCGGCTGTGGTGGATGACTGGTCAGCGTGAGCCGAAGACTGGTCCATTTGCGCAGATGAATCGGCTTTAGGAGGTGGCGGGGATATTTGAACGAAGCTCTCCTGGGAAGGCTCGCTCCTTGCGGCCTTGGACTTGACGCGACGCCAGAACCCAATTGGCCTTTCGAAGTGGGAGTGCGCCTGCCCCATTGTACCGTTTGCTGGCCTGCGCCTTCTCTGTTGGTCTGCTCCGCAAATCGATTGAAACCTCGGAAAAAGCGGGAGAAGAGCAAGAGGTGATGGCCCCGCCTGAAGTACAGGGCGCTCTGGATGTTGCCTTGCTCAGTCTTGCTAACTCTTTGCAAAGGAGGAAGTCTGGTTCTGGCTAAGGTGGTACTCAAAGAGCTTCCCAGATGGCAGATAAGTGTGTTGTGTAGTTGAGCCCTGGGCCGGGCTCAGGAGAGCAGATGGAACCTTCCGGTACATGTGTGGTTTTCGCAGAGGCAGTGACTCCCCCAACTTGATCTGACGAGCACCGTGTGCACTTGGAGTTGGTCTTGAGTCAGAATACAACTCATCGATGGCCATGTATCATTGCATTGCTGGGATTTGAAGATACATGAAGTAAACATGGGCTTCAAAGCAGGCCGGAGTGTGAAAGCATGTTCTGATGGCTAGAGATGGTTGGCGAGACACTGTTCAGCTTTCATACCTTCCAGGTAATACTTCCTCTGATGCTGCGTGGAGCAAACACTAACTCAGGCGAGATCACTCATCGTGCATGAAGAATTGAAAGAAAATTGGAGAACTATTGGGAGTTCACTAATTTCGAGCTCAACTTGTCTCATTCTCTCACGTTATTTTGCCTTTGATACAAGCAAGCACCACCATTCCATTGCTGGACTCAAGCATCCAAGAGCACTGAAAGGCTTCTCACATTGACTCAGCGCGCTATGGCTGCCTACATTCGTAGTTCAAGTAGATTCGGCCTTCATATGGCTGCAACACCTGATCCTCCGGCTCTTGGTAGGTGCTGAGAAGCTTTTTCATGTCGTTTCCATCCTTCCCTTCTAGCCTGATTGGTTGTGCAGAATCTGTAAAGTTCAACACTACCACTGCAGCCTTCTCACCGTACCTCTTGCGGTAGATAAATGTCTCGTCGTTGTCGGGCTCCAGCAGCTCGAACGAACCGTAAATCAGTACATCGCGGTGCTCCTTCCGAAGCGCCAGTGCCTTCTTATAGAAGCTCATAACGCTACTGCCGTCCTTTTTCTGTTTCTCAACGTTGATATCCGTGTATGAGTCATGGGCACGCATCCAGGGCTTCGCATCCGGCGTAGTGAAGCCACCATGAGGCGATGAGTCCCATTGCATCGGCAGCCGAGCGTGATCGCGGGCCATGATCTGCAGGCCTTTCATGATGCGCTCCTTTCTTGTCGGGTCGGCTCCTGACTCAGAAAGTTTCACGGCCTCTGCGTAATGGCCAACGGCCTCTACGTCTTTGTACTCCTCGATCGGCCATTTTTTTGGTGCGTTGATCATCCCAATCTCCTGGCCTTGGTACAGGAAGAGTGTTCCAGTCTGGCTGATGAGACTCAACGCCAACATCTTCGCTGACTTCTCGCGCCACTGAGAGCTGTCGTTTCCAAAGCGCGAGACGGACCGGCCGTTGTCGTGATTCTCGTTGAATACGGTAGTCCAGCCATCAGTATTCTCGACGAATGTCTGCCATTTCTCAACGATTCGCTTCATCTCCGAGAGCTTCCATGGTTGGAAATCGTATTTTCCATCGAAACCATTGCCGTTACCAAGATGGGTGAAGTCAAACTGGAAGACCATGCTGAGTTCCTGGGCCGCGGTCGAGACGTACTCCAAAACGCCTTTCGGGTCCGGGGTAAGAGACAGTTCGCCGACTGTCACCAAAGGCCCGTGGTCAAATGTCTGATATCGATCTAGCACTTCCCGCTTCATCTCCTTGCAGAACTCGTGGATCCTCGGGCCATTGCACCAAAATTCTGGCGCTGCTTGAACGTAATTGTTGGGGTCTGTGACAGGCGCATCCACAAATGGAAGCACTTTGCTGTACTTGTTCACAGTATCGACCCTGAATCCGTCAATTCCCTTGTTGAGCCAAAACCTCATGGCACTCTGATAAATAGCTTTACGGCACTCTTCGTTATCCCAGTTGAGATCAGGCTGCTCCGGTGCATAAAGGTGCAGGTAATACTCCTGGGTGTGCTCGTCCCAAGTCCACGTACTGCCGGCAAAGTAGCTTCGATAATTCGTCGGGGGCAACCTGTTGCCATTTGCGTCGTACCGGGCCGGCCGCCAGAAGTACCAGTCTCTCTTCGGGTTGTCTTTTGATGATCTCGATTCCTTGAACCATGCATGCTCCACCGAAGTGTGATTGACCACAAGGTCCAGAATCAGCTTCATGTTCCGATCGTGACATCCCTTCACCAACTTCTCGACGTCTTCAATCGTGCCATAGGGCGCATAGACGGCCTCGTAATCGGATATGTCATATCCCATGTCGACCTGAGGACTCTCGAACATTGGTGACAGCCAGACAACATCGACACCGAGTTCCTCGAGGTAGTCGAGCTTGGAGATCAGGCCAGGGATATCTCCCCAGCCATCTCCATTGGAGTCTTTGAAGCTGGCCGGGTAGACCTATAAGGACATGTCAGCGATTATCACGGCTTGCAGAGATGCCGAGACGAATGGTCATACCTGATAGATACACGCATCTTTCCACCACACTCTCTCGTGCTCGGTGACGCCAGCATCGTGAGACATCTTTCAGAGACCAGGGCGAATGTGCCTGCAAATTCATCAAGCGCGTCTCAACGGATGCTTGAAGGAGCTGAGAGTATCGAAAAGCTAAGAGAGGAAGAGTAAGGTCTTCAACGTGTGAATTTCTTGGCATTTCTCCTAGACTGCGTGGTTTGGCGTCTTCTGACGGGAACGTACAATGTTTGGAGCGCCGACCGCGGACCGTCAGTAGGGGGGTCGAGTGGGGACGGCGCCAAACCCCCCTCTTCAGCTGCATGGAGAGCGCTGAGCTCGGCATTCTCATTCTCACTGTTGGCGGAGCATTCTGCACTTGGCAAAACGGCGATCGCAACAATCCTGCTATTCGTTCATATGAAGTCCATCAAAGGTGTATCTGAGTGCACACGTAGGAAGGGATCATTGCAGAAAATCATTGAGGCCAAGAATGTGCTCCAACATGGTCTTGTCGGCCCGACAAGCAAGCCATAGACGTACAGCAATCAAAAACGCGTCTTGTATTAGATACTTATTCAGTCAGATGCGACGAGTCGTATGCAAAGAGTCGCGGTGACCAGTACCTCCATCTTAGCGCTGATAATTCATGCCGGTGGTGGTTTGCCAAGCAGCGGAGGAGAGTCGTCTTCAGGTCATCGCCGTTGGAAACTTCCCCATTAGGGGTTCACAACAGACAGCGGTCGCCGTGTAATTCACCGAGCCGCTCCCTTGAGTTCGCTTACTGTCACATTGCACCGCCCTAGCATTTTGGACTGGGGTAGTGCAGTGACCCTGGGAGGTCTAGTGCACCGCAGCTCTTGTCATATATGAACTGCCAGTAGTCCATAGACAGACAGGAGGCTATCCGAACGAGAAGTTTCGTCGACTTTTAGGGTCACTCGATTCGGCTCTCGTCGAAAATTGCATTCATAATGTCGAACAATCACCATGAACCTACAGATCTTACGATGGACAATATTGTCAGGGCTGATACCGATCAGCGCTCGGTCATGGGGGCGGACAACATCATCAAGCCGAATGCTCAGGCCCAGCATGCCGCGTCTGAGGAGAAAACGATGTCTCTCCGCCAGGCTCTGAAGCTATACCCCAAGGCTATCGGATGGTCTGTTCTTCTCTCCTCGACTCTCATCATGGAAGGCTACGACCTGGCCCTCCTTGGTTCGCTCTATGCCTCTCCTCAGTTCAACATGAAATTTGGCGTGTGGAATGATTCCACAGGGGAGTACGCCTTACCGGCGCCATGGCAGTCCGCACTATCTAACGGTGCCCGGGCCGGCGAAGTTATTGGTCTCCTCATCAATGGCATCGCCTCTGACCGGTTTGGCTACCGCAAGACACTGATCGCTTCGTTAATGGCGATGATCGCCTTCATCTTTGTTATTTTCTTCGCTCCTAATGTCCAAATCCTCGTCCTCGGGGAGGTGCTATGCGGCATACCATGGGGTGTATTCCAGACCCTGAGTACAGCATACGCTTCCGAAGTTAGTCCGGTCATCTTGAGGCCATACCTAACCACATTCGTCAACATGTGCTGGGTCATGGGCCAGTTCATTGCTGCTGGGGTCAACCGCGCTTCTGTCACTCGGGGTGACCAGTGGGCTTATAAGATTCCCTTTGCGATACAGTGGGTCTGGCCACCACTGATTCTTGCTGGAGTTATCTTCGCACCAGAGAGGTATGTCCGCAAAGTGTCGCTCATAAGCTCAATCTAACACGTCCAAAGTCCCTGGTGGCACGTTCGCCAAGGTGACAACCAGGGAGCCAAGCGAGCGCTGCTGCGACTGACTTCAAAGAATAACCCGGATTTCGACCCGGACGAGACCATCGCCATGATCGAGCATACCAATGAGCTTGAAAAGTCTCTGAAGGCTGGAACTACGTATTGGGATTGCTTCAAGGGAGTTGACCTTCGACGAACCGAGATTGTCTGCATTCTTTGGTTTGGTCAGACACTGACCGGCCAGAACTTGATGTGAGCGCCAGCCACCTGTGTGGCAGTTATCCTTCGCAGTGCTGATACTACTGCTTTCCTAGGGGCTACTTTTCATACTTCATGTCGCAAGCTGGGATGGACACAGTTCATTCTTTTGTTCTAAGCCTTGCTCAGATGGCACTCGGCTTAATCGGAACAGCGGGATCATGGTGGTTAATGTCCAAAGTTGGTCGGCGGACTATCCACCTCTGTGGCGTCACCACGCTGTTTTCTATCCTACTCATCATTGGCTGCATCTCTTTCGCGAGGACCAACGCGTCTCTATGGGCCACTGGTGCCATGCTCATCACCTTCACCTTCTTCTACGACTTCACCGTCGGCCCAGTCACATACTCGCTCATTTCCGAGCTCTCCTCCACCCGCCTGAAGGCCAAGACCATCGTCTTGGCCCGCTCGCTCTACAACATCAGCAACATTGTCGTCAATGTGTTGACGAACTATCAGCTGAGCAAGACTTCGTGGAACTGGGGCGCCCGTACGGCGTTTTTCTGGGCTGGTACTTGCGGCTGTGTTATGGTTTGGGTGTACTACCGCCTCCCCGAGCCTCGAGGCAGGACTTACGGAGAGCTGGACCTGCTCTTTGAGCACCGTGTGTCAGCTCGCAAGTTCAAGAGAACCACGGTTGATCCTTATGGCCAGGAGACGGGAACACCAGTTGTGACCAAAGCAAATCTCGAGGGCAAAAAATGACAACTATGAAAGTCGTCATGACTGGCACAAAGTGGCCCAAGTGTCAGGAGAAGAGTATGTAGCTAAGAATCAGTCTCGACATGACTTACAATTTCCCTTTTTATGTCACCGAGGACTGCTGCTACGCGCTGGTCTTGGCACCGTGTCGTCACCACCGACGTATTGACATTACTATTATTGGAGTAGCAATGTGCGGGTTTCGATTGTGGGCTCCCCAAGCCCGGATTCATTTACCTGTCTCCCCGGTACGCCCTTGGAAGCACTTGTTGCACTCAAATGAGAAGCACAGTCAGCCATGTATCCGGAACTCCCAGCTCACTGCTGCATGCCAGTGATGTCAAGTTTGTTACAGCATCTAAGGCTCGTGAATAGTATGTTTCAAGAGAAAAACACCTCAGTTACCACGTATGATCAGGATAGGCTTGCAAAGCTATTCTGAATGCCTTTCTGGGTTGCTCATCTCATAGACTCGCAGAGAATGAGATTTAGAGTTCCCAGTTACTTGGGCGCTGCACGCCCTGCAACGAACGCGCAAGGTGAAGTATCCAGTACTTCACTTCGTCCGAATCAGAAAGAAAAGTGCTCTAGAAACCGAACCATATGCGGTTGCATGTATCAACCTTGGAAGGTTCTTTGGAAGAATCCATTTCGCCCGTCCAAGCAAAGTCAAACTTCCGACGACTTATTTAAGTTAGTAGAATTACTTTTAGAGATAGATGTTTGGTCTCTGCTAGTTATTTCTTTAGTTTACAAGTCCCAGCTGCACCAGAAAGGTCAACATTTCGTTGATCGATTTTTTGCGTCATGTTCACTATGTCGGCGGAGCTGTTATTTGAAGAAACAGAGTTGGATATGCCTTATGTTCCCCTAGGCGATTACCCGTCAAAATTGATCTGCAAGTTGAAAGTCAACCCAAAATTATCTCGAAATGATAATCATCGTTCTCGTCCTCGCCTCCACTGTCCTCACTATTTTCGTCTTCGTAATACTGGTGGGCGATTGCTAGGAACCTGAACTCGATGACTCGAAGTCCCGCCCGTCTCATGAAGTCGTTATCTTCAACGATCCTCCGCGCAATCCGACCAAACTTCGTACCGTAGTAAAGTCCGTTGTATTGTGCCTCTTCGATCCCCGTTTGCCCACCACGTATGACGAGCGACCGCCTGCTGTCAATGTTGCCCATTTCTGCATATACACGTTCCTTTGCCTTCTTCAAAGAATCGTTTTGCACATCACAGAAGAATAGACTTCTGATTGATGTGATGTCCCGACCAAGGAATAGTCCCCAAAATCTCAAAACGACTTCGTTGGCATGGGGTTTGCTGTCGTCCGGTCGCCTGTCATTTATTCTGTAGATTCTCTGTATGACTCTGCACAGTGATAAAACGTCAGCCATTTACAGGTTCCCAGGGATGCTTCAAGGCGGAACCGATCAAAATGGTGCCCAGACCGCCCAAGTATGAGCTCCAACCCGGGATCAATTCGATTAGCAATATGGTGGGTCATTATTGAGCGGTCGGTACTGGAAGACAGCTGGGGTTTATACGGGGTATCTGGCACGGATCGCTTACAGCTGACCAGGTTTGTCCCAGACACCAAGTCTTGCGATGACATTATCTCCCGTCGGACCCGGATGAATAACGTCGTGGAGCCACACATCTTTGCCTGCCCAGGGATACCGTTCCTTAAATGGGTCTGAGACCTTGTAGCCAGCGTCTTCCAGTGTTTTGACCCCCTGGTTGCGTATATTATACAATTCATACTCGTCGTTGTGCTGGTGTCCCTGATATCTAGGGTCTCCTTGTTGTCCATAGCCTTCCTGATACAGCTGCTGTCCCTCGTACTGCTGCTGTCCTTGGGGCTCCTGTTGCCCATGGGGCTCGTGTTGCTGGTGGTGTCTCCGGTGCTCATGTCTCCGGTGTCTCCGGCGTGCCTGGGGTTCCGGGCTCTCGTAACGGCCCCAGCAACAGAGCATGTTGAAGTGAATCTGGCACTTAGTTGAGATTAGGTTGTTGTCTTTCTTGTGTAGCACTGCTCCTTAGGTAATGCCTGATCGTGGTTCATGATGCTTGCTATGTCTCCAGAACTTGAAGCAGAGCCGGAAGCGTAGAAATCAGGGACATTCAATGATGTGCCACTTTCAGAGTCTTCTCGAAATCTGATGAGGGTATTCGCTGTTGGCCTGTTATGGATTGAGGCCCTCGTAAATAGTTCCTCTTCCAACCAAGGCTTTTACGTTCTTATGTACAAAATAAATCGCAGAGGTGATTCACACCTGCTCCATGATGGGGCGAAAGTCACTCCTGGCAAATATGAGGACGAACTGAGCCGACGCGTGACTTGCGCAAAATTGGGAAGAATTATACACAGTACGCTGTGATAAAGCCTTCTTACTGTATCACTTGGGCATGGATACGCTTCTACCTTCTTTCGATCCAGAGAGCTCAAACGAGTCTACAGTAGCTAGGGAAAGAAGGTAGTCCCGCTGCTGGTAGTACTTTCTGCAAGTTGATTAACACCGAAGTCTTAATGACAAATTGAACTGGCGTTTGTTCAAGAACTTCATGTTTCATAATTTACCAGCCACTTTATTGTGTAGGTGGACCAGTTGCAAAGAGAACACGATTTCGATAAACTGCAGAATCCCATACGAGCATAATACGTATCAATTCATCTTCATGATCTTAAAAGTCAGAAGCGTTTGAATTCTGTCATTAGGACGTTGACCTGCCTAACTTCAAGCTCAGTGCGATTCTCAAAGACATGGCAAGTATAAGCTTGGCTGCTCGCTGGAACTTCGCCTGCAGCACGGGGTCTAATACGATAGCATTCTCAATCGAATGAGTACTCAAAGTCCTCTGTATCTTTTTAGTTCCATCGGCGTGTTTTTGTTTCGGGGCAAAGGTGCACACGTGCTTGGCGCATGTTCCATTGATTTCCCACAAGATCATCAATTCAGTGTGACCTGGTCTCAGACTGCAAACATCCCATACCAAGAACAAATTACATTTTTAGAATTGAGCGATTGATGCTCTCTTGTGAGGTGCTCTATGATCATAGTCCACAGGCAGGTGCAATGAAGCGGCGAGACTGGTGCTCATACGGCTGGTGGGAAAGCGTTTCACAATTTCGATACAATCACGGAAGGGAGTATCTGCGAGACGCAAATGCATTTGACACAGGACCCTGCTCTTATGTGGACTTGATTGCTTCCCAATATCCATAGCAACGTGCTTGTAACACATGTCGAGATGCGCTGGCTTTGACCAAGAAGACAGCATCGAAGCATTATCCAGGACTACCTTCCATACAGCATCAGCGACTTTTGTCACTGAGAGCAGTTATGGCATGGCGGTCTTTTGCATGCAGAATGCAGTCATTGGTGCAGTAATGCGGGGAAGAATTCAGGTACGTGCTTAACACTGAAGTCGGCCCGCGTCGGGGCTATTATTATTAGAAGCTGGTTGTATTGCCAAGGTGATTTGGTAAAATGGCTGTCACATGAGCCTTGGAATTGGTGCGCCTATACCATTTCTTCTTGGCTGGCCGTGCTCTATGTGGGTCTAACGGAACAGTTAAATGACACACGATCACGAGAACTTGGACGGCCGGTGTTATGTTGTCCGCGTTCCCCAATACGACTGGACGCGAGAGTTGAGCTTCAGGCATATAAGAAGGTAAGAAAAGAACAGTCGAGGTACATGTCAGACATCCGGGATACATCCTAGGCCGGACTTGAGAAGAAGCCTGTGCACATTCCAAAGGCCCAAAATGCATTTGTTGCGGACCGCCTTGCTCGGCTTTGTCAGCCTCCTGTCGCTGCAAGTCACGGCCACACCAACTCCGTCGGTCCAGGAGCGCCAGACAACGACAATTTCTAATCGAGTCATCTTCTCGCCCCCAACCAATGCTGGGTGGGTTGATCCCCGCGTCTTGTATGCCCGGGCTGTCCATTTGAAATCCGGCGCTCTGCTCGCGACCTGGGAGAATTATTCTCCTGAGCCGCCTGCTGTCTACTTCCCCATTTATAGGTCGACCGACGGTGGTTCGACGTGGACAGAGATCGGCCGAGTCCGTGATACAGTCAACGGCTGGGGCCTGCGATACCAGCCCTATCTGTACGAGCTGCCCAGTGCCATTGGACGTTTTCCTGCTGGCACGCTGCTCCTGGCTGGCAACAGCATCCCAACAGATCTAAGCAAGACCAAGATAGACGTATATGCTAGCACCGATGGTGGTGTGAACTGGTCGTTTGTCAGCAGTGTGGCGAGTGGAGGTGAAGCCCGGCCTAACAACGGCTTGACACCTGTCTGGGAGCCTTTGCTCTTGTAAGTCTTGCAATCTCCCAGTGTACACATGCACTTCCTGTTCCGGACAAATGGTAACTGACAATGCTGGCAGCGTCTATAACAATCAGTTGATCTGCTACTACGCCGATCAGCGCGACTCGAGGAACGGACAAAAACTGTCGCACCAGACGACCACTGACCTGGTCTCTTGGAGTTCCCCGGCAGACGACGTCAGGGACGCAAGCAACTACGCAGCGCGGCCGGGTATGCCAGCCATCGTCAAACTTCCGAACAACAGCTACATCTTTGCCTACGAGCTATGCGGAAGTGATGGCTGCCGTGTCCATTATCGAATCACCAGCAACCCACTCAACGTCGCGGCCGCGGCCGATGTCACGCTCAGGTCCACGGCCGGAACGGTACCCACGAGCTCGCCGTTCCTCGCCTGGTCCAGCGTCGGTGGCGCCAACGGAACCATAATCCTCAGCGGGGGAAGCCAATCGCAGATCTTCACCAACCGGGCGTTGGGAGCTTCCAACGCGTGGGTCCAGTACAACACGCCACAGCCCAACGCATACTCTCGCTCGCTGGCTGTCTTCCAGGACGATGCAAGCAAGCTTGCGATTATCGGCGGAGGCTGGCTGCCACCTAGCAGTACCAATCAGGTCAGCATCAGTGTCATTGACCTGCGAGCTACGATTGGGGTTTGAGTGTGATTGGGAACTTCGGAGCCACGATGAATGTCCGCGCAGGGCGACTGAATGTAGACAGATGTCTAAGGACTGGCTCTAAAATATTGAGGCTTTGAAGTGGCGTACAATTTATCATCTATTGCACGTGCGACTGAAGAGCATCAATGTCAACATCATGGCCATCGTTCTTAAGTCAGTGAAGCTCTATCTTAAGCAAGGGCAAAATAGATGCTAAATCGTAGTACCATATGAAATGCGCCGACTCATTGGCCGGCTTACGACAAGCGCCTCGGATGTAAGGTATGAAGTGGGAGGTAACAGAGTTCGTATCATTACTAGTTTAAGCCTTATGGGGCATCCTCGTCAGCAGGAATGGCATCGCGCAATGTTCCGCGCAAATTGGCTGTCAGCGCGCGTCCTACGTTCCTTAGTTCGGTCACTTGCCTCGGAGGATGCAGGTAAGACGCTCGACAGTGGCGCAGCCCAGTCACTGAGCTGCGCTACTTTAGGGAGGCCTCTAGGGCAGCCTCAGCCCAGGCAGCTTCCAAGGCACCTCGAAAGTGCCCAAGTGGCTTTCTACATCCGAGTTTGCTTTAGTTACTCAACGACATTTGCCAAAGCTCAACTTGCCGCACGAAGCTTGAATTACCTGCGACTTTCTCCCGCACAAGGAATCTCCACGGGTTCGCCGATTAAGCTTTCAACATCCATTGAAGCCAAGATGCAGATCCCGTACAATCAGTACGCCCAGCCGAGCGACCAGCGCAGTCCATCGCCGTATGCGCCGTCGTCGCCTTACCAGCAGCAACATCCTCCCTACGAGGCCCAGCAGCAGGCATCATATGGGTCTCCAGGCGGGCCACCGCCATCGTATAATCAGTATAATCAGTATGCGCAGCCAAGCAACGCGCCATATCCTCATCCGTCGCAACCGAGCTACGCAGGACACCAGTCGCCCTCTTACAACTCCCAGCAGCCAACCCAAGGTTACGGATACAACGCGCCCGCTCAGCAGCAGTATGCATCTCCGCCGCCGAGTCACTCCCCATATCAGCAAGAGCCACCGTACCACCCACCGGGCCCACCATCCCAGGGCGGATATGGCGCTGCGGCAAGCTACCTGAACTCGGACCGACCGGGAAGCCGTCCAGAAGGCGAGGACCGCGGAGTCATGGGGGCTCTAGCCGGCGGCGCCGCCGGCGCATACGCGGGGCACAAGGTGAACCACGGGTTCCTCGGTGCCTTGGGTGGGGCATTCGCCGGGCATAAGCTGCAGGACGCCATCCACGACCACAACAAGCAAAAGAAAGACGAGTACAAGCAGTCTCACTCGCCCCAGCCATCCCAGTACGCACAACACTCGCCGGCGCCTCACCCTCCGAGGCAGCACTACGCGGGCAACTTCTCCGCCTCGTCGACCCAGATGAACATCGACGGGGACTACGACCTCATCGCCTCGTGCAGGCGGATGGACGGGGGCCAGAGGTTGTCGTCCGTCAGCTTGAACAACTGCCTGACGAACGAGGATGGTCACTTCCGGTGGGCCAGGGGCGGGAACTTTGGTGCTTCGGCCAGGAACGTGCGTCTTATTGACGGGGCCGGACGCTGGAAGCTGAGCTGAGGAACTGCGGTGGTGCTTGGGTGTGGGACCGGATCGCGTTGGATGAGAGGATTGGAAATAGCAATGGGGACTTGGTGATGGTATGAGAGCAAATGAACAGCCGAATACGACACTCTCCGGGTGGCATGAGGTAGCTGCAATGGCAGTGTGGTTCATTTCTTGCCGAAAATGATACTCAACCTCGATGAGGCGAGCCAACACCCAAAGCTAGAGGCTCTGCGGGCATCCGATATCACTCTCTCAACGGGGACAGACACATTCGGTTGTAGGTTGCCGGCATGACTATAACCCGTTTCCATCTACAGCACAGTCGGGATTTCTGGCACACGTCAGATTTGCATCTCATAATGCTTGATATCCAAAGAAGCAAGATTTTATCACACTTGCGCATTGAGTGTTGTATATTATGTGATATCAAACCGCGATCAATACCCAGCCTGAGTGGGCAGATCTTGGCCTCAAGGGCTGCCTCAGTCATGTCACAGATGCCAGCATCAAGACCGCACGCATTCGGCCGGACCGCTCTTTCAGCAGCAACATATCCAGGTACGCGTAGGCTTATCTATGCGAAGTAACTCCGCTCCGCTGTAACTCAAGGTTGTATTATGGCAATCTCATGTCGGCGGATCAGTGTAACCTTATCTCCAATGGGGATCCTATCAAGCCGGCATGCCAAGAACAATGCTTCTTCAAGCATGCCCACGCGATGCGACGATAGCGTGGAGGGAAACACTGCTGGTCATTTCTTCGTCAATCTCCACTGTGCTTTTTCCCCCAGGCGATTTCCGCAGGCGGACTACGATATGGCTTCCCCAACCCCCGAAGGTTGGGCGCCATCAGAGACACTGTCCCGCCATTGGCGGCGTCACGTACCACTTGACTTGCCAATGAACTTCTGTGCGACCAATAAAAACCGCTAACACGACGCACTACGGGTGTATCAGTTCGTCCTAGTCGGGATGACCACAATGCCGACACAGGATGGGGTTCATCTTCAGCACAGCAAGGGTGATGTGAGGGGAAAACGGATCGGAACGAACTTACCTTGATCTGAGACAGGCCTTAGTCCACAGCTTGATAGGCCAAGATAAGACTTGTCTTCCACATATGCCCTCTGCCCGTCAAATGAGAGAGAAATGCTCGATGCCCATGGCACTGATAGATCGTCACGGGAGCTCTCCATTGCTACCGGCAAGCTCGCTACCAATCCCATCGGGAGTCCTCCGCCTCGAAGCAACAACCCCTTACAAGCCGTGACGATTAAGCCTTTGCCTAGGGACAGGCCACTCAAGAATGCATTCCTTTGAGAATGGCCGGTCGGAGAAGAAGCCGGCCATCTTCCAGCCGTCGAGCGGCGACGAGGAGACGCAACCCCCAGCGACTCTCGGCACTGTTACGGAGCTGCACGACCTCACGGTCCTAGGCTATAAGCCAGAACTTCGCCGCAACCGTTCCATGTTCACCTTGCTCTTCCAGTCACTAGCTATTGCAGCAGTCAGTGCCACATACTGGTGCCCGCGTATCGTCAACAACTGCCGCTGACCGAGATTACAGATACCATATGGCTTTGGCGGGCCCCTCATTTCTGCGATATATGGCGGAGGTGAGCTTTTCGCTTGTTCGACCATGCTAATCTCATGCTGACCCTTCAACAGGCCAGCTGCCGATGTTTTTGGGTTGGGTGGTCGTCCTTATTGTCGATGAGTGCGTGGCATTGTCCCTCGGCGAATTTGCGTCCAAATATCCGACCTCTGCCGGGCCATATTACTGGTCTTTCCAGCTCGCAGGCCCCAGTGTTCGAACAGTGCTGTCCTTCATTACCGGTATGTCCCTGCTTCTGACTACTTCACACTTCGCAGCGTGATCTGTGACATAGTTAGAAACTAATTGAGCGCGCTGCTGGCAATAACTACGGTGCTTGCTTTGCTGACCACTAGTGAGCCAGGCTGGACTTGGCTAATTGGGAACTGGACGATCACGCTGAGCGTTAACTTCGGCTTCGCCTCGCTGATCGCTGCGACTGTGGCGCTCTACCACCCGGACTGGACACCAGAGCCATGGCAGCTGCTGCTGATATTTTACGCGATCTGCTTACTCGCCTTCGTCATCGTCGCTTATGGGAACAGGCTACTTCCGATGGTTGATACCATCTGCGCCGCGTTCACTGCCATCAGCATCCTGATCACCCTGATTTGCCTTTCGGCAAAGGCCTCGGCTGGGAGACACTCAGCCAGAGACACCTTGGTGAGACCGTTAAGCCTAACTATGAAGTGCTGGGCGAGGCTAATAAATCGGTAGGGGCATTATGATACGTCTCTCTCCGGCTGGGGAGGGTTTTCATTCTTCATAGGCATCCTCCCTGCAGCATACACGTGAGCAATATCTATGCCATTTGAATGGACCTTGAAAGCATCCTTACAAGTCTGCAGGTTCTCGGCTATCGGCATGATCACGTCCATGGCGGAAGAATGCGGAGATCCGACCACGAAGCTACCAAAGGCCATATCGCTGTGTGTTCCCGTGGGAGGAATCGCCGGTCTCTTCTTCATCATCCCCATCTGCGCGACCCTGCCGCCCCTGGAAGACATTCTTGCTGCGCCGGTGGGGCAGGCCCTACCGTATATTTTTGGAGTGGTTATGGACTCACCTGGCGGCGGACTGGGCCTCACGTTCCTCGTCCTAGTCATCACGCTGTTCTGCTCAATCTCCATCACGGTGGCTGCATCGCGGTGTACTTGGGCATTCGCACGCGACAAGGCTCTTCCTTTGTCTCGGCTCTGGTCGAAAGTTGACATCCGGCACGGAACGCCCATCTGGGCTCTCACATTGGTGAGTTACCTTACATCCGGCGATATGCCAGAGGAGTCACGGAATTATGTTGCTGAGGACTTTGTGTTGTACTATTGTCCATCTGTACTAACCCTGACAATCACTCAGACTACAGTTGTACAGATGCTACTTGGACTCATCAACCTTGGGTCATCGTCAGCTTTCTTGGCGTTCGTGTCAGTCGGCGTGATCTCCTTGGCTGTGTCCTATGGAATCCCCATCGCTATTTCCCTCTTCCACCGCCGCAGAGACGTCAACGGCGCACGATGGACCATGGGAAGCACCGTCGGCTGGGTTGTCAACGTTATCGCCCTTCTGTGGATCATTTTTGAGATGATATTATTCTCAATGCCGACGGTGTTACCAGTAACGGAAGTCTCCATGAACTACGCCATTGTGGTTTTCTTCGGTTTCATGGCCATCAGCGCGACGTGGTATGCAATTCATGCCCGGAAAGGTAAGTCCACCGATTCAGACCCCCTGCGTCTCTTGATCTTCCACAACTTTGCTGACACCACGTTGCCTAGTCTACAAGGGACCCCCGGAGTCAGATGGGCTCGTCGTTACTTCTTGAAGGACGTTGCTTACAATGTAGAGTCACGGGCCCCTGTCCACCTCCAGGAAGCGCTCTCTATCACTGGGTCGGTTCCGCTGTAATCACATGGCAGCTTTTGTATGGCATCATGCATGTAACACCCTTTAGCGCAGGTTAAATTTCGCTAGCTTCGTCAAGACCCGGCTTGCTCATCTTCCTCATCGCCGTCCAAGTCATCCATGTGCTCTCGAGCCCATGGACTTCTCTCTCGCAAAAGTCGGCCGTGTCGACTCCAAACGAAAGGGATCGGAACAAGTACAACGGCAAGGCCAGCAAGAAGCGTTCCTGCCCATTGGTAGCCCAACTTGGTGAAGAGGCTATGTGCGAAAAGTGGGAATGCCGCGCCGAAAAGGTTTCGAATAAGGCCGATACCAGCTAGCGCAGAAGCTGAATAGACCTTGTATGAGTCTTCCGTGTATGTGAATGTCCTGCTCTGCATCAGTAACTGCTATATTGCAAAAAGAAATCGTCTTGAAAAAAATGTAGAATCAGGCTTGTTTGCATAGTAGGGCCTTACATCAAAATCAGGGTGTAAAAGCTAAAGCCCCATAGAGTCGACGCTAGGACGGGAAGTATGGGATGAGTATTAGGGCTGGTGGTCAGAGCGAAGAGAAGTAAAGACACCGGGAACACTGTCGTGGCAATGTCAGCAAGCCGGCCCGAATATCACCTGATTGAGGCCGCGATGGCATGCATAGACTCACACACGGCAGCGATTTTGGGAAGTGGCCCAACTCGCGCTTCTGGAACGTTCTTGCCACCGGACTCGTCAACGAGTTTCTGGTAGTGTTTCTCCTGCCAAATATTTGCGACTGGGCCGAGGCTGATGCCCACAACCAGGCCAAGGAAGCACACACCCACACCGATTGTATCGAAGCCATGACCCTGACCAAAGACAAGGGCGAATGCAGTGTTGAAGAGAAAGCTCAACCCGTAGAGATACCCATTGTAAAGAGCAGCGCATACTATGATGAGCTCGGTACCGAGGAACCTGAACGGCCTAGCAAGCGTGACAGCAAAGAGATCTTTGGCGCTCCTTTGCCTCATGTTTTCAGGAATATCGATGTCGTCCTCGCCGTTATGAAGCTTGCGTTCATGCTCAACTCGCCTAGCGAGAAGGATGCTGTGCCGGGTCTCGCCGCAGTACATCAGTGAGGCGGTCATGATAACCCATAGGCTCCCACAGATCGCAAGCAAGGCCCAGAACACATCGCGCCAGCCTCTGTGCTGAGCCACAAACGACATCATGAAGAACCCAGACGGTGATCCACAAGTAGCTGCCCAGAGGTAAAGGGACATGGCCGGCCCGGTATCATGCGGGTGATAGAGATCTGCAATGGTTCCACCAAAGTTTGCTGTTCTACATCAGTAAAGCAGAAACAAGGGTAGCTTTGTGCTGATCTTGTATCTCACCGATGGTCACAGAAGCAAAGTAACCCGACAGCAGCCTCACTGGCAGGAACACGGCAAGATTGGGGGCCACTGCTGATGCAGCAAGTAGGCACAGGTAAACGAAGTAAGAGTAAATGTAGACTGGGCGCCTTCCGTAGTACTGCCATACTCACTTATTAGTTTCAGACGGGACGAAAAGGAAGTTGGTTCTTGGCACAAACCTCAGAAAGAGGTGCCAATGTCATGGGGCCAAACGCCAGTCCCAGCACGTAGGCAGACAGTCCCAGTGTTCCCAGACCCGAGTGCAGTCCAAAATCCTCGGCAAACTTTTTGCTCGCAGGAGAGAAGCCGGACGCACCCCAGCTGACTGACAGGTCGATGAGCAAGATCGGTCCAATCATGAGCCATTTCTTCCATCGTGGCCAGTTCCTCGGGTCCTCTGGATCCTCATGGGAGAAGTGCACGACGGTCGTTCCGTGGCCTTGGCCTTGGCTATGCTGACTGTTGACATGGCTTCCGTAATTCTGGTGTTGGTTTGGCGAGGCCAGCAGGGGCTGATGCGCTGGAAGTGGCTGGTCTACCATCTTCTGGGATGTGACGAGAAGGCGACGCGGGATGATTTGTTGCAAGTCTGAGGCAAGCCAGCCAGAATCTCCCAGAAGGCCCAAGCAGACCGTACAGACCCGGGGAGGACTGGTGTTTGCTTTGTGGCACACCCCTCACTCGTCCTTATCATCAAGTGGAGCTGCCGCGGTCACGCCTTCGACGACGTTTGAGATAAGCGGAGGATCCCAGAAGCTAGCTTGTTGATCGGCTCGCCAGTCTGCTGATGGGAAGTCGTCGTAACAGCTGTGTTGTATGAGCCGATCGAACCTCAGCTGACATCAATAAGGCATTGAAGTTGAAAAGTTGAACACAATGATGCAATATGTGTTGACTCGCCGATGGTGATTTCCGAAGGGGTCAAGTGACCGTTGAGGTCAGCCGTTAGGCGTGTCTTGCATCGGCACTATCTCACTGGCGCATGACGTCGGAGCTGGGAGACAGGGAAGCCTAACCCGGACCCTTGTCCCCCAGCTGCGGTTGAGGTGAGTCCTGCGTAGGTCGGAAGGACGTTGATAAATAGACGCATGATGATAAATAGGGAATAAATTGATAATTGATGAATGCACGGTGAATAATTAGAGTAATCATAGCTAAAATAATCTGGAATAATCTGCGTAAACGACAAGTGGAAGCCAGTGACCCATGAATGAGCCGATATCTGTCACTGAGTGAGTTAAATCTATGATGTAGTGGGATAACCTCCCGTGGGATAGCCTCCACCGGGATATCACCCTGTGGGATTTCTGGACTGTAATTAAGAACAGAGCTGTCGCTTCGCCTCGGATCATAGCAATTTTCTTTCAAGCCCAGCCTCTCTCCTGGCCCTCCCTACGTCCTTTCAGCTCCACCCAAACCGGAGACTATAAAAACACGGAGAGCTGGCACGTCTTATTTGCTGACTCCGTTTAGTGCTTTAGCATCCATGATTCTTGGTGCAGATGTGTTTACGGTCCATTGATTTCGTTCCTCGGTTTCAACAGAGCATAGGAGTCTTTAAGGGAATAGGAGCAAACTATAACGTCTTGACTAATGATTGAAACACGACACGGGCCTTGTTTTGTCTTTCTTTTCTGTTTCTGACTTTTTTTTTTCTTTTTTTTTTTTGAATAACTACATTAAATCGTGCTGGGGAAGGGTGAGGACCTGAGCCCAAGTACTCAGAGAAAAGGAAACAGGACAGCAGAATAAGGAAAAAGGATTCCAACCGAGGATCAAGGAGAGTAAAACCACAGACACAACAAGGATAGGAATCAAACGCAGAATACATCGCAAACTCCGACGATAATGTCCAATCCCCTTTCCCCCAGGTTAGATGACCGGAGACTAGCCATCAGGGTTAGAGGCAAGTGTTTAGGCAGATAGACTTTATATAATTCCCTTCTTTCTCTGGAGCCTCCAGTCTGAAACCTCGAAAGGAATTGAACGCTTCTGGAGTCCTGGGCCAACTGTACATTTATCAAATCAGTTAGCAATAATCCTTCGCCTACCATTGGAACAAAGATAGCAAATGGGCCAGGTGTGTCCGATCCTCATCTACCAAACAATTAGGTAGACTTACCGAGCTCCCTCTGCTCCATATCGAAGCAAACATCTTTTCCGTCCTGCTCCTTGCACACGGGGTGGATCGTCTTGGTCTGCATGTCGCAGAAATAGCCGTGCTCAGGGTTCACGAAGCTCGGCCCGGCTGACGATGCGGATTCGCAGAGGGCGTGGGCGTTGTGAGCAGGGACGTCATCGACCACCAGTTTGTTGCGGTACTTCTCCTCGAAGGCAAGCTTGGCTTCCGCAGCGGAGAGCTTTGGCTTGCTGCGTTTGCGGGGAGGTGCTGTCTCCGAGCGCTTCAATACGGGGGGCCGCCCCGGCTGCTGATTATTGTGATCCCTGTGATGGTGGATGATGTAGGCTGGGTCGTAATGCTGGTCTGGATGATAATAATGTTAAGCATATTCTGAACGTAATGTTTCAAAACGACATCGGTGGAGTTCGCTGATGGGGCTGCTTTACGGAGGGGATAGTAGTTCTAATTCTCAACTGCGCTCCCGCCGAAATTGTGGAATCTCAACCTCGCAGAAGCATGTCATGTACTTACAAAGGTGAAAACTTGGCGTTTGACACATGCTTTTGGCTTGCTGCCCGATACGAGCGTCGTTGACGTCTGGCTTCATATCCAACCAGTTGACTTGGAAGCCTGTGGCAGGTGCTCCTCCATTCAAGTCGATCCACAGGCAGTTGGGCTACGATGTCCGTGTTAGTAATGGATCAGTGTCATGGAAAGCAAGAAGGTCTACTGACCCAATATTTGGTCCCAGGAACAGCAATCTTGCCGACTGAACTCAAATGTTAGCCAAACTGATCGGCCGCGCCAAGTCACAAGGTCGGAGAGGTTGCGTGTAGACTCACAAAACCATGTGGCCATCGACGGATCATCGCCTGCGCACTCGGAGCCCCAATCACCGACCCAGCTGTAGTGGCCTGACCTGCCTGGCCAGACTGCGCTGACGAAGGAGATACATTGCGCATTTTCATTGGCGCTGAACAAGGTGTAAACGGGTTGCCCTTTCGATCCTGCCCAGAAGATTGACGATTTGCCTGACCCAACATAACTATGTAGCGTTGCAAATCAGCATCAGTCCGGTTCTCCACGTGCAGCTCCTTCGGACTCATGGCTTTCATGAAGCCAATCAGATTTTCCGTTGGAGGTAATGATGCATTTGGTCGAATATTTGGAAACTTACTTGCCAGGGTCTGCAACCATTCCAATAAACTGACCGTCAAGATCAAATACTACGGCATCCGGGGTCAGCGATCATGAGACGCAGGAATGAGGGCAAAAGAATCAGCTTGTGTCAAATCCTGCAGGTCAACAAAAACCTGTGGATTTTGAGGCAGGCAATCGCAAGGGATGATAAACTCGGCACGTGTTGCTCGTCAAAGAAAAGCAAATGGTGCCCGGAGGCTGCTTACATCGTGCGTCAGGTAGATCGCCGCCAGCGTCTTTGAAGTCGCCATGGTCAAGACCAGTGTATACCTTGAAAAACGTATTACGTTCCTGGTATGGTGGGCGAAAACCGAATGTTCCATCCGAGTAAGCACTTCTGTCGTGATCGAGGGCACCAAGGAGACCTTGGAAGATCCCCAGGGTAGAGTCCATTGTTGACGATGTCGGTTTGGTAGAGCTACGCGTCGGCAATAATTCACACGAGGAAGAGCCGAGGAGAAAAGAGTTGAGAATTTCAAAATATCGGTGGGGGGCTGGGCCGCCTTTTCATATCTTGATCGGCTGCGCGCTGATGGGTCCCAATCAGCTGAGGGCTTTGATCCTCTAGAGCGCTGGTCCCTTTCAATGGCTGGAATTGCCTAGGTCAGGGTGCACACGATACCTCAAGGTACTGTGTACAAGATCGCATCTGGACGGCTTGTCGACAGGCCAGGTCCCTCGTGCGCTCATCACAAGCGGCCCGGGCCAAGCTCAGCTCGAACTCACATAATCCGTGATGGGCTGCCTCCTCATTACCTAGGTATTTAGTTTAGGTTAAGGGTGTTTAAGCGTTTAACACCGTATGAAGGGACTGGATGCATACTGATTAAGAAGTATGTGTGTACAGGTTGAAAACGAGACCACTTAGGTTAGGTTAAGGTATTTCGTATTGATGCTCCTCTAATGTCATCGTGAAATGGCTACAATGAACGGACTGCGGCGCTAGTCACAATTGCGCAGCGAAGAGTGAGCCCAGCTCGTAGATGGTGCGTTAAACCAACCGCTCGCTAATACGGCAACAAAATGTGATGAGCACACCATGCGGAAACTGGTTAACTGATAGAGCTGGTTGTACCTGATCGCTGTATTGGTGGGATGATAGAGGCTTCTGCGTAGCTCCTGCTACTTCCGTATTCAAGGACCGATCCGCTCAGTAGCAGAATTAAGTGCTTATCGTGGGCCTCGTTTTACCCTTCGCCACGCTTTTCTTTGCATGACTGCACCAGAGAACCTCATCGCAGGTCACAATTGACTTTGTCACTTCCGGCATCGGATGGCAATGGAATCCCAGCAACGCGGTGGAAGTAGGCCTCTGAACAAATCCGAGACTCCATGAGAAACAGCTCGACAGCATTCGCTCCAGCCTAACTACCAATAAGACCAGCTCCCGTAGGATAGCCTCCTATGGGATAACCTCCTGCGGGGCATCCTCCTATGTGCCGGAGGTTGTAGACTGCAGCCCGTTTGGAGTCCGGACTGGTTCATCGTATTGGACTTCTAGGACGATAACGCTTCGACCAAATCTACCTCGGTAGTAACCAGCTACCCTCTGGGAATGGCATTGCGGACGGGGGACTCGTGCTTAAGACGCTTTGCGTGATGCAGAGGTATGGGCATTGATCTGTAGGCCGAGCTAGTGTTGCTTGTCTAGATATAGATATGAAATAAGATGCCGACGATATGTTATTCTACATGCTACTGGCTAGTCTAATCCGTAAGTAAGCCTGGACTAGATAGGTAGCTACTTGGCAACGACCTCTTAAGTGTTTCTTATGCATAGTTCCGTTTGTACCCCGCTGTACATATCGTTTCTCAATCCATTCCAAGAAACGACGTGAATGTTGTCCAAGCATGGGAAGCGGTGCTAGGGCGAGGTAGTGTCTTAGGGTGAGGGGCACTGTTACGAGAGGCTTTTGAGGAGGGAACCCTGACCGTCTCAAGGCTAATTAATACGAGTTCCGCCCGAGATATGATCTAGCATGTCTAAAAGATCTTCAATGAATGCTCCCGGATTCCGCAGTCACTAGTAGGTAATTCAACACATGCCACTTTAATACAAGTTTGTTTGTGTGGCCTCAGACCGTATCTTGCAACTCCACACAACTAAACTCCCATCAAAAGAAGGATTGACCTGTGAAGATGTCGATACCAGTCTCACTGTTTGCCTGATTCATATGTGTCTAAGAAAGCTTCTCATATTTCCCGCACTACATGTTATTATTACATTAATCTCATTGCAAGCAGCCTTGAGCTGCTACACTTGTATGAGTGTGCATGGCGACTCTTGAAAGAACAAGAATAGAAAGAAGGACACGCAAACGACGGCAGTGCGATAACAATAAAGATGCCCTGGGACAAGTATTGAAACTACCCTGAACTAATCCCATGCTATTTTTCTCGTCGAGGAAACAGTCTGTGTGTTGAGATCAACCGTCATCAGGCGTTGGCTTCCGAATGTCCTTCGTATGCTATCATTTGACCTTTTCCTTATAGACTATTTGTGTTCTTTGAGTTCCTCTACTAAGCTGTAACGACAATGATTGTCCTAGTGGGACAAGAGACAATGTAGGTTGTAGGCAATTACAGTCAATTCGCTATGCAAGGCTTGGCCTTTTCCCTTATATTAATGAAATGATGTTGCAACGGCGGCACAAGTCATTTCAAAAGGTCCAATACTCTTGCGTGGAGGGCCTCGCCGTGGTAATTAATAGCACCTCGGCTAGTATCCCTCTCTCAACCTCTGAAAGTCCCGTCTCTGTTCGGCACTTGGGCTCCTCGCTGCAATGTCTTCCAAATCCTCCTGCCCACCGACTCGACGGAGCTTGAAGCGCTGGTACAGGCCACCCTTGGCGTTGTGGCGGTTCTGAACTGCTACAACTGTATAAAGGCCGTCATATCTTATGCCACAAGCTGGCGAGTAATGCCTCTGCCGTTCTCCCTTTGAAGCACTCCTCAAAACACGGACCGGCTGCCGGTTTGCACAAGACTCCACCAGGGAATCGTTGGTCGCCCTTCCGATGACCTCGTGAGGGTTTTCGTTTTTGTCTGCAGCCTCGCCGCTGTAATAGAGCACGTCGCCTTCGTCCAGGTCTTCGTCGTACTGCCCAGACACGACGATGGAGAACGCGCCGCGCTCGGGGTCTCCGGAAATCCCACGCATCCCGCCTGAGTGTGCCCCCCTGAAATGAGCAACGACCATCTTGGGGAACCAATCGCCAGGCGTGAGGCCGTTATTCCCATAGACTCTGGCATTTTGCATTTCGTCCCTATAGCGGTCGTCGAGAACGTAATTGGTTTTCTTCCCCTCCGTGACCATCCTCGCGCCATGCATGATCCCACCGACGCCCCAGATGGGATGGTCTGCGGGTGGTCCGCCTCCAGTCGCGCTAGCTCTTCGCATCCCACTGGGTGCACCCCAGCTCTCAGATTCAAATTTCTGGTAAAGGAGCTCTGCGGCAGCCACCAGGTCCTCTGGTAACAGGCGCCTCTCCTGGATAATCTCCTGCAAACGTTCATCGATCTTGGAGTAACGCTTGATATCCGGCGTCATGTGTATATCAAATCTCAGGTACGGGAGGAACTGCTTCCTGACGAAGGCCAGTTTCTGCTGGCCGTCGCGGCTGATTTGGTTGCCACGCGAGCTTCGGTATTCTTTGATAAGTGTTTCGAGTTTCCAGCTTTGCTGCTTGGTCCAGCGCAATTCTTTGCCAGGAGTAGGCTTGAGAACATCCTGGGGCATTCTTGTGTCATCCGGATGCCTGACTGGTGCTGATGTGGCAGCAGCCCTGCGAGGCATGATGGTCCTGTGTATTTAAATTCAGGATCGGTATCATGACTCTGGCTCTGCCAGAGTTGTCGCAGCAACGTTTGAAACTGTAGGTGAAGTCACGTCTTCAGAGGTGCCTCCCCTTTTTGATTGAGGCTTCACGTCAAGTTGCTATGCACAGAACGTCTTTCCTATGTGCTTTTGTAATTCTTGGTCCAATCATGGACGTATATATCATCAAGTCTCAGCAGCTGCGGAAATGTAGCATGTCAGGAACTGTGTGCGCTTGATTTGTGAGGTAGACCCGAACTTAAGTGCCCGCCTGCGCTGGATGCTCAAGTGGCGTTGACTAGGACAGACTACCTAATGGAAATTATCAAATGTTCTAATGTAATTCAACGTGAAAAGCGTTGTGCTCTAGTGGGGTTGTACAAGCATGAAGTATAAGCGTCGGAAAGTGGCTAGTTGGGGTTCATAAAATATAAGAGGAGAATCACAAGAACTCAAGCTTAAAAGACAGCTTAAACAAGTCGGCCTTTATATACGAGAAAACTAGTATTAGGTAATCAAATATTCTAATTATTACGTAATCAAAACAGGCTAAACATACAATTATGAGTCATACCATATTTGATTGGACTGATATCAAAGCTAAACGACTAGCGTTAATCTGAAGTCTGCACACCCTTGCTGGCGGCCTTCAGCATCACCACATTGGCTCACAGCGTGCGGGGAAAGCCAAACCAACCTCGGCGCACACCCCGGAAGGGTTACACTGGAGCATCTTCGATGGACATGCGCTCTGGATACGCAGTAGAGGCCAGGGGTGCTCGACTGAACTCGATCCAAGCCGTTCTCCTTTCGCCGAGTGACGGTGGCTGGCCAGGCGACGAGCCCTCATTGCTAGCTCGCACAATGCACTCGCAAGATGGACGCCACAAGAATCTCACGACCATCGGCATCCGTTGAAGAGAGGCAGGTCGGCCTTCACACGAATTACGCCAACCGTGAACGGTTGCTGGATGCCGACCCGGGCGGCGCTCCCATTGGTGTGCCGAACATTCCGCTCCTAGCGATAAGGGGTTGGCTTTGCATTCGTTGCCTCGCCCACAAACCGGACCTGAAAGCTTGCAGCGCCTGCAAGAGGGTACGCTATTGTTCGGAACGATGCCAGAAGGTAGACTGGAGGTGCTTGCATAAAGAGCACTGCAAAGCATTCCGCCGGATCAACAATCCTGACGAAGATGAAACGTCTGCAAATGCTGGCAGATCTTGGGGCCCATTGTGTGACTGGCTGGTGAGAAGCTTTCCGCCAAGAGAGAGTGAGAGATAGTTTCTGCAAGTGATTTGCGAGACTGACCTCTGAATCATCTTCAGAATATGCACATGAACGTACTAGCCGAAATCGCTGACAAAACTGCGTCGTCAATCTTTGGCTGTCAGCCATACTGCAACACGTGCTACCGTTCCGAGTATCAGCTCACAGTCCACCAGAAGATGACGCTGGATTCCTGCAAGAATTGTCATGTTGCCTTCAAATGCCAGGAATGTCAAGCGTGGAACCACTCGAACCAAACATGCAAGTTCTACCAGCTATTTTCGAGCGAGGAGCTTTTCGCTGTCGACTTGTTCAATGAGACTGGAGATGTCATTAAAAAGTCACCAGTGCCAGTGCCATCAAAGAATTTTACGGAAATGGCATCGCTGAACGGGTGGTTTGACTACTTCAAAAAGCTGCATGGCAGACAAGAGATCGGAGCATTTGTTGAACCAAATAACTTTGGCTTCGCCCCCGGCCTTGGTGCCTCGATGTCTGCCAGGAGCAGCAAAGGAATCGAGAAAATCTATTTGAACTACTGGGCTGGGCTAAGAGCGGCCACGGGCGCTGGAAGCATAAGCATGACCATAGCCAACGCACTGTACGTCGGGCTGCCGGACCTGCGTGCGAAAACGTCGCTTCTCATTCACATCGTGGGGGCGGCATCCAGGGAATATGGGGTGATGATGATGTTCGAGGAGATACTGCACCTCTTCCCAAATTTGAGGATTATCAAAACAGTCCTGGTCGGCCCTCAGACTCCAAAGAACACCGGCAGAGATGGCAAGGGCGAAAGCCTTGGCTTTGTGGAGCACGATTGCTGCCCACAGTGCGCTGCGCAGGGACGCGAGCGTTTCGTCGCATTGTATCGGGGCTCGTACCACGACTTCGCGAAGATCGAACAATTTTCTAAGCCGGACCTCGCGGTTCTCTTCCACAGTGGTCGGACGCAGTGCGAGGTCGAATCATGGGCGCCAACGATTCGGTTTCTCGTTGATCAAAATATTGTAACTGCTTGTACGACGTATACGAAACGTGAGGCTATGGAAGAAGTTGTCCAGCTAAAGAGAGATCTAGATGCCAACATCATCCAGCGATTTGAAGAAAACAAATGGAAGTCGCTGGTTCCATTGCTTGAAACAGGGGATGGCGCTGAGCATAGTGTCTACTATGGGGATTACTACTGGTACATGTTTAGGGGCAGAGCTTGAATGAAGTCTCAATTGGAGTGATCGTACTGAGTCTGCTTTGAGTGCATTCGAGATAACCAAGCTGGCCTTGATAAGAGCGCTTCAATGTTACCTATTTATCACTGTATGAAGGGACTGGATGCATGCTGCTTAAGAAGCATATGTGTACAGATGACAAACGAGACCACTCGATTTTACCTATGATGCCAGAATCTGCTCAACTCTCAGATTGGTGGTCTTCAACAAGGAGGGGAATGGAACGGCCCTGCAGTAATGCAACTGGCGGCCGTAGACTTGGCGTTGTTTGTTCCTCTCATTGTTATGTGCTGGAACAAAGGCATACAAACTAAACAAAGAGTTCAAAGGCCCACAATAGAAAATTGAATGTGCGTCATCTAGAACCATGTCAAAATGATATAAATTCACAGAGCTTGTGTCCTATACTTCTGTGGTCGTCTCCCGAAATCAAAGTACGAGGAGGCTTCCATTTATCTGTCGATTCATCTCGGGCACCATCTGGACGACAACATCCATTCGCAGTCGACAGCCCCAAATTGATTACTAACCAACAGCAGCAACTTCCATATACGTATCAAGTTTAGAATGGTTCTGAGAGACAGATTCCCACGCAGGCGCTCATTGTCTGAGAGCGATGCCCAAGCTTACGAAGTCCTCTCGGCTCACCAGCCGAAAACCTCAGAAGTCTCAAAGGTAACCGCGGTCCTGCTTCTGGTTGGCCTCGCGTGCCTTCCCATATCATTCACGGTTCAAAACTATTTGTCAGTCTCAAGTATGCTGCTGCTGTTCATCTTCTGTTTCTACATCATACCTATCTACATGATGGCGGCGGCTCAACTTCTGGTGTTGGTGATCGGGGACGAGACGGGACATAAGCAGTTTCGCGCTTGCTCTGCCTAGAAATCAACGCCGAAAGATGGGGGGCCGTTTGGCCAGGTCAGAATGACAGACAGCTGTGATAGCTCAAATTTTCAAGAATTATGCCTTCTCTGATATCCACTCTGAAGTTCGTGAAGAATGTCACTTGGTCCCAAATGTGTAGGAGACAAATGAAGGATCTACATGCACAGTCACTGATGATACACGTATAGAACCAACAACAATGCAAATGCTTATTCAGAGTCTAGTCATGATGACCCGTGGAGGCCAAGCACATTAGCTGAGCATCATGATATCGGGATGGCGCATTGTGTAGACGGAGCAATGGTTCTCTCCGGAGCGTGCCCCCGACGCTTCTGCACGGGTTGAGATCCCGCTCGCCTGCATAACTCAAATCATCGCGGTTGAAAACGGGCTAAAAATGAAACCAACCCTTTCCCAAAGCTCACCGAGCGGCTTCCCGGTATGGTGCTACTGCAGTCTGCTGCGCTTGTCGTCGAGGCTGTTTGCGCGGTACAACTGCTCGATCGGGACAGGCGCCCGAGACAACCGACGGGGCCCCGATGGTTCTCTTGGGGCAACATTCGAGAATGTAGACTAAATTCCGTGCAGTACTGTAGATCAGACGGTGACAGCGCCAGACCGCCATCCGAACGCCCCATAAATAGACGAACACGTTTGAGGGAGATGCCTCGGTATCGCTCGCACACCTCGGTCAGTTTGTGGGCGGTGCAGGCGGGCGGAGGAGTCTGCAAGATCGCCAAGCCCCGCCCGTGGCCACTCCGAATGGGGCCCGCCAGGCCGCACCAACATGACAAGCGGGTGGTGACGTTTTTTTTATTCTCCGAGACGTACGCCCGCCCCAATGTCACCGTTGCACTCGCCGCTCGGCGCCTTCATGCACGCTCTGCTGACCAGGCCGATCAGCACACTCAATTCGACGCAGGTCGAAACGTACCGTGGGAGCGCTGGAGCTAATCAGGGGAGGGCCCAAGAGCCCGGCCGTCCAGCCGTCCAGCCGGGGGCGCGGGATGGGATTCCATTTCGAGCATGGTCGGCCGGGCCTCGAGGCTCGTAGTGGGGCCCGTCAACAACGGGCCTGCAGGGCGAGCATCATCGTTCCAGGCCCGGCCGACTTGCCCTTTCGGTACGGCGAAGCGTCCTATCAACCGCACCAAGCCTCGGCTCTCAGCTTTAAGGATTGCTGTGGGAAGAGTTTGCATTACAAACAGTAGCGCTGTGTGGCGCGGGCGCTGGCGGGCACTACTGTGCGGTACCACTGCGGTCTTTTGAGTCAGATTGTTGTTGGGCTGAGTAGGCAGATAGATAACTGATGGCATGTTTCCGTCATAATCGAACCCGAGTGTGCCTGCCAAGTCTTCAAGAATATCGTGGTCCCAATTTAGTACATCGACTTCCCGCACCAGTATCGAATCACTGCTCTACGAGACAAACATGGCAAAAGAAAGCGTCTCCGTCGTCTTCGCGAAGCGACCGACGGGAGATATCGTGCCCTGGGGAGACATTCCGCGTCGAATCGAGTCTGGCGCCAACGGAGGCAGATCTCAAGGATGGCGAGGTTCTCTTCGAGACATATTACATTTCGCTAGATCCGTCGATGCGTGTTTGGCTGAGAGGTCAGTGTCCAATGTTGGATATAAACAAAGCCTTGCTGACCGGGTAGCAGAGACCGCTTCGTACCTACCTCCAGTGCAGATTGGTGAGGTCATGAGAGGCGTCGCCGCCGGTCGTATCCTGGCATCAAAGAACCCAGCATTCAAGGCCGGCGACTGGGCAACGGGATTTTCTGGATGGAAGGAGGTGGCCGTGCTTGGCCCTCAAACAGTCTTCCCAGCACCATTACTGCCCGGCGTGCAGAAGCCGGACCTTCTCGGAGCCCTTGGCATGACTGGATTGACCGCCCTGTTGGGGTTGAACAAGATTGGACTGCCAAAGGAAGGAGAGCTTGTGGTTGTCTCGGGAGCGGCTGGAGCAACTGGATCTATCGTCGGGCAGATTTGCAAGCTGAAAGGCTGCCGCGTTGTGGGAATAGCGGGAACAGACGACAAGTGCGCCTGGTTGAAGGAGCTTGGATTCGATGTTGCCCTGAACTACAAGGCCCCTGAATTCCGCGATCAGTTCCTCGAGGCGACAAAGGTGAGCATGTCAGGGACACGAAACCTCCTGAGCCCAGAATGCTGACCTGCATGCAGGACCAAATTGACCTATACTGGGACAATGGTGAGTAGATTTCCAAACTGACAGCGGAAAAGTCACTAACAGCGTGGCAGTCGGAGGCGATATTCTTGACCTGGCTCTGGGCCAGGCGAAGCTTCGGGGTCGGATCGTGAAGTGTGGAAGTGAGAAAAAGATGCCATCAAAGACGGTCCATTCCAACCCATTGACGTGAAAACAGGCATCGGCGAGTACAACGGCGACAAGGCATCTGGAGAGCTCCACAAGGTATGAGAATTCTAGAATTACAGTTTGTTAGCCTTCGCAGCTGACACAGACGACAGAACCTTGGCCGGATTTCATCGATGCGACTGCGGTAAGTGCACCTTTCGCGTGACCCTGCCAGATATCGACTGATTATGCGAAACAGCATGGAGGGCTTCATTGTACTCGACTTCGCCGCAGACTTTGCCGAAGCAATGAAACAGTTGGCTGTATGGGTTTCGCAAGGGCAGATCAAATCCAAGAACACGGTGGTGAAGGGCGGCCTGCAACAGGCAGACCAAGCGCTCGCCGACATGTTCAAGGGCATCAACACAGGTAAGTGGGTCCGCAGTTTTCGTCCCTTTGAGTTTACAACCGGGACTAATCCCCTCGGAACGCAGGTAAACTGGTTGTCGAGGTCAAGGACCCGGATCAAACCTCGTAGGCGTGCTTCCGGTCCGAGGAAGAGAACGCCTTGGTCTTGGGCAGTCGATGTATAACATTGAGGGGATATGAATGCAAAGTGGCAGAACCTCCTGTCTCTACCAGACAATGGATGAAGCGTTGATATATTTGTGGTGCAAGTTGAATGCGCAGAGATGCCGAATTGGGCTGACGGTTAAACACGCAAAGGATATCCAGTAGAGTTTTGCATGTCATCGTCTGTTACTTTTACAAACACAAATCGGTCAAATTTGGCTCGTCTTGATAGCCACAGAAGAAGGCGCGCCTCGGAACTCGTGTTGGAGCTCAAGATGCTGCAACGTGCCTGGAGGTTGTACCTCAGTACCTCGGGATTACATAATCACCATCGCATGAATGTCAATCTTCCAAGTCGCGTCGCGTCGAACGGATTCGCCCTACCAAACAGCGAGCGCATGTTTAACCGCAGCCAGCCAATTCGGTGCCATCTGCTTCCACCCCACCAAGGCCACGATCCTGTACAGGGGTTCGCGTTCCCGTACTTGTTTTCCATGCGCCAGCAATGTCGCCCTGAGCTCTCACTCACCTGAACGGCCCTTGTCGAACACTCCCAACTCCGACGTCTTTCGTTCAACCAACCGCTCGGCGAAAACCTGCGATCGAAGCACCTTGAGCCGTCAGACTACCTTCCGGCTCACCTGTGGCACACTACAACGAGACCATCTATTCTCGTCAAAGCTCTACATACGAAATGGACAAAATGCTGAGATTCGGGCCGAGCACGCAGCTTCTGTCGCGGTGTGGCAATGGTTGGTTGACCACGGGTGTTACGCCCCTCAGGACTGCGAATGCTCTGCACCAGAAGATACGGCAAGTCTCTACGACTCGGCCAAAGAAAGCCCAGGCAACCAAAGAGCAGGCCAAGGTGGTCAAAGATACAGTAAAGGAGGCAGTGGAGAAGAAACCAAAATCGACCCTTGCGGCTGCTGCGAAGCCAAGACAGGCGTCTACGAAGACTGCTGCTACCAGTTCTTCAGAGAAAGGCTCGACAGTGGCCAAGGCTGTCAAGCCGGCCCCAAAGACCCGGGCTACCAAGTCTGCTAGTACAGCGACTGCTGCTGAGGAGACGAAGGCCGCCGCACCTGCAAAGAAGGCCCCAGCAACGAAAGCTAGCACAGCGACGACGACAACGCGAGCACCGAAATCCACCGCCGCAGCTTCGGCAGCCAAGGCTCCAGGACAAGCGACTTCGACGCACACGCCCACGCCGACGTCCACACCCAGACCGGCTGCCAGCACCACGAAGCCTGCGGCGGCACCGAGCCCACCAAGGGCATCAAGCCAACCAGTGACCCCCAAGCCAGCAAACAGCGCACCGACGCCAGCGAGCAAGAGCAGCCCGGCATCGGCCCCCTTGCCTTACGCCGCCCATGCGCCAAAACCCGCAGAGCCGTCGGCCGAGCCGAAGCGGGAGGTCGACCCGTCGAGCCCGGAGTACAAGCGAGCTGCGCGGAAGTGGGTGTCGACGATGATCGCGCTCCCCATCCTGTTTGTCACTTCATACTTCCTATATGACAGACGTACGTAATGCGCTCCACAGACAGGTCACGCCGAAGTTGATTGGACACACAACGCTAACTCTGTTTGCAGTCGCTCTAGGCCATCATCCAAGCCTGGAAGCGTTCCGTTCCAAGCCTCAGCCGGCTGCTGTAGGATCGGAGGACGCATAGGCTTATAATGCCCAAAACATACGAGAGACGAAATCCCATGAAATTCCCAACTCGCCTGCAGCTTCTGACTCGCATACCATGGTGCACCCTTCGCATCGGCGAGGGGAGTCCTGGGTGATATGACTGTCCCCTTTGTCTCGCTGGAGACTGATGTATCAGCGGACTGTGATCCATGCGGTGCCCCAGCCATGTCCCTAGTACCCTGACCAACTTTCGATCGTGCAAAGTCTTGGTGGTGGTCCATCACGTCCATAGAACTGACTCTCGCACGCTGTCTTACCGTATCGATAACCAGCCTCACGTAGAACCATCAAGTACCCTCCTGCGTACCCTGACTACGCAGGTTAGGACAGTACTGCGGCCATCCCCGGCAGTTGTCCCAACAGTATCCACCTATAAGTTCTTGGTATCAAATCTCATCAAGAAGTCCTCAATGGTGCCAACATGCCCCAGATATGAGGCGTGCCTCGTCGTGAGAAGTTGATGCTGCAAAGCGAGGATTTGCGCTTCCATGCTGCTGCCGCCGACCCCTTGGACGAGACGACACAGCCGTGCCGAACGAGGCCAGCCTGTCCGACAAGCCCCACCATCAAATGCTTCAGCAGGGCAATCTGCATTGAGACGGCGGCCGTCTTGGGCGGGACAAAAGAGCCCACGCGCATCTCGGGCCCGTTGAATTCTGGCTCCCGCCGGTCCGGGCTGGCCACCGTCACCCGGAGGCATGAGGTGACGAGCAGGAAGAAGCAGTCGACGAGGTCCAGCAGGCGGGCGTGGCAGGACAGGAGGACGTTTGCCAGGGGCATGTCGGTCCTGGGTGCCTCTTCCTGCCCGGAAATCTGCTTCTCAATGTCGTCGAGCGCCGGGGGCAGCTCGAGGCTGTGCGTGCAGTCTGGAATGTCGCAGGTAGGGGGAGGCCCGGTGTCCAGGGGCAGGGCGGTGCTGATGGCATCATGGTACAGGTCGATGAGTCGTTGGCTGAGGGCGAAGATACTTTCCAGTGCGGCCTTGGACGCTATCTTGTCCGTCAGGTTCTTGACGTGTTCCTCGTGTGAGTTCCTTTGCGCCAGGTGCAGCGTTGACTTCACGGGCATCTTTGCCCAGAGCCTACCCATGTCGAGGAGCAGCTCTGTCAGCTTGCTGGTGATGAGGTATGCGGGATCGGTGGGCTCATCAGTCGGTGAGTTGGACAAGGCTGGAACGGACTGCTCATCCGGCCCCGTTCCACCATTTGACGGCTCCGTCTCCTGTGGGAAAAGCGTGTTGAAGTCCATTGCCCCAGGGGAGGCCCAACTGAAGAAGCCATTGTCCTGCAGATTCTCATCCACTGCCATGAAATCCGCCACAATGCCAAAGCTGCCAGTGCTGCATGCTGAGATTGTACCTGGTGGGCTGTATGTACATTGTGTATTAGCCTTGAGACATCGAGTGCAGGTCGCGTTTCCGGGCTGCTTTGGACATCTCAGCTTCTGGGAGTGGCAGCGGTCACAGGCCAGTCTTGTCCGAGCAAGGCCTGGCATCCTATTGGCTTCTGGCTACCAGACAAGGTCAGTCTTGCAGATGGTCTTTCTCCGTGTGGCATCAGTACACTTGTCCAGGGCACAATCGGTTGTTGATCTCTGGATAGAAGCAGCAGGTGATCCTTCATCCTGAAGGCGCCCAGGCTAAACACTAGGTAAGCCGGGCCGTGATATACCAGTCTCATTACAAATCCAGACTGGCTAGGGATGTCCAAGTGGGCGAATATGGCCGTCCGTCACTGTGCCCATATATTCTGGTAGATGATTCAGGTCTTCTTTCAGACAGTAATTTGCATTCTATGCAGTCACATTTATCTGTCTACATGTATACATGCCAGATATCGACAGCGACTGCATAGAGAAGGTTACAGGGGATATCTGGGCGGACATGGAGGAATAGAGCAAAAGAGCTACCCCCTGTTCCTGCCCCGCCCCGCCTTGCCAAGTTCAGCATCCCTCACAAGACTCGGGATCCCTGTCCAGCACCTACAGGCAGCTGAATGCGACTGTAAGCTGCAGCCGGCCGTGCAACTCCAAGACAACCCCATTAAACCGTCGTCATAACAATAACCACAACAAAGACAGTGCAGGTCGAGAAGCACATCAATCCTGCTGCCGCTGGCAAGCTGACACCGGGCTTTTCTATTCACATGACCTCCCGGCAGAACTTACCATGCTCGACTTCTTTCTGCATCCTGACGACCTCTAGCCTGGCAAGCTGGCCATGTCAATCGTTCCATACCAGTCTCGCGGTCGCGAGATCGTCTTGTACGTCGTCCGTTGTCCTTCTAGCACCCTACGCTTCCGCCCCCAGCTCCGCAAGGAGATGGTTATTCTGTAGCCCCTGCTAATGAGCAATTATACAGGCGTCACCACAATGCCGTCGTTGTTCGCGACCCCTCCTCCCGCCGCCTCGAGCTTGACCGTGCCCTGACAGAGTGCCCGACATGCCACCAGCCGTTGAGACCATCCTCGCCCGAACGGAGCTTCGACTCCTCGTCTGAAAACGAATCCTATGTCAGTCCGGACTATTTTCGCATGCTGCGAGACCGCAACGACCTGTTTCAGTCCGATCCAACGCCATCGAGCCCCATTCGCAGGCTCGTCCACGCTTTTGATGACAACAACCGGACCCTGCCGGAATATGTGCAAGATGCCGAGTTTGTTTCGAGCTCTCCCGCCCCGCAGGAAGGAAGTCGTATCAAACGGGAGGCTTTCCAGCCAAACTACTTCAAGACATTCTTCGTCGAAGAAAGAGAACTCGGTCGAGGCGGGAAGGGTGTCGTCCTCCTGGTGAGACATGAGATTGACGGCTGTCAATTGGGATATTTCGCATGCAAGCGTGTGCCCGTCGGCGATGACCACGGCTGGCTTGAGAAGGTCCTGATCGAGGTCGAGCTTCTCGCCAAGTTGTCGCACCCAAACCTGGTCTCGTACCGACACGTTTGGCTGGAAGATGTCAAACTCAACCGGTTCGGACCCAGCGTGGCATGCGCCTTCATCCTTCAGCAGTACTGTAACGGAGGAGATCTACTTCACAAGGTAGTTGGCAAGTTCCCAGAGGAGACAACCAAGGAACAGCTCAAGGCTCAGATCCGGCGCCGATCAAAGGGCCAAACGGAGAGGCCGTCAGACTTGTGGGCCGCACGCTCCCAACTCCTGCCCGAGGAGATCTACTCGTTCTTCAGAGATATCACTGCAGGTCTCGCATACCTGCACGCCACCAACTACATCCACCGTGACCTCAAGCCAAGCAACTGCCTGCTGCATGATGAGCGCGGAAGGATCACTTGCCTGATCAGCGACTTTGGTGAGGTGCAGCCAGAAAATGTCGTTCGTAAGTCGACCGGATCAACTGGCACCATATCCTATTGCGCACCCGAGGTTCTGAAGAAGGACGGTACGGGCAGGTACGGCAACTTCACAACCAAGTCAGACATCTTCTCCTTGGGGATGATCTTGTATTTCATGTGCTTTGGACGACTGCCATACCGATCAGCCAACACGATCCATGAAGAGCTTGAGGACGTTGATATGTTGCGGGCCGAGATCACAGACTGGAAAGGGTTCGAGGACGAGCGACGAGAGAGACCGGAGCTACCCGGAAAACTCTACACACTTCTGAAGCAGTTGCTCGCGCTGAACCCAATGGAACGCCCCAGCGCAGACGACGTTCTGAAAGCGCTGAAGAACGTCACAATTTTGGAGAGCATGTTACGTGGCGCCGGCGCGTCGATTGGAGTTCCGGGGCGGCGCATCCAGAACTTGGATTCGCCAATGCCACCAAGCACTCCTGTGCCAGGTTCGTTCAAGACCCAATCCCACGTCGCCGCGCCTGACTAATTACCCACAGATCCCAGAAAGCGTGCCACCGTACAGTCGTCATTGCAAGACGATCTTGAAGACGCTCAGAAAGAGGATGGCCTACCACCGCCTCAACTTCACCAGACCCTACAGAAACTCTCAAACCCACCGCCAACAAGGCACCGCGCACCAACAATGTCCCCATCTCATAGCCAGGACAGTCACCCGCGCCCGCGGTCGCCCCGATACAGGAACTCCAGTCCAACACGTGATCAAGACGCCATCACAACACCCCTGCTGATGCCTCCGCCGACCACCTTTTACGGAGAAGTCAAGACAAGATACGAAGAGTTCACACGCACACTATCTGAGCCTACGTCACCTTTCTTCCGATTCGTGCTATTCTTGGTTAAGATGCTGGTCATAGGCCGCGCTTGCTGGCCTGCCAGTTTCAAAATGGCCATGGGTGGCATTCTAATTACAGCAGCAGCCGTCGACCTCGCCTGGGTGTTGAGTCTCAGAAGATCGGTGTTCTTCTTTGTGCTCCATCTTGCCCTTGTCTTGACATTTCAGAGGAGTGGCGATCTCTGCCTGGGTGGTCATGAATCGTGGGACTGGAATCCGGCTCTCCCACAGGATTGAGGGAACAACACACCATGTTAGTACAAGTCCACGACCTAATGAACAAGCGCACCCCACGAAGGCACAAACAGCAGGCATGATATTCTGGACGAATCCATTCGCAAGGTACCAAACACAAGAGTCAAGACCTATGCTGCGGGAAATGAAGAAGCAAAGCGCGTGTAACAGCGTGGGCGTCTAGCTGGTACCCGCATTTGATGGATTGGCAGGTTAGCAATCCTTCTCGCCCCTCCAGAACGGTCCTTCGGTCGTGCTTGTGGCGGCGGAATCATGAGACTCGGCGGCGTTTGAGGTCTGGATTCAGTCCCTCATTTCGGATGGCGACTTGTACCGAAGTCATGGCAGGCAGGTAGCAGGTAGGCTCGCGCGTAGTTGCGAGGACCTTTCGCTCCGGTTGGTACGGGCACTTCGAAAGGGGATGGTTCGAGGTGGGGCCAAGAGTTTTTATCCGGTGTATCCTTCGTCACCGTTGCCCGGACGCGAGATCAATGCCCACCTTTTGGTAGGTGAGCAGCACCGCATTTGCAGGCACGCTCGCGTCTCTGGATGGCATAGTTAACCTCCGGGTCGTGGGACACCGAGGACGGCTCCACTGGGACCTGTCCGCGCTTCGGCGAGCTTTCCATTGGTCGCATGTTGCAAGTTGGATGCAAGTACAGACTTCGTAATGAACCCTGGCAGGACTGCGTGTCTGAATTAACCGCCCGGTGTGCCCCTCACTCCAGATCCTCTGTGGCCGCCGTGCGCCTCGCAATCTTAGGTGACAATTTTAAGTGAAGGCCCGGCCCGTCCTGGGTCAACTGTTCCCCGTATATATTACACGATATTATGACGGAGAAGTCCACCTCACGCTATGGAATGTCATATTCGCTGGCCTCATTCGACGATTGTGCCCTATTCCACTCATTCCCACCGGCATGAAATTATCAATCAGAGTTTGAGCTGCAAATGACCTCAATTTGTTCACACTTCCCGCCACAAAAAGTTCACCACTACATGTCCCACATCCGCGGACGGAAGAGCCAAATATAGACCTAGCGGCACGAGTCTGCGACAGTCCTGTTCATTATGTGTACACGGAGAAAGGTGATTATCCACCACCGTTGCGGTCACCGGATCATCAAGATCCTCGTGTCGGAGCCCTGCGGCGACGATGACTGCAGGAGGGTCAAGGAGGAGGAGGTCGCCTCGAACCAGTACCCCTGCGTCATACACGTGTGTCCTCATTACGGGCGTTTCTGACCTGCATACGGGGCGGACGGTGGTTTTTTGTTCGTGAGTGTGACGTGGCTGTGTATGCTGAGGGCAACTCTGACTTGTGTCCCAGTGCTTGATAGCTCCAACTTTGGGGATAATTTGGTTACATGTGCTGTCATGCCTGGGGGAAATTGTTCACGAAAGTTTTGGGAAATAATTCCACGCAGGTGGGACTGTTAGAAGTAAGTATACTGTGATTTTCGGCCGTGGTTGGGATGTTCACACAATTACAAGTATCAACCAATGCTCAACTGGCTTCCCTTGAAAGATAATTGAATAGAATGTCAATGGAGTACCCGATTGTCTTATTGCTGTTCAATCCTGTATCTGCCTACTGCATGATCTGTGTCATTTGGTGTGGCGTCAACGATGACAACTTCCCAAAGCAACTCCCCAAAGGACGTATGGATGCGCCTTCAAACCAAATGGTCATCTTCACGTGCTAAACTCAAACAATATTGGAGTAGACTGCCGCTCACTGTCCAGAATCATTGCCTCCTGGCTGCCTCCTTGAGTAGTCCAGCCTCTAGAAGTATGCAGCAAAACTGGTGCAGAGATCTCACATTTCTCCTGCCATGTGATACTTGTGGAGACGGCATCAAGAATCGCTCAGACTCATCTCAGCTTCCAGCTCTGGTCTTTATTCCATAGTCTAGATACACTATGTGGTGAATGTTTCAGGACCATGTTGTTTGATCGCGGGAGAAAAGAACCCCTGTTCAGAACGGGCGTCTACATATACATTGTGCCTCAATTAATCACCGTTTACCAAAATGGCCAGCAATACAAGACCGAAGCCGTGCCCTCAGATCGGAATTTTGCCTCCAAACCTTGGCATTTTGCGTACGAGGTTCTCGGGAGCACGACGCATACCGGCATCGGGCCGAGTGGATCAGATACTGTAAGGAGCCGGAGCTTGGCAACGGCCGGCCCAGGCACAGTCCACGAACATCGCTCGCTCTCTACGGCTCGTTCACCATGATCCTACGTTGTAGTGTCTAGAACTGAGGGCCTGAACTGACGTGAATCCAACTACCTCGACCTAGCTCATTGAATTACACATTCGCACCGACCGAAACTTTGAACATGGCCCCCACTGCACTTGAAGAGCGCACCCCGGGCGGGGTAGACCCGAAGTCCAAAGTCGAGGCCGCGGCCGACGAATCGCTCAGACGAAGGTTGACGGCAGCACAGAGTCGATTCGTGGAATCACACCCGAAATCAAAGGAGCAACATGAAATCGCGGTTTCCCATCTGCCCGGTGGCAACACAAGGACTCTGCTCCACACCTCTCCCTTCCCACTCACGATGAAATGCGGCAAGGGGCCGTTTGTGTGGGATGAAGACGGGCACAAGTGAGATTTAGTTGTTTGGCACCTCTCGGCTCCAGGATCTAACAAGGTGCAGGTATCTTGATTTGGTCGGAGAGCTCAGCGCTGGCATTTACGGCCACTCGCACCCCGTAATCCGCGAGGCCATGGTCTCGACCTTCGTTCGTACCATTCTTCTCCTGCTACACATCCCCGATCTTTGTGCTTTAGAATGTTCCAGAATGTAATTATCACTTTGGGATCCGTAGCAGGTGACTAACAGGTACTAGGACAACGTCGGCCTGAACCTGGGATCCACGACAAGCCAGGAGCACAAATACGCAGCGCTCATATGCGAGCGGTTCGACCTGGAGCGGGTGCGGTTCGCAAACTCGGGCACCGAGGCCAACATGCACGCGTTCAACGCCGCGAGGGTCTTCACGGGCAAGAACAAGATTGCTGTCTTCTGTGGGGCGTACCACGGCGCAGTGTTCAGCTTTGGGAATGGGAAGGTGGCGTCTAACGCTGTCAATAGAGAGGACTGGGTCATAGGCAAGTACAACAACGTCGAGTCTGCCAAGGCGGTTATCGAGGAAACACCAGGCCTTGCTGCTGTCATTGTTGAAGCTATGCAAGGCGCTGGAGGTGGTATCAGTGGGACTGAAGAATTCCTATTTCAGATTCAGGTACGTCAACGGATGAGATCCAACCTTGGTTGATCTCGTACTAATGCTAGCCAACAGGAGTCAGCAAAGAAGGTCGGGGCGGTCTTCATCCTCGACGAGGTGATGACCTCCCGTCTTGCCCCACACGGCCTCCAGGGAGTCCTCGGCCTCAAGCCTGACCTGGTGACGATGGGGAAATATCTCGGCGGGGGCTTCGCATTCGGCGTGTTCGGCGGCCGAGAAGACATCATGGCTGTCTACGATCCACGGTCCGCCCGTGCGGTGGCACATTCGGGGACTTTTAACAACAACACCATGACAATGCATGTCGGCCACGCAGGCCTGTCAAAGATCCTGACGCCAGAGGTGATCACCTCCTTCAACGCAAAGGGCGACAAGTACCGCCAACGGCTTCAAGAGGTCACCAAGGGCACCAAGTGCTCCGTCACAGGCCGTGGGGCATTGTGGGCAGTTCACTTCTCGGATACCGGCCTGCGCGATATCAGATCGGTGGAAGACGTCAGTGAGCGGCACGACTTGCATGACTTGTTCTGGTTTGAGATGCTGGAGGAAGGGTATTGGATCCATAGGCGGGGGTCTATCGCCCTGATCCTAGACACACCCGATGAGGAGCTGGATCGCTTTGTGGGGTGCGTTGAGAAATTCTTGGAGAGACATAAGGCCATCTTGAAACTATAATTCTGGCAATTGGCACGTTTCGGGTGCCATGAGCACACTCAGATTGGCCTTGCCATGCCTGTCAGAATGCCTACACAAGCTGATAGGTCAATTACGAACAGTCAGCGGATGAGTGAGAAAGCATCAAGTTCAGTCCAGCCCGATACCAGGTTCAGTATTTCCAATCATGTCATTTACTGCAAACACGGATGTGTTTTGGTCTTTGTGTTGGCAATGCATCATGTTCGTAAGGTTTTCTACATCCCTTCCTTTTCTTTGACACGATTCAGCCGATAGGTTGGTCATGCAGTGATCCAATGCACAGCTGACTCTCTACTCATCTCTCAGGTCGAGCCATAATTAGTATTGCACCGCTCAAGACTATAGCTTCTAAGGGCTACAAGATTGATGGGGTTACGACAGTTGACGATAAGTCGGGGACGGCGGTGCTCTTAGCGGTCGTTCAGGTCGAACCAAACTATAGCTGCGGCGCGCGACCTCCGGGTCGTGGCAGTCAAAGCGAGTCCCATATCTTGTGCGGTTCTTGTTGCGTGGACCGTCAAACAGCCTAGCAGGCCTAGTAGCCTCGGTCACGAGGGATTCGTAGCTCGACTGGGCGCAAGGTCCGTTTGCACGAATGTGTTGGTTTCCGAAAGCCAACTTGGACAGGAGAGAACCCCAAGCTGGGCAGTCTGATGTCACACGACAAACAAAATGGGACACTAGTATTGCTCCATAAAGCAAATAAAAAGCAGGAGGCCGTCCAAACGGCTCCTGAGGCACCAGGATTCAGACCAAATCAGGATTTACCATTCTTTTCCCAATCTGTCTTATTTAAGGCCCGCGGTTTTAAATTTTCACGGTCAACCTTGAAAGTCATCATTCTCACTTCCTGCCTCCGCTCAACACCCGCATCCTCAACAAACCTGTACCCTTTCACTCCTAGCACCAATCGCGCCGATGTGCGATATCAAGCAAGACGACAGCGACGTTCGCTCAATTATTACCACGATGTCATTCTCGGACGACGGGATCAGAACTCCCAGTTCCAGCGATTTCGCAAAGCCACCCATCACCGAGTACGTCCCGTCAGTGCCTCGCCCAGGCAAAACATACAAAATCCATCTCAAAGGCACAGACAAGGTGGTCACAATCACGGAGGGCGAGGTGGTGGTTCAGTCGCCAGCCGAAGCCCAGCCCGGGGGAGGCTGGTTCTGGGTCTGCGTGGAGAGGGGCAACTGGCTCGGCTTCCGCAACCACGTGTCCGGGAGCCTTCTGGGCCACAACGGCAAGTCGGGCCTCCACGCAAAAGCTACGCAGCAGAAGGCGCACGAATCCTTCTGCGTCCGTCACCACCCCGATGGTGGGTATGTGCTTCTCGTGAAGTACCCGCGGGGCGAGGAGCTGAGGCAGGTAGGCTGCGCGCCGTGGGACAGGAAGACGCTCGTCGAGAAGGACAAGGATGGCGCCCGGTGGATGTTCGAGGAAGTGTAGGTTAGGATTTGTGTTCTTGTTGTGGTGAGCCTCGCCAGCCTTTTCGTCTCTCACCACTACTGGCGAGCGAGTTGAACACGCAGAGCAGACGGGCTGCCCGAGCACATCCTGCTGCAGACCGCAACCCGCGTTTCACCCAGGCTTCTCTTGGTATTCCTCGCGTTTCCTTTTGTTTATTTAGTCCTGCCAGAGGAGGCAGCTTTTTCGCTAGCATTCATTTCTTGTGCCATCTTGTGGCCTGATATCTGGATTTTGGCAGTTTTCCCATTCACACACCCTGACGGGGACGACGTGCATAACTGTGGTCCGTGAATATGTTTGGGCAGATGGTCTTGTTTGTTCCTTGGATTGCAACTAATCGAGGATTGGCTTAGAATACTGGCGTGGGTCAAAATTGTGCGTTCATTTACTTTCTCTACAGCATTGGTGGATCTTCATCTCCTCAGAACACAGCATATCCCAGACTTTGGGAGCCTACATCCTCATCACAGGCAAGCCCCTGCGCCGTCGCAGGTCCTTGCCCCGCCTGACAGCCGCGGATCTCTTGCCCTTGACACCCTCGACTGCCTCCACATCTCTTGTCTGCAGATCTCCTGTCTTCCCATCAGGCAGCACCGCCAGGCCCTGCGTGATGCTCCCAGGTCCAAAGTCAGGCTCACCGCCGAGCGAGCCAAACACATCGCCGATGTAGTTGGAAGGCTTGACGCCGGCCTTGAAGGTGCAGTTCCACTCGCCCAGAACACCCTTGGCGATCTCAACGCCGGCGTAGTAAATATTCTCCACCGCGATCTCGAACCCGTTCTGGTCGTTGATCAGGAGGTGCTCGTAGGCGGTCACGCCGGGCGGGGGCCTGTCGAAGTCGGACCCGGTCCTCATGATGATGATGCGCGAGAAGTCGACGAGGCCCTCGATGGCCATCCGCAGCAGCACCTCGAGCGTGGCGTTGTCCTCCTGCGCGCTCATGCAGTAGTGCCCGGAGCCGTTGGTCCAGAGCGTCGTGGTATTATCAAACGCCTCGGCCAGCAGCGCGCCGGAGTAGTACACGTCGCTGGTGGCGCCGTCGCAGAGGACGACGCTCGGGGGCTGCGTGGCCGCGAGGTGGGCCTCGCCGTTGGCGGCGTAGAGGTCCCGGTACTCGGCCGCGACGGCGCTGTCGCTGAGGTTCGCCCTGGACGCGAGCTTGTACGCGGCCTGGCGGAGGTCCTCGTTGACCTCGAACACCTCGGTGCCATACCAGGTCTCGGGCAGGACGCCGGGGCGCAGGGTGCCGTAGCCCACGTAGCCGGTGGTGAAGTTCTCGGGCATCTCGCGCGCGTCGAACTCGTACTGCAGTGCGACCTGGACGGCGTACCGGGAGAGGGCGACGCCGCCCAGGGTGGACCACTCGGGGCTCACGCCCGCGATGCCGCCAATCATGAAGTAGGTCGAGGTGAGGTCGAATTTGTCGGAGAGCACGACGGCGGTGATGGTCGCGGCTGCGTTGATCTCCGACTCGCCCGTGGTGACTTGGCAGATTTGAAGATCCTCCGTGCAGTGGACGTGAGGGAACAGCATGGAGAGGCCGGGGGTGCTGACATTGACAGCCAGGAGATCGCCAAGCCCGCTGCTGGGAAGCTTCTCATACCAGATGTTTGCCTCTGGTGTGAACTGTATAGTTTAGTTAGCAACAATTCGAAAGGTGTGAGAGAGCAAGAACCGCGGGCGATCATACCATGCTGATGATGAAGAATTTGGGCGCTATGGGTGCCTCGCGAGCTGCCAGGTTCGTCAGGGGGCGCTTGAGGGTAGCTGCGGCCACTTGGCTGACGGCGAGCAGCGCCGAGGCTGCTGTGGAGAGGAAGCGCATCTTCAAGACCGTTGAGCTCCTTGAGTGAGATGAAAGATGCTCAATGCGGGACCGAAGCGGCTCGACGACTACCTAGTGTCGAAGAAAAGCAGTGACAAGGGAGAGGATATGTAGAGGGGCTCCATTAATCTTTTATATACATACTGTCGTGCAGGAACGAAGACTTCACTTTATAGAGCCAATGAGTGAATAAGTTCCCTATCAGTAGACCCAGACTCCACCTCGTTGCATTAAGCACAAGAGGGATTGAATGTGAAATTCTCATTAACATCCACTTGGTGTGAATGATTATGGGGGGCCCACTCTTGAAGGGCCGGCACGCTGAGCTGTATGCATCGTACTGCAAGGGGAGACATCGAAGGTCATGAGGACTCACTTCAAGCCACGAACCGTGCCAGCAAGCCGCGAGCGAGAACCGAGCCGAGTCACCTCCAGTTCGGTGATCCGATGGGACTCCACCATTGCCCGCGGCCCTTATCAGCCAGCCCGAGCATCGGAAGGGCGAGAGAGGCCAGGCGAGAAAGTGGCATCGCCAGTCGGGTCGGTGACGTCGGGCCCAAAGACTTCGGGGGTGAATTCGAGTGGAGAGATAAGGGAAGCATTGTAGTCCTGTGATGTGACTGCTGAGCAACGAGAACTGCTACCTTGAGTCATGTCATCAAATCGCTGAATTGGGCCTCAGAGCCTGCAGGTCTCGTTGCCGATCTTTTTGTGGCGTCCCAGTTGGTCAAATTTGGTGCCGGCGAGGTGACACAACATCTTGATTGAGATGCTGTTCCAGCTGAGGGCAGTCGTCATGGTTGCCAAGGGCGGCGCTGGCCGATAGCTGATGACGAGTCCCCGGCATTGCAAGAAGCCAGCCTGGTGTGTGTTGATTGCACTTTGGCTGGCTGACCACCGCCATGGCGTGAGCGGTGTGAGCATCCATAATACTGGAAGCGTAGATAACGGACGATGCCGGCAAACTTTTCTCTCGGACTCCAGAAATCTTCGGGCCGAGACCAAGCTTTGTGGAGCCTCCTCGGGGCCCTCCTGGGAGCAGTCTTGAACCATTTCTTGAGTGACTCGGGCGGAAGTTGGTGAGGCCCCCCAACGATCTGCTCGTAGTGGCGTTGCACGATGTTCGATGTTCTGATGTGCGTTAGAATCGCAACTTGATCATCATTCAGTAGAGCTGTTTTCCGATACCTGCAAGGTGTTGCTTCCGACTCCTGCAGGCAAGTCGGCAGGGTTGCTGGGCCGGACATCGCATGCAAGGTACGCGAGACTGTCTCCACACGGCAACTGCATGGGGCCCGGGCGCCACCAACGAATTGTGGTTCATCTCGTTTTCGTGATATTGACTTGCGAACCTCCTTCCGTCAAAGACTGAGCCGTCGAGTCGCACAGAAGTGAGGGGGCTGGATCTCAGGTTGCCCTGGGTTCCTGACGTGCGTCCAAGACATCATCTCCGAAAGACGATAGGCTCGCCTGATATTGACAGCTCCAGATTGCCTGTCGTGCTGATCGACGCGCATCTGAGTCGCCCTGAGGGGTTCCAGATGTGGTTTACAGGAGATGCTTCTAATAAATTATGATAATATGCGTCGTTCAAGTCCCGAGATCAGTTACCAAGGCCAAGGAAGGTAAGTGGGTTGCACGTGCAATTATGTCAACCTCTAGAGCTTGGATTTGACTTTGAGAGATGAGATCAAAGGCGTTGGATTTGGGTGAACTGGTCTGCACAAGGCCCCTCCGAACAGGGTGAGACCCAGCACAGCACATTCTTTGGGCACGTGGGAGGGTGGCATTCGGAAAGCGAACTCTGATGCAGCACACTTGAATCGTCAAATCAACGTCACAGAACTCCAATGTTATGCTTACATTTGCCTTGGAGCGTAGAACGATGCTGTACCGCCGCCATTCTCGTCAATTCCGACCGGCAGCTACTGCCATCCGATATGTACACCTAAACAGCCGGCCCAGCACCGATGAACAGTTTGTACGACCTGAAGGGACCCTTCCTGTTGTCTGAACTATTGTACTGCCTCGATGGGCCCAGCTCCAGTTGGTTTGTGCAGAAGTACAGATACCCATTCAGGATCGCAGCACTGTCTGCATGCTGAATCAGTCCGTTTCTCACCAACGTCTTGACGTAGTAATTCTCCGCTGCGACAGGACCCGACCCACCAGCAGGGACGCCGTTTACCTCCTCAGTGATCCTTGACTGGTCCGTCTGCACGTAGTAGATGGCGTTTTGCTCGCTGGCCAAAAGGAAGACTCGGCCCTGGTCGTCCGCCGTGAACCCAGCTTGCTCGGAGGCGAGCTGGCCTGGGTCCTGAACCGCCGCAAGTACCTCGTCGTCCGTGGCGTCGAAGTTCTGCAAGGTCTCCTGGGAAACATAGTAGAACCGCCGGGAAGACAGAACGCCCCAGTAAATATGCCCGCCCTGGAGGGCTATGCCATCCGACGAGGTGGTGCAGAATGACTTTGCCGTCCCGTTCCAGCAGTAGATCGGCTCGCCGTTGTACGAGCCTACGTATCCGGGGTCTGCCATCACAACAGCCTGCCCTGCCAACCTCTTCACAACGCCGCCCGTGGCGAGATCAACGGCCAGGATTCCACCCTTCACTGACGCATCCGTGAGGAAAGCGAAGCCACCGGTTCCGGCAGTGTTGTTGATGCGCAAGTCGTTGAGATTCGTCCCGCTCGATAAGATGTCATCCGGGAACAAATATGTGCTGACCAGTTCCTTCGTAGTTGAATCAAACTGCATGATCTTCGCGCCTCCTGCGACTGCAGGTGCGGTCGTCTTGTACGGAATGCCACTGTCGAGGACCCACAGCTGCCCATGGGCATCCAGTACCAGGTTCTGCACGTTGATGAAGCATTCCGACACGTTCTGGCCCGGTTGGCAGTTTTGGATCTCAGCTGACGGCCATGGCTCCTCATCGGCGAAACTGGTTGCTATTGTCACCGCGTTGGTTGCGTTTTCAAAGTTGCGCGGATAGGTCAGGTAGATATTCTCTTCAAGGTCGACTGCCAGACCCGTTGGTGCGTGCGTGCTCTCATGAACCGCCTCGAGAGCACCGCCGATGATTTTGAAGTCTTGTACGCAGACGCCATTGGTGGTGTTTGAACTCGACAAGGCTGGGTCGGGGCAGACGGTGGGGAATGTCGCCGTGGCATGACCCGCGAGAGAGAGTAGAACGAGGACGAATAAGTTTGGTGAAAGCATGATTGCCCAATCGATGTGCCAGAATCCTTACATCCGCTGCGTCTCACTTCGCCACGGACGATGCACGGCTTGAAAGTTCAGAGACGCGATACGGCTCAAGTATGATCTCGTGCCTATGAGGACTTGGTTCTAATTATGATTGCGCACACCAACTCTTTCTGCAGTGGTGTCTTGCAGAAAGGGGCACGAGCGAATTGAGCGAGGAGCTGGTGAGATCTTGTGCGGCTAGAAACAAAAATAACGCCGTCTCTTCACAGATACCGTGTTCGAGGAAGCCGGGGCACGTTCGCCCGTTCCTCGGGGAAGTGACGACTTTATTATCCCCCCAGGACGATCGCGCCGTCGTAGTGTAACAATGCAATTTAGGCCCTTGCTATTATGATGTCCACGATCCTTAGTAATCTCCCCGCACCTACACGTGCATGATGTCAAGCGTTGCGCGCAGCGTCGCAGCCGGCACATCGCGAGGTAATGTTTTGGGCCTCCAGAATTTTAAGAGATGAATATCTATCGCTCTCTGGCATTATGTTGGAAAACTATAAGAAAAGTCTTGATGGCAGCCAACGATGCATCGACGTGGGAAAAGGAAGGCGCTCCCGGGAGCTTCCGATCGAGTAGACCAAACTCAAAAACGGGGATCATGTGAAGCGTCAATTGAGCCGGACCTGTCTTTGAAGTGAATTTGAGAAGTCGATAAGTCTCCAATACATATTTTGGTCGGTAGATATTTCATATGTCTGCTGGTTGCTAGCAGATCTCCTGGTAGCTGCCCCTTGGTTCTTCGCGAACATCAGGATAGAACCATTGGAGGGACAGGTAAGACCCCAGGCTGTCAAGGTGTATATCAATGGCATTGAAGAAATATGATAGTGGCAGAAGCCATCTGGTGTTCCTCAAGAAAAGTCTTCGAGTATAAACCAGACGGTGTTGACGAGACTGCATCTTCCAAGAGTTTTTACTCATTCGCAGCATATGCGCCTGCGACACGGTCAGGCCAACCTGTAGACTCCCAACTGTACCTACTCCCTGTGGATAAATTGCATCACTCAGACGTACTCCCTTGACCTGAATCATCATCACCCAGCAAATATCGGCGGTAGCGGCCCTTAGACAGATCCGAATGAGTGAACACGTGGGGGCTAAAGTGGTGTAGTTCTACAGTTTCAGCTAACTAAGGTGCTACAAAAGAAAACCCTACTGTGCCTCAATAAAAGGTTCAAAGCTAACTTTGGTCTCTGAGCCGCGAATCGTACTAGGAAATTGTTCCCAAATGATAATCATACTATTTCTGGCATGTAGCTGCACTTGTAGCACCGTCACTGTGCGAACTTTGACAGCGAGTACTGCTGACGTAGGAATAGTACTTCTTGCAGAATCACCTTCGGCGAAAGTGTTCCCATCCAGATACGTAACATCAGCCAGATGTCGTACAGACAAGATATCAGTCCACGGACTCGGCTATTCTGTGGTCTGCTTCCAGCATTATCTCTTCCACGTCCACCACAACCTCTCCACCATCGTCTGACTCTGGGTTAAGTGGCGGCACCATCGCTGGCATTATTGTCGGCGTGATGGTAGAACTCGTGCTTATCATCGGGGCCTGCATCTACATATTCGTGTCCAGGCGATAGAAAGCAAGCATCGCGCAGGACGGTCAGATACAGAGCTTAGACCAGACTGACCGCGAATCATCCACACACCCCGACGCCACTGCCTTTCAGGCATCCCAACAATTCGTCAAGCCTGAGCTTCCAGGCAGCACTCCAGCCAATACCACCCTTGAGAAGCCTGAGCTGGTCGGCAGGCAAGTTTGTGATAACACCCTACCGTTAACCTGGCAGAATACCTCGGCGGTTGCAAGAGATGCTGAACTCCCTTCGTTTCGAGACCCTGCAGAACTTGAGCACATATCCAAACCTGCTGAGATTCGCCGATAGATACAGGGACCCCTCATATGAAGAGACCTGTTGTGGGGTCAATCACGTGGGTTCCAAGATCGTCCTACCTGGAATGGTCGGGAATCTGGTTGCTGCGCCGGGACTAGAGTGACCAAGAAGTCAATTGGCTGGATACAAACGGCCTTGAATTGTTCTGTTTCTCATTGGCTTTGGTTGCTACGAGCTGATCTCGGCTCTGTTGTGGACTTGCTCGCATCGGTGAACAACGAGTAACTGTCCCAATCCAAGAGACATATTGAGTCACCGGTGATCCAAGGCTAATTGCGTTCCATCATGTGCAGGTGGGTGATGCTCCGGAATCTAGCCCCTGCCATACCACAGGGCTGTCAGTTCTGCGCCAGTTCGTCGTTCATTTTGTCAACTGGTCCTACTGCAGATTTCAGCGACGCCAAGAAGCAGAGGACCAGCACACCGGACCGGGTCCAGACGCAGTTCAATTTAACTTGCGCTTCAGGTCGTATTGGATTTATCCGGGCCGCCCAAAGACCCTGAAAGTCGAGTTCTGGTCTGCTCGACGGCCAAGCGCTTTTAAGCGCTTCTATGCTAGCCCGGCGTGCTTTAATATATCAAACAACCGCGATGCTACCCTCCAGGTCTGGACCCTCGGAGTCGAACCCAGAAAATGGGTAAGAACCATTACTATTAAAAGATTTAGCCTCTTGAACTCGCAGTAGTGCTGCACTTTAAACCTGATAGACAGAGCCCCCAGAGCGATGTTATATTGCACGATGGCGTCCCCGCAGCACTGATTCGGAAACTAGCCATCACAGGACCAATCTGCTCTATATTGGACCTTCAGCTTGCTACCCACGGACGGACTTCCATCTGTTCACTTTAGTTTTGGGCGACCTAGATGCTCTTGGCGTCTCGATAGGCACTGGAGTCTGGTCTCCGGAAGCTGCCGTGACCTCAATTGATGCTAGGATCATGGTGTGGGCGGCGTGTTATCGTACGAGAAGCCACTAATGAGAGGCAGCGTTGCAATACTCACCGCTGTCGTGCTTGAAGTAGGGGTCCAGACACATGACTTCATCAATCTAGACCTACAAAGCTCAGTCCCCCACGGGGAAGTGGGTATAAATGTGCCATATCCATCCGCCTGTCCATGATGGGGAATGATCTTCCTACAGCGTAGTAACTTTGTTCATCTATGACCCAATAATACTGCTGATCGGCGTTTCTCTACGAACAACTACTACGATAACCATGAAGTTCCTTCCACTCCTGCTTGTCCCAGCCCTTGTGGCGGCCCAGGACATCACCATTGCCAATGTACAATACTCTGGCAATGGATGCCCCCAGGGAACTGTCTCAACGTCGATCTCCAGTGATAAGACCGCAAGTCTCTCCAGTCCTTTCCAAAGCCTCCATGATCCAAGACATAGCTGACCAACTCAGGTCGTCACACTCGGCTTCGACGGTTTCCAAACATATATTGGACCCGGAACCTCTGTCAAAGACCGGACGAAGAATTGCGTAAGTTGATTCGCTTCTTCCATATGAAAACTCTTTGGTGTTCCCGTGGGATTCCCAGTGTCTCTTTCTTCGTGCCACCTCTATGCAGAGCAAGATTTGCCCTGTATAGCACAATACTTCAACGAAAGAAGACTGCAGCCTCATAAAAAAAAAGGGCCAATATATCCACCGATCATCAGAGGCAATAACAACAGCCGCATTTCGAGTATATCTTGTACCAATGACAAGTCACTGACAAGACAACTAGCAAATCCACCTGACGCTCAGCTACCCAGCCGGCTACTCCTTCGCAGTCATCGACAGCACCTACCACGGGTACGCCCAGCTCGAGGCCGGGGTCACGGGCACCTTCTTCAGCCAGTACTACTTCAGCTCGGACGCCTCCAAGACCTGCACCACGCAGTCCTCCATCACCGGCGGCGGCATCTGGGCGGACGGCCAGGTCTACACCAAGGAGGACGTGGTCCCCTCGCCCAACTACGTCAAGTCCAAGTGCGGGACGACCGAGATCCTCAACGTCAACAACCGCGTCGCGCTGAGCTCGACGAACACCAATGCCTTTGGCCAGCTCACTGACGACGACGCCACCGTCGACGTGAGCCAGCAGGTCCATATCAAATGGTTTACTTGCTGAGGGACTCTCACCTGGCGGTTATGCTTTGGGGGCTCGTGCTGCAGCCACGGGGTCTTGGGACATGATCTTGGAGTGGAGATCCCCTGGGGCTCGGTGACCTGTGATCTTTCTTGGGTACACTTCATTCAGCATTGGATGTTGGTGTGCAAGCATTTTGTGTTCATATTTGACCTTTTTGACCAGTCAATAATACCATTCAAAGCTTCGAGTGTGATTCCTGGGAGTTTAGAGCTCCTATGCGAATGTATGATAAATGTGCCGCACACAACCAGGCTGAGAGCTCTCGTCTCAATAGGTTGCATCTCAGTCCGCCTTGGTCCGAGAGTCCCACTTTTCACGAACATCTACTACATGTGCTTGGTGAGCTCTTAAAAGCAACAGGCACAAAACCGCTCGTTCTTAGTTCTGTTTATAGCCTACACATCAGCTTATTAAAAAGTAGGGTCTCACTGAAGCTTATCCTCATGTCAAATCTCAATTTCTCCGCTCAAACAAACCTGTTTTCATGCCCCCCCCCCCAAACAGACACTGCCACCTCTGCCGGCGAGAATCATTCATGACTCTCTCCACCTTGGCCTTTACAGAAGCATAAGTCTCACGTAGATGAGGTCTAGTGGGTAGGTATCTACAAGGCGATTGTGCTGGGGTAGTGAAGAACCTTTCCAGAGCTGAGCAACAGCCGGCCCTATGGGGCTCCTGTCGATGATTTCAGAACAGTTGGGATCTCAACTCCTTCCCCGAAGGGGGGAAAATTTGGAGGGGATTGGAAAGAGAAGAAACCCTTTACGTTCCTTTGTTACTTCCAATAATTTTCGACCATTGCTTGACCCGGCCACGTCCAAGCCATTTAAACGTCCGGCCTGCATAAACGCAGATCAGCCTCCTCTATGCTGCTTGAGCACTTTGGAGACAGCCGTAAAATTCAATGGGTACCCAAATATTCGTGAGGTCCAGGGGCTGTCCGAACTTCGGGGGTCCTCTTATCGCCCTCGCTTCTGTTGATTCATTGGACTGTAAGTCGATGTCTTTTTGGATATAGCGATCTGCAATCGATCTCCGCCTCGAGACATTCCGAGTATCTTGCCAGGGCTCCTTGCAATTCCGCGTGTACGTTGAATTCTTCCACCAGAGACGTGAGTCAATTGAGCAGCGGTATGTCAGGGGATAGAAAAGTCCTCTGACCGGACAGGCCGGACCATTGACATCCGTCTCTTGCTGGAGACGGCGGATCTGAGAGGTCAGGTTGGCAGAAACTTTGGGGAGAGGGGGTCAGCGATGATAGGGCCTGACAGACTCCACTGGCTGGATCATGCTTGACAGGCCGTTTCTGACGAGACGATCTTTGGCTCACGAGACGTCCAAACTTTTGCTGATGAAGACATCTGGAATCGAGCCCCCTTCTACGCCCTCTCTACCATGTCAACTCTAGGCCTACGAGGTCTTCCCGAATTTTGACGACGAGCTACTGCCGTCACCATTTTGGGAATAGTCTCTTAGGATTTATGGGGTTAAAGTTGGGGGCATTTCACAGGAAAGCATTGTGCTGAGAAGATCATCGTGCATATGATCGCGATGTAGGAAGAGTATGCTCGAGTGCCCGTTTAATACAAATCAGCATCTAGAATCATGACCCTGTTTCACAATTCTATGTAAGCTGACCGCACAAAGGGAACTCGAATCACAAGATACTGTAAATAGCGGAGTATCAGAAATAGACGAAGAATATGCAGATCTTCGAGAATGAAAGTACCAGACACCACACCTTCTCGTCCGGTCGGCACGCGCCGGGCATGTGGTCAACGCAATGGCATACGCAGAGCAGAGGATGCCAAGGCTCTTGGCGGTGCTACTGTCAGGGGCGACATGGGCAGGTTGGGCCTGCAATCAATGCATGTCGATCGCTCGGGAGAGGCTCCACTGATGTACCCGCGCCAAAGCTTGTGTGGACATTGCTTGCTGAGTCTCTGCATGCACCGTAAACTATAATCTGAGAGTTGTGGACGACGAGGACGACTTCGTTCCCCAAACCGATAATTACACCCACCAAGTAATACTAACTTAGGGATGCCATCGATACCGACCTAGCCGATTAATAGTCCAAGATCCCCAGTGTCACTGTGGGTCCGCTGTCGCCATCTGATCCCCACAAGCCGGTGGAGATACTTCCGATTGGAAAAAGTTGCTGTGTCGAGTCTCAAGAGGCAGGCTGTGCCGATCAGCATGCCGGTTTCCAAAAGCGCGCCAGTGCCCATAATGGAATAGTCACGGCACTGGTGGAATATCTCAGGCCATTCTTACAGCCCTGCGACTCTCCGAGATCACGTCCCCGCCAGCACACAAACGGATCCGGTCCTTCGGGCAGGGGGCCGCCGACGCCGACGCGTGGGGTAAACAGTCCTGAGCCCACAAACCAACCCACTTGGGCTTCGCAAACGTGCAGGCATCTTGACAGAGGAATGAGGCGGAAACCTGTTGATTTCAAGGGGAGGTTGTGAACGTACCCAGTATTTCAATCTATATTTCCATTGCTTGCTCCAGCAAGTTCATCTAGAACCGCGCTTCTCCTAATCCATCGTCTCGGTGAGCCACCGTTAACGGTGAGCCCCTGAGGCACTTTGTAGACGCAGCAGTAGCATAGGCAAATGTCAACGGAAAACTATCACGATGGCCCTGCTGCCAGACAGCTGGCGCACGGTCTTCTCGTCGCCAAACGTGGTACCGTTGTGATAGGTCGCGAAGCGCATGGTAGGCGAGGTAGTTCCCGGCTGCAAGGCTCCAGTGTCACGCCTTGAAAGGCCTCGGTAGAGGAGCCCCCACTGTATACGTAACGATCCTGCCCTTCGAAGTCTCCCGACGCCAAGGTGGTTTCCATCCGATCAGGGGTTGAAGGCGGTAGACCAAACACCAACACCGCGGTTTTGTGGGGACATGCAGACCCATCCACACAATGTTTCCATGCAAGGCCCTCCTTCTGTTTCAATCCATGTTGAATTGATGGGGGTGGCGGCGGAGGCAGATCCCACAGGATCTTACATATATGGCTTGCCCAGCTGCACTCCGGAAAGATCGTCTCTGATTATCATTCATCACGCCTCGCAGGTTTCCGAGTAACTTCTTCGTCGTTGTTGCAGCCGTTCTTTTCCCGGGTCTCCCAATACACTCTTTTCTCACACTCACTCCACACCATCACCAAGATGCACTCCGCACCCATCGTTGCCGCCGGCTTCGCGGCTCTGGCGCAGGCCGCCTCACCAACCGTCTCCGGAACCCCTGAGGGCTTCGCTGCCTCGGTCACCGGTGGTGGTGATGCCGCCGCGGTCACACCTACCTCGACTGACGAGCTGTAAGTGTTGTGTGAAACGACATTGACGTGCTGCAAATTACATTGTGCTGATTATACAACCAGTGTCTCCTACCTCACCGACTCCGAGGCTCGCGTCATCGTGCTGACCCAGACCTTCGACTTCACCGGAACCGAGGGCACGGCAACCGAGTCCGGATGTGCTCCCTGGGGAACTGGCTCCGCTTGTCAGCAGGCCATCAACAAGGACGACTGGTGCACCAACTACCAGCCCGACGCGCCCACCGTCGAGGTCACCTACGACAAGGCCGGTCTGACCCCCATCGAGGTCGCCTCGGACAAGACAATCCTCGGCTCTGGCACCTCCGGAGTCATCAAGGGCAAGGGTCTCCGCATGGCCAACGGCGTGCAGAACGTCATCATCCAGAACATCCGCATCACCGAGCTGAACCCTCAGTACGTCTGGGGAGGTGACGCCATCACGCTGGCCGGCACCGACCTGATCTGGATCGACCACGTCACCACCGACAAGATCGCCCGCCAGCACATCGTCCTGGGCGAGGATGCCTCCGGCCGCGTGAGCATCACCAACAGCAACATCGACGGCGAGAGCGAGTGGTCCGCCACCTGCGACGGATACCACTACTGGAACATGTACTTCACCGGCTCCAACGACCAGATCACCTTCAAAAACAACTACGTCCACCACTTCTCCGGCCGTGCCCCCAAGCTCGGAGGCAGCACCGTCCTGCACGCCGTCAACAACTACGTGAGTCCATTAACCCTTTCACCCCCACCTGACACGCCCAAGCACAAAAGCTAACAGCTTCCTTCTCCTCCAGTGGCACGAGTCCAGCGGCCACGGCTTCGAGATCGGCGAGGGCGCCTACGTCCTGGCCGAGGGCAACGTCTTCGGCGACGTCTCCGCCATCTACGAGGACGGCGACGCCACCACCGCCTACGTCGTCAACGACCCCTCCATGGAGTCCGCCTGCTCCAGCGCCCTAGGCCGCAACTGCGTCTCCAACAGCTACGACAACTCGGGCACCTTCGTCATGACCGACAGCTCCGTCCTCGACAAGTTCAGCGGCGCCGACGGCATCGCCGAGGCCGGCGCCGTGGCCGACGTCGCCGGCCTGTCCAGCTCTGCTGGTTACGGTACCCTGTAAAGATGTTGCAACTCAAGCTTCTTCGCAAGGAAACTGTGATGTGTGGTTGCTCGCGGGAATCATGCGAGGGCCTCTTGGAGGCGGGGAGTTAAGCTTCGAAAGTACATAGCATTTTACCTCTGACATATAAATCATACGAGGACATAGCAAATTTGGCTGCTTCAACTTAACTTGCCTTGACACCTTTCACTGAATTTCTTTGTAACGAAACACGCTGTCCTGGACAAGCCAGGCGCAATGTGAGCGGCCCAGCTGACTCGACTTGGCTTGAATAATACACTGCAGTGGTCCTAGTTCAACATTACAGTTGTGAAAACAATTGTGCCACTACCGATGCACTCATGATTTGTTGAGAACCTGGTTTTTCTGCGTATATCATTTCAGAAACTTTGATCGTGACATGGTGTCCAGGTTACTCACATGTCTCCTGTCCAGGGTGATGATTTGGTTCAACTTTCGTGGATGGATTTCCCCCCTTGATCATTCGTCTTGCACTCCAAGTAGCTCCCTAGTCCTGGAAGCAGGTCATTGCACTGAGTCATCGTTTGGTACTAATTATTTGGGTTGATACGACAACTAACAAATTTAAGTGTTATGACATAACTTCCTGTAGAATAACTTCCTATAAGTCTCAGGCCCGCCTTCTCGCCGAGCTGGGAACCTCACCGTATGAAAACTTGTTGTCTCCAATGTCCCCCCATAGTCTTCTGCGCTGTCCGTGAAGCACTCCGTTGCGTCCACACGCTCAAGAACAAGAACAAGAGTCGTTTCAATTCCTTGGCATCAGTGTGTTGACTGCTGCCCCGAAAGCATGACCTGACTCGGATTTGGATGTGCAGTCGATTGCTTTAGGCATCCATGGAAAGTTTATCTGAAAATGATCGCCAAAGATCTACCGGGAGCTGGCGACCCCTGCTCTAAGTGCGCTTGGACCAGGTGGGCTCAGAACGGCTTCGAAGGCACACATCAGCCTTGACACTTGCCATTCTCGCTCGCGTGATCTTTGAATATCATCTGATACTCGCAATATCGTACAGTCCTGATAATTCTCACACTTCAATCCCTCTGGTCAGCTTACAGCAGAAAATGCGACTGACGCTTCAAACCACCACATGCGGCGGCGTCTCCTGAACGCACCTTTGTCACACCTCAGCCTCGCAAGGCTGCCTTTTGCCCCACTACAATCAATCACTCGAACCTGTCCACTGCCAGCCCAAACGCGGTGTAGCGAGGTTAGGAGGCTCAATTGCAACGTCTCTCGCCGTCGGCGAACAACATTCGGAAAGCCCACGCGTCACATTCATCTGGACGCGTCCCACACGTCTCGGACGGGGTTTCCCAGTGAGCCCTGAACAATACTTTGGAAGCTAGAGCGACTAACCTTGCTAGAGACCAGAGGTTTGCGCTTCTGATCATTGCACCATGCTTCCAAGTCCAGCCGATTCTGTACATCGACAGCCTTCCAATCCCCCAGAACTATGACTTCGAGTCAAATCAAGTGAAGAAGAATGGATCAACTCACAGAGAAAACGATTTGGCGGAACCGCGCCGAAAAGAAGACCAAAGCACTGACCAGTGTCGAAGAACGACTTCATCACTCTCGACGATCAAACCTGGCCAAAGAGACAATCAAGCACATTGGCCTGCATACCAAGCTTGCTCAAGAGCGCTACTCTGACACGTTTGCCGACGCAGCCTGGGACGAGACAGAAAGGGCTTTCGTCGCCGCTGAAAAAAGACGCAAAAGAATTGCGCAGCGGCGCAGACGACGCGAAAAGGCCCTCTCAGCCGTCGTTGAAGAGATTCACAAGGCTCGGGAGGAAGCTTCAAGAGGGACAGACGCAGAAAAGATCGCTTGCCTTCGCCGGCTCGAGCGCGCTAGTAGAAAGAGGAGGGTCATAATGCTCAAGCTCCGATCCTCCGCCGTTATGAATCCGGAGCCTGCCTCAAAACGCCCAAAAGCTGGGTCTGCATCATTGCCAAAGACTCGTTCGGGAGACAAGGTGCCTCAAACTGCAGAGTCAGGGTCCCACTTGCTGACCACAAAGCACATCGCTTACAGCAACGACAGAGTTCGGAATCAAAGTTATCCAGGGTTCTCTGATGCAAGTACAGGGGTAAAGTCAGTAGTCACAACTGCCTCGAGCTCAAAAGTGAGGCGAGAATCAGCTCCATTGCCATTATGTCCGCCGAGTCTTATCGATTCTGTCGGCAGCTTACAAGCGTTGGCACAATGGTATGACCCACCTCTGTCAGCAGCTCAAGTTGAATACGTTAGAAAGAGCATGATACCACCAAGAGATCATCTGAACATGGACCCAGGCCGGCTTGACAAAGTCATGTGTGATGACCTCTCAGCGGCTTTGAAGTCAATGTGCCAGGCCTTCGACCGATCCATCAAATTTACTGCCCAGCCTGCAGAACAACTCAAGCCAGGATTTTCAGAACCACAAGGCGAGACCATGCCCAGGAACAAGAATGTTTTGGGGTCAGCCAAAGAAGATGTGCTTGGCATCATCTCGCTCGAGGGAAACAAAGGGTTTGTTGACGTTGGAAAGGAGGACAGAAGTGGCTTGCATCTTCGGGCGCAGCCTGCCATCTCTATGAGCCATCTTCCTCTGCGAGCAAGAGCAAGCCACTCTGACAACAGTTTCCTCTCAAAAAGATCAAAAGATCTTGGGAACGTCAAGACTAAGAGAAGGACAAAATCTGCACCAGGATTTCTTAACATCCGCTCCGCTCGTTTCGGACGTATGGCTGGAGGCTCAATAGATATGTCTCATTTTCCACAGCGCAGGTTTTCCACACCCAAATCAGTACAGAATGAATCAGCCTCTAGGGATGGAGACACCAGAGCTCAATCCGTTCACTCACTGTCCAGGAAGAAATTAAGATCGATCAATGAGTATCCGGGACCGAGATATTCACAGCGACTTTTCCAGCTACGAAAGAAGGCATCAAATCGGCCGAAGGTTGATGAACCACTTGAGCATCGTGCGAGTAAGAAAAGAAAAGGGGTCCACAAATCAGAACGTCTTACCTCTGGACGGCTGCACCCTCCCACGGACCACACCACACGCACGGAGAAGTTGACCGTGGAAGTTCCTGCTGATACTGATATGGCAACCGATCTCCGGACGTACCGCCAGTGGCCAGGTCAGTAAGAATCTGACCCACTCGCAAAACATGATCTAATCACTTTTTACAGACGATTCAGGGACCTTGAAGAAGTCCCAGGGCTGTCTCCTCCCTGCCAATTATCAATTCTCAGGCATTCCGGAGTTCGAGTGGATTTGCCCCGTGCGGTCCTGCCGGATGTGTTTTGAGAGTCAAAACAAGCTCGGTTTCCATTTCGTTGTACGTTACTCTGCACAGCCCGGCGTTGTGATCGTTGAAAAATTGACTAATCCATCCCAGTCATCGCACCATTCTTGTCTGTTCAACGACAACTGTGATGGCACGTTCACAATACTTGGGAAGTACACCCAATACCAGACTGGGAACCACCGGCCTGCTCTGGTCAAGTCCAAGGATCCTTTGCCCAAGCATGCGTCGCCAATGATGGAGCCCCGACTTCCAGCGACACGAATTACTGTCCATCAGCGGAAGCTTTTTGCGGCAAGCCAGCAGAAGGCGCTCTCGCGTACTGCGCCAGACTCTCACAAAGAGAAGACAGTTGACGAGATGATGCTCGACACAAGTTTGTTGTCTCTATCCTCAGCGGGTACTTCACGTATGCCCTCAATCTCGGGTGCCGAGCACAGTCCACCTGAGCCCGAGGCGTCCTCCGGTAATGATTTGAGCCCATATCATGGAGCGGGGTCAGAGGGAGAAGGCTCGGATCACAACCCAGGACCTGTTAACGCCGGACAGAAAGAAGCGTCCAGTCCGCCTCGCGACGCGACACAAGCAAACTGGCGACTGCTGAGAAAGTTCCTCACTGGCAGACAGTTCTATCCACCCAAGAGAGGCCACTTTGCTAGTCTTCTCTCAACTCCGCGCAGCCGGGACATTGTCACGAGGCCAGGAGTGAGACTCATCGCCGACCAACCCAAGAAGGTCCGTTTGCTCATGGTCCACATGACCGGCGAGGAACCTTCCGTGCCATGCGATTCATGTGCATCGGGACGCGGCCCTTTCAAGAACTGTGTCACGATCAGTAAGAAAGCAGCAGGTGAGACCACGAATGGAATCATCTGTTGTACGAACTGCGCGAGTAAGAAGGGCCTACACCGCAGTTGCAATGTGGAAGAACTACTTAGCCAGCCACCTGCTGGACGAATTGGCCCCCAACACAAACAACGCAAAAAGGATATCGCTTTTGAAGCGAGAGAGCATGCCAGCCTTGTTGTCAGCTCGCGAAGCACCAAGGTTGACGGGCGCTTTACATTCGCAGTACATGTTCTACCGTTGGACGGCTTACTGGAGCTCGATGCAAAGCCTTCAAGTGTCCGTATTTGTTCGCTCGCATCAGGGAAGGTAATGGTCCAGCTGGAGGGAAACTCGCCATTTTTGATCGGTCCTCACGGGATGTTTAAGCTTATGCCAGCGATGACCGCACAGGTCTTCAATGCCTCGGAAGCCGATGCTGTTCTCCATGTATCCACGCTGAAGGGTTGAGTCGTTGTCTGTCTCACCATTTCAGATCGACTGGCGATGATTGCCTGCAGGCTCCAGGCGATGCGGGGGTTTCTCAAGGAAGCAAGAAAAGTCAGGCCACCGGTTGACGGGGGTACTTGTTCGAAGTTGGATGTTTCGATGTTTCGATGTTTCGATGGTTTTTGATTGTATCGGATGGATGAAATTCCGACGAGGACGTTTTGTTACGAAGGGGGGTTTGAAGGACCTAGGTAGGAACCCAAATCGCCAGGCCGCGTCTAATGCCCATGTTTTCTTTCCCTCAAGTATTGAAAAATTCCACAAATCGGAAACGCCGTTGAGCATTACACAATTAACCGTTTCGAAAACGACTCTCCCCTCTCTTGTACCGTAGTAAGACTTGAAAACCCCTCTGTTAACGTCGCGCCTGCTTATTTGTGAGTACCTAGGTACTGAGGTGGTGCTCAGCTGCGCTTGCTAGTGGGCGCCACGCCAGGTCTCGCTGTGACTCACTAAGAATGCACTACGGTCTCGGCATGCATTGAGTGAGTCCAGCTACCTATGTTCCTATCTAGGCAGAGTCAAGCTCCCTAGACAGATAAACAAGCCGAAATCCCAGCATTGCACCCTTCCGAGATCTTCACCTTGCTTTCTCACTGACAATTCAGCCCACACCTGGAACAGATCAGCCAACATGAAAAGTAGCCTAGCGACTGCCTTCCAGTCCGAGAGGCTCGTCTACACGGCAATCCCGGATACGGACGAGATCAAGACCTGGTTCCACGAAGGTTTCGAGAACGACCCCGTCGGCCGCGCCTACGCCGACTCAAGCCTCCTCCGGCCACAGACAAAAGCGCGCAGTGATGAAATACTTGCCGACATCCGCAAGGACCTCCTAGGCGTGCTGATTTGTCTACCTCCAGCGACGACGGAGAATCCCACAGACCCGGACGAGGCTCCGTCGGCCGGCGGCGCCCCGGCGGCGCCCAAGCCCACGCCGATCGGCGTGCTGCACCTCGACGACGAGAGCGGCTCCATGTACCGCCACCACCACCGGCTCTGCGTCATGAGCGTCTCAATCGACTCTGAGTACCGTGACAAGGGCTACGGCTCCGAGGCTATCAACTGGGCGCTGGACTGGGCTTTCACGAGGGCCAACCTGCACGCTGTCAGCCTGGGGTGCCTCGAGTTCAACGAGCGGGGGAAGCACTTATATGAGAAGCTGGGCTTTGTCCCTGAGGGAAGGTTCAGGAAATGTCACTGGCATGAGAGGAAGTGGTGGGATGTGTTGCTGTACTCCATGCTGGAGGAAGAGTGGCTGGAGCTCAGGAACAAGGATAAATCGTGAACCCTTGCTGGAACGTAAGGAACGATCTCCCTGGACAGCACGCGGGTAGCCAATGCAGCGTCATAATCAGTTTTGGACTTAACTCAACATGAGATGGGCATTCATGAGAGCTTAGGTCCGGTGCGGTTTGGATGCGGCCGCTCCAACTGTTTGCCGTAGCCGTACTTTGCTTAAGTCCGCCCACTAATACCGAGTGCTCAACGTATAAACTCACGCTCAGACTATCGGGTCCTAATTCTTTGTTTCCCCGTGCGAAGGACATAGCATAGTAATTTTGACGCCCCTCTGTCAACTGAAATTCAATTCCCACATTAACTCTCAAAATGGCCGAACCGACCATCAGCGACGACTTCAACTTCACCACGCCCGCCAGACCCCTGACATGGCTGATAACGGGCTGCTCCTCGGGCTTCGGCCTCGCCATCGCGCGGCAAGCCCAGGCCAAGGGGCACAGGGTGATCGCGACCTCCCGCAACCCATCCAAGACCCCAGAGCTGGTGCGCGAGATCGAATCCAACGGCGGCAAGTGGGTGCCTCTCGACCTCGACGACCCTAACAGCGCCAGCGTCATCAACGACCTGGAAGCGGAGGGCATCGGGATCGACGTGCTCGTCAACAACGCGGCCTTCGCCCTCCTCCACGCCGCCGAGTTCATCACCGAGGACGAGGTGCGCGCGCAGTTCGAGACCGTCTTCTTCGGGCCGTACAGGCTGACGAGGGCCGCCCTGCCGCACATGCGCAAGAGGCGGTTCGGGATCATCGTCAACATCAGCACCGGGGCGAGCTTGGAGGGCCGCGAGAGCATGGGGATTTACTCTGCGTCCAAGGCTGCTTTTGATGGTACGCGGTACTTCTATTTCCCAAAATGACAAGGGAGAAGCTGACATCGGACAACAGGACTCACAAAGGTTCTGGCCAAAGAGGTCGCAGAGTTCAATGTGCGGACGCTCACAGTATACCTGGGCGGCTTTAACACCCGCTTTCCTTCGTCCCTGAGGACTGGCAAAGAGCCGCTGTCTGGTGATTATGACGGGTCAGCCGTTGGCAAAGCACTCGAATTCATGCATGGAGGCAAGTATGTTCCCGACGGGGACACGTCGAAAGGTGCTAGGGTCGTATACGACGTGGTTATGGGCGAGGGAATCGGAGCTGGCAAGGAAGGAGAGCCGAATCTACCCTTAGGTAGGGATATGGAAGCTCGTACTAAACTCGTCCGGGATCGCATGGACCATTGTTGGGAAGTGTTCGGCGACGCTGCTACCAATGTATATGTTGAAGCAGAGAATTGAGCACCACCGGGGATGATGGGAGGAGGCGTTACTTATTCTCAGTATTTGCAATGCTGCAGCCGCAGCAATGTAATTTCAGCACGAGGTAGCATATGTATGTCTGTCTGCCCCAGATTCTGCCTCCAATTGGCACAACGACCTTGGAATACCCATTAAGCCACATGGGAAATCCCTACCTATGCAGGCTCCGCAGCGCTCGACCACAAACCATTGACCCTTCAGTCATCCTCCCCCCTTTCGCTGAGTAGGCTTGGCATTTCGTCGCTAAACGTGTCGCTCAGCATGTCCTCGCCAAGCAGCTCTTCCATAGTTTCGTCGTCCAGTAGCAGATAGCCGTAATCCTCCTTCGTTCTGAATATCATGCCAAATACTATCTCCAAGAGCATCGATGCAGATTCGGAATGGATCTCACCGTAGTGAAACATGGAACCAGCGAATACTTCCATTGCCTCCAGATGCTCATCCTTGGTGACGATCTTCGGCTCGTGACAATGAGAGCCGATTACATCTTCGTGGACTCTTCCAACCCAATCATCCCAACATGATAATGTGAAACTGGATCGGATATCATCGTCGATGTAGTCAAGATCGGCCTCAGACATGAGTCTATCACTCACAAGAGCCACCTCGTGTATTTCTTGGAACAGTAAAATGAATTCCGCGAACTCGTGGTAATCACCGTCGGCTGTGATTCCGTCTTCAGATTCCCTGTCCAAGCCGAGTCCAAGCAATCGAACTGTGCTGAAAACCTGGGCGATGAAGACCCAGCTCGCTTGTTCGAGGCACACCAGATCAAACTCATTCAAGCCGACGAAACAAAAGACACTTCGATTGCCCTTCCATGGAAGGTTGATGGGAGGACAGAGATCAGTGGTGCCGCCTTGCTCGGTCTGGTTCAAGCGTAAACAGCCGTCGAACAAGCTCTCACCCTCGTAACGGGATTCTCGGTTGACCTTTCGAAGACTGCGAACTTCGCGAGTCAAATATTTCACTTCCTTCAATGGTGCGAAGAAAGCCTGTGGAACTTCGGTTTCCTCTTCGTCGTCACTCAGTTCAGAGTCAGGAATGGATGAGAATTCCAGTCGGAAACGGTAGACGAGCGTATCTGGAATAGCGTCGTATGCCATTTGCCAAATCCGAATTCGTATTTCAGGAGGAAGGTCAGGGAAGCGGTGGAATTCTTTGATAGGTTCTCCTCCACTAGGAATGGGAAGCGGAATGGTGATGGCTGAAGACATCGTGTGTTCCGGCGAAAATTTTCAAGGTGGCTGGCGGTGCCATGGTGTGTTAGCTTTTGCTCCTTTATTTTCTCAAGGTAGATCTAGATGATTGGGCACCACTCGCGACGGCACTATAATTCAGATCATTACTTGACCTGGGGAGGCGTGGCACTGGGAATGCTGTTGGGTGGGTGCAGGTCTTTCTTTTCACCGACCTTGAGTGTGTGATGGGACACCTGACGGGCTCCTGTCAAGAGCGACACCGTGTGCCGGACAGCTGGAAGTGGGGAAGAACCGACGGTGGTAGGTGGGAGCGTAGACCAGAAAGTTTCCACACGAGAAACTGTTCTGACGAGTTTGGTGAATTGAAAGGTCAGTCCAGTCTCGTCCAAGCAAGCCGTCTACCTAGGTACTTCGGCGCTGTCGGTGGTCGCGCGGCCTGATGGCACGCAGGTGCAGAGGCAATGAGAGCTCCGCCCGCGTTTGGTGTGTGGAGGAGTGTCTTCTACCAGAACAAACGAATACGCCGTCTGGGATTCATTTGCTGAGTGTGGTGTTCGGATGACGGGGACCAGACCATTCGTTGTTGTGTAGGAGGGGTTGGAAAAATGGGCGAGCTGGAGGTGCTGGAGTCAGCGTACGCCCACCCAGCTTCTATAGTACGCCCACCCAGCTTCCAGCGTTGGCCCACCTAGTATAAGAAAATTAACTGCATTTATATTAAAATATAAGTACTATAAGGTTTTTAAGTTAATAAAGCTATAGTTATTTTAAAGGGGTTTTATAGCTACCCTTTTATTTATAACTTAAAAGTTACTTTTACCTTTTTATTCTTTGCCCCCTTAGCGCCCTTGCTTACCCTTATCGCCCTTGCCGCCCTTAGCACTCTTTGCACCCTTTAAGTTTTTTATGCCCTTTAAGCGCTTTGCGCCCTTTACGCCCTTTGCGCCCTTTAAGCGCTCTGCGCCCTCTAAGCGCTCTAGGGCCCTTTGGGCGCTCTGGGAGCTCTGGGCGCTTTGGGGCCCTCTGGGGGCTTTGGGGCCGCTTTAGGCGCCCTAGGGCCCTCTGAGGGCTCTGGGGGCTTTGGGGGCTCTAGGGGCTTTAGGGGCTTTAGGGGCTCTAAGCTTTAAGGGCTTATATTTTTAAAGTATTGCTTAAATTAAAAAATAGCTACCCTGGCTTATTAAGAACCCCGTAGTACTAGTATTTTATAGCGCGTGCAGCCAATTTCCTTATACTAGGTGGGCCAACGCTGGAAGCTAGGTGGGCGTACTGTAGAAGCTGGGTGGGCATACGCTGACTCGAGGTGCTGCCTTCTCTAGTATCAGTACTTCCAGCGTCTGTGACAGGGAAAGAGCGCCCCCGTTTGGCTTACGTCATCCTACAGCTGCCGAGCTGCAACAAAACAGTCGCCCGTTGCTCTTGCAGTTTTGTCTTTTCCACTGCCTAATTGTTCAGTCAGTCCCAGGCTTCGGTTCAAACCTTTTCCACTCAGCGATGGTGACTTGCATGTTAAGCATTAGGACTTGCCCAAAACTTGTTGTCAAACCCTTCCCAATTGATCTCTCCGTTAACTGGGCATCTTGCACGGATGGCCTTCAATGAAGATTATCAGAGTGGCCGTTGGACCATTTTGACAAGTCATGCGATCTTCCTTCAGCTTTGAGGGAAGCCCCATTCGATCCATTTGTTCCTGATCGCCAGCACCGTCAGGGGAAGATCAGATAGTGAATTCCAGGCCATGCCTCACCACCATCAACTTGCTGGAGTTCACCTGAGTTCTATGTGTCAATTGTTTCGGATGTATAAATAGTAGTGGGTGCCCAGAACCAATACGTGCGGTATACAATGCTGTCACTGCGATCGATACCTGTGACCGGCATTCGGAGTATTCTATTTGGGGTCTCCTTCCTTTACACACAGCAACCAAGCTCAAAGATGAGCATCGAATACGAGAACGATTTTATATTCATCTTGGCTTTCTTACGGCTACCGATACATAAATTCAGAGAACCTCCCAACCTGGTGTGTACTATCTCCAACATTGAATACTTCCACCCACCGCAATCTAGACGGTAGCATCGTTTCCTCACCTTCTACACCGTTGAAGAGACACCAAGACAGCTCCTTATCCGACACGAAAATCCGAAACCAGCGTCAGGAAATACCCTACCCAGCCAGTGGCGACCGGCAAGTAAAAGCATTAATCTGAGGCGTCTTGAAAGCAGCAATAAGCGCCATGATAGACGAGTAAGTCCCTATGCCACTGACAACCAGCGAGCCCAGCGCATACAGCGTTAACAAGACACACGCCCACCAGTATTTGCCAAAGTACCCCCTGACCCACCTCTTCACGCCCGAGTCGCGGCGCTGGACCTCCCCCGTGTGCGGGTCGAACGGCGGCTCGCCCTTCATGGCCTCGCGCTGGACGATGAACCCGAGGCCGAGCAGCGCGGGGAAGGTGTAGGTGAACTGGACGAAGAACATGGCCGCGGTCAGGCCGACGAGCCCGAAGAAGAAGGGGATGGCGGCCGAGATGAGGTAGGCGATGGTCCAGTAGATGGGCACGACTGCCGCCCAGTAGTGCTTGCCCCTCCGCGTCGTCAGGGGCGGGAATTTGAAGAACTCGATTAGGACGTTGTTGTATATGACCTTGACCCCTATATTGCCGTACAAGACTGCAGCGATAAGGCCGCTGAGGACGCCCAACATATTGCAAGCTGTCTGCCAGCCATAAGGAGACAGGCCATAGTATGAGACCTAAGAGGTAGACTCGTTAGCTATCAGTCTTACATGGTAGGGCATGGGAGAGAACCTACACTATTGGCATACTGGCCCTGGAAGTAATACACATAAGACCCGTAAATCATATACACAGAATATATGAAGAACTGTGAGGCCCACATGACCTTGAGGAAGTCCCGCGGCCGCTGCAGTTCAGCCATGAACTCAATGAACAGCTGCGCGCCTGCGTACGCGTAGACGCCCTGCATGAGACCGACCAGCCCGCCGACAAACCCATTGTCGGATGGTGGGATCGTGCCGTAAGTCCTCACTGGTGGGTAGGAGCCGTCATCAAGCGGCGCGATCGAGGCGCCCCCGAGTGCAGCTCCAGCCCCACCAGCCTGGGCGGCGTCGTAGTTTGGCTCGCTATGTGCGATCACACCCATCGAGATGAACATTACCATCAGGTTGATGAACACGGCCCAGTTTGCCAGCCATGTGAACTTGTTCAGCGTTCTAATTTGTCCAATTGCGTACCCGGCGAGTGCCCAGATCAGACAGCAGATGCTGTAGCACAAGCGAAACTGGGAAACCTGGGAGATGGACTGGCCGTTCTGGATGATGATGTTGCCAACGGAAAGTAGCAGTTGAATGCTCTGGATGGTGTTCACGAGCCAGCGGAACCACCGTCCGTAGAGCCGATAAGCGAGATCGCCGTAGTTCTTGGCCGGGAACTCATAGCTGTCAATGTTGAGGAATACCTTCCAGAGGAGATATCCAGATCTGCATCAATGAGCTGTCAGTAGGGGACCAATATCCTGAGGAGAGGATCCCTCCCATTCCGAGGCAATGTCACTCACACCCCGGCGCAGGCTCCGAAGATCGTGTACAGGCCAAAGCCTTGGCCCCAGCCCATTGTCCCCAGAGCAAACCCGACACCATATGGGCCGAGGATGTCAGTCGTGATCAGATAAAAGCAGGCCGCCGCCGTCGCCGTCCGCAAAGCGCGACTGGCGTTGGTCCACTCCTCTTCTGAGATGGTCGCGCGGATCTTGGGGTCTCAGGTTCAGCTCGTGGATGGCCTCGCTGCTGCTCGTCGCGGACCCCTTGAGCTCGCGGATGCCGCCGTTCTTGGAGGGCAGCAGGACGTCCATGAGGCCCAACTTGGGCCTCGACGCGGCGCCTGCGTCCTCCTCGGCTCGCGATAAGGCTGCGTAGTACATGTACTCCTCGAAAGTCACGTTTGGATCGTGGAGGAGGCGCTCCTGGGGCCGAAACGCGACCGCACGTGTGCGTAGCTCGCCCACCTCGGCGCTTCGCTTCTCCGGGCTGGTGGAACCATTGTTGCCATGGTCAGCCTTTTCGAGGACGCCGTCACTCATCTTCGACGAACGCAGTGGAATACAGTGGAGAAAGACTCTTGTGGGTTCGAGATGAGGTATAGAGGTCAAAGCCACAGTTTGGGTAGGGAATGGCCAGATAACACTCCAACGCGATGGTACGATGATACGGACAAGGGGTGGTAGAATTGCCCCAAATAGATGACGGTGATACTCTGTTTCAACTGCCGCACCCCCCGCAAGTCAGCGGTGCATTCAGTCTGACGGGCTGGATTTCCAAGAAATTGTCAAGTGTCTGTCTATTCCCAATACGCATGTTGAGTACAACATGAACACAAGACCCCTCGGCTGGCGACTGGTACACATCGGACTATGTGGCTGGGCGCTCGCAAAATCCCGTGCGCCATCAAGGTTTGAACGAGTCAGCGTACGCCCACCCAGCTTCTACAGTACGCCCACCCAGCTTCCAGCGTTGGCCCACCCAGTACAAGGAAAATTAGCTGCATCCGCATTAAAATGCAAGTACTGCGGGGTTTTTAATAAGCCAGGGTAGCTATTTTCCAATTTAAGCAATACTTTAAAAATACAAGCCTAAAAAGCCCAGAGGGCCCCAGAGCGCCCAGAGCGCCCAGAGCGCCCAAAGCGCCCAGAGCCCCCAGAGCCCCCAGAGCCCCCAGAGCCCCCAGAGCCCCCAGAGCCCCCAGAGGGCCCCAGAGCGCCCAGAGGGCCCCAGAGCGCCCAGAGCCCCCAGAGCGCCCAGAGGGCTGCAGAGCGCCCAAAGGGCCGTAGAGCGCTTAGAGGGCGCAGAGGGCGCAGAGGGCCGCAAAGGGCGGCAGAGGGCGGCAGAGGGTAGAAGTAACTTTTAAGTTGCAAATAGAGGGGTAGCTATGGGACCCCTCTAGGGTAGCTATGAGACCCCTCTGAGATAGCTATAGCTATGCTTTATTAATAACCCCGCAGTACTAATATTTTATAGCGCATGCAACCAATTTCCTTGTACTGGGTGGGCCAACGCTGGAAGCTGGGTGGGCGTACTGTAGAAGCTGGGTGGGCGTACGCTGACTCGGTTTGAACCAATGTTAGGATCGTTCAGAGCCCGGGGTGGCTTATCTGCGGAGGACCCCGGCAGGTAGAGGTGAAGCCTGCCGGTTTCCAAATTGGACCAGTCGAACCCGTGGAGCTTGTGTATGGCCGGAAAAAACCAAGGGTAAAACATTAAGTTTGGGCAGGCATAGCAGCGAGTCTTTCTGGTGGGGGGAGGGGCAGCTTGCAAGGGAAGCTTATCTCGGACAAGCTTTTGTCGCGACTCGTCTCCAGCAAGCTACGTCCTGCTTTGGAAGCACGAATGCCTGCGCGTCATCCATATGAACATTGGGAATTGATAGATCAGATTCGGTCCTCACAAGTGTTCGGATCGCCCCAATGCAACCTTTCCAGCCGAAACGTTCTTGTGCTGCGAGCCCACGTAGCATCGTTCCCACGCAACCACAGGAACAGACTCGCCAACATGCATTCGTCGATCAAGTCGCGAGACCAGAAGTAGCGCCACCTCTTGAAGCAGAACTCGAGAAATGCTGTCATGGGCACTTGCAAGTGGGGGTTCACGACCACACCAATGTGGACTCCTGCGGTCCAGCGGCTCATACTCCTCGCCGGATAACCGAGACGTTGCAGCTGCTAGTTGACCACCTTCCTAAATCGACCATGAATGATGCAGATGGCGCCGAAATCAGTCGTCATTGACTGATTGAGATCTCCCCGGCCGTTAATGAGCGTTATATCCTGAACTGATTGTCCTGTATAGGCCCAAGCAGAGCCATTTCCCAATCATTGCCATCGTTCAGCCACAGAGCCGGGTCTAACTGATCGAACATCTCGTTAGTCCACATGCTGTCGAATTGCCACGCATCCACTGTTGACTCAGGCGGCAGTACGCCTTGCCCAGCGATTTCCATTTGTTTCTGAAAGGCAGCGAGGGCATTGTCCTCGTTGTACAGGGGCTGTCGTCCAATGGGGGCGGTCTGGGCTTGTTCTGTTGCGGCACCAGAGCCCATCATCTGGACGTCTTTGCCTGCTCTTGTGTTCCTCGTCGCAGTATCGGTGGTGCGCTCTACTGTCGGCACACCGCCGATGGCGACGATTTCGGCCCATTTCTCCAATTTGGCACGAGTGATCAAGACCTTTTTTGCGCATAGATACCAAACGTCGTTATGCCAAGCCCCACCCGCTCCCTCCTCAGTAAGCTCTCGGTGTACCTGTTCGCAACGCTGTGCCAGGCTTGCCAAGATTCCAATAATGTCGATGTTCAGCCCTGGTTGCTTCTGAAGTTTAGATCGAAGAGAGGCGACAACGCCAGGTATGGTCGGGTCAGTAACTTCGCGGAAATGAGATGCTGGTATCTGTGTTGGATCTGTGATGGGCGGCGGTAGCTTCATTAAAGCAGAGCCTCGACTAGCCGTCGACAACTTTGCCGGTTGGGTTTCGGTATCGCTGCCTGGTTCGAATGGCTTCAGAGGAGCAAGCCCGGCTCCAAGCAAGGAGTTTGGCGAGGGCCGCACAGCCGAAGGGTCCCACACAATCTTCTGCGGAACCAAGATGTCTGGCACAGTGTTTCCTCGTCGGGTCTGTCCTGGACCCAGCAGCTTAGCCCATCGGGCCAGCATTGTGATCCCGTAGACTACTTCCAGCATGACAAAGATCGGCATGGAAGTATAAAAGTCTGTGGGCATTTCGAACCACTTCTCAAAGAATCCCTTCAGTGCGTATTGGGCGCGATACAAGCCGTCGAGGGACGACGAGCCATTGAGAGCTACGGAGCTGAGTGACTCTTCCAGTTTCTTCAGACGGTCTGTATCAATAGGAGGTGGTTCGTTGAGGTGAAGCGTCACAAAGGCGAAGTATACCTGGAGCAGTCCTGGGGAGCTTTCCGTCAGTTCCTCCTTCAGCTTGTGTAGGGAGATGGGGTCAACTTACTGTTGCCAACCAAGCTGGCGGGCAATGATGACTGCAGCCTGCCAATTTCCCCATGAAAGGCAACCTGATAGGCTGCAGCGGGTGCCTTAAGATAGACCGACACATCATCCTCTTCGTCTTCCTGGGACGCCCAATTATGTATCCGCTCCGTCAAGCGTTGTATTTTGACCAGCTGGACGAGCAGCAGATCCGATTCGTACTCAGAAGCTTTATCCAGATCCTCAAGACACTGTCTTGTATATTTTGAAAACCTCATAGGCAGTGCCTTCATCAAACCAGTCGCGACCCTGACGAGTATCGTGTCAGAGCACCTGGAATTCAAATTGCTCGTGGACCAACTTACGAAGAGCTGAGGAACCAAACACCTAGTATTGCTCGCCTATCTTCGTTCGTTGTCCGATTCGGCGCGGGCGGATTCAATACCATGACGTTGGACCGCTCCTGGACCTCAGGCGACCTGTTCAAGCCGAGATCGGCCAGCAAGGCCTGAGCCAGATGTATAAGGTTGTTAAGTTGAGCATGCATGAGACAGTGATTCTGGTACCAGGCTAACATCACCAGTATTCCCTGGAGCAGGTCCATTGACCGGTTTGACTCCACCATCATTTCATTCATCAGATGCTTCGTTAGGGCAAACATCTGTCCACGCATCGAGTTCACGTCTGATATCGAGGCAGCCATGCAGATGGCAGAGAATAAGAAGGGCCGTTCAGCCTTGAGGCGCTCGGGCGTTGTATCCGGCGGGATGACAACAAATGGAAACACGGGTATAAGTCTGTCTTGATAGATGGCCAGCAGCTCCTCGTCCGAACGTCTCCGACGTGGAACATCCCCCGCTTGAGCTCGACAAATACATCGAGGGGGAGCATGTCGGTTCCAAGACTGAGGTATACGTATGACATTTGCAGTCGCGTTGGAGGAGATCGGAGAAGGCCCTTGTGATGAAGCTAATGCCATTCGAGGTCAGCACGGGCAGAATGAGTAGGGACAGTAGAGCACATATACGCACCTGGCTCGTCCTCGAATTGCGACGACGAACTCTGCCTTGTCCTTGACCCGTCCGTGGGGAATTCCCCTGACGCCCGAAGGAGATCGACGAGTCCATTCAGCCGTTCTTCAAGTTGTGATGTCTTACTGGGATGATGTCAGGTTCGCCAAGACCAGGGCAGCAAGGCCGGCCAGCATAAAGGTGAACGATGGACTCACGACGCCTTGGGTGTTCGCTTCTTGCGGGGCTGGTGTACCTGGCCAGTACAATCCTTCCCCAGGCGCTTGCATCTGTCGGAATGTGAGTAAGCAACACTCGCAGGCGCAGAGAAAGGGAAAGGGTCGAGAAGTCAGTGTGGAGTCGACGTCGAAAGGAGGGTTGCAGTTACCTGTCACACGGAGTTCCTGGCTCATCGGTGCTACGGAGGCATTTGGCCTGCAGCAGACACTCGATCAGTAGCTGTCAACCGCATCGAGGCAGGATGCCCAGGAGGGCGGGTGCACCGGAAGTGGGTTCCCCTTCTCACCTTGGCGGTCGCACACGCTGCGCAGGCGCTTCCCCATTTTCCCTGCTGGCTCTTGGAGCCGCGTGCGGAGGGCAGGGCCGAGACGGGCTCGACACTCCGGCGGTTCATCACGTCGGCATTTATCACTTGAGCTTGAGCATATGGGGCGGGATTGTCGTACGGGATTGTGGGTTTTCGCTGCGAGAGTCTCTGTGTCAGATGAGGGTGGGCGTCAAGACAAAGTCCGAAGGCTGATGTCCGGTGTTTCCGTGAAACTCCGTTTCTCCTTTCCCCATCTCACTTTTAACTCGTTTGGGGAAAGCGCACTCGGTCCATTCTGTGAGATGAGCAATGACATTGATTCTGACTAAGCCGTGCATAACTGTGAGGCACAGGTATGGAGCTTCACTCCTCAGGCCTCGCCAGATATCTATCCCTCCTCTGCCTTCTGCCTAGGTGCCAAGGTAGGTATCAAGCACCAGTAGGCACAAAAACAAGCCGTTCCGACAAGTCTCATGCCAAATAGGCCACAACACTCCGTCCCTGAGCTTTTCTTATAACGATGTTCCGTCCGCTCATGTGTGCAGCCCATGTGCATGTGCCAGTGTGTGCACATCGATCAAAAAACAAACCAGGGCGAGTACTGGTCATATCATCATGAAATGTCTCCCCTCAAACCAGCGCCCTCCCTACTCCCAGTCCATGTCGAGAACCTGCCGGACCAGCTTCTGATCCTCACCTCCGGTCTCATCACCCTCGCCGTGACCAGTACCGCCGTTGGTCATCTGTCGGTCCCGGAACTGACTGCTCTGCCGAATGGCCCGCTGCTCTGCCACAAACTGGTCGATGTGCTTCTGTGGGTCCTCCGCCATGTACTTCGTCGCATAGGCGTAAGTGTCGAGGAATCGCTCAGTGCTTATCAGCTCCTTGCTATCTCGTAGCTGGTCGTTAAGTTGACGGCAGCCGTTGGACGCCACCAGCTTGTGCAGGACAGACTGCTTGAACCTCGCATTCGCCTCGGCCGTCCACTTCGTGGCTGCCTGTGATCCCTGGTCGACAATGTACTGTGGGGCAACGATCGAGTAGTCCCGCTGGTAGGCTGGGGTGTTGGGGCTGTCCACCACGAAGTGTTCGCGTGCCTTCCCGTTCTCCGCGTACCAATCGCGGCCATGCTGCTTGTACAGGTAGGCTGTTGCTACCTCTGTGACTGGGCGTATCACCTCCTCCGAAACACACCAGAGGCGCACGTCTACAGCACGGTGACCGTTGGTGCCCTTCGTGATGTCCGTCCAAAGCTCGTTGATCTCCGCCAGTGTAGTCTTGTCGGCTCCCTGGAGCCACTCGCCAACGGCTTGGCGATCGGCCAGGCCGTAGTCGCCCGTCGTGTTTGCGAGACAGAACTCCCTGCCGGTACACGTGATGTAAACTGCCTTCAGGCTTGGGTCGTTGGCTGCAGTGAAGCTAATCATGTTGAGGGCAATGTAGAGAGCCTCGAGCTTCGCGTTGTCTTTGGTCTTCTTGACGCAGGTCACGGTGTTCCAGGGCGACACAGGGTGGAAGAACACGGCAGCTCCTGCTTGTCCGTCGTCATCCTCGTAGACGACACCTTCTATGGAAAGGACAAGCGTGTGAGGATCAGCTTGCAGATTTCCGGTAGAGGGTTCGACACCTTGGAGGTTCAAAACGTTCTTGTCGGGGTTGTACGCCACTCGAACATCCATTGGGACAGATCGGTGCTTGATGCTCTTCTCTGGGTCGAATATGCGAGCGATGGGCTGGCCGTTTGCATCAATTGCCGATGTGTAGCAGTCGAGAGTTTGGACAAAGTCGTTTCTGGCACCGTCTGTCTGGTACAGCTGGGCATACTTTGTATTGCGCCGCTTCAATGGCGAACCATTGTCGTCGATCTTCACTTTCGCAGGGGTGAATGGAGATGACGGCGTAGTGAAAATGGACGCTCTAGAGTCGAAGACAGATCCACAGCTGCCGCTGCTCTGTGAAATCGGAGAAGTCATGGTAGGGGTCTGAGGCTCAACAGTGAAGGCGTCGCACTCCATCGGGGTACCGTCCAACTGAGAGACGCCGTCAACGTTGTTTCTGTTCTTGCCGTAGCCCACGAGGAAGCTGTCGAGGGTGTCTATGTCGTTAAGGGCAGCCCACTCCAGCAGGTTCTCCTTCAGCTCAGGTACGGTCAAATAAGCGTCATCAGCCATGGACTGAAGCTTCTCCTCGGGCCAATTGGCAAACATGTAGTCCCGCATCTCGTCGGTGATGCGAGGGACGAACATGATGACGAGCGGTTTGAGGATGTCGCTGCGTATGGTGGTCGGTCAAACGGGAAATGATGATTTGTAGGCAAAGGAGAGCTTGTAGTCGAAGTCGACAGGCAGCTTATTGGAAGGCCAACAAATCGCCGAACTTGAGTGTAGAATGAACGAGTAGACTTTCTGATCGAAGTCTGGTGGACGGGGCAAACGGGGTTCAGTGGATGAACTCGGCCTGGTTGATGTTGAAGTGCTGCTTCGAGTACAGGCAGCTCAGTGTGATCAGGGGAGTTTGCGTTGACGAGCCAAGGCTTGAAGACGAATTGACCAAGTCACGATTTACAGGCGAAGTGACAAAGTTCAGTCTCGTCAACCTGAAAGTTGGGGTTGGAAAAGCAGGAGGGGCGCTCAGTTTTCTTTGCACTCCAGGTTTTTAATACCTTTGGGAAGTTCATCTGATCTTCCATTGTAAATATTCACAATGGGCACAAGCCGTGTCCTGGCCAACCAGAGGCCAACTAAAGAGCTTGTAGAGTTTCCTGGCCGGCAGCCTTGGTTTTCCACATGCCCTCAGCTGGACTCGAGTACTTTGCCACAAAATGCAAGCAAGACGTCCTCATGACTAACATCGACGCAGGTAACCTGACTTTCGCTTTCATTTTCTTGCGTAGCCCGTTTGCCATTTGAGGCCCCCAAAACCAACCTTCGTCGGCTCGCAAGCTTCGAGATTCCAACGCTCTGCTCAGTAGCTGCCGCGGTAGAAATGAATCGTCAATTTCCCGATAGATCAGGGTCAAGGGCACCTGGCTGCAACGATCTGCTCGGTGGTATTACTCATACCTGCTTGTGTCCCTCCAAACAGCTACAGATGGAGGTCAAATTTAGTCAACCGCAACTGAGAAAGCTAGAGTAAGCCAAATTATAACTTGACAGTGTTAAATCATCTTTTCGCTGTCGAGAACATTTCAAGCTGTTAAGGCGACTAGAGCTCGAGTATCACAAAGCCCGCTATCCCTTGTCTCCAACCAAGGTTCATGGCGGCCGCAAGGTGGCCCGTTGGGCATTCCAAGGGCCCCCTTGCTGGCTCTCAGTTGCGTGCTCATTCTTCAACCCCATTCCACAGGACCGCGCTTGATTGACACGGGTACAAGCGATCTCAAACACTGGAAGCTGAGTTATCTGTCTCGCTTGCGCGAAATATGGTGGAAATTTTGCAATTGTTAGAACCAGGGGCAGAGTCATGTCTGTGAATCCTTCCCTGTCTTGGACTTTTGAAGGTCGTACGCCTCGTCCCGTTCGTGTTACTATCTAAATCTTCCAACGGTTTGTTGACCCACCACATATCAGCGCCGGATCCCTTGGGGAACCTGGCAATCAAAGAGGCAAGACATCAACCACACAAAGTGAAACACCACCACGTTGTCTTGAATTCCAACCAGCAACATGCATTCAACGGTGCGCCCCTGCCCGGCCCGCGATTCAACGGGGCGCCACAGCCGTCCCGCTATATACGAGTCATCCCCAGATGTTTCCTCTGCTGCCCTGTTCTTGACTGTTTTGTACTTGATGCATTATCTCGCGCAAGTTACCGATAGCAAAGTGATGCGTCCCGCCTCTTCCTCTCTGCGTCGGTGCCTACTATCTAAACATGTACGACAGACCAGGCCGCGCTTCACACGAACGAGACGACTTCCCACCCTACATTTCGCGTCAAGATGTTGAGGAGCTGAAGGAGTTGGACGGCTCACAGGAAGAAATACTTTTTCAAGATGGAAAGCCAGTTGCGCATTCTCTGGGCACCAGCAAGACAACCCGGTGGGCTTTAGGCTGTCTCCTGGTCTTTATCCCAGGCTTTCTGCGAAGCAGATTAGTGGTGGGACTTGTTCAGCTACTTGCCCCGAGTTTCTTGCGATCAGGTCCCAGTGAGCCCAAGAAGCTCCATCCGACAGCTTGGTTAGGTGAGCTCGATCTCCTGCGAGGCGGTGCTGGAGGACGGACCGTGTGCTGACAGCATCCCAGACGGCATGCGCGGTATCTCGGCTCTCTGCGTTGTGATATACCACTCGAGTCTCCTCTGGTTCACCTGGGAACTCCACGCGCCTTACATTCCTGGTTCATACGAGATCCTAAAGCTGCCAATCATCCGCCTGTTCATCTCCGGCCCTCCTCACGTCTCCGTCTTCTTCATCGTGTCAGGCTATGCAATCTCATATAAGGCGTTGAAGCAAATTCACCAAGGGCGCTTCGCCGACGTTGGCTCGACGCTTGCCTCGTCCTTCTTTCGCCGCCACCCCAGGTTGTTTATGCCGGCAGCAGTCGTCACCTTCTTCTCAGCCCTGATGACCCAGATGGGCTGGTACGATCTCCAGGGACTACCAGGGGTAGCCATCCCGACGCGGGAGCCACCGCACGCCGGAAGCCTGAGGGACCAGATGGTGCATTTTGCTTTTATCGAAGTCTGGAACACCGACCCGATCGGCCAAGAGCATGCCCGTGGTGGCGTGCCGCGGAATGTCCAGAACCCATACGATGCTAACCTGTGGACGCTGCCAATAGAATTCAATACCTCAATGGTTATCTTCATGTTCCTGGCAGCGTTCAGCCGGGTGCGGAATCGGGTCAGGATGACAGTCGCATTGGCACTAATCATCTACTTCGAGTACTTCTGGAGCTACTGGGCACTGTTCCTGTTTCTATCGGGCATGCTCATCTGCGATCTGCACTTCGAAATCGACGACTATCGCTCCAATTCTGCCAATAGCATGATGTCAGGGGAGGATGCTGCCCTGCCTATATGGGCTCGGGTGCCGCAAGGGATTGTCTCCAGAATATCAAGAAGGATCGCAGGCTCTCGCCTCCTCGGGCGGATCACCGGCATCTCGTTCTTCACCCTTGCGCTCTGGCTGCTCAGCGTACCTGAGGTCACATACATCGACACTCTTTGCACTCACATGGGCGCAGTGGTCTTGGTGCTGGCGGTAGACAATTCGAGCCATCTGCATATCATATTCACCAACCGCATTTCACAGTATTTGGGCAAGATTTCTTACTCTCTATACCTGATACACGGACCTCTTCTGTGGACCTTGGGGTCAACCCTGGGCAGGAGGTGTGTGGCATTCACGGGAGGAGAGACCAACGAGACGTATGTGTTGGGCATTGCAATCGCGGCATTCTTGTGGTGGCCTGTGGCGATCTGGGTTGCAGATCTCACGTACAGGGGCGTTGACATGAAATGTGTACAGCTGGCAAGGTGGGCGTATGAGAAGCTCTTGAGGAAAGAGGAATAAGACCAAATCATTTGTACCGGTGGGCAGTCATATAGAAAGCATAGAATAACTTTTCCGTCATCTATCAGAGTACTAGTATTACTTCAGCACCCCGTGCACCATTTCTCAATGTGGACAGCACACTTCAGTACATCCTGCGACATTTCTTAGTCTTAGTAATTAGACCTTTCTTGGGATTTCTGCACACCATGAACTGGTTGCCCTGTAACCCCCTGTTTTGACCAATCTCACGGCTCATTGCTCTCAGCATACCGTCCCGGTAGAGTTGACCACTCAAAGTGATTAAGCTGGAGATCCCAACACGGAATTTCAACCTATTTAGCATGTTGCACAGCTAATATCACCATCAACAAATTCGCAATTATTCGGACTCCGCGGTCTTCTCTGGACCACAATGAATGATCCCTGCCTGCCGAACAACCAAATATCCAGGGACAAGAGCAACTCCCCAGAGAGCAAAGTTGAGGCCTAATGGCACTGTCAGCTACATGAAAGCCACCTGTCTGGTGGTGGTCAGTCTCTGAAAAGGTTTACCTACCGGTGCTGAGGTTGAACTGATCCCGCTTGCAACACACTGGCCAGCAGCTTCTACCGCCCGTGCAACCGACATATACCGGACAACCTCTTTCGGATCTCTTGCCATCAGGCCTATCAGCCAGAATCCGTAGTTATACGCAAGGCTGAAGTTAATAGACCAGAAAATGTAGAGTGCCCATCCTCTTCCAAATCCGTGATCGTCCCAATCCAACGATGGCTTGTTTTGACTGTAGCCGACTTGCGCAACAGCGCCCCAGGCCTAGGAGCCTCCTATCAAGGACATCACAAAGATGTAGCCGTACCGGGCACATCGATTCGAGCTCAGGCTTGTCCAGTCCAGGAATGCGCAAAAAACAAGAGTCGTGAATACTTGGGCGAGGGCGGATACCAACGATGCCAATGCTCTGGAACGTACAGAAAAGTATAACGATAGGTAAGAACTGTTGTATGGAAGTTGAAATGCAACGTATATGAAATAAGGGAATCTACAGAATGAAATTTAATTTAGTTGGTGGATCATTGAATTGGGTTTGAATCTTGTCAACTCACATCAGCAGGACGTCTTTGCGGTAAAGTGCTTTCAAGAGTGCTCTGAGCTCTTGAACGTCCGAAACTTGGTCGCCAATCTGAACCCGCTTTCATTCCGGCGTCGTACCGAGCGCATATTTGTGAGGGCTGACAATTGGCATGGTAGGAGAGAGAGGAACAGAGAGGATGAAGACTTCGTCGTCAGTGAGTGAAATATCGTAACCGGCAGTATCGATAAATTGCATACCTACTGGTATGTGTCATACTAAGTATAGATGAATGCGTAATAGGAGTCAGCGTACGCCCACCCAGCTTCCACAGTACGCCCACCTAGCTTTCAGCGTTGGCCCACCTAGTACAAGGAAATTAGCTATATGCGCTATAAAATATTAATATTATAAGGTTATTAATAAAGCATAGCTATAGTTATCCTAAAGGGGTTTTATAGCTACTCCTTTATTTATAACTTAAAAGTTACTTTTACCCTTCTGCCCTTTATGCCGTCTTCTGCCCTTTGCAACCTCTTTTGCCCTCTGCGCCCTCTTTTGCCCTCTGCGCCCTCTTTTGCCCTCTGCGCCCTCTTCTGCCCTCTGCGCCCTCTTCTACCCTCTGCGCCCTCTTCTGCCCTCTGCGCCCTCTTCTGCCCTCTGCGCCCTCTTCTGCCCTCTCTGCCCTCTCTGCGCCCTCTTCGCCCTCTGCGCCCTCTGCGCCCTCTGCGCCCTCTGCGCCCTCTGCGCCCTCTGCGCCCTCTGCGCCCTCTGCGCCCTCTGCGCCCTTTGGGGCCCTCTAGGCGCTCTGGGGGCCTCTGAGCGCTCTAGGGGCCTCTGGGCGCTCTGGGGGCTTATATTTTTAAAGTATTGCTTAAATTGGAAAATAGCTACCCTAGCTTTTTATATATAGGGTAAACTTAAAAAAGTACCTAATCTTATTAATATAATACTAAGAAAAGGAAGTATTGGGTGGGCCAACGCTGAAAGCTAGGTGGGCGTACTGTGGAAGCTGGGTGGGCGTACGCTGACTCGCGTAATAGCCTTGGTGTTGGTTGATAGTGGGTGGGGTCGGATCAGGCAAACAGGGAGAGCCCCACGAGTGAACAATATCATGTCATTACTTTTCCCGCCTATGGTACAGATCATTTGGCTCGTCATGTGGTCGCCCCCGCCTGTTTGTCTGCGGCACAGCAGCAAGGCTAGTCGCATTCAGCCAAGGCTATCGTGCAGCAACCGAGTATGCCGCCAAACGTATTATTCTAGACGTAGAGAGTGTGGTTATTAGCCCGCACCCGCTTGGACGTGATCGAGCTCCTTCACTGATCCTTCTCTCGACTCGATCCCAGGTGTGGGCTAAAATATTCGCCAGTTGGTGTCTAAGGCCCAGATACTCCCATTTGATTCCGCCCAGGCTCAAACTTGAAGGCAGTCTCTTGTTGAGAGCGAAGCAGACATCAGCCTGACCCTGCACTCTCATTGGAGCCGTTTATTCCTCCTATTCGCAATGGACCAGTCGAACACCAACGTGACTAATGCAGCCGATATCGGGAAATTCTGCGTAAGAACAAGTTCCTTCTGTCCAGCTTTGTTGAGCCCGAAGCCGTGACTGCGACCTGACTGCCTTTCGCAGTGCCTTGCTTTAGCAGCTGCAGTTGGCCGCCAAAAGGTCGCATCCCCCGGGAGCACAGCGTACGACGCTGCTCTGCATTCGTACTTTCCTACTCAGCAAGCCTCGTTGCAACCATCCTGCATTGTACTGCCCCAATCAGCTGAAGACGTGTCCGCCGCTGTGAAGTCGTTGGTCCAGCTGCAGGAGGATGGCAGGAGCTGCCAATTTGCTGTTCGTTCGGGTGGCCACACGAGCTGGGCCGGCGCCTCTAACATCCAGTCCGGAGTCGTGATCGACCTTGGCGCCGTCAATGCTGTCGAGCTCGCCGAGGATAAGTCTACAGTTTCGGTTGGGGTGGGGGCTGTTTGGGGCGATGTGTACAAGGCTCTCGAACCACACGTATTGAGTGTGAACGGAGGCCGGGCATCGACTGTTGGTGATGACTGAATTGACAACAATAGGAAAAATGGTTTTGGCCGCTGATAATTTCAAAGGTGTTGGTGGCCTGACTCTGGGGAACGGCGTATCATACACCTCACCGCGATACGGCTGGACCTGTGACACAGCCTCGCAGTTCCAGATTGTGCTAGCTGATGCATCTGTCGTTCTGGCAGACGCTACAACCAGACCAGATCTATTTCGTGCCCTCAAGGGCGGAGGCAATAATCTCGGCAGTGCGTTCGAAAGCCTGGTTCCCCCAGCTCAGAGGAGATAGGAAGTTAATTCGAGGTCATAGTTGTCACCAGGATCACCTTTGAGACTTTCCAAACAGGCCCAATCTGGTCTGGAGCCGTCTATTCTCTCGATTCTGCTGCAGCAGAAGCAACCATAGAGAATTTTGTCGAGTTTAACTCAGCTACGTCATATGATGAGTATGCCTCAGTCATGACCTCCTTCGTCTATAACCAAGCACGCGGCCTACCCGTGATTGCAAATCTGCTTCAGTATACGAAGGAGGTATCAGGTACCCCAGCGGCATTCGAAAGATTCATGAAAGCGCCCAGTATTTACAACACAACATCAGTTGCAAGTATTCAGGCCACAACGGAAGCAACTGCGGCCTTGAATCCTGGAGGTGTCAGGCAAGTCCTTGGGTGCACCTATTGGTTTACTTTTTATTTTCATTTCTTTTTGTTTCTTTTTCATTGCCTATCAACAATCTAACAAGCAACAGATCCCTCACATATGCAGTAACTCTGTCGTCCACCAACGAAGTCATTCGAGCGGCATGTGACAAATGGCGTGCGCATTACCCATCGATCAAGGACGTGACCAGCATCATCCTCCCGCTCGTGCTTGAGCCGCTCCCGCCCATCATGTACCAACGTCACGCCGCCACGAACATCCTGGGCCTGGGCGAGCGGACAGAGGCACTCGTGATCGCCAAACTGTCGGTTTCCTGGGCGAATGCGAGTGATGATGCTCTTGTGAACAGCACCGCGCGTGCTCTTGTGGACGATATCATCGCTGAGGCTAGGAGTTTGGGAGGCCATGACCCGTACATCTTTGCCAATTATGCGAACAAGGACCAGGCTCAGGATGTCATTGGGAGCCACGGTTCGGAGAGCGTGGCTTTTCTCAGGAAGGTCAGAGAGGAGGTTGACCCCAAAGGCGTGTTCACCCGTATGGTTGCAGGGGGTTATAAGATACCAGACCAATAGGTATACACGAAGTCTGAGATAAGCTCTAGGTGTGAAAAGCTTGAGAGTGTGCTAGAAAATCAGTGTTTGCCCGGCATGGCATCAAGAGGATGATATCTTAATTGTAATTACTATATGAATGACGTGAATATTGCTGGCTGCAAAGCTAAACGTGTTGACAGGAGCTTGAAACTCTCTCTCTCTCTGACCTGTGGCCTGGTCTGGCTTGGCAAGGAACAGAGATCCCTTGACAGTGGATGAAGACTTCGTCGTCGGTGAGTGGTATGTCATAACCAGTAGTACGGATAAATTGCATACCTGGGTGCCTATATGTCATACCTAAAAAATTCAATGTCTCAGCTTTTGCTAGCGTGTGGCAATTGGAAATCCAGAAGCTTTGCTTTTGATTACTTGGCACGCAAAGCTGGTGTGAAATCTCAAACCTGGGCGATGATGCCATGTGAATTAGCATCGAGAACTGTGGCATCAGGCCCAGGCTTCGTTGCATGGTGTCTCCAATCTGGCAATGCCACAGACATCTTATCAACTGGGATCGATCCGTCATGTAACATGTAACGAAACGGAGGGAACAATGGGATCACACATGACGCCTCAAGTGCCCGTTGAGGAATAGCTGAAGGCTAGCGTGCCCATCCATTGCTTCTGATCCTGTGCTGATCTTGTTAGGGATTCGCCAGTGTGAGGATGGCCCCGAGGCTTGAGCTAGGTTACACGAACAGCACCGACACTGTCGCCAGCCACAATTGGAAATATAGTGACCGGCTTTTACGTCAAGATATTGTAATGATCCACTCCTACACATGTTCGATTCCACATCAAAGATGCACCGTCGAGGTGGGAGGACTCCGAGTCGTCACCAAGCCTGCTTTGTTGGCGTCGGCGATTCAGCTGGCGTCTGAGATTGTACAAAGTAATACACGATGCCCGAATATTGTTGGTTGCAAAGCCATATGCGTTGACAGCAGCGCGAAACTCTCTTTCTCTCTCAACTGTGGCCTGGTCTGCCTTGGCAGCAACTAGGCAGTTGTGTTTCTCCAGCCCCGATACCGTGCAGGCCTCTGACGAAAAGCGACGCCAATAGGCACGGCCTGCAGTATTACTCCAAGGGCCAAGGTCTCAAGCCCGATTCCGTGAGTGGCTACACATGCTTGAGTCCCAAATGACCTGTGGCATCCCAACTGTGCATTCCTTCCAAATCCTGAGGCCACTCAGTCCTGGGCGCTCCATCAAAGCAACCTCGCGATGGGCCGTAACTGGCTGGGGCCGGGTCCTCTTGATTGCACTCACGTCGCATCCAATGCACCTAGCCACTTACCCTGCAGATTACCTGCATTTAGGACCAAGCAGCTTTCTCTGTCTGCTCATTCTCGCCTCCGCCCCCGTGTTGGCGTGTGGTCCCCCTTTCCCCAAAATCTTTCTGACTTGTGAAACAAACTTTTTGTGAGCTGAATCAGGGTCGGTCCTGTTGATTGGCCTGATGGGTTGATACATTCTCTTAGCTAAAAGCTACCTTGGGTATTTTTGGCCCCCTCTCCGTCCTCTGGTCCATTTCCAAACTGCCTAATAATTGGTGTGACTCATCAGTCACAAAAATAACAGACGAATCCGCCCTCTTCTGAAATCCGGACTAACGCAGTCTCGGTCAGAATGTCTCAAGTCGCATCCGTCCGCCTTGGATCTATTACATTTGTTTGCTGGCCAGCCTGCATGTATGCACATTCGTGCTTGCACAATGTGGCTGGATTGGCCCTCTTTTCTGCCCCCCCCCCCCCGATTCACATGAAGAGGTAGCTGACCTCGTCCCATTCTGTGCCGTCCGTTGCTGGGTAGAATGCAGATCCTCGGATGGCTTGCATGAGGCTTCCATCTGCCTCCTCGACCCGCCCGGACTCCCGCTCGACGCAGGATAAGCAGTACCGCGCCAGTCGCATAAGCACTTGCCCCTTCGTAGAAACCGACCCCTCGTAGCAGGTCAAGGCTCGTAGGCGCGTCTCTGCCGTGCCTATTTCGCCCAGGTGGTAAGCAAAAGCGGCTGCCTCGAACTCGCCGGTGTCAGGACCGCTGTCGTAATCGTTGCAACTTGGTGGGGTGGGTGGCATTTCGGTCCCTGGGGAGGGCAAATCGACATCGGGGCTGAGGCCGTCGGAACTTTCGGTCTTCGGGGCGGGGACGCTCTCGTCTGACGAAGGTGGACACTCTGTGGGATCTCTGTCTTCCTTGGTCCCGATAAAGCGTCGTGTGTATGTCTGTAGTCTCAAGTGTTCCAAAGCGTTCCCAATCACTGCAGCGTGATGCGACGAGGCTTTGGTGTCTGGAAAAGCCTGAATAATGGTCTGGTGGACGCCCTGGGCGAATTGAGTGAATTCTGGACGATGCGAAAATGTTGACACAAAGTTGGCGAGGAACAGCCCTCGCATAAAATGGTGCCCGTTTGGTGCTACAACGGGCTCAAGCATCGCTAGAAGTGAGTTGTCGCGCCTGAAACGCCTTAAAACCGAATCGGAGAGGGCATTTGTTCGCAGCCACTCGCACCTCAATGCCAGTTTGTGATGCGCGCGGGCGTAACATTCCCAGATCATTTCGACATGAGGATCTTCATAGTGGCAGGTTTCAAACGGCTCGAATTGCCCTGCGTCACTGGGACTAAAAGGCAATAAAGAGTCGGACAAGTGCGTATGAAATGTCTCGGGTCCAAAATTGCTGAAGGCGTGATCGAGAGCGGCGCTGTCGACACGCAGGCCGTTTGAGTCGAGGCTGTCCAGCAGGTCCAGCTCGTCTTTGGCACCAAGGGGCTCCGGGGAGGGAGTGCGGCATTCCACCCTTGACGGCTGATTGCAAGCGGGCGCTGCTGGCTCCGCTCGGCCAAGCTTCGGCGATTTCTCTTCCGCGGCACCCTTGGGAACTCTGTTCTTGCTGCGGCGGATCGTCTTCTGCACACGGTCGAAGTCGAGCTTCTGGCCTGCCCGCACAAACGTCGACGTCTTGCCGATTGAGTCCCTCGACGCCTTCATCTGAATGAGCCTGGCTGCATCTCTGGTGGAGAGATTCTTCCAAAGCCCCCATTGCTTGAAACGGTTCTTGTACTGCTTGGGCCTTGAAGCGCGCAGGAACACAATTGAGTCAGTGAGTTGTCGCGGTTGACGGAGCTGATGACCAGCTGACGGCGACGAGGGCCTTGTGTGTGTGTGTGTGTGTGATGGCACTGATGGATCGCGAGGTCAATGCAACTTACGAGGCACGAAAGCTGTAGAGCGTCTCGAGGATCTCGGACACTTCCGACAGAGTCTTGTTCTCATCAATGTACAATTGTCGAATTGTCAGCCGCACGGCCTCCCACTCGTCGGCAGAAGGCTTATAGTAAGTGTCCTTCCTAGAAACAGAGTGCATGTGGGCGGCCTGAGGTGCTCCCACCGGCGACGAAGCCGTTGTGGTGGCCATGAGGATGGCGGATGACAATTAGTGTGGGGTGTTGGGATGATGTTGCTGTCGTATGAGATGATCATGGATTCCAAAGTTGAAAGTGGAAGGTGAAAGAATGGGAAGCGAGCCGGGAAATTTGGGCAAGGGTGGGAAATGGGACTGCATGGCATAGGAGCCCCTCCGCCGAGGGCGCCACACAACCGGCGGCTGTCTGGAGCCAACCGTGCTTGCTCGCTGCCTCTGGCCTCGACTCCTGGCTGGGTGCTTAGTCCCGGGCTCAAACCAAGCCTACCTAACAGCCCGTGTTACAATTCACTAAACCAAATGTCACACCTTCAGCTGCCTGTCTTGCATGTGCTGCTCAACCTTCTCGGCAGAAGAGCCTAGTTACTGTAAGTACACCGTCGCTGTTCCTTGGGCAAAGCAGACTGCCTTTCGGCAACAGGCAAGACTCGAAGCTACTGTCACTATGCCCACCGGCCATTTATCGTACGACAGCTTCTATTGGACAAGGGTAATAAGCACTATTTGTTGTGGAACTCCGACTAGAAACGGCTACTCCTGAATACGCAGCGAGGCCGCGGGGAGGATGGAGTCAGATGCGGAGCGGAATGAATGGGACATGCGAGGAAGGATTGCCACTCTGACTGTCCAGCGGAACGTGGGTGAGCGAGCGAGGGCGGGCAAAAGTCATCTTTGATTGAAAGTGCGACATGCTGATGGAGTAACCTTGGTTAGGCGCACACACGCTGGGTTTTAGATTCGACCAGATAAGCAAAGCCTCCGCAAAAGCCTCTGCAGAGCGGAGACCAATCTGGGCGGCCGGTTGCTTCGACTAAGGACGGGACCGATTGCCTTGCTAAGCACACAAGAGCCGGAGATTCCTGCTGGTGCTACAGTACGATACGTGGGCCGTATTCAACCTTGTTTGCGCAACACGTGTTTCATCTCGCATCAACGGCCGGCCATGGGGGGGGGGGGAACAGGGAGGCCATTGGACCTCCCCCTTTTTGATACTCTTCAATGTGTCGCCGTCATGCGCTCCGGATCAAGGCCTTTCCCACTTGCCATGTTAAGTTTCACGACACATAACGTGATGCCGACTCATTAATCGTATCCAGTCCGACTAGTGTTGCTGATCGACTCAAGTCAGGCCACTCGGAAAAACCGGGTTGCACATAACTTGACGAGAACTCTTTCTCAGCCGGACACAGCGAGGGCAGCCGCAGATTACAAACAACATACATAATGTAAGTGAGGAGTTCTGATACACAAATATTTTGCAGGAAAGTGTGTTGTTCATCTTGTCGCGTGTGGGAAACCTTCATTGTTGCCGCTACCTATGTATTGGCCAGCCAAGGTCGGCGTTTGGCACGGGCTACCCACGGCACTCGGCTCGTGATGGGTGAATTGCCCGGGACATGCCCAGTTGACGCAATCGAAATCTGACCAACCGAATGTGCCACGTTACCAGAGCTCCTCCAAGCCTGACGATTTATCGATCGCTAGTCCAGATCTAGATCCCAAGATTACACGCTAGGTTCGAAGGAAGATACTGCGGATACCCATTCAGACACACAAAGACCTTGGCAGGATTACCAGACTACAAATCCATCCTGGATGTAGTTGTCACGGCTTCCCTGATAAGATGCCTTGTTAACCGATGTATTCGCTTTCACACATGCGTGTCAATTTCGGAAATGCGATGACTGTAAAACTCCCCCGCCATCTCCCCAATGATCTCGCTGTAGGGACCACAAACTTAGTCCTGATGGCACTTGTGACACTTTCTACACATTGCCGTGCCGACTGCGAACATGTAAACTTATCGCGGTTTGCCTGCTATCTGGGTACTTACTCAGGCAGGTGATACGTAAAGGCTAAGCGACGCAAAGTGCAGCGTCTGTGGTGGGGGAATTCTGGAGAAAATCCTATACTTGCGCATGTCTTGACAGCAATCAATTGAGCCAAATTTTGCATGGGCCCGATCAAGGTTGGCTATGTTCAATGCTGTTTCCACCCAGATACTTGCAACCACTCCCTCGGAAGAGAAAGAGCATGTTGCAAAATACGAAATACAAGAAGGGGCGGATTAGAGCATGAGCGTGACCTACTCAAGCAGCTTGTGAGGGCTTGAACTAAGTAATTACAGCCAGCGCAGGCTCAAATTCTCTTCGAGGGCAAACATCAATCGACCGATCCCCTCAATTCGAGACTGTGTATCTGGAAAGACTGTCCGAATTCCATAATTGTATCATGAACCATGGATTCTAATCCGTATCTGGCACAAACTTCATCAGCCTATCTAGACATATTCCTAGTTCACCGGCAGGCCGTCCATACTTTCTCCGAGTTTAGTTAGGTAGCGATCCTCTTGAAAGCATCAATGGCCAAGTAAAGACTCTGCAATGCAATCCAGACACGCATCAAATGTCTTTTGTACAGCACAAAAAGACTTACGAATTGATGCCATCGAGGTCTTGTCATCGTGCGAGGACTCCCAGGCTCAATATCGCCGTGATCGCGCTACACCAGGCCATACCTACATCTCTCACAACATCGCATGGAGCGGTTTTTCGGAACGGGTGGCAACGAGACGACCAGTCTCCAGGCAGCTGTGGACTGACGCGGACGGGGGGAGCAAACATGCCCCCCCGCCAACCCCTGATATTCGGGCCACCGGGCCCATATCCTAACCCTTCTCTCCCGAACTAGCCTTCCCATAGCTCCGGAGATCCCGAGGCCTCGGGGGAGAACACTTTCAGGCGGGCAATCTGGCTGAGTATATTTCCGCTGCGGACCGCGTTGCTCAACCTTACCTCAGCCTGACCTTGGAAGAAACAAACTTTAATAGTAAGAATGCAAAAGTATGAGGATTACGCGTGCGTATGGGGATAGATTCTTGCGCGAGCGGCGGAACTAGGAGCCCCCAGGAAAAGAGAAAGGGAGCGCAAACCTTGTGATGCATTCTCAAATGAAATTCAATTACGAGACGGGGACATGTTAGGCCCTGCCCAGATTCCACCAAGCGCACGACATTTCTCTTCAGTGCCATGCTTGTAGATTCAAGAGCTCTCGAGGAGTAAAGCGAATGCATACGAATAAAACGCCTGACTGGCAAAGTATTAATCAATCTGCTCTGGACTCGGACGAAGTATAGACTTGCAAGCGTAGATTAGAAAATAAGCATAGTTGTCATATGCCCTGAAAGTATAATTCCTCAAATGGACGATGACGAGAATATGCACTGCTTTCTCTATCTTGCAATTTCATCGTACCTCGAGAAAGTCATCCACGGCGGCTCAAGTTTATGACATTGCACGACAGACACGTTTCCTCCTCGGGTAGACGCCACCACCTACACGTCGAAGCCGCCGTCCGTTGCCGGCTTCCCACTCGAATTGGCGAGAATAATCATGCGAATTTGGCCGTTTCCAGTCTTTGACGGGGAACTCCTAGCCGAATGAACTCCTGTCATCGCGAGTCCCAGTGCTTCAAAGCTACACCACCAGCTCAAAGCAACGGAAACAAACGACGGGTTAGGCGGTCACTGGCCGAGCTCCGTTGAATGCGAACTCACTGCCTGCAAGATCTGCGGCTTTGGCCAGTCACACCAACCTGGGCCACGGCCTGAATACACCCCAAGTGCAGCCTCATGCGAATTCATCAAATAGGCGGATTAAATCAATAAGGCTACCGAGCTATGTCTGGTGCGGACTGTCGCCTCTGTGCCTGCGACTCTTTTTTCCATTCCGCAGTCTCCCATAAATGTCACAATGCTTCAACTCAACCTCCCCCCTCCAAACGCCTCAGCGGAAAAGAGAGAAGACCCACTTCCGACCGTCGACCCGCATGTCCCGTGTCGAGTGTTCAATCATCGTCCGTGTACCGCGGCCCGCTCGCCGCCGGGGTCTCGGCGCTGCCGTAAGCCACAGGAGTAGGCGCGCTGTAGTACCCTCCGCTGGCCCCCGGCGTCGGCGCCCCGGCCGCGGGGGTTGGTGCAGAGTCGGCGCCCCAGCCGCCCGTCCAGGCCGCAGGGGTGGGGGCATTAAGCGCACCCGGCGTAGGCGCATTGAACGCGCCGGGGGTGGGAGCGTTGAGTGCGGCGCCGGGGGTGGGGGCTCCCAGACCACCAGGGGTAGGCGCGTCATATGCGGACGGCGTGGGCCCCCAAGCATCGTTGCTGGCGCCTGGCGTCGGCGCCGAGATGCCATATGCTGGAGTCTTGGATCCGGCGCCCCACGCGGAATCACCACCACCGCTGGCGTAAGCTGGGGTCTTGGAGCCGAGGGAGAAGCCGTCGTGCGCTGGCGTCTTTGCGCCTGATGACCACGCCGGCGTGCGCGAGCCGGATCCGTAGGCTGTGCGGCTTCCATCGTAAGGGTTCACAGTGCGTGAGCCGTCGCCCCATGCTGGCGTGCGTGAGCCAGCAGCTGGGCCTTGGCTCCACGCTGGCGTGCGTGCCGTGGCTGCGGGTAAATGTTAGTAGAAGAAGGGCAAAAAGGTCGAGACCATGGCGAGTAGACTTACCTCTTGATGAAGCACCCCATGCAGGGGTGCGCTCTGAACCTGAGGAGACCTGAGGAGTGCGACTGCCGAAGCCCAGGTCGACGCCTCCACCACGGCCACCTCCATAACCACCTCTGCCGCCAAAGCCACCGCCTCTGCCGTTGATGTCGATGGTCCGCCCAGTGACCTTGTCCTTGAAGACGAGATCGACCTTGGGAACGGTGACGATTTTGCCCTTGGTGTGCAGCTCGACCCGAGCGTGAGTATCCGTTGTATCCTTGACAATCCCCAACAGACCCTTCCAGCCTCCCTTCTTGATAGTGACGGTCTGTCCAATGGAGCGATCACGTCCGAATGACTGCTTGGGAGGCGCTTGCATACCACTGTTGCCACTAGGATCACGCTTCGCTGCAGGATTCATCTGGGAAAGATCCGGGCCGCCTGCGATTCGTCCACCCTTTGCCGCAACCGTCATCAGGCTGCTAGACCTGGTGACGTACACACCGGCATTCTCGCTGGAGTCGTTGTTGTGCAGAAACACAAAAGATCGATGGATGTGGATGATCTTGCCCTGTCGCTGCTGACCACCATACTCCTTGACAACATCATCCAACCGGATCTCTGAGCCGTTGCGGTCAGCAGCGATGGTGTGTTTTCGCTTGGGGATCTTATTGGCGATCTGAGAGGGCATGACCTGTCTCGTGCTGCCATTCTGATCGAGGACAACAAGAGACTCCCGATCCACCTTGACGATGCATCCAACTGTCGTTATATCGAGCTGCACCAGATCAAGCAAGGCATACTGTCCCAGAGACCCTTGTCCACTAATATCACTGGCCTCTCTCAGGTCCTTGCTGAAGACCGTGATCTCGGTGTTGTTCTGGTCGGTCAAAAAGGTGACGCGATCGTCGGAAATCTTCACAACCATACCGACCTCACCCTCATATCGACTGAGGCTCGTGACCTTGACGTGGTCACCGAGCTTGAATCGCTTCCGCAGCGAGGATGTAGGGACGTCAATGGTCTGGCCGTTCAGGTCACCCTCAGTAGCCGTGATGGTAACGATGTCGCCGACGACATTGGTGGCTTTGCCAATAACACCCTTTTGTTCGCCCTTGAATACCTCGACGATGTCGCCAGGCAGGTAAGCCACATTTGCGCTGCTGTCTTTCAAGCTAACCGCAAGTGCCTTCAAGTCGAGATTCTCGGCGCCGTCTTTCTCGTCTGAACTGGCAAACTTGGTAACCTCTTCCAGGGTCGGGTTGACGTTTGTCGTGATGAGGTGTTGGATCTTGATGTGTTTCTGAAGGAAACCCTTGGAGTACTCTTCGTTCTTGAAGGTGAACGTGTTTGCCATTGTGCTCATAGTCAGGCCCGCGGGGTTGCGCTTCCGGGCTTCCACCTCGCTGAAAAGCCTTTGAGGCGGCCGAGGTTTGGCGAAGAAGCCAGGCCGCTTCCTCTTTCCGTCCTTGTCGAGGCCACTGGCCTTTTCTGCGGCAAGCCTATCCTCGCGGTTACTGTAATCGACTCGAGGGATGATCTTCAGGGCGGCATCAAGGCCGGTGTCGGTGATATCCAAGACCTGAGCCAGGTCACCCTCGTACAGCTTGGGCCTCTTGATACGGACCCACGTGCCTGGCGTGAGTTTAGGAGGTGGTTGCACGCGCAGCAGGTCTGGCATGTCCTTGATCTCGATCAGGAACATCCTGGTGTGCGGGTACACATTCATGACATCCGTGAGAGCCTTTTGGACATCAATGGAGCTGTGGCCTTCGACGTAGATGTAGCCCTTCATCACCGAATTTGGCCCGCCTCGCTCGAACGCCGAGGTAATGGCAAGTTCGTGGTCGGTGCCGATGCTCTCCTCGTATTTCTTCATGATGGCCATCACCACCTCGGACTCCTTGCCTTCCTTGCACTTGACTCCCCAGATCGAGGGGTCGTGCACGCTAGGCAGCAGCAACCGCTTGGGAACGACGGCAGAGTCGGTGAGTGCGCCCCGGCCAGAGTATGCGTTCTTCCTGCCATACTTTATCTTGTATTGCTCGGCCAGATCCTCGGCACCGACGTTATCTTCCATCTGCTTCCGTCGGTCGAGCTCTCGGTGGTACCTCTCGTCGTCGGCGTCTCCAACATCGAGTAGATCGTCAGGGTGCGATTGGTCAATAAAGTTTCCTATCTCTGCTTGCTCGTCCTCGTCCTCGATCTCATCCTCGTCGTCGTCGACCTCGGCTTCCATGTCGAAGAGAGCTGCTCTCGCATCCTTTCTCCTCCTGCGCTTGCGGCGATGTTGCTTTGAGGTGGTTAGCAGGACAATCCGGTTGGGGCCCACAGACACAAAATCATGGATCGACCGATCGCAGTCCTGAGAGCAAGACAGGGGGTCGGGGGTAGAGGCCAAGCTGTCAGGCTGCAGAGGGGGGCCATTGCACGTACGGGCATGTCCTCCTCGTCCTCATCATCGTCGTCTTCATCCTCGTCCTCGTCCTCCTCATCATCGTCATCGTCACGAGGAGCCTTTCTGGCGCGGGCGTCATCCTCGTGGTCCTCGCTTTCGTTGTCACGATCGTGGACGGAGTGCGAATCCCCGTTCGCTTCGCCATCGGCCTCGTTGTCGTCGCGGCTCTGACTGCTTTTACGGGCGCCATTTCTGGACTCGACAGGCGATGTGGGCTGTTGCTCGTCGTCAGACAGGTCGGCAGGCGCTGGGTTGAAGTTGCCACCGTCCGAGTCGGAGTCGTCGTATCTGTGGTTTGGTGAGGCCATTTTGAAGACGATTTCAGGTGGTGGGCGAGTCTGGTGATAATAGCCCTGGAGGAGGCCAGACGGGCTGTCGGAAGGAAAGAAGGAAAGGCCAAGTGCGAAGGAAGGCTGGGTTTGGGAAAGAAATAAAGGAAAGTTGATGGGGGGCCTCGAGATGGATGGCTGCGGTTGACGGGATGCAACAGCAAGCAGCTCTGGCCCACTGGCAGGCATTTGAATGTTCTTTCAGAGGTGGGCAGGGATACGGCCACTGGGCGGCCAGTTGACGCTAGTGCTAGCATAACTGGCTGGGGTGGCACGGCCCACAGATGGCACTCAGGATCTCAGGTAAGCAGGTCCTTCTGGCAATCAGTCTATGTTTTCATACTTGATACTCTGAGTGACGCTCATGACATTAAAGTATTGCATCCCCAGAGTCTGTGGCATTCACCCGTTAACAGTTGATGCGTAGAGCCAGTGAATGGACTGTCTCGCAGATTTTACCAAGATCATCTTGACAACAATACTCGCTTGCCCCATTGTTCATGGCCTCATAACTTGGTCAACGGCAGGACAGACACAGCCCGGCAGCCCCTAACCATTGGTAATTGAGGTGAACCTTTTAAGATTCTTGGTTGAGCAGAAAACAATGGTGTCTAGACCACTGGAGTTCATACATCAATGCTGGCAAGAACACGACGTATACTTGATGGTGTATTACATGCTGTCCCCAACCTTGACAGAAGATTGAAGTGTTGTCTCCTTATTGCAGGCAAACCAGTATCGGGTGGCCTTCCCTCCTACCAACTTACGAGCCACTCCATCCGGCCCCGCCATGTGACACGCATTAATTCATGCTCGTTCGACCTCATAAATACATCAGAAACGCTGTGCTTTGCAATGCAAGACAGGATGCGCGGGGTGATGGCCCAAGGAAATATGCCCTCGGTGGTAGCGATAGATGAACGTGTAAGGTGTCAACCAGCTGGTCACCCAGATTCTAATGGGGAAGCGACGACTTTTGTGTTGCTCCTCGTTGTCTTGTCTTCCTCTTTCAAATTCATTGGAGATGATGCAGACCTCTCTTCGAAGGAAGCCCCCCCTGCTGTCACCACATGCTCTGGTCTCATGCACAACAAAACTCAAATCTTACATCCTAACACCCCAGATACCCCGACCGGCACTAACCCCGAGCCACTCACCAGCCTCATCGCTTGGCACACGAGGCACCCACCCGAGATTGCCAACTTCGTAGTCACACTGCCAGCTCGCGGCTGGGCTGCGGATACTGTCCGTCTGGGGTGCACCGTTGGTCTGCTGCTGGCTCATCAAATCCCATAGGAGAACTTGGCAGTCGTCGCCTCCGGATGCGAGCTGGCCCCGCCGCGTCGGCGACCAGTCTATACAGTTAACAGCGCCTCCATGGCCCCGCAGCTCAAGCAGTGCCTGGCCAGGTTGCCGCGTATCAAGGATGCGGATAACGTTGGAGTCCTGCGCAAATGTCGCGAGCAGCTGGGTGTCGTGCGGGGAAGTGGCAATCCGCAGGAGAGGAGGCGGGTTCGACATTGTTTGTTGGGCAAGTGTAGGGCTCATTTTGCCGCCGTTTGCGTCTACTGTGGACGTGTTAGAAAAGAAACCAGAGGCGGGTCGCAAATCCAGTAGGGTACATCACATACCTCTGTCCTCCTTGCCCGTAGGCTCGTAGATGATGGTGCTGTGCTCCAGGCTCCTCAGATCAAACATGCGCACACTACCGTCCTGGCCGCAGCTGACAAACACGTCAACGCTGTTTGCGCAAAACCGTACATCGTACACTTCTTTATCGTGCGCGATCAGTTGGGTCTTGGCCGTCAAGGACGGTATGTCCCAGATTGTACAGGTAGTGTCGATGCTAGAGGTGATGATGAGACTGGGCGAGACCGTGTTCCAGTCAAGGGAGGTCAGCGGCGCAGTGTGGTCGGGAGTTTTGGAGTTGGACAGCAGGGCGAGCGGTGTAAGCTTCGTGGCAGCGACATCCCGGCCTCGGCCCGTTACCGAGTTGCCGGGGTTTGACGGAGTATCGGAGGGTAAAGACCATAGTCTCAGGTGATCTCCTGACGTGGCGAGGAGGTCTGTCGACTGTTTCGTTGAGGATGGGGGCTCCCACAGCAGGCGGGTGACCGGGTATGAATGTGTGGCCTCGGCGACTCTGGTGAAGTCCATTGTCCACTTCGAGCCGCCATGGGTGTTGTAGACATCAGAAGGAGTTGGAACGATTTGGGTATCAAGGATTTGAATCTGACAAGCACTTAGTTAGCGGCAGGTCCACGAGGCAAGGCCAATACAAACTGACAAAATTATGACCGTCCTCGAGGTAGCTTCCGATGGCTACCTTGCCGGCGCCATTGCCCTGAGGCGCCCATTTACACCAGTCGAACGCGTATGTCGCCCAGGGCGCCATGTAGTTGCTTGTGCCCGGCGGTGTGTTCTGCATGGAAAAGTCAACACCGCTGGGCAAGCCGTCAGACAGGGTCGAGTCGGCGCGTGGTCTGATGTCAGCCAGGCCAAGTGGGGTGTGCGACATGTTCCTCTGGGACCCTGGCGCATTGTAGCCTCGGTCGGTTGGGGACATGAATTGCGACGACGTGGCGACCGATCCTCCTGGTGTTGTTGGGGTGTAGGGCGAGTAGTTGGGGTTCCGTCGTAGCCTCCTGTAGCAGGGCTTGATCGCGAGTAGCTGTGAGAGAGGTTCAAAGAAGGCTTGGAAGGGGTCTGATAGTCTTGCTGCTGATGCTGCTGCGACGGTGGTGGAGGCATGGAGCCCTGCATCGTGGGCAGAGTAGGAGCTGTGTTGGCTCCAACTCCTTGCGACCGACCGATGGGACCGCCCGGCTGTAGCACGCTGGGAACCGCAGGTGTGCCCTGGTATGAGGGTGGGTTGCTTGGGGTCTGGTCCAGTTTGATCTGAGGGCCAGCGCTTGGGGTCGAGTACTCGCGTGGGGAGAGTTGGCCGTGTTGGTATTGACTGGGGCCAGGGCCTGATATGTGATGTTGCTCTTCGTATCCGCCTGTACGCCGATTAGGAGCAGCGTATTGCTGCTGCTGCTGCGGCTGCTGGCTCATTGTGGCCTTGCTGGTCGAAGCCGGGGCTGAGGCCGGAGTGGTGGAGGCCGGGGCGGACGTCGAATCCGGAGTGGGATTTAGGTGAGGTATAGAAGAAGCAAAGTCGTCGTTGGACGTTGGTATAGAAGGGAGACCGAACATTGATCGATGGGTGGGACTAGGACGCGATCCTGAGCCTGAAGTGGATACCGGCGGAGGGCTCAGTGCCGGATCAAGAGCATCAGCGGGCGCCCAAGCGCGAGAAAGCTGTGGAAGGGGTTTGCGAGTCGGGAGATGCTGCCCAAGGCGGGCATACGAGGCGGGAGGATATGGAGATTCGGCCGGCGGCGCGTTGGAAGGGAAGGATGCGGCTGGGCCTGCGCTGTGGAGAGGGCGATGATGGGCAGCAGCAGGAGGAGGGTGAGAACTTGTCGAGGCCGAAGCTGCCGCAGACACGGCTCTTTGCTTTGAACCGAAACCGATGCCAGTGCCAGTGCCAATGCCAGTGCCGGGAACACCAGCGGCAAAGGATTGGGAGGGTGGCGGCAGATGCAAAGAGGCGTCGGTGGTTGGCAGTGGTGGTTGTGGTTGAGAATGTAAGGCAGGATGGGTGCGAGTCGGAAGTTGTTGTGGATAATGCCCAATGGCGCCAGTGCTGCCACTGCCGCCGCCGCTACTGCTGCTGCCAAATCCGAATGAGGGAGAGGTCGGGCTGCTGACAGTGGAACGCAGCTGCGGGCGCATGTGGTGCTGCGCGTCCAGATCGGGACGTGCAGGGGCACGGGCATGGGCTGGGCCGGGCTGGGCTGCTGTAGAGGTAGACGCCTGCGGGGCAGCAATGGCCCCCAGCGCCTGGCCGGCCTGGCCCAGCATTTCTGAAATGGCACTGTTGCTCCGCGAATGTCGATGCGCATGGCCTGGCCCACCCCCGCGACTAGGGCCGCGATAGGACTCCCTAGCAGGAAACGACATGGTGGTGGCGGTGGTGGAGGCGGATCAGCACACCCTGACACCTGCTGTGCATGGGCGTGGGCAGCAGACAGCAGACGGCAGGAGACCGCACGAGGTAGATAGATACGCAGTGGGCAGAGGCAGTTATTTGTTGGACGTGTGAGATTGGAAAGATGAGACACATGGCCGTCGACTTCGGCCTGATGGATGGATGGATGTGATCTATGTGTCTTGCAGAGCTCCCAAGGCCCCCCAAGCTCTTGGGTGGGGTGAGCTGTTAAGTGAATACATATGTCATGGCCATTTGTCATCGGAGTTATCTGTTTCTCCTTAACTGCTGCCCGCCCTCACCTCTACTTGCAGTACACAGTACTCACAAGACTCACATCAGCCTGCCCCCACTATAGACCGAGGTGGAGCCTGAGTGACTGACATCAACGTCACCTTTTCACGCTCTTTGACATACGGCCGTAAAGTAACCAAATCACTTTGCATGTATGCGCCATACAGGACGAAACTCCATTACTGACACAGGAACAAACACCCACAACCCCCTCCTGCCCCCAGGAGCGTCGTGGTTCACCTTGTCGTTGCCTGCACTGGTCTGATCTCATCTGCCCCTCCCCATCTGCGCCGTGTCCTGTCCCGACAGTCAGCTCACAGAATGAGTCGGGATAACCTCCCATCACTCCTCCTCCTGCCCTTCCCTCCTGAACCCGCCACTCGACTTGCCCTCAGTGCTGCCTACAGGCCAGCCCTGGAAGCTGCACTACTCAGGCTCAAACATGCCCCTACAGCCCAGAGGCTCATCGTCGCGGTGGCCTGCCCTGTGCTAAAAGGACCTGGTCCGCGGTGGAGGACTCTCTCGTGGCCCCCGGGCCCAGTCACTGCTCGCCGGCCTCTACTCCATCATCTCCGTTGTCTGTGCCGGCCTGGATATCCCTACATACTTGAACGCTGGTCCTGGCTCCGTCGACGCCCGGGTCGTCCTCGTTGACCACAGTAAGACAAGACGCTATGGAGAGGATTTCAAGGCCGCGGTTGAGTCCAACAACACTGCTGTCGTTGATCTGGCAACCTTCGCTTCCAGTTATTTCCCTTGGAACTTCATCTTCAACGCTGACAGCGAGGTTGCACACGACATCTACAGTCTCTATCTGAAGCTGGCCGAGAAACAGCAGACATTGCTCCAAGACCAGCTCATCACCGTCCAGGCCGGCGTGACCCTGAACGTGCCGAGCTTGGACGGTCCTTCGTCGCCAACACCCGGGACGATGCCTCACGCAACCGTCTGCCTCGGTGGCACATTCGACCACCTGCATCCTGGCCACAAGCTGCTGTTGACGGCAGGGGCGTATCTCCTGGACATCCCAGAGCGTGGCTCGTCCACCACTTGCAAGTATATCATTGGCATCACGGGTGATGAGCTCCTCAAGAACAAGAAAGATGCTGAGTACCTCGAATCGTGGGATGATCGCGCACGGAACGTCATCCATTTCCTTGCATCCGTGCTGGAGCTGTCCTCGAGTGGTTGGGAGAAGGCTCCAGCCCCGTACATAGCCGAGAAGGATGGCGATTTCACTGCAGAATTCAGAGACAAGACCGTCACGATTCAGTGCGTCACAATACAAGACCCGTTCGGTCCTACCATCACCCAAGAGGACATGGATGCCCTAGTTGTGTCAGCAGAGACAAGGTCAGGCGGCAAAGCAGTCAATGATAAGAGAGCTGAACGAGGTTGGAAGCCCCTTGAGATCTTCGAGGTCGACGTGCTTGATGCCAAAGAGATCACCGAGGAGGTTTCGGCAGCGGCTGAGAACTTCGCGTCCAAGATCAGCAGCACGGCCATCAGGCAGGAGATAGCCAGGGCCCCGGCGCGTCGATGAGCAGAAGATGAGAAGCCATTTTTCATGTTCAGTAGAGGAATCGTGGTGAAATATACAGCAGATTCAAAGTAAGTACAGGTGGTGTGGATCATCGTCCCTATCGTCAATTCATAATCGCCACCTGTCCGGATCAGACTTCGTCCGCGTACCATTTTCGGAAGCAAGGCAAAATACAACATCCGCGGCCGAAGACTCCTTTCGCTCCCGCATTTCACACAGCTAAGCTACCTTCAACACTCTGTGACCCGTATCGAATTCAGTTATCGTTGTCATCGTCGTCATCACCGTTCTTGCCACCACCGTTGGCTGCCGCAGCACCACCGGCCCCTGTAGCAGGAGCTGCTCCTCCCGCGGGCTTCGCCGCCCCAGCACCAGTTGCCGTGCCGCCTGCAGGGGCTGCTGCACCCGCGGCCCCTGCGGCCGGAGCCGCCGCCGTCCCGCCCGCCGAGAGCGCCGCGATGCCGTCATCCAGCGCCTTGCTGATCATATCGGTGCTCTGCCCGGCGATGGGCCTCGCGAGCGCGGGCACCTTGCTGAGAAGGGCGTCGCTCAGGCCGCCGGAGTCGGTCTTCTGCTGCTGAAGGGCTTGCAGGGCGATCGGGGTCACGCCGAGCTGGTCGAGCACCGGCTTCTTGGCCGTGAGGTCGCCGATGGTCGTCGTCACCTGCGTGGCCAGGTCGGTACCCGTCTGCTGCAGGCCAAGGGAGCCAAACAGGCCCAGGTCGTCGGCGGCCTGGATCTTGGTAGCGGCGCCAGAGAGGGCCTTCGAGGCTGCTTGCGACGACGTCAGGATAGGCGCGGCGGTATTGGGGTCGGTCGTCAGGCCGTTGATGGCCGTGTCGAGGTCCTTGAGGGATGTCATGACGGGCGCGAGGGCATCCTTGATGGCGTCGACCTGGCGACGCTCGATCTCCACAGGCGCGGCCATCACAGATGTCGCCCCCGTGAGGGCAAGAATAGAAAGGAACTTCATTTTGCTTGTTCGGGTTGGTTGAAATATTACAAAGAAACTATAAGCTGGCGACCTGCGCAAATAGATGTGTGGGGTATCGTATCCGGAACACGAAGGAAGACTGATGCGAAGCCAGTTGTTGGGATCTCACAGACATCGTAGGCTTCATCGCGGCGGCCAGGGAAATCTTATACAAACCCAAGCATACTCTCACACATGCGACCAAGACCCCACAAGCCGCCGCAGAGCAACAGCGTCGCTCGTAAGAGCCGCTTTTCTCCTCCTCCTTCCATATTTGGAAAACGATACGCGACTGCTCTGCCATCGCTGGCAGCTCTTGGCCGCGCATCTTCTGGGACAGGCTGGCCATGCAGGGGGCATAGCATCGCACCGAATCTGGCGCACCTGGTGCCCTTTGTGGGTGGCAGCATGCGGCTGGGGCGGGTGTCATCTCGAGTCTGCGGGTTGCTGTTGGTCGAGGCGGTTTCCATCCGAAGCCAGGCGGCCTTGAGACGCTCCAGGTTGGGAACTCTGCTGAGTGCCCTTTCTGTCTTCTCCCCTCGCTATGCCATTCAGGGTTGCGATGCGACTGTGAAGGCGAGCCGCATCGCTCAACCGGAAGCGGACTAGGCCGACCTGTCAAACCCCATTTAGGGTTTTCTGGAAAAGAAGTTTTGTCGGGGCGAACTCTAATGGCAGGCGTGGTTTCGTCACGAGTTCCCCTTCCCTTCCCTGCCTCCCTATAGGGCGTTGGTTGTTAGGCGTGAGGCTCAAGCTGGCCACCCGAGCGCGGGTGTGAGAGAAATGGGATGAAACGGCCGTGATTGGTCCCGCGCGTATTCAGTCGGCTGGCGTGCGGTCATTCCTCGCGCGAGCTACCTCCACTCTTGTTTGTCTTTCATCGAATTTCTGCTGCTTGGGCCTTGGCGTTACCCCTTTGACACGACTTCGTGTATATCTTTGCCCCCCTTGCCGGCAGCTGTGGCTCTTTCTTGGGTGCCCAGTGCCCAGCAACACGCCCCAAGCTGGAGTTGAAGTGCCGGGACTGGTCTGTGAAACAACCCATCATCGGAGGCTGGCCAAAGGAGTCGCTGGTGGCCGTTTATTGTTTCGAAAAACATCTGACTCAGCCGTGGCCTGTCAATATCATCCTCGGTAAGGCCATCATCTCGTGAAGATGTGCTGAGCATCGCCCGGCGCATAGGAGCCTTCGCCCGTCCAATTTCAACACCTTCTTGATCAAGCATCTCACTCTTGGTGTCTCATCTCTGACATTCGGGGCCACTCATCCTCACGGGGCCACTCATCCTCAGACTACCACCCTTTTCCGGTAGACAGGAGCTACGTCGGGTCACTGGTCACACCTATGCAACTGTCGCATCCTCAACTGTCAATCTGGATTGTGGGCTGCATGTGCCCATCGCCCTGCCTTGGCCCTTTTTATCCATCAGCTTCTTACACACGAGGACTGTGCCTGACTATAAGGGCACGGGGGCATTTTCATCTCGGAGCCTTGCGTTCCCATATCGGATGCTGCAGACTTTCGCGCAACGCGGAAAATATGTTGAGAGAATCCAGCTACGAATGTTATCTGGATTCAAAGCCCAGTGGAACTGGAACACGTATCCCTTTTTATCGGGTTTCCTCAGTCGGGACGTAACACTAATCACCCGATCGGCGGGTTATCATAGTTCGCAACGCGTTGGTGGCTGGGTGAGGCTGTCCTGAGTACTCACATTGCGCTACCATGGCACACCACCGAGGGTAGCTCCACGCTAGATTCTTGTCGTTCTTGTGGCTTGACAGGATCCCGAGTCTATAAACAGGCAGCCGCAAATATAGTAGCGGCGCCGAACAGCCTGCAAGCTGTAGCACTGCGCGTCTCCCAAACAACCAGTCTTGATAAATGCTATGAACATGATGGCATCATCGCGATCAGCCTCTGTTGTGGGACAGGAAAAAAGCACATACAATCAACTCATAGGACACCATCCAAGGTTGGAGCTAGGACTTTAGTGTACGGTGAGAAAAACAAACTTCCCTTTTGACACCGTAAAACCAAAGTTTCATGTCTGGTTCAATACGGGGCCGGTTGAGCAGTTTTGCGTCTGCTAATCATGCCGTCCCACTGGTACCGGGAAGTTTGGAACCAGGTTCACCGACAGAATAGGCTGTTTCCGTGAGCAACACGATTGGAGAGATGGGAGCATGGCATCTGAACTTTGCCTTCAATCAGGGAATACCGTATACTAAATCTCCTGCCATTTCTCGCGAGGAGACGTGCTGTTCAAGTCTTTCGACGGCGTACGAAATATTGAAGTAGATTGAAAATGTCAGGAAGGTTCGCAACTTGGAGTAGAGAGAGCCAACTGGATACTGTAGCAAAACCCGGTCTTCGGGAGGGCATCATCTCTGGGTCTGCGATCAGAAGACCTCCAGCGACAGTGGCGGGGATGCTGTTCATGACAGCACTGACTATTTGCTCACGCAGCCAAGCCCATATTGCCATTGGTCTGCTAAGCTCAAAACGGTGTAGGTCGGGTGAGTGCGAAATACCCCTGAGCCCAGCTGATCCCAAACGCCGCTGATTATCAGCACTAAGCGGTTTGAACAGGCAACGGGAAGGAAAGGGAAGGCGTGCATAGACCGCGTATAGACCAAACTAGCAATTCCAGAATTTCTGTCCCCTGGATTCCTACTGGTCAGGTGCCTGAATTGGCTCGTAAGCCCCTTATAACGAGCCACTTGGCGGTGAACACTTGCCATGCACGTAAGATTTATACGAGAGTCCGTCGTCGAGGAATCAGCCATTATATTAAATAAAGGTCAGCACTTGGGCCTCGGTCTTCTATATAGTCGCGAATTTTACATAATGGAGCCGGGTAAGTGACCAAGATAATTCAACAATAAAATGAATGAATCCCTATGCAGATTCCCCAAGAGGAAAATGTGACCTTCACAGCACAATTCGGATCCTCTTTCCCTACCAAGACACCCAACCAATTTTGCTCAAAATGTGGCCCTCAGCTTCGCTACTCCCTCTTCTCGCGGCGTCTGTACTTGCGGCGCCCACGCCGCAAGCAGACACCGCCGCCTGTCCCACGTCCTCCTTCGCCCTCTTCTTCGGGCCATCGCTCTCCGACGGCCGGGAAGCATATGCCTGGAACGACCTCACCAACTGGATCCGCGCCATTACAACCCTCGACATCGACACCCCCGAGCGCGCGACCTTCCAGGTCATCAGCAACCGCCTGTACCCCGTCGTTAACAGCACCATCTTCGCCACCGTCGAGACCGGAGGAGGGGTCATCGAGTTCTCCGCGGCCGAGAGCGACACCCGTGCTGCCATAAACGCCGAGGTTGTCCCCGGCACCGACGGCAAGTGTCGCCTCTCCCTGACGTCTGGCGCGAATAAGTATGTCTCAATGCAGAATTATAAGGGCTGGATGCACCTCACCTCTGATCCCGAGTACTCCTCGCGGTGGTGGGGAGAAGGGCCGTTCGAGATGGTGCCGTTCCCTGCTGCCGTTGCTGCCCGTCAGCAAGAGTAGGCGACCAATGCCCGAGATGAGCTGGCCATGGGCTATGGTGTTTACAAGGTCGGCCGTCAATGAGGATGGCATGCAGTCTGCTACGATATAGAACTCAAAATCAGATTCATATATAGGTTTACTGAAGCTTGGAAGGTTTTCAAGTCGACCGCTGCTTCTTTTCCAGACATGTTGGTGACACAATTCAAGCACTGGAGCAATTTAAAATCCGGCATGGGTGAGAATTATTGTATTACTCGGAGTCTCAAGGAGTATTCCCTCACGACCACTGATATCCCACTTTCCGAATAAATTCCCACAGTCGAAACCAACTCCCGCCTTACTTTTTCTCAGATTCCCAACAGGGGTATTAGTATTAGAACTTACCAGCAACTTATAAGCCGCGATATATAGTGTGAGCGCAGAAATCACAGATGCCTGCTCCCAGAATCATTTTAGCACAGCTCAACTGATGCATAACTCACCTTCAATCTACTTCCTGCTGCTCTTCTTCGTCTTCTTGCCGGGCTTTCCCTCAACACATTCGAGGCACACGAGGCCGAATCGCTCGGTGGCCTGCTCCTTCTCTTTGAGGCCGCACTGGAAGTCGGGGCACACTCTGCCATATGCCTGGGCAATGGGACACTGCTCAAGTACTGCGTCGGTGGCGGCCTTGACGCAGCCGCATCCGCTGAAGTAGTTAGTCTCGAAGAAACACATGTTGTATTAAGCAGAAACGTAAGCAGACTTTGTCGAAGCAGAGTGTGGCGTTGAAAGGTGGTTGACAGCGCAGCTGTTGTATTAGAAGAGCGTATAGAGAAAATCTGTTGTCTTGGAAAGAAGAAGAAGAAGATTACCGAGCAGAAGAGAAAGAAAGAAGCAAGTACTGGTCCTGTTGTGAATGAGAAAACTCGCCTGCTGAGCTAGAAAGATGGGATCATGGTGGGAGGGCAGGTGTGGGATTTAAATAATGCGAGACTTGGGGATGCGACTATGAGGCTACGGCATCAAGGTCCGGGCTACGATGGTTTCATTTCGTGCAGCAACGGCCGAGCCGGGCGGTCTTTGACGCTGTTGTGCATTGTATCTCGGCACCAGCCGGCTTCGCGCGTGGTAGACAAATGAACATCAAAGCATAAAGACAGGGGAAGGAGATCTAGACTATTTCAAAATTTAGAATACCATTGGGTTCCCGCCTTCATGCAGGCGGAAGCATTCAGAGGATGTGACAATTGTCTATTTTTGGTAACAATATCCGGCATCCCATCGGTACCTGCTGCCGAACCGGTGGGGGCGGCTGGGAAAGATTTACTCTGGAGGACCATGGCCACCCGTATCCTCACACGAGCCCTACTTCCCGGATTCTCACTATTGTGTTCATCCTAGTTGATCCCTTTGTGGCGCGCCTTTTGGATTCTCGAATTGTGGGATGTACAATTTGTCCTTGGCCTCCAGCCTCGTCTCCAAAGCGAGAACTTCCAAGATCCTCGTTTTTTTTCTTCATCCTCGATTCATGAAAACACATGCGACACATCCACAATCTGTCTTGCATGAATGTGCCTCCCGTGCATGGCCTGCCAGGCCCCATCGTGCTTCCAAGCATATGAGCCTACGGCTCATCAACTTGCGAGGGCGAGCCTGAAGTGTGGGCGTGGCTTTGGGAGACCTTTGCCATCTTTGCAAGTGGCTGGTCGCCTATTCCACTATCCTCAGCTTCCTCAGTGTCGTCGTGGCGTCGCTTCAGTGGGTTGACTGTCCTGATAGCAAGGTCTGCCAAGACCTGAGGGGTTCTTGTGGCGCCCTCGATCGTCGTGCCATGCATTCCAATGACGAGATCGTCAACCGCACCTGCTTGGACACAGCCGCCTTTTGCGGTCTCTGCATGATTCTGAGACCCGTCTGGAATCCGTCGAGGCCTCGAGATCTCTTCCAAACTCTTGAGCCGGCTGATAAAGCCCCACCAGGCAGGTTGTCCAGCACCAACTTGAGAACCAAATTCTGATCGGCGGATACGTATTGTACTCTTGGATGAGGCTGTCGGCCCGACTTGCATGTGGGAGTTGTGGGCATGAGTGTTCTTAGGGGCATTCTTTGCTGGAGCTGAACCCTTCTTTGCAGGTTTGTCAGGGCCAGACTTGTTTGGAGCGATGATAACATGATGTCGTGTGATTGCCGTGACTTTCTTGGGCATGTCGCCATACTTCCATATTCCCACTGCAAGAAAGTTGTCGACGGCTTGAGCCGCGAGGCTAAGAGGCTCCCGGTCTGACATGTTCTTGTTGGGCTGGTCAGACATCTCGATATCACCAGCAGCGTCACATGCTGGGAGGCCCTCCTGGATGCCGACGATACGGGCCGCCACAAGCTTCATTGCCCAGTCCCAGAAACCTCGCGTTTGAGCTGTTCCTGCTGGGAGTTGAATTCCGAGGTCTTGGGCAACTTTCGCCCAAAAGTCTTCCGGGCCTATGCTTGCAAGACCGTCAAGGACTTCACTGGCCTTGTCGAAGGCCTCGGCGCAGAATGTGTCCATCTCCTTGGGGTTGAGGTGTTTGACATGGTTGTTGATGTGATTCGAGTGAATAGAACCCCTGACTCGGACGACAAACAGACCATCGTGGTTGCGAAACTGGTTCCAGTCATACTTGAAGCCAGCAGTGGGGAGATTCTTGCACATTGCCATCCGGGGCGCTGTCTTGAGATAGGTCTCATTTTGTTTCGTCAGGCGGTTTTCCTCCTCCGCCACGGCCTCCCGCCAATGCTTCGTTAGGTCGACGTGGCGAAATACACCATAGTCGACGTCGAAGCTGACTCTGTCGGCCATACTTGGTACCGTGGTATGGCTTGACTGGGGCAGGCGATTTCGTTTGTGAATTCCCTAGCCGTAGATGCGTGTCAAGTCTGGTTTGTTGCACATATGGGCAGCGGGTACCCAATTCGCCGATGCATGATGATGGTCAGTAAAATGGGTATAAGAAAAGCCTGCGCACATGGAAAGTACTCACAGGGGCACCCAATGCGTTTGCAGAAACTTTGAGGGGGGTGGGAAAAGAAGTTGTACCAGGACGGTGTGAGGCCCAGGACAGAGATAAGTTTTGGTCGCAGCTGCAGGCACTATTGATTGAATTCCTGTGTACATACCATTCACTTCAGCGTTACAAACAGCAATTTGACACTGGTGTTGGATTAAGATGTATCTAATGAGTATCTACCTGTAATTGTTAACTTTACCATAGACCATTCACCCACGCACAGGACGGACTTCGTCCACACAAGCTACTTCGATATACTATACTTTGGCGAGAGCACAGAACCATCACCACTTAGGAGCTAATTAGGTACTTATTTAGCATGATCTATTTTCCGTTTAGCTCGCATTCACCGACGTTACTCTGTCAAGACAAATGAATATCTGCGGCCCCTGAAAAGACCACGGAGTGCAAGGCAGACATGGTCTGCTACAAGTCGAAAAACAGGGCCAAGGGACGAAACCCAATCAGCGTTGTTGCTTTTCGTGTTGGTTGGAATAGTTGCAATTCCGACATGCATGGAGGGCGCATAGCACACTAAATATGGAGAAGGCACAGCTGCTGACCACCATGGTCGCACTCGATCCTGGTCTCCCACATGTGTTTCATTACTCGCCTTACCCCGAGCCAAGTCGCACTGATGGACTGTTGCTCTTGGTTACTTAAAGAGCAGTTGCTCCCAATAGTGTAATGACCTGGTGCAGTTTTTCAAATTCTCCACTCTCTGCGCTACTCTCGTTTACACGCAATGCTCATACCTGGCTGAATGCAGCCCAACAAGATAATGGCTTCCAGTGTATCACCCAAGGAACAAGACCCCAGCGTTTCAGACTCTCAGGAGACTTCACAACCAGTGCCATCGGGCAGGCGGGCTAGACACCGACGCAAAGCTGCGAGCACAACCCAAATCGGTCCAGAGTCGTCTCCACTGGCGCCGACTGAAGCCGGCCTAACAGCCGATCAGCCGCGAGTGAGGCGCTCCTCAATCCAATTACCCACCCAAGATGGTGGAATTTCACCCAATACCGACTCAACCTATTCCGAAGCACATGAAGAAATAGACGTCGAGATCGACACACCGACCAGGAAACCAACGCGCAGAGCTCGACCAAAGTCATCGGTGCTGAACAAGTTCGGCGGGTCATCACCGCTTCGACGGACGGTGACGCCAGAGACCAACGTTGACTCCAATCAGGACGAGATTGCAACTGCTAGACCACCTATCGGACCATCCCATACCTCACCAGAGATGAGGGCAGGGAGAAGGATTCAACGTCCAAATGTAACAGAAAGAAGCGCGACCGATCCAGTGACCCCTGCAAAGAAGCTCTCCGGGTTTCAGCTTGACGGCGACATTGCACAACTGATCAAACGGTCCCAAAAGAGACAAAGGGAAAGAGAAGGAAAATGGGTCCATTTACCTCTACAGAGTCAAACCAAGAGGCAGTGAGGTGTGGCTCCTTAAGATCGGGAGGACCCAAAAGCATGCAAAAGAGCGTCTCGGCCAGATCAAGGGGGTCTGCGGGCATCTGGAAATCGAAGAACACACCAAAGCGGTAGCTCGAGACATACCGTTTCACGGATTTGCTGAGAAGCTGATACATACGGAACTGGGCAATTACCAACACCAATGGCTGTGTGATTGCGGGACAAGACACAGGGAGTACTTTCAGGTCAGCGAGGATCTCGCTGTCAAGGTCTTCGAGCGGTGGCGGGACTTTTGCCAGGAGATGCCGTGGGACCACAACGGGAACATCCTGCCGAAATGGGCCCAGAGGTTACAGAACAGGGCCAAGTTCAACGGCAAGGAGCGGGATTTTGACCACCACGAATTCTCCAGACGCTGGACTGCCTTCACTGCCCCAATGTCCTTTGAAAGATTCTTATCAGATGCTATTCGTGTGTGGAAGCTTGGTTTCCCGAATCGGTGGCTGATCATTTCCCTGGCAGAGTTGCTTACAATTATTTGCATCTCGCGTCACTCCTTCTGGACAAGCATATGGACTACGATAATCGTCTTCCTGCTTTTGGTTGACTTAGTGGTCACGGAAAACATGCACACGACGACTTCCATATTTCAACTTATGGAAGGTGGCCTGCAGTCTATTTCGGTGCAACAGAAGCCACCGGAAGACACGATAGTGGGAGAAACCGAGAGTCCCGCACCGGGGAGCAGCCCAGAAAATGGACTTCACCAGCAAGGCAGTGGAGAAGCAGCCCCTCAGCTACAGGGCATCAGTGCCGCCGCGTCCAAGCAGAGTCCGATTGGCATTAGACAGGCCATGGACGGCGACGACGGGGATGATTGCTGGGGTATCATGGACGACGAGGCTGACTGGGATACGGGTTCTCGCTCGCCCGTACGCCCGGATACGAACTCTACAGAGAAGGAAGTCTTCAACAGACGCAAGTCACGGAACCCATACCCCGAAGAGAAGCCGGATTGACAATTCCAAATTGATCTCACGTTGTGGGCGAAAACTAAGCGCTTTCTTCGAACATTGTGGAGTTCATGTTTTCATATTTCACTGCAGTAAATCGTTTTGCTTAACGAAAAGACCTCTTTGGGTTTTTATGTTTGTAAGATATTCCAAATAACCAGTTTGTGCGACTCAAACCCCCAACCCATCCAAATGAATGGCTTTCTAATGTTATCATACAGCAGAATCTATGAGTTTGTCCCTTTCGAAAGTACGTGATTGAGAATAGTATAATACTTCATGAACCTATAGAATCTCCTAGCGTCGCAATCAAATGCCCTAATTTCTCAAGTTCGGTTGATAAATCACATCACAACATTCAGCATGAGTAGCGGCAATACCTTCCCTACTCTCGGAGCATAGCAGGCGGGTATCACTTGTTCTTGAACCCGAGGGGCGTGAGATGGATTGTCAAATCTTCAACCCCATCGACGAGCTGGTTGGGGATTATCCATGCTCGTCAATCTTAAGTACTAGGGAAACTAAATGGCTTCGCGGGAAGCTGCCGGCAATGTGGATTTTAAGCGCATCGACATGAGCCAAGTCAATCGGGAGAGCATCTGTTGTCGACCAGGTATATCGGATCTAGCTAGTCGTTAAATAAATCTCAATCGATCACTTGGACTACCTTGTCGCAACACCATCCACTCCAAGACTGCAAGTTCCTTCTGATCGTCCAACTCGCAGCCAACGAGGACCCCGATCGTACCACAGAAAGACTTTCAACATGTGAGGGGAGCCGGTCCAGGGGGCTGGTAGTTGGTAGGGACGGGGTAGTAGATGTTGACGACCAGACCAGGGTCGTTGGCCTTGTACGCCCCAGGGAAGGACACCTTGGTGGGATTCGCTGTCCCAGATCCGCCAGAGACGTTAATCTGTGCGCATGACAGATACAGCTGTGCCCCGCCGACCGAGCTGGCCGAGTGGAGGGCAATGTGCTCGGCTCTGAGCAGGTATTCGCCGTTTGCGACACACTTGGGGATTGGGATGTTTATAGTGGATTTTCCTGTTAGGCAAGGTCAGATAGGCTGGATTGACACGCCAGAGAAGAGACTCAGGAGGTTCACTCACCTTGTGATGGCCATGTCAAGCCGTTCGAAGCTACCGTGGGGTAGTCTTGATAAATCTTGAACCTAGTAATTTGTCAGTTCCGTCTTCGATTCCATTCAAAAGTCAAAACATATCCTGGAGCCGCGGGAGCGGATCCTAACCACATCACAAAGGTTCGGAATAGAACCTACCAGTTTGCTCCAGATCCATCATACGTCGCAGCAGTCTGGCCCGAGGGCACCTTTGCCAGCCACGCGGAGAATGGGCCGGGGTGAGAGACGCTCGCCTTGACGTTGTAAGCCACGGAGGAGCCAGCTTGGACATTGACGGTTGTAGCGCCCTCGTTACCGGCAGCGAGTTGGTAGCAGGTCATCGCCGAGGAGGATACATCCGTCACCGGGCCGTTGGATTGATAGTTTGAGGTCTTGCGGACGTTGGCCCAGTCGGCCTATATTGAGAGCTTGTTAGTATCACTTGTGGCGAGCATGTATGACTGCAGGCTGGAGGGAGAATCCGTATCTGGGTGGAGACGAGTGCAATAAAGCCCGAATTTTGGGCGATTGTGACAATTAATTTCCCCAAAAAGCTTTTGGCTTCGACACTTGTTGCAAGCACAAAAGGAAGGAGTTAATCAGGATCTTTAACTCACCCCGCCATTGATAGAGGGCAATGTGTAGTGTGCTTCGGCAACAGCAGCCGCAAGGGCCGCAACAGACAGCAGGAACTTCATGTTGACGTGAATGACACTGGCGGTTGGCGATTATGTGTGGTTTGAGATATTATCCGTCAAACTGGTATGTCTAAAGGGTGTAGATCCGAAATCCAGGGTTGCAGAGGAGGGCAAGGGCTAGTGGACTATCTTATATCGCGCCGCTTCTGTGATCTATCTCATATCGTCGCTCACTCCCACTCTGTGCTTTGAATCAATCTATTCCACATTGGCGTTCTGTGATGGTGTTATTTCGAGGACCCGTCAGTACTGACAGACTTGGGTGGATAAATGCCATCCCCTGGTGACCTCAGACCGGTTAAATACGTGGGCGGCCCTGGGGCCAACGGCAACCCGCGTGTGTATTAAAGCCAAATGACCATGGAGGGCATGATGCCGCGGTTGGACAAGGTTCACATCCCAATCCGGCTCCAGGTTGCCGAATCGGCCGTCTAGATGGGGGCCAAGGTCGCTCGGCAAGACTGCCGAGCATCGCGTGCCGAGAACGTGGCGCGAACGGGAGGGTGTTTCCCCTGTCCATCGAAGGTCCAGCCATGATCGCTGTCGACGGGTATGCAAGGGTCAATGCTAACAGGAAGAAGCACGATGATCTGTCGCAAATAGGAAGCGTCTTCTACTTGCTGCATTCATGCGCATCTTGTGTCTACGCCAGAAACCAGAAAGCGTCTGCCTTATTTCCGATGCACCAGACGTAGTCGTCATCGCTGGATGGCTCCATCTTTGACCATAGCTATGTTTGCGAACATCCAAGTTTGTTTTGATTCAAAGGAAAGCGATATTGACAACCCTACCCGAACCACCTCCCTCGTCCTGGGGTGCTGGCTTGTCCCGGATCCGTGGAACGGAGGGTCCCTTCCGCGAGCCATTTATTCAATGTCGCATTATCGTGGACGGTGTGCGAGTTGTATCACTGACCCGTTCAAAAATTCTTCTGATGAGCCATTGGTCCTAGCAAGATATCAGTGTCACATCAATCACAGTTTGAAAGCGAACAGGAGAGACAAGAGTGGGTCTTAGGGGAATAGAATGTCTTTGTCTCTGTATGTAGGGACTGGAGGCGGTGCGCAGTGCAAGGTCTTACGTCAAAATTGTGCTAGCAGTCTCCCGTCACGAGCATTATTCCATCAAAGACGTGCAAGGAGCCGCAGCAAACGTTCTGATGCTAGGGTGTTGATGAGTTGGCTCGGCTGGGCAGTTGCAGTTTCCACCTTCGCGCCTCATTTTGCCCGAACATCAGAAGGGCAAAGGCCATGTGATTTATTGCACAGACTCTTCCTCAAGACCTCTCATCTCGGCGCTTACTGGACGTCAAGGACACTGAAGAGCGAGAGCATCACTGTATTTAAGGATTCCCTGCGGCAGGTGCTCCGGTGTCGGATCTCGAGGGTGCCTTGACCGTCAGGGCGATTGTAATTGTTACGACATCCTTGGGCAGTCAGAATAGGCTACAGTACATCAGGAAAGGTTGACTACCATCTCAGCTAAAGATACCAGAAAGCAACCCTAACATGAGATAAGTCCTCAATGCCTCCCGAATGGCCTTCTAGGGCCGGGGGAGGCCTAGTGGCCTATTTCGCCTCCAGCCTCTTATAACCATTACGATCCCAAAACATGGAGGATGGGTAGTGCGGGAGCGCCTCAAACTCGCAGTGACACCAGCCTCTGGACAGCATAACGGCTTCCTTCTTGGCCTGCTCTTCACTGCATTGCAACCCCGCCTTGTTCCCTTCCCAGGTGATGCTTTGGACCGTTGCACTCTCGCCATCATCGCTGCTTGGTTTCGGAACAATGTGAAGGATGTAGCACTCCTCCTGTAACCAATTTCGAATGATGTGGATAGACATGTTGCCGTTTTCGTCCGGTTCCTCGATCAGCAGATCCCATTTGTCGTCCATGCTTCGAGATCTGAACCCGACTATGAGCTTTTCCACGTCTGCGTCGCTGATCGGCAGGTCCCAAGGTGCTGTGAGAGGCTTCTTCATGGGCTTTCTCAAGCCGCGCTCGTACGTGGTCGAAAACCACTTCCTCATTTCCCCCTCCTCCCTCTCCACGTTGCTCTCCGTTTCCTCTTCCGCATCGACTTTGCTCGCCGTCTTCGGAAGCCTCGTCGTAGGCTCCTCCTGTTCCGTGTTACTGTGCGACGCCATCCTGTGTTTTGCGTTACAGGATGTATTGGCTGTGATGAGTATTGAAACGCAGAGTATTTTTAATGGAAATTCGCACGTAAATGTCGTTAGACGGTCACAGGGCTTGGTGGTGAATGCGATGATTGACTCGGGTGGAGGATTTAGGAGGTGCTCGGATGAGGTTGCGTGGTTGCGAAAAGGAGAAAGAGATTCAGGTCTAGCGTAGGTCTAGCGTCAGGGTGGCAAGGCGCTGAATAAATAAGAGAACGATTTTTAGTATCTTTGGGCAGAAATGATGACTATGGGTATATCGTGCACCCATCATCTGGCAAGGAGATGGAGCATCTCAACAACCAACATGTGCATTCACAACGGGGCTGAACAGGGCGTCATCCCCACGCACCTCGCCAAGTAAAATAGGCAGCAACCGGATCACTTCATTTCCACAATTCACGGTGAACTGATTCCTGCTAGCACCAGTCCACCTAAACCCTCCAGACTTCCAGCATCCCAAATAATGCTAAGCTAATTGTATTATCCCGGGGATTGGTTCAGCAGAGCCACATTTTGTGCTTCTCCAGTGCTGCACTCAGGTGTATGCAGGGTTAGGGTTAGGGCTAACCACAGCAGCAGACACAATTGCAGCCATACTTAACACCTTCTTCATGTAGATGACTCCACTGCATCTACAATCTGGTACTGCTTTCTGTCTCTCACAATCACACTCTTTAAGCACAGAGGCTCTCTATGTGTGAGCTAAATGCTCCTTTACTTGTCCTTAATTTCCCATTGAAGCTCATTCTCATGAAAAACTTGTCAGTGAAAAAAGCCATAACATACCAATATGTATCCCCCTTCGTCACTCAGAGCACACAAATCACCTCCATACTCCGTCAAAAGGCTCTTCCACCAAGAAAACTCTCATCCATAAGCGAGCGGAACTGAATTTAAAGTCAAAGTCTCGTGGCGCTGTCAATAATCATTCCGATACATTAACTCAGGCCTTGATCTGATTCTTGTTCGCCGTGTTGGCTTGCTCTTCATTGGCCGTCTTGCCCTTTCCGAGGGCCGACTCCTCTGCCTGGTGCTTGAGAACTGCTTTCAGGACCTGAATATGGATATTTAGCCAGGTCCACCATCATGAATGACTGCTCGGGAAAAGCGAAGGGAATGACTAACCACATCCTCATTCACGCCTCCAGTGTCTCTGGTCACCTTCATGAATGCATCTTCCATTTCCCAGAACTTGCCTTGCCGTGCATAAATATTCTGGCCATGTCTCTTACCGTCCGCCATTAGCAGAACGACACTCCTGGCAACAACCTCAGCCTCTTGTACCTGCTCACCATAGCCAACATGCTCAGGCGTATACAAGTCAAGCATGCCCGAACGTGTCCACGATGGCGAGACACAATTGGTCCGAATATTGCTCGGGTGATCAATAAGAACAGGCATCAGCCCGCGCACGAAGCCGAGGACACCATGTTTTGCCGAGGCGTAGTCGGGGTTCCGAAAGCGGAGGAAGGCCGCGACACTGGCTGTGAGAACGATCGAACCTTCCGCAGGTGTCTGGTGCCTCATATGGTATAGACCCAGGTAAGCAGTATTGATAGAGCCCCGGAGATTGATGTCGACCGTAGACGCGGAGGGCTCCTGGAGCTCTCCTGTTTCTGGGTCGAAGGTTTCCGCCAAGTAGTCTGCTCGAAAGCCCGGGACCCCGGCGGCGGCGAAGACGTGATCGACTTTCTTGTGCTGGGAGATGGCAGTGTTGAACAGAGATTGAAGCGAATCCCAATCGGTCACATCCGTGGTGACATGCGTCAGACGTGCCCCGTGTTGGGCGAGCAAGGCCTCCGGGAGAGGATTTATGTCACCGACAACGACTAACGCCCCGAGATCCAGCAGCAGAGAGGTCGTTGAAAGCCCGATGCCCGACGAGCCGCCTTTTTATACTTAGTTCATCGGTTTTATAGACACTCCGAGTTAAGGAAGGGCACGAGAATCACCTGTTATCACAATAGCTTTGCCAGAGAGGCCGATCAACTCATCCCGACTGATAGTGAAATCTTCCATTTTGATTGTCTCCAGTCAGACCGAAGTTGACTGCGGATTGTGTCAGAAGGGGTATTCAGTGAACGAAGAAGCTGATCCCAACACGCCAGTTGAGATCAAGTTGGCGACACCTTCTATCAAGAGGGGGGAAAGTGGAGGAGTGGAAGCAGTGACGTAGATATAGGCCTGGAGATCAACCACATGCATGCATGTGTGGCTGCTTTTGGATATTTAGCTACCTACCGGCAGCAGTATACCCGTTGTCACTATACTCGAAGTGGACTCACAAATTATAGTTTGCAAATTTACAAATGATACAAATCCGCGAGTGGTAAGTTGCGCTCTCCTGGTAACCTCTAGCTACTACTATTACAATCACATTTATGAGTGCAACAAACTTGTTGTTATTCCTCTTGGCTTTTATTGTCACCCATGCTACCCATGACATACACATACTTTATGGCTAACGGTCAAGTGGGTATACTGAAATTAGAGACTACGTACGTGTGATCGAATTTTGGTTGTTACCATTTGCCACCGCTGCTGTACTGTCTGGTCCGGTCCTCATGGCTGACATGATCAGTAAGATCCGTGTAATTTCCATCACCGGTCCTCGTAGCATTGACGGTAGTTGTCATGGTAGCGGAGAGATCTCTCAGTTTGTTCTTTTTCCCACTGGATCCGAAAGTCACCAAATTGATGTTTGCGATTGGCTTGTCCCCTGGCTTCTGTCTTCCAAAGCAACTCCCACGGAAGATAGGCATCATCGCAGGCAAGCACCCCACAACAATCGCCATGCAGGCCTCAACCTCGGTCCACATATTGCCCGGTGAGCCAGTCCATGTAGCATCACTGAAGTCAAACTCCATGAAGTACCATGTCCGAAGGATCGAAATGGCTACGACGAAAGACCCGAAGAGGAACACAAACGTCAGCTGGAGCTTGCGTCGAAACGTGGTATTTAAGCGCCAGACATAGTGCATCGGCAGCAGAAGAATGATTAGATCGAGAGCTGCGTTCCATGAACATATCCAGATTAACATGTATTCGAGGTTGACACATGTTAGTGGCGGGGCCAGTGGATCCTCAAGCGTTGGAACATGAACCGGAAGGCAGAGTGCCGTGAGCAGAATCATGGATATAATGCAATACACGGCAGTGGCGACTCCAACGGCAATCAAGACCGATTTGAACCTCTTGGCAGGAAACAGTCGCCGATACTGAAATAGGATGGACAGTTTGGAGAAGAAGATGGGCGGGATGTAGAGTGCGTGCGAGGCGACCGCCATCCTCAGAAAAGTCCGAATCTCTTCCGAATGTTCCAAAATCAAAACTATTTCGTGTCGACCAAAGCCAAGGTATGTGAGGTACGTAAGTACCGCTGCAGATGCAGATGTAAACAGCTGGAAACGAGTCACATTGTCAGGTCTATCTCACTCGTGGTCGGCGCATCGTGAGAATTTGAAGTGACTTACAAGAGCCGCAACGGACATGTAGTCATCCCACCACAGGCTTTGCCCTTGAAGGCGCCGACCATAGATTCGAAGGCTAACACAGACGTAAACGAGCAACAGGGAGACTCCTGAAGCAGCGTACATATTTGGTCGCAGTGTTTCTTCATAGCGAAGGAACTGCTCCTGGAGATGCAGCGGCAGTTGCGCAATGACCTCAGAAATGTTTGTGGCCATGATGTCGAAGTTGAATGCTCTGGATTCGCGAAACAGTCGCATCAATGTTGAAAGTCTCGGTTATGCCAACGACTAGCTCTGGAAACTTTCAAGCCCGCACTTTCTTTGTGTCTTGCAAGAGGAACACACGATGACTTCTTGAGAGCTTGTGATGCGAGCATGAAGGAAGTGGGGGATTATGTGAAGATTGCAAATGTGCTCCGTAGTTAGTTGTGTATCAACTACTGTTCTCGACAGCCGTCACTGGAGCTTCTCGGTGCAGGATTTCGGATCAGGGATCCGAAGAATGTTGACAATATATGCGTAGCCTCAAATTTAATATCGCCCCCAATGACACCTTCCTAGCCATCATATGCAGTGTTACAGGAAGTCCCCATGCATAATATTAGCAACCGCCTCAGATGCCAGGCCGACATGTGCGACCCCTCAGGCGGACCCCAAATGCAACTGGACTATCTGAGGAAGCAAAAGGCTTGAGATGCACCCATACACTTAGGCACTCGAGAGGCTCAGCTCATAGGATCTTGAGAATAAACAAGGAATGCAGAAACCGATAGACTGGGGGCCAAATAATTGCACGATTGTTGAGGGATGACTACTCCTCAAGGGACAGGGCTGTATTTTGACTTCTCATCGCATCGATCTCTCGTTATCGGTATGAATGCCAAACATGCTCTGACGAGCTTCAACGAGGCCCAGGCGGTAAGTGCACCGGGTATGAAGACCTCTTCGTAGACAAGCCCGACCCGAATCCATCGACCCGGCTCATGCAGGATCTCAGCAAGTTCTCCTAAGCGCCAACCTCAGCCTCATCCAATGTCAAAGATAAGGAAAATTACGCCTGATCTGTCTCTGAGCCAACTTACGAGTTCTTCGAAGAAGTATCGATACCTCAAACGACCTACAGCGGCTCATTCCAAGAACTACTTGTCGATCAACACGCAGGCAAGTAACGTCCACGACAATCACAAACCGAAAATAATTGTGAGATAAACTTGTCATGTTGTGTTAGGTTCGCTTGAGACGCACTTTTAGTCGATACTTGCTCCTTACGGAAGCCGTTGCGTATTCAGCCAAGTCTTCCATTTACCGAGCGACCCGGTTGGGTTCAAAGCCGGCCGATCTTGCTTGGGTGCAGGGACAAGCAGGATGTGCTGAGTGTTCCAGTGGTAAGCATGGTATTCCGTCCTCGCTTACTGGGATAGGTCGCCTGGTGGAAAGGCCTGAAAAGTCCTGCACTTTTCATGCACAGCATTCTGGCCCCAAAATTGGGGGTGATACAGACCAAAATAGAGATGCGGTACTTGAGTAACCACCCAGATCGGATGACAGCCAGCCGTCCGTGTAGTGCGGGTGTTACGAAAGTTCTATGCAGTGCATACCGCAGTACCCAGCAGTCTGCATAACAACTGCAGCTTTCACGCACATGACCCCCTCAGACCTGAAAGCCGAAGCGACCTGTCACCAGATTCAACCTCATGGAAGTCTGATGAGATCATGTTTGGGGGCGGTGAAACGGCTGGCTCGAACGAAAGCCGTGACGCGATAGGCCTCCGAGACAACGTCCAGGCCTGTTTCATTTCATGTCTGTAGGCACAATGCCGCCATTTTTTGGTTGGCGCAGCTTCGATGACTTCTCTCGCAATCTCCTGCTTCTGCCTGGCGCGCCACCCCGTTTTGCGTCTCGAGTTCCAGGCGAGGGGCGACTATGGCTCAGTTGGCGATTGAAAACTGAGCGACTTACCACGGCAGGGGCTGAACCTGTTGCACAACATTCGATCATCCACACGAGAGAGGAGAGGGGTACGAGGCTCGGACTGGTAAGGCTCAACTGAATGTGATAATTGATGAATGCCATAATTAGTACTGTCCTGCAACCAAGCCCCCAAGCTCATTTGCAAGAACCCTGCTGCCCGCCTTTGAAGTCCAACAGGAGACAGTGTCGCAAATGTGATGCCGAAGTCGTACAGTCCTCTGCCGCACAAGATCCTCACTGAAAGATTCGATGAAAGAGAGGCACAGAGCCGCATATGCACACGTAAAGACGTACATGTAAAGACATAATTACGCGTAGGTGCCCCAATCTGATACATTGAATCCCAGCTGGCCACCGGGCCGTTATTGCTAGGCCATCGGAAGGACCAACTGGGTATCCCTTCTGGGGGGGGGGGGGGCAAACAATGTTACCAAGTCAAGTCACAGATGCAAATACCCACCCTCTACCCCCCAATGGAACCTCCGTCTGAACCGTTTCTGTAGCTCGGCTGCAGTATAGGCGGTCCGAGTCTAACCCCCATCTAATGCTTCGAAGGACCGGCCAGAAGCCTGCTTTGTGCTGCCGTGAACTCTCCTTGGCCTAGTATTAGCTATATGTGATGGCTTTCGTTCAGTGACCGTACCTTCCTGAGAATCACTTCTGGCATCTTCACACGTTAGTACCGTCAGCCTCCTTACCACCAGTTGACATACGGACATCATCCCGGCTTGGAGATACATGCATGAAAGGGGGACAGCACAATGGTAAGTCGTTGTCGAAATTCGAGACGTTAAGGACGTCCGGATAGGTGGTGATTAATTACTATGACAGATACTCGGCCAGCAAAATGGGGTCAGGCCCAAGTCCAAGCGTTGTTCTTGAAGTTTGAGGGGTCTCAAATCTATCAGATACATTTAAGCTCGCACTGCGATGCAGTTTGAGCCAATGGGCCATAATTTTGCCTTCCACAAAACTAATTTGGCTGCGTTCAGTTGAGACAAGGGAGACAGACACTGAATGTGGGTCTCTCAGGTCAGGGATGCGCTGGAACGCAGTGGACCTCAGGTGCTTCAGCGCCCCCGCAGACCTGCCTGACCTCGTGTCATTGGCCCCGGAGACACGACCACCGCCCTTTCAACTCACCATCGAGTCTGAAAATGACCGTCCCCAACGACCAACAACATGTCCAGCGACCAGCGCAGATCCTGTTCACCTGCCATCCCCTGACAGGCCACATCACCCCCGCGCTGCGCGTGGCCTCGGAGCTGCGGCGGCGCGGGTGGCCCGTCTCGTTCCTGGGCCCCACCACGCACCGGCACCGCATCTCGGCGTCGGGAGTCGACTTCATCCCCCTGCAGGCCGAGGCTGACATCGACGACCTGCTCTACTACTCCCCCGACAACCCAGACCCGCCGGTGCCCGCGTACCACTCGCTGCTGTGGTACGAGCGCACCCTCGTCGACGTGGAGAAGCACTGCCTCGAGCCCATCCCGGCGCAGTGGCGATGCCTGAAGGAGGCGCTGGCCAGCCTGCAGGCGCGCAGTCCTGACCTTCCCGTCGTTGTCATATCAGAGGCTTTCTTCCACGGCATCTTGCCTCTGTATTTTGGCGCGCCACTGCCGGAGGGTGTCAAGCGACCCAGGACGCTGTGTGTCTCCGTCACGCCGCCGGCGATCCGTAGCATCGACCTTCCTCCCTTCGGCTACCCCCTCCCATTCTCGCAGACACCCGAGGGGAGAGCCCGCAACGCAGAGACCTGGGAGATCTTCGGAGAGGAGACCTCATCCCTGAAGAAACTCTTCGACGAAAAGCTGGCCGAAGCCGGAGCCACACGCTTCCCTCCCGGCCCGGTCCTCCAAGGGATAAACTACACAAGCCACGACGCCATCCTGCAAATCGGCGTCCCCAGCTTCGAGTACCCGCGGAGCGACTGGCCCCAGCAGTTCCAGTTCCTGGGCTTCCTCCCACTGGCTGCTCCCCCGCCCAAAGGCTACCCGAACCTGCCCGGCTGGTGGGGCGAGCTGACCAGCACCGAGAAGAAGGTCGTCGTGGTTGCCCAGGGGACGGTCGAGACGGACCCGAACGACCTGATCATCCCCACCATCGAGGCGCTGCGCGGGCGGGACGACGTGCTGGTGGTGGCCATCATGGGACGCAAGGGCGCGGCTCTGCCGGCTGACTTTGAGGTGCCTCGTAATGCGCTTGTCACTGATTATCTTCATTACGACGCGGTTCTGCCCTACGCCGATGTCTGGGTGCACAATGGCGGTTACGGGGCGATCACGCACGGTATTGCTCATGGCGTGCCGATGGTGGTGGCTGGTGAGGGCCAGGACAAGCCGGAGAACGTCAAGAGAGTACGCTATTCGGGCATCGGGGTTGGTCTTGGGACACCCAGGCCTGGTGTCGTAAACTTGAGGGTCAGCTTAGACGCTGTGCTGGGTGATGCGAGATTCCAGACTAGAGTAGAGGTTCTTAGACAGGAGACGGAAGACTTAGATTGCTTTGGGCGCGTCGAAGACGCCATTCTACAGAGCTGTGCTAGATAGCTCTTCTTCAATGTGTATTGCTCTAATGGGGATCTATCAGACCGCTGTCGAATTACTATTCTGTAATGGCTCCATCTGTTCATCGGGGGGAGGTGCCCCGGTTGCAGGCATCGTCTTGTTCAATTGTCTCAGATTGCTGCGTGCCCATCTGCCCAGTGATATCCAGTACGGGGCGCTGAGCTCTGCCAATTCGACAAGTTTTCTAAACCAGGGCCAACGCAGTACAAAAGCAAAGATGAGCAGCAGCCCTGAAAGGAGCGCTATCACCACCCCAGCCACGCTACGGGGAGCAGGCCCGTCTTCTATGCTGAAAATGGATGCAGTAGTAGAAATGAGGCCGAGGAACTGCGACGGTGTTAGATAGGGAACTCAAATTGCAATGGCAAGGGGACAGATAGACAGACCGACGCAGATATTGTGAGAGCAGTGATAAGCACGGCGTTTTTCTGTTGCGGCGCTGCAATCGCGTTGTTGTCGAGTTGAAGGCCTTTCTCCAGCTATTCACAGTGAGAGATTGTCAGCACTATTCAATTCTTTACCTCTGCTGTACGATGAAGTGTGGAAGGCCAGCGAACCTTCTGTGAGAGACCGTGCAGGAGGTCTCGCTGATGATCAAGGTTCTTGCGGAGCACCAGCAAATCTTCCATTTCCTTGTTGATCTCGGAGATCAACATAACAGGCGTGCGTTTCTTCCCAGGGAGGTTCTCCAAATTGGTCAAGTAGGCCAGCTCGACGTTTCATCGACTATCAGCGATAACTGATATGACATTTGTTGCAGAAGTCTAATTGTCTTGTCGAAGAAAATTCGTGTCTTTGTTCAGGACGTCGTCTGCCACGCGCTGGCGGTTCTCTGGCTCCGAGAGCAGGTCATCATGAGTCTTGGTTGGAAATGCGGTCAGTAATCCGGCGACAAACAGATAGCACACCGTCGCTGAAAACCATCCCCACCAAATCGGCTACCTACATGCGGCTCTATCCTATGCAGAATACGAAAGACTGTGTTGTGCCACTCTCGCTTGACCTGCTTCACCCTGAATTCTAGCAGTCTTAGGAAATATTCTCGCGGCCTCCACACAGGAGGCTCCGCATCGTATTGGCCTTCGGTCAGGGGATCGAGTCTGGGCCCGTACTGCACTTGATCGATGTAGTGCCCCACGCTTTCATTATTCTCGGCGCCCTTGTAATAAGTATCGACAAAGGAAAAGGCCGTCCAGGACCAGTGATCCACACCGGTTACAAGCACGGAAATCTGTGCCTCGTATATGCAGTCGTCCAAGCCGGACGCCTCGGTACGAAACGGTGCGAGCTTCAGGAATTGCAGGTCACCTGTGCGCCTCAGTGGCTTTTTGTTCATCTTGAAGCGGCGATCTTTGACAAGTTCTGGGCCCTTCTTGCAGGCGTAGAACGGAAGGTGAAATTCTAGTGCGAAATTCTGGAACCCGATCGTCTGTGCAAACTTTTAGGTGCTGAATCTGTTGCATTTTTAACATCGACTCACGGGAACCTGTACGCCGACATGTGTTTTGAGCTCTATGTATCGATATACAAAATCTCGAAGGAAGCCAGACTGGAGCCTGGGTGCGGTTGCTTCACTTACCTATGGATCGATTCTTTATGCATCATTCAAGACTCGAATGAGGACAAGGCATTAGAGATACCCAACATGGCCGACTATTATCAGAATGCAGAGCTCAATCTCTCAGCATCAACACAGTCCATCGCGGGACTCTGGTCCGATCGTGACGGCGAGGCCACAAAACCCTTCAAGATCAATGCCACACTTGATCTACCGGAAGGGAGGAAGGAAGTCCTGCTTGAACTAGCACCAGTGCTCAGAGCAGATAAGTCACATCTCGACTACCGGGGGTGGATACTTCAGGAGAGGATATTCCCTCGGAGGACGCTCTTTTTCGACTCTTACTGGATCTCTTTCGAATGCAGCCAGATGAGTGCCTCAGAATCGTGTCCCGATGGGATGGACCTGACAGCCTCGTCCAACCCGGTCACTGTCTAGTCCGTCATGGGCACCCAGCTCGACAGGGACTGCTCTCTGACCATTATTGGGGGATTCATTCGAACGGTAGACGCTATGAGCCAGACCAATGGGCTAGGTGAGTGAGCCAGCCACCTTTAGACCTCGGAATGTAGTGTCTTTCTAACATGAAGCGCAAAATACGCAGTTACCCGCCGACAAATGCTCACCCTGTGGTACCGAATCCTAAATGAATACTCCCTCCGGCAACTCTCCTTCGAGTCAGACCGCCTCGACGCAATCTCAGGCCTGGCCGAGCGCCTCTCCCGCATCACAGGCGACGAGTACATCGGCGGCACGTGAAGGAGCAGCCTCCTCGAGTGCCTGCAGTGGCGGCCCAACACCCAGGACCGGGGGAAGGAGGCGGTCCGCCAGGCGCGCCACCGCGCCCCGAGCTGGTCCTGGGCGAGCTGCGAGCTGCTCCCCAGGTCGGAGTTCTCCAGGCGGTCGAAGAGGCTGCTCGTCACCAACGACTACGCCACCAGGTCCAAGGGCCTGGCTGCCATCAGGATCCTGGGCGTCATGTGGCAGTGCCAGGGCGCGAACCGGTTTGGGAGCCTGAGTGAGGCTAGTCTTACGATCATGGGGCGGCCTCTTAGGGGGTTTGCTTACTCGGGCGGGAAGGGCCCAGTCTTTGAGGAGGCCTGGGTCACCATGGATAAGAATATTGAGGAGCTTCCGGCGTTGAAGCCAAGCAAGGCGGGGGGGAGACAAGCGTCGCAAACCCAGCATTTTGTGGTAGTCCGTGGGAAGACAGACTCAGGAGAGCGTGCGGAGATGGTGTCTCAAGTGATCCCAGATACTTCGGATCAGAAAGTCGAGGGTTACGTTCACCTGCTGCCAGTGGCCGAGAGTTGGGTCGTTGGCGGCGGCGACAGGCTATTTTGCCTGGTTCTGAGAGAGACCGGCCCAGGGGTATTCGAGCGCATGGGGTCGTCGCTGTCTCGGTCCTGTTACGTGATCCAGGTGCCAGAGAGGAATATGATTCTGGTCTGAAATTAAGTTTGTTTTATGGTATCGCATAGAAGATAGTGCACAAGTCCGACGCCTCCAAAAAAAAAAAAAAAAAAAAAAAAAATCAAGCACATCTCTGGTTTTTGTGCAACCCGTCCCTATTCCAGTCTTACAGACTCGCCTCCGCTGCAGAGAGAGCCTCGTCGTAGATCACCAGGGCTTTCTCGACGTCCTCCCTGGAGATGTTACCTGGCGGCACGACATGTATCCTGTTCTCAACAAAGAATGAGATCAAGCCCCTCTTCTGACTCTCGCTCTTGATCTTCGCGATCACATCCGCGGTCACTGGCTTCTTGGTGACTGGATCCGAAACGAGGTCCAATGCCCAGAACACTCCCAGTCCTCGCACGTCCCCGATGACCCGATGCTTCTCTGCGAGCTTACGGAGACCAGGACCCAGGACGTCCTTCCCGATGGAAGTCGCGTGCTCGAGGATCCGCTCGTCCTCCTGCGCCTCGATCGTGGCAACGATAGCCGCCATGGCGAGCGGATGTCCCGAGTAGGTCAGGCCTCCCAGGTACACACGCTCGTCAAAGGCGTGCGATATGGCCTGAGAGATGATGACTCCTCCGGCGGGAACATAGCCGCCGTTGACACCCTTTGCGAATGTGACCAGGTCAGGCGTGATGCCCTCCGGGTTCAGCTCCTTGTTCTGCCACGCGAACCAGTCACCTGTGCGTCCGAAACCCGCCATGACCTCGTCACAGATCATCACAATGCCGAACTCATCGCACAGCTTCCGCACTCCAGAGAGCCACCCAGTCGGAGGCACTATGACGCCCGCCGTACCGGAGATGGTCTCAAGGATGATGGCTGCGATAGAGGCTGGGCCCTCGCACTCGATGACCCTCCGGAGATGATGCAGCGCCCGCTCGTTCTCCTGCTCGGGCGAGGTCGACCAGAACTCGGATCGGTAGGGGTACGGGCCGAAGAAGTGGGTGTGGCCGCGGGCGAACTGGTTCGGGACCCGGCGGAAGTCACCGGTCGCAACGATGGCCGAACCCGTGCTGCCGTGGTAGCTGCGGTAGGTGGATAGAACCGTGTCCCTGCCGGTCGTCAACCTGGCCATGCGGATGGCATTCTCGTTGGCGTCAGCTCCGCCGTTGGTGAAGAAGACCTTGTGGAAGAACTTGTCGGCGGGGTGTAACCCATTGGCGTGCTTGAGGATCAGCTCGGCGGCCTTTCCGCGGGCGAGGTTGGCGTGTGCTGGTGCTACTGTGGCCAGTGTCTCTGCTTGCTGCTTGATAGCGGCGACGACCTTGGGGTGACTATGACCGATATTGGTGTACACGAGCTGACAGGAGAAATCAAGGTAGCGCTTCCCCGAGTAGTCCCAGACCTCGCTGCCCGATGCTCCTGCGATTGGCAGCGGGTTGAGTGCTGCCTGGGCACTCCATGAGTGGAAGACGTTGGCACGGTCAAGCTGGTAGGTGAGATCGCCGAGCTCCTCGGCAGTCGGCGTGGCGCTGCCCATCTTTTCGATATGCTTTGTTGATAAGTCACTTGTCACCTACTCGTCGCGGGCATTAGCGAGCTTCTTGGTTGGTGTCGGGGACTGCCACAAGTCTAGATCGGCTCCTGGGGCGTCAAGAAAACGAAGCAAGCAGGCCAGATATGTCACACTGCTCCCGACATCGCATTGTCCCCGGCGGAGTGTTGGACAGGGCGAGGCCTGGGTCTCCAAGATCGGCCGGGTTGCGACCCGGGAAGGTGCCGGTACGTACTAGGACGCGAAGGAGATAAGATTCAAGACCCATGTCACTCCCGATCCGCCCTTCCATTCCCCTTCAGATTGCACTAGTATACCTAGGTACTCAAGGTACTTGCACGTGCTCGTCAGTTCCCCACACCAACCGTTACAACGTCCCTGACGGTTGAGTAATATCAGACACATCAATCCTACTCTCAACTCCTTTTCTCTATACTTCCTCAGAAATTCGATTTCAGACTGCCTGAGATGTGGCCAAGTGTTGCTGTGACTCGAGATACTGAATCACTTCACAAAGGCCCCCTTGCATTCTCCACTAACGTGATCCCGACTCGCTCTTGCGTGCTTGAATTTACTCCTATTTTTGTAAGCGGACCCGGAGAATCGAACCACACACCCGTCAGACATTGGGTAAAACAACCAAAGGTGCTACTGCGGTGCCCATATAAGACAAAATTACTGCTTCTCACTTCTTCTTGCCAATCAGCGAGTCATTCCGATCGTGAAGCTCGTCTTCAATACTGCTTCTGTCTGTCTTTATATTTCCGCCTGCCATTGGATGGACGCTATTGATCTTCAGTAGATACTATCATGGAGCCACTAATTCCCGGTACAGGCTCTCTGTCAGCGACTTCTACATTTCATCGCCTAGTCCGCCTACTCGTCAGGAGCGTGTCATTTACAGTTCGACTAGTCAACCATGTTCAGTGTTATTATATTGCTTCCAGCCCTGCTACTGCTCTTGGGGAAAATCCTGCAGAGTAGCTCATCAAGACGTCTTTGCTTGGATGATTGTCCAATCTTTCTATTTAAGAAGCAGTCAATTAGTGGACTGATCTTCAACTCAGGGAGTTGAGAGGAAATGCCACCTAATTTATTGCACTTCCTTGTGGCTAAATGGAATGAAGGGGAACGGCTGCATTCTGGGCAAAAGGGGACAGCCCTTCTAGTCCAGAAGAAGGTCGTTATGATAGAAAAAATTGTTGTCGCCTTTGATACTTCTATTTGGTATGTCTCGTACACTGTCAGAAGCCAGGATGTAGGCGGAGGTGGTGACATCCCGTGCCGGTGGATATATCTCGATTATTTCCGCGAGGCAACACTTTAATGTGTAAGCGATGATACAACTCGCCAGTCGCCGTGCACTTATGTGAGGACGCCAATTTCAGAGTCTGAGCTGTACAGAGCGCCACGAAACTCAACAACTACCCTGGCCAATCATTTCATGACGTACCCCTATACAAGCTAAGTGCATGGGCGTGCTGATTTTGTTGGCGCATCTTCGTACTTGATGCAATGCATTTATTACAAGGACGACGCGTCGAGAATTCAGTACTCCGCTCGCCATCTATGGCATTCGTGAGAATATCATAATCGGGTGGGCGAAGCAATGAAGTGCAGACATGTTCTAGGTCCATGCCGCGTCAGCAGAGTCGGAGCCGATTCGGCCGACCCGTTCATCCAGGGGTTTCAATCCCTTGGACGAGCTAGAAACTGCTTGAGCTTATTAGGCTTCGTGTCACCACAACACGTTTCGCAAACGCGCTGCCAGGTGCACACCGGCCATTGTCTCGGCACCAGCAATTGCTCACCAACCATCGCGATCAGGGAGGAGTCCCGACATAGAACTCCGGCGCCGCCGACCCTTTTTCTTGGTGCCTGCCAGTGTGCTAGCGGGCCGCGATTCTACGGTTTTGCTTCACGCGTCAGCTTCCTCTCCACGTATCTCGAAATGGCCGACAAGAAGAACGACGACTATGTCGTGCCGATGCCCGGGCAGAGCTATGAGCTGAAGCGCGCCCCAAGCGCGGCCTCGTCGCAGCGCGCAACGAGCCAGCATAGCGACAGGCCATCTCAACCACCTGCGTCCGGCTTGTCCAACAGCCCCAGTGCCTCCATCCTGGGATACTGTTTAGCTTCCATCTCGATGACCGTTGTCAACAAGTACATCGTGTCCGGGAGCGAGTGGAATCTGATGTTCTTGTATCTGGCAATTCAAGTACGTTATCCAAGTCCAACCTGAAAGATATTGTCCGGCGCTGACCCCCGGGCAGTCAATAGTGTGCATCATCGCGGTCCTGGCGTGTCAGGCGATGGGGCTGCTCAAGCTGGAGCGTTTTGATATTGAGCAAGCAAAGAAGTGTACGTCTGAATGGCTCCGGAGGCCGCAAGTATAGCACCAGAAGTACTGACTCCCTGCAGGGTTTCCCATCTCCGTTCTCTTGGTCGCCCAAATTTATACCGGCGGGAAGGCCTTACAGTTCCTCTCGGTGCCGGTGTTCACTATCTTCAAAAACCTGACCATTATCGTAATCGCCTACGGAGAGGTGCTCCTGTCTGGTGGTCGTGTCACGCCTCTTGTGCTCTTCTCGTTCGGGCTGATGGTGTTCAGCTCCATGGTCGCTGCCTGGGCAGACATTAAAGCGGCCACGAGCCCGGATACCCACCCTTCGGAGGCCTCGGACGCCCTAAAGACGCTGAACGCAGGGTACGCATGGATGTTCGCCAATGTCTTCTGCTCGGCCGCGTACGTCCTCGGGAGAGGTCGGACGATCAAGAAGCTGAAGACCAAGGACTGGGACAGTAAGCATCGCCCCGGCTGACCCAACAACAACACACTTTTTTGCTAACAGTTCTGATTAGCCACCTTCTACAACAACCTGCTGAGCATCCCCGTCCTGATTATCGGGTCCCTCCTCGTCGAGGACTGGTCCTCGGCGAACCTCGCGAGGAACTTCCCCGAGGAGACGCGCCGCAGCCTCGTCGTCGGCATGGTGTACTCGGGCCTCGGCGCCGTCGGCATCTCGTACGCGAGCGCCTGGTGCCAGCGGGCGACGTCGTCGACGACCTACTCGATGGTCGGCGCGCTCAACAAGCTCCCGATCGCCATCAGCGGCTTCGTCTTCTTCGACGCCCCCGTCACCCTCGGGGGCGTGTCCGCCATCTTCATCGGCTTCGTGAGCGGGATCGTCTACGCCTGGGCCAAGATCAGGGAGAAAGAGTTGGCCAAAATGTCTCTGCCGACGGCGAAGTGAGAGGGGGTGTGGTGGAGATGAGGTTGCGCGTAAGTTTCGTGTGCCGGCTTTAGCGCGAGTTAGACTAGAGTGAAGGTTCGTTTTCGGCGTACCGTATACTCAATTAGATTTTCTAGCATTTCGAAAGAAACTTCCAGCCCGGGAAGGCTATTTCATGGTAAGAACTCTTTTGTGAAAGCAGGACACGAGAGGAGTCTTGTCCTTTGACAGCATGCGTTGTCATACATATGCACATGGCAGAGATATATTGTTCATTAGCTGTTGAGTTTCTGCTCTGAAAGTTCTCAAAGTATTAAAAGTTGTCAACGCCCCCGACCTCACTGGCGTATCCTAGAACTTTCTATATGTCCTGAGATATCATGAGTCTTACTGCTACTTTATTCATCAACTGAATGTAACACCCTCACCACACAGTCCCAAGTTACTCGGTTAAAAGCTTGGCCATCTCCTCCCAAACGGCAATAATTCCATCCCTCTCCTTGGCCCAAACCGCACTCCCCTCCTCCTGCAGTCCCAGGTCCCCGCCAAGGAAGCACTTCCCAGTGAACTCCCGATCCGGAAACGTCAGGTTAACAGTCCTCGCAGGCGCCCTCATCTTGAGCCCCTGGAGCACGACAGCCAGCGCCTCGGCAGCCCTGCCCCCGCCGTGCCCGCCGTAGGACACGACCATCCCGGGCTTGCGCGTCCACTCGTTGAACAGGAAGTCGATGGCGTTCTTGAGCGCTGCCGGGATCCCCCAGTTGTACTGGGGCGTGACGAAGACGAAGGCATCCAGGGGGGCGATGGCGGCGGACCAGTGGCGCGTGTGCTGGTGGGCGTAGCCTGACGGGTCGGTGATGGCCTGGGGGATGCCCGGCTCGTCGAAGAGGGGGAGGTTGAAGGCGGCTATGTCGACCACTTCCAGAGTTATCGCGTGGCTGTTGGCTGCTGGCTGGGAGGCAAGGTGGGACTCGATCGTCTTGTGGACGAAGTCTGCGATTTGGGGCCCGACCCGGGGAGTGCGAGTGCTGCCACAGATGATGCCCACCTTGAAGGTTTTGTCGGCGACGCCCATGTTGTTGTCTTGACTTGGCAACGACGATGGTCCTGGTGTAGGCAGAGAGGCTTGCTTGTCGTTTCGCTTGATCACGTTCCTATTGGAATTGACGTGCGAGGGTCGTGGTGTGCTTTTTACAAGAAAAGTCCAGCTGAAGAAAAGAACAGTGAACACATATATGTGTCAAGAAGAACAGAGTGTTGGTTGCCAAAGAAGGAAGTCTTATGAACCTGGAGACTGGTTCGAGATCCCGTTGGTATTAATACTCAGGGTCTAGACAAGCTAGCTGCTCGCCAGGAACCTTGGGAAGTCGTCTTCGTCGCGCCGCGAAGTGAAGCGCCACACGTTTGATGATGATGCTGCTCGATGTGGATTGCGGGATTTCTCCAATCCGTCAGGCAGCCATCGCAACATCAGCTATTACAGAGCAATACTTCTTTCTGTAGGGCCGGCCGGAGAGAGGTGGGCGTCCGGCGTTTGCGCCCGGCGTTTATTGGGGATTCCGGCCCGGGAACCTGCCGTCGACAGAAAAAAGGCCGCTCATGTGCTACATTATGGCCGCCCCGCGTGAGCCACGACGCACCATTCCTGAGGGGATCAACTCCAGAGACAAGTCCTAGAAAACTCATAGTCACCTAGGAAATGGGCAACTTCGGCGAGGGAAGAAGGACTGGCTACAACCGGAGACGTTGCCATACAACTGCTGCAATTTGATGTCCTCACTAATCCTGTCAGTGAGAGAGGCTGCAGCCAAGGTGGAGACCGTTCCCAGGAGCTGTCACCCTTGCAGACGAGGGGCAGAAGGATTGGACCCCTGTCATGGAAGGTTCCGTACTCGGGTTGCCATTTTCGACGCTTGGTTGAAACACCTGGTCATGCCTTGTGGAAGGGCGTACGTAGGCTTGTGTATATCCCACTCCCGCCCCGACCGCTTTCTGCTATTCTGTCTTTGGGTTCAATGTTCAGGTCCGCGTCGGTAGTATTCTCATGGGCCTTCTTGAGCGGGAAAGTAAAGAAACTAAACACTCAGATGGATGGAAACTCAATTACGGGGAGAAAAATGAGGTTGGGAAGCAGAGACTCTGTTCAGGTTGACCGTATTCTATTGTCTTTAAACCATGTGAGCTCCTAAAGCATGATGGCACTGGTGCAGGTTGGTGGCCGGCTCGCTGTTTTTTGCTCCAGCTCATTCAAGCCTGCTGTCCAACCGCAAGGAGAAGCAGCATTCTGAAGCTCCCAGCTCCCATGAGCTCTCTGGGGAAGATGGCGGGGTGGCGTTCTGCTTGTTACATGTGCCCTGCAGACATGTGATTTGTCATTCCGCAGCTCAAATGCTCGAAACGGAGGCGATGGCCAATGCGGTAGACGTCACGACTTCATCTGATTGATTGATGCAATTGCCCAGGCCATAACCGCAAGCCTCGAAGGTCTTCATTCTCGGTCCTACATCGCCGTTCTTCTTCCACAGGAACCCCACTCTATATAAAATCATAACAAGACAGTCAAACTGCCTTCCCCCACAGATTCCAACCAACCTCAAACCCCTCCACCACCAAACTCAGAACCCCGCCAGGGGCCCAGCTTTCAGCCACAGACCCTCATCGCCCTCATAGTCGCCTTCCTCGCCGTGACGGCAACAATGACCTCCGCCATGCCCGGCTTCATCGCCCGGCTGACCCGGCCCTTCACCACGGCCACCTCGCTCGGCATCTCGGCGGAGAGCGGCGTCGGCGCCATCCCCGACGGCGCGCAGAAGGCCACGGTGGCGGCGGGCTGCTTCTGGGGCGTCGAGCACATCTACCGCAAGCACTTCGAGGGCAAGGGCCTGTACGACGCGCGCGTGGGCTACATCGGCGGCGACACCACCAACCCGAGCTACCGGGCGGTGTGCTCGGGGAGCACGGGACGTGAGTTGTAGCCCCTTGTGTTTCCAGGTGCAGGGGAGCAAAGGTACTGACGTGCGTGCGGGCCAGACGCCGAGGCGACACAGATAACCTTCGACCCGTCGCGCGTGACCTACCGCGAGCTCCTCGAGTTCTTCTACCGCATCCACGACCCGACGACGCGCAACAGGCAGGGCAACGACGCCGGCACGCAGTACCGGAGCGGCATCTTCTTCCATGGGCCGGAGCAGGAGGCCGTCGCGAAGGAGGTCACCGCCGCCGCCGACGCGCAGTGGTACGGGGGCCCGGGCAAGATCACCACCCAGGTCGTCGCCGCGGGCCAGTGGTGGGACGCCGAGGACTACCACCAGCTCTACCTCGACAAGAACCCCGCCGGCTACCAGTGCCCCAGCCACTACGTCCGGGACTTCCCACCGCTGAAGTAGGTGCGCTGTTGGGGCCCGGTGGATGGGTATGGTGATGGAACAAAACAGTCAAATAAAGTGTGAAGTCGTCAACATACACGGTCAAGACAATGTTTTCCTACAGTCCATGTGAAAGTTGAAGATCCGGATTTTACTTGATTGATATGGTGCGGTGCACACCGAATACCTAATGCTATGGATTGGTGCCCTGCAGCACCACTAAGGTGAGAGAGGAGAGTAATTAAATCCCACGTAGCAAAAGACCTTTTGAAGTTCCAATACAGCTCTTTGGCAATATGCGTTGCCGTGACCTGCTTGCCTCATTCGCCCACTCTTTACTTCCTCCTGTTCTGCTGCATCATCAGGATCTGGACCATCCGGATGAAGATGTTCAGGAAGTCCAGCTCCAGCGAGATGCTCTCGTTGACTGGGTCCCGCTTAATCACGCCCCGCTCGGCAAGGCGTGCGTGGTGGAGGACCTTCTGCACATCATAGAGCGTGAAGCCACCAAACACAGCCAGTCCTCCGTACAGCCAGATGTTCTCGGTAAAGGCCAGAGTTCGGACGGCGGTCGCGGGGATGATCAGGGGCGCGAGGCCAGAGGCCATGACGATACCGGCGCCTGCGAGGAGGGGGCCGCCGATGTAGAGGTACTTCTCCTGCTTCGCGGTCGCGCCGACGAAGGAGATGGAGCCCATCATGGCAACGGTGTACAGGCCCGCGCGGGCGAGGAGGGCGCCGGGGGCGAAGGCGATGAGAGGAGCGACGAAGGCGGCTTGGGTGGCGTTGAAGGCGGTCCAGAGTGCGTACTTGGGGATGTAGCTGTTCAAACAAGATCGTCAGAATCTGTGCAGGCCGTCGACTGGCATCCAGGGCTTATGTGGGCGCAACTTACTTGTCAGGCTCGATGGCCCTGGTTCCAATCATGGTGCCGAAGCTCAGCGCCAGGCCACCTATCGCAACAACCCAGGGGTTCGTCACCATCAGCCTGTAGACGAACCCGCTCTGCACCATCTGCCGCGCCGTGAGCCCGATAATGCCGACGCCCAGGCCCGTGTGCATGAAGGTGTTGTTGAGGTACGAGCGCTCAAAGGCAGGCATGCCGCCGTCCTCGCGTGTCTCCCGGTTGAAGACGGCGTTGATGGCAACGAGGGTGCCGCCGAAGATGGCACCGCCGACAAGCAATTTCCGCATGGCCGAGGCGTTGTCTACTGGGGCCGCTTGGCTCTGGTAGCCGCGCTTGCTGCCGGCGGAGACGAGGCGGGCCGTGAGGGAGGCATTTGGTGCGGACCGCGCGAGTGACGAGGTCAGCAGGGAGTTCTTGCTCGTGAAGAAGGCATTTTGTTGTCGGCTGGAGCGGTGGAATGCGCGGGTGGCGATGGAGGAGCTGGGAGAGGAGGTCTTTGCCACCGTTTGCGAGAGTTGAGGGAGGCGGGCTGCCAGGCGGGCTGGGCCCTGGCGTAATGTTATCGTGAAAGACATTGGCGCTGTGGTATGTGAGGGAGACAGAAAAGAGGAGGAGCAAGGAAAAGGTGACAAGAGTCTGGTATCACAGATGGTTGAAGACGAGGAGGGAACGAAGTTTGACGATGTTTGGTAATGACGTTCGCCAAATGGAAGCTTCGGCGGAGAGCCACCGCAAAGTCCGGGGTGGCCCAAGCTTCCAGCCGCGATATGTACGTAAGCGAATGGTATGGGGGGTTACCCGTATATACGGGCTGCCGCCAAGATCAATAGAACCGCATGGAAGTGAGGGTTGGCGACCACCTGCATCGAGCAAGCTCCTGGGCAACGTGCCTTTCCCTATTCAATGCGGTCAAGATTCCATTCCTTCATGACTGAGCTTGGCAAAACCGATACAGGCCACTCTGCCATCGTTGCGATTGACCGTGGAAATTGGTACTGGACAACGCTGGTGTCCTTGATTGACGGCGCTCGACTTGCGACGATCCTGCTGCATGCCAAGACGCCCCATCTAGTCAGCAAACCAACCTCTCCACGATGTCTATTCCTCATGTCAACATTTTTTGTTCATGATTTTGGGACGTACACGGCTGCTGTGAGTAGATCTTGATCCTGGGGACCTCCGTGCCAAATATGGAAATTCCAAGCAAGGGGCCCCCAGCGTCATCGGCTTTGCTACGTCAAGTTATCCTCCAAAACATCACCGAAGCGGGCGCACTGCCATTTGGCGCGACCGGACCCTCTGCTCGCTGCTACTCCGGTATCAGCCAGTGACCCATCTGCCGCGGGCTGGAGTGCCTCCGCCTACAATGCCAAGCATTCATGCGACCAAACACTGCACAGTCTTAACCTGCTTTTGGAGCTCCTCACGATCGGGACCACTCAGATACTCCATGTCGAAAGCTTGTGTCGGGCTGCATCATTGGATGACACCTGACGCGAGAGGCTGGCTTGTGAGCCGGACGTGACGCTGGTGGTTTTGAATGCAACTGCAACTCCTCGCCGGCACGCTAGGTAACCGCTCAGCCTGGCACTTGGGAAATTAGCAGTCTTTTTAGATGCTGTGCACCCCCATCGTTGCTTATTATCCTGTTGTTCTTATCTATCCTCTGTCAGGTCGAGTTGACAGGACTACAAGAACAGACGCCCTCTCTTGTTGGCCCCTCTCATTGTCATCTCTTAACGGTCTCCTCTCCCTTGTACTTCACTACCATAGCTCGCCTCTCTACTGCTTACCAACCGGCTCATAGACCGCGTTTATTCTTTTTGCAGGCTGCTCGTGTTGTGCCTCGAAATCCTCTGGCGAGATGAAGATCTACTCATTTCAGCTTATCATTTGGGCCATGTTTGCCGCAACCATGGCGGCGCCGATCCGCGAGCAAACTCCCATCGGCGACGAGGAGCTGACCAGAGCCATCGAAGGCGGTGATCCAGACCTGGCCGAGTTCGCCTTCCGCCTTCGAACCGCAACGGGTGGGTCTAAGCATCAGAATGCGAGACCCTCTCCTGGATCAAGCGATATCGAAATAAAAGGCCCCGAGAGAGTGCTCGGGCAGGGAGGTGGATCTTGCTTCTGTTCCGGTGGCTCGGTGTGCTGTCGGCAGGGTGGAGGTGCCATTGACTGTGGCTTTGGGCTTTGTGGCATCTGAGACCGAGATCATCGCCTGAACCAACAAGACTCACGAAGCGATTCACAAGTTGCAATAGATGAGCCACTGCTTACGAAACGCGGCTCCGCGGTGGAGGGCCTTACGGCAGGAATGGTAAAGACAGGTCCTCGTATCCCCGCCGACTGTCCTGCAGCGTCGGCTTTGAGGATATCATGTCTGTTCAACGAGGAACAGTGGACTATCGATTCACCCAGAGACCAGCCCTTTCGCGCTCAACGCTCGACCGTGGATGAAGACAGACTGCACAAGGATGTCAACGGGGGTCCCATTACTGATAGAGCCCATCTCGACGAAACCTTTTGCATAACGACGATGACATCGCTGCGGAACCACCTGCCCCAACGACCGGAACATGGACGGTTTCTGCGGGCCGAGTAGGGCTGGCCTAGCGGCAGGCAAGGAGAGCGAGACCGGGGCAGTGGCCCTCCGGCAAGTGAAGCGCGTCATAGCTAGAGGCACCTGGCCTGACGCGAGGGCTTGGCTGCTACTTTGTGTGCTGTTGCAACGGCGGCTTTGAGTCAAGGCATTGTTGGGCAAAGGGGACCAGCATCTGGGGAGAGTGCGGGGTGCCCTCTGGAGCTCGGGACGTCTGTGAGAGGCATGTATGGCTCACGTATGCTAGAGGGAAGCTTCCGATTCTATTTTCACCAGATGCGAATGCCACCCCAAGAGGAGAGACATCTCGTGCCGGACTTGCAACGATGTGGAAGGGGACGGTGATGGAAACGACGCAGCTTAGGAGCGGCCAGGGAAGACAGAGGACTCAGATCTGTGACTAGGAACAGCTTGGATGATGTCAAGGCATGTGGTGTCCGCCCAAGGTGGAGGACCAGCCACGTAGGCAGCGAACAGGTAGCCTATTCGAGTCATGGAATCTCTTAATCACCCGGCACCACGCCTTGAGCTTGGTGATCATGGAGGAAATGCAGCAGGTGTTCTCAGAGACTGTAGAGCGGCAGCGTCACCGAAATTCCGAGCGCCAGGCTGGGCCCAATCGGCTCTGCTCGCCCGACATACCCACATGGTTTTTAAGTTCTGCAGCCCTCGTGCTTGGGGCAAGGGGTTGCAGGAGATTCATGGGTGTAGCTGTTGGCTGGGCTGGCTCGAGACCCAGTGGAAGTCATTGCCCTTGCCACCATGAACCCATCTTTGTGCGTCGCTGTCCCTGGTCACCATGCAACAAATCTAGACGACCTGCAGTTGCCACCGGCTGCCACCAGGGCTGATCGTTCAGCATCCTTGTGACAGTTTAATCACCTCGAGAGAGAGGACGATGGGGATGGCCCGGTTTCTTGCTGCTTGGAGAGGTTGGAGAAATTCGCGTACAAAGAATCCAGGGCAGGAACCCTCCGACGTTGGTAATAAGCCGGCGGGCAGGAAGACCGACAGAAGGAAAGAGCCGAGAAAGAAAGAACAGACCGACAGTGTGAGGAAGGAGCACCGCACAGACCCCTTATGGGCATTGATAGGTAGTCCTCAGCCTCTCAGCCCTTCAGCACAAACTTAGACAGAACACCAACTAGAAACTGAATACAACCCTCTTATTGCAAAACCCCTTAACAACTTAGCTTAAATAACGGGAATTAAACGCCAGCCAGTAACCACTATAAACATAGCTTCGTTTAATAAAACAACGAAAGCATTACTATAAATTTACTATTAATTTCCCACTGCTTGCTTTGCTCTCATATAACTATCTAAATACTCATTTATCTAAACTATTTAATTATATAACTCCATAAGACTTTATAGCTAAACTTAAATAATTATATACTTAATAGCTCTTACGATTTCATTACCTATCCAAGTTTCCATATATTATAAAGATTTAAAATAATAAGCTTAAATATGCTTATTTCTTACAGCCTACCTTTAATGAAAACGATCCAATTCCCTAAGGTAAGATTTATTAGCCGCAGAATTAATTAATAAAGCGAAAAAGCCTTTTTGCATTTCTTGCTCACTAGTAGGCGCTCTTACCACTTAAATTCCCTTTAGCATTTAATCCCTAAGTTACTTCTTTAATTAACTAAACGCCGCTTCTTAATAATTCATTATATGCATTAACCAAAATGCAATCTCCTTAAATACTTAAGCATTACTAAATAATTAATTTGCTAAGTTTGCCATTATCCTTAAAAGTTTTCCTTAAAAATATACCACCTATATTAATATATAATTAATACCTTAGCTCTCCCTTGCATTTAAAAAGGAATAATAAAATGGAATTAATAAACCCTAAATCTAATAAGGACAATATAGCACTACTTATGGCTAAAAACGCTGCTAACCTTATTATATAAGCAATAGCATAGCTCCATAACCAATAAAACCAAAATTTTGCATATTTAATCGCCATAGCATTTGCAAATGCATTAGTCCCCTAAGTTTATATTTAAGCTAAGCCTATATAAAATAGCGTTAATAAATATTCTAGCATTTAACCAATAAATATTAGCTATTTCTGCCCTTATAAGCACGTTAATTTAAGCATTTAGTTTAATAAAAAGATTACAAAGTATTTTAATATTTTTTATTTTATTAAGCGTTTAAAGCATATTAAATAAATTCATTTTACAAACAATATTTATTAAGTTTAGTCTTAATATTTCTTAAAAAATGCACTTAAATAATACTCTCATGTCTTAACTAATAATAATTGCTAGCTACTTAAAATAGCAATAATTTAAGCAATTTATAATAAGTTAAAATTGCATTTCATTAAGTCCTTCTTAAATGCTATAGCCAATTTTAAAATAAATTATTTATTTCTCTATTAAGTTATAAAAGAACGGGACATTACTTTATTTCTTTAAACTATTATTATAAACATAAAAGCTTGCAATATAAAGCTTTTTACATAACTAATTACTATATTTAAATTACTTACTTTTAAGATTAAGTTTAAACTTTAAAAACTTAATAAAGCAATAATATTAAAAAGCTTTTTAAATAATATTTAAAACTATAAAAGTATAATTCTTAATTTAGCTTAATAATAATATTTATTTACTTAAAACATTATCCATTTTTATTAACTTACACCCGCCTATAAAGGCAAGTTAAATATCCCCTATGCCTTATAATATCTACCTTTGCAGCCCCAATAATAATAATTATAACAACGCTTTTAAGCATAGCTACCCTAAGCTCTTTTATAATATAATTAACTATATATAGCTAACTAAACCCAGAATTAATTTTAACTACCAGCCTAATTAATTAATTAAGGCTAAATTTAAAATGCTAAATATAATTAACCTTAGCTGCCACTAAATTAATACGCTGCATGGCGTTAATAATAAGATAAATAGTAATAACCCGCTTAATAATAGCCATAGCAAAGAAATCGCTAATAACCGCTCATCCCAAAGAATCATCGCCTACCCGCCCTGCAAGCCCCATCCGCCAGTAAATCATATCAACAAAATCAACCCTATTAAGCCTATTATAGCAAGTTTATAAACTTTATAAAGCAACCCAATATGCCCACATATTAACCACCTTTAATTAAGAAAGTCCCAAATAAAGAGTTCTTTATAAATATAGCTGCTAAGGCTTTTAACTATCCCTTTAAGGAAGCGTTTTCCATTAATAACCATAATAACTACCTAAACATTACCTTTTTCAGTATATTAGCATTATTACCATTTATTTACCGCTATTGCATTAAGCATTTTTATAGTAATAACTTATTAATAAATTATATTTATTCCGCCTATTTTAAAAAGCCTTAACCCTAATAAAAATAAATATTAACGGCTTTCACAGCTAAAACAAAGACTTCTAGCCCATAAAATGATTAAGGCTTAAATAATGCATTAAAAAATGCCTTAAAGCGGTTAGCAAAAAACTAAAAAGCCCTAATATTTTATTAAATACTATAAGGGGCGTAAAGATAATTTAATTGCTAATAAGGGTTAACTTAAAACTTAGGATAAGATTTAATTTTCGCTCTTAAACTTATTTATATCTTTTTATTTAATTATTATTTGAATTATTATTAAATATTTATAGCGATACTAGCTGTAATTAAATAATAGCAAATAAATAATAATTATAATAAAATTATCCCTTCTTGCCAATTTATAAATATGCATTTCCATTATAATTATATAAACTTAAAATAAAAATTTATAAATTATATAATTATATACTTATGCCATTATAATTCCTAGAAAAGCATATTAATTGCAAAACCTTAGCAATTACTTTATTTACTTATAAAGTCTTTATAATTAAAGATTTAAAGGCTAATATGCTTATTAATATAAACGCTATAAGATTAAAGGGCTTTAACATTATTAATTTAAAGGAATATATTAATATTAACTCTTGCTACATTTAAATTCCCATGAAAACGAAAAATCATAGCTGCTTAATTAAGGCTAAAATACTTATCATGCAATATATTATTATACTACCTAAATTAGCTATTTATCTCTTTATTAAACATTGCCTATATATTAATAATATTTAAAACTTAATGTTTACTTTTATATCAACTTAATTTAATGCTTATGCTTTCCTTATAAATATCTATTTAGCTTACATTATTATTAAAAATAAAATAAATAAGCTTATTATTATACTTAATAAAACATTTATTAAATACCTATGCTCTTTAAACCCATAATACCAAATTCATACTATTAATAAAGACAATAAAGCTATATTTACAACCTTTTATAAATCCTTAAATTCCTAATATTTAAAGATAATGCCGTTAAATAACTTTTAAATGCATACCTTAATAAGCATTAATATATTTTCCAACCTAAACCCTATTAATTAAGATAAGCTTTTACATTTCCTTAATAAAAATGCAAACATCTTTAAAAACAAGAGTTAAACCAAAGCTTCATAAGATAAATAGCTTAAGATTTACCTTAAATAAAACTAATAAAACATAATTTTAAAAAAATATAAAATTTACTTTATAACCTTAAAAAACGCTAAGGTTATTAATAAAACTTTAAACAAACTGTAAATTATTAAAAAAATCAAATAAATAACTTAATTCATTCCCTTTTCTTTCCCTATATTTATTATTTAGCAAATAATGCTAAATAATACCTAAAAAGATTGCATAATTATTAATATTCAAGAACTAAACCATATATTAATCCTTAATGCATACCCTATAAAAAACTAAAACCAAATTCTTTTAAAAATCATAAATGCAAAATACATTACAATTCTCAACGCCACCACCTTCTTTTACTAATAGCAAATCCATCCCAAATCTTAATAAATATTTACTATTACAATAACTTATAAATAATTTATATTTAACTATACTATTATAAGATATCATAACAGCCCAACCTATATATAATAATAAATAAATCAGCTCCTTAAAGATATACCCGCTAAAG